GTCGCGCTTCAGAGCTTTGACGCAGCTGGAGCAAGCGCAAACAGAGAGGAGCCCTGGCCCGCCCCGCCGCTGCGGTGGCTCGGTCGTGTTTCGGCCGGGAACATGCTCTGAAAGGTGAGGAGACGCGTGCGGGCTGTGCATTGGGTTGCGGGGCCAGCGTCCACGCAGAGACGGGCGGGCCCCTGGGTGCTTTTGATGGTGAAGGCCTGCGACAAGCTCAGCGCGCCTCTCCGCTGTAGCGCGTACCTAGCGCAGCTATCTGGTTCGAGTCACTGCATACTTCTCCAGCAACTTCGTCGCGCCTTACCTGATCAAGATGGCGCACATGTGGAGGATGATGCGGATCCTGCTCTGCGAAAGACGCCACGCAACCAAGGAACACCGCGGCGAGGCTACAGGCGGCGCTGCTTTCGCCTTGTGATGAGCAAGAAGCTGCACGCGCCGGCGAAGCATGTGGCTGCCCGCAGCGATGGAGGCGCTTCGGCCTTTGCGGAATGGGCGGAGGGCGTTGCGAAGAATCGCCAGCGCCGCCGGCTTCAAGTTTATTCCCTACGCGACGGGCCCGCCTACTCGTGGAGCGAGCACCTGGAGGCGCCGCGGAAGACGCAGCAAAAAAAGCAGAAGGAGCCGCCGTGCTGCTCGACGAACGTGGACCAGAAGGACAGGAGTGCGCTGCGGGTGTGTCCCATGCGGCCGCGGCAGGTCCTCCCCGTCTTACTTTCATCCCTGGAATGAGGAAGAGACGCTGCAGCAGATGGGGCTAGCTACGCTGCACGCAAAATGCGGCGGCGCGCGTTCGTTGCCCGCGAAATCGACAGGAAGCAAGCGGCGGAAGCTCTGAACTTCTTGGCCGTGGACGAGGATGCAGCTATATGCGCAGAGGCAGAATGCTGCCGGCTTCGTCTTACTATGCGGGTGGTGGCCTGATGGTCGTGGTGCGGGTGGGTGTGCTTCATGCTTGCAGCCTGGGCGTTTTTCTACACGTAGCAGCCTGCTGCTGTGCTTCTCTGGTAGTGTGACCAGTGGCAGCGTTGCCCCGTGTGTCCTTTGTGTCTGCTCTTGGGTCGGCCTCTTGCTGACAGCGGAGCAAGCTGCCCCCCAGTTAGTTCGCCTATCGATCTGCTCGGCCCGTGCCGTGGGGCTTACGAGCCGCGATCGAACAAACGGCGGACGCCGTGCGCACGCTAGATTTCAGATGTCAGGCGCTGCATGCGCATAGTAGTCGTTTTGCTTATTTTATAAATTAATCTTTTGGATTCTTTCTTCAGGTTGCTGCTGTCAGAAGCTTAGTGTGATTTTGTTCGAGGAGATCGGGCTCGCGTTAATCGTTTCGCTTTCGTCACTATCGAAGAAAGTGAAGGAGCATCAATTTTGGAGAGAGTAGTTGGCGCTGTGGTGTGTTTTGGTTGAAGGTCTGTGAACGCGGAGACTTGGTCTAGTGGCTTCAGCTTCGTAGGAGTTCAGCGTCTTTTTCGGTTTCGATATCGATCGATGGAAACGCCCACCAATCGAGAAGACGTCGACCTGTTGTGGTTTTGAATTATTTCAGTAACGACTATGGCGTAAGCCTTCGCTTAAGCTTCCATTTAGTTCAAAAGAAACCGCTCATGTTGATGTTTGTATTGAAGTATGCTCATAGATGATAGCGAATTGCGTTACTAGCTGCTGTTCTCATTTAGTTGCTAGCTGTTCTCATTTGTAGGCCACTGATCTCTAACTCCATCTTCGTCACGACTGCGCCGCGATGGCCATCCCATACGTGTAAAGACGCAGCACCAGCATGCCGATTGGAAGTCGTACCTACGCAAGAAAGGACGAGAAGTATGTCGCTATTCCGCCATCATTCGATCCCAGGGAAGGAAAGGAGTCTCCTCCAGGATTCAAGCGTGGAACCCGACGGCAGATCTGCATATATAAAGCCGCTCTCGATATCCGTGCGAGGCTCAACTTCACGCAGACGATGCCTCGCTCTCACTGGCGCGAATGTTGTGAGGTGCACCAGAACCCGTCATTCGGTTCCGATTGCGTCAAGATCAGCGACGCGAAGAGGCTTGGAGTAGAGGTATTGTTATTTCAACATAGACGAACCACTTTCGTTTTATGGATGATCTAGTTTGGAAATGCCACCACAGAGAATTCTAATACCAATGACTTGCTTCTAACGTTTTTCTATTCTTATATTAAGTAGAAGCTACTTCTATCGATGACACGGAATTAACACTCAGGTTTCAAACATTTTACCGTCTGGGTTGACGTTTTTAGAAATCACTAACGTGGATTCTTTAAACTTGTGGCGGTCGGGTGCACGAATCACACAGAACAAGAAGAAGCCGAAGGCGAACATGTGGAATTCATTCTACACGGCAATTGCGCAGGGGCTTTTGACGAAGGCAGACGCGGCGCTACTCAGTAGATTGAACGACCCAAAAAGGAGAAAGAGCATGCTGGGCTGTCCAGGTCCTCGTGGGGAGGCGCCCGCTCTTGGTCATGCAACTTACGAGATTCTGGCTAGCAATCCATACGTTGCAAGGAAGTATGCTGCAGCGATAAACAGCATCGGAGTCGAACATGGAGCGCCGATATCAGTCAATTATGGCCACTAGGATTCAGCCCTCCCTGAGATTCTCCTTCGTAATGCCTGGCGTTTCTACTGTAGTTGATATTTACAATATCACTCGACTCTGCTTATGTTAAGGTGAAGCTATATCTTTTCTTTCGGTTTGGATGGGTTGGAGACGTTATCTAAAGCTTATATCACCTCCTCTAAGTCATGTTTCCTACCCGAACGCGCATTGAGTACGTTTTCACACCGGAACCGAGAGAGAAAAGCGAGCGTGATCCGATAACACTTCCGCAGCCTCGGATGTTATCCGAGCAAGAGCTTGAAGAACTAAAAGAGCCGCAGGGGCCGTGCCATGCGCCTGCTTTTGAAGCTGAAGCTGGACTAGTTGTAGACGAAACCTCTAAGAAGAGTGGGGCGTCGTTTGCGCCGACCACTATAAGCAACAAGAACAAAAGTAAGAAGCTCAATCACCTAGCTCGGGCTGGGGGAGCTTGGGACCAAGGAAAAGGAAGCACGAAGGAGAAAGCGTCTACAACTACATCCATGAAGAGTAGGAAGAAGGCTGAGGACGCAAAGCGGAGAAAAGTAGGTCACTACGAGGACGAAGCTGGGGGTGCTGTCGCGGAAGATGATGTGGGGAAGCGTGTGAGCGTGATGGCGCTGGCTAAGACGAAGCGGCCATCATCTGCACGGAAAGCATTTTCTGAAACTGCTGGTGGTTCGAGACTAGGAGTAGACCATGATAGACACAAGCTCGAGACCAAGACGTGTGAACTGAGTGCGCATGCCGTCGGTGATCATACGGCTTGCCGATCGTCTAATGATTGCGGAATGCAGGATATTGACTTTATTGAAGAGCGTCGCCAGATTTTTGTTGCGCCGGAGGTTCAAGCAGAAAACGACTTCGTCTTCTATACAACTGATCAAGCCTTCACAGAGGTCAACATACACCGTCAGGGAGCAAGCGCTTCAGCAGTGAGAAAAGGCCTCCGACCCACATCAAAAGAAAAACTATCATCAACGCAGCAACGGCAGAAGTCGACTGGCGACGAAGTAGTTCTAGTAAATCCAAAGACACTACTAAGGGTTGCCAAAATGAACGACGACCGCAACAAAAACCTGCTGGAGAAAAAGGTTAGTATATCCAATGTGGTTGAGGAGGTAGAAGTTTCTTGCTACGGTTTTGGCGATGATGATGGGTCGAAGAACAAGCAGGAAGACGACCTCCTCTCTGTAGAAGACGACGCGCCGAAGATCGACGATGAAGGTGTAGGTGATGAACAACAACAGAAAAACGACTCTACAAAGAGGTCAGCGTCCACTGCTAGCAGCACCGGCAAGAACATTCTGAAAATGAAAAAGCGCTCATCTGCGCAGCCTGCTTCAGGAATCACCAGCATGAAGAAAATGCGTGTCGCTCTGCATCCACCTGCGAGGAAACAGGAGGAGATCGACGGTCAACCACAGACATCAGTAAAAGCGTCTTCAGCATCAGATCCAAACACAACCTCAACCGCAAGCACGCGCTGGAAGGCTGAAAAATCATCCAACAAGAACAAGAAGTCGGCAGCAGCAGCTAATACTAGTAAGAGCAAGATGCTGCTAAGTAATAAGACCATGAAAAGCTCCTCATCTTCTGCAGCACAGGATCAGGAAGACCTCCTCGAAAGACATGAAAAGGAGAAAACTATATCAACTGTTGCAGCTGCTCTGCGTCTTCCAGCCATGAAAAAGCTGTTCAGTTTTTCTACTGGAGGAACGTCTTTGAGTGATTCAGGCCGGTCGATTGCTGAATGTGAGTCCTGCGCGGCGACTGTCCGGGAGGTGCTTGAAGCAGCGCGACTGGCGAAGATGGAATGTCTCGAGCAATTGCCTGCGCCTCATAATCGAACGAACTCTGCGTGGGCGGCGCGGGTTGATCGGAAACTGGGCGAGCTTTCGAACTACCTCGGGCGGCTGCGACAGTCGATTCGAAGACGTAAGCAGCGAAGAGAAGGCAAGTAGTAGGCGTGGCTCCTCCGCATTCACACCTCAGCTCTAGCTTTGTTTTTGTAATGTTCTCATATTAGAGCAGCACGCTCCCCACTTCCATTTATGATCTGCTAGCATGGCTTCGTCTGCATGAATGTCTTGTGAGTTAGAAGTACTACTTATGATTATAGTCGATATATTCTTTTTTGTTGTTCATGATGATTGAGATTGACGTGCGCTTGTACGTATAGAGAATTTGCAGCTGCGTTGATTTTCTTGATAAGTTTCCGCTCATCTTGTTAGCTGTGGGTGTTGGTAGGTATGAGTTATAAAGCAGCTGCACAGAAGTTCTTTCATGTTCTTGCTTCTTCTTGCTTTTGTATTTGTTAATCAATTTTCTTGATGTTTGTTCGAATAAAACTATTATTGTTTATAATCGTGTCGTTCATTTTCGTTTCGATCTTCTGCAATTTGATTAAAGTTGCTGACTCCTACTAATAGGCACTCGAATGATAAGTGAGCATTTCTATTTATTCAGAATTCAACTCTCTTGAAGATGATATCAAAAATTATGCAACTACAGAAGGGAGACGCGTTACTCGATAAGCCCAAGGTAAGACGATTTAATAAAAGGATTTGCCTGGTTATCCGTGGCAAAACTACAAGCCCATCCACTTAGTTACACTTTAGATCAAATCCAATTCCTATGTTGCCATGTCCGTCGAAGATGTGATGGATCTTGAATAGCAGAAAGACCCATAACAACAAACTTCACGAGACGAAGTAGCGGGTTGATCGAGCAACTTTCTATGTTTTCTATCCTCGCAAGTGAGTACAAGGCTGGCCGGCTAGATCTACAGCTACATCCGTGAGTGCCCGTTTCTTGTGTCAGTATCTGACTGATGGACGTCGAAGGCGATAGCCATAGAAATAGACGACGTCGCCACGCCGTGCCTCAAAATGCACTCGACACCAGCTGACGCCTAGTTCTTCGCCCTTGTTGAGAGATTGAGCGAGAGTGTTCTACCACTGGTTTCGCTTCAACGTCCAGCGACTTGCGATCGTTCTCTTACTCCCACTGCACTCCGTGTTGGTTAAATGCGTACTAGTACTTCACTTGTCGTGACTTTCCTCTCATAATTTACGCGAAAGCGTTGATGGTATTTCTGCTATTCCAGAATCTTGCATGTGTATTGATATGCCATAAGTCTACTTGATCGATCGTCGTTTAGCAAACATCTCGCTGAGGTCTGTCGGATGGAGCTACGCTGTTCTTATTAAGGAAAAGAGTGCTCTGCTGTAAGTCGAGAAAGCAAGTACTAGGTCGAAAAAAAGATGCCAGGAGCAGCAGACAAAGGCCCGCCTGCATATACTGCAACAGGCGGCAAACAGTTGCTGTGGCGCATGATTAAGGATCGAGACACTTCATCTTTGCAGACCTATTTGCTGCATTAGTTACAAAGCAAATTTACAAAGCAAATACGAAGTGTCTCAATCTTTAACATGCAGATCATTTTCGATGCTTCTGACAACACAGTGCTGCAGCCTCTGTGGATTTTAAAGGTGCTTCTTTTAGCTTATATTTTTGACGCTAATCTCATTCATGCTCACGACACTCGCTGCTAATGATGATCATAGTTTGCTTCAACAATTTGTATTTGACTGAGGAAGAAGATCATGGGTCCAATCCTCGAAAGATTTTCTATCTTACTTTTCACAGAAAGGAAGAGCCGTGGATATTATTGAAGCAATCCTTTTCGGCTCAGCACCCGAATACGAAAAGTTGCGCAATAGGTCGCAGGAAAAAGACGGTAATAGATAGAAGCTTGAATATCCTCTTTAATGTTCATGATGGGGATTTTTGATATTAGAGATTTTACGAGTGTAATTTTGTAGGATCCCACTCAGTCGCTGTCACTCTTAGTTCGCAGAGCAATCTTGGTCTTTCAGCAATTACATCGTGATCAACCGTCACATACAGAATGGATCCGCTACGTCGATGCCATGACTGAATACGATGCATTCTGGAGAATCGCAGCGAAGCTCGAGCTAATTGGGATTGGACAAAAGAAAGGTGACGAAAGTTATGAGAGGTTGAGGTTAATTGACGTTAATTATGCTTCTTCCTTATATATTGCATTCTAATCGGTCGCGTGATGATTTAGATTCTTTACCCCATTTGTGCTTTACTGAGTACTAACAGTTTCTTTCATTCTTCTCGTATAGTTTTTGTTGGTGTTTCACATCTTGGTCACTATAGATCTAGGCTTGACCATTCTAATGTCTACCGGTGAACCCTACGAACGGGCAGCTGCAGAAGCTCCAGGTACGGAAGTGGTTACTAAGGTTCCCACTTTCATTTAGTTACACCACTCACATCTATGGAATATTGATTCCCTCCGAGTAGCATAAGCTGAAATTGAGTGTACTACTTGAGGTGGAGACGCGGCTTTCGTATCAGACGTAAGGACGCGAAGCATGGACGTGCATGCTAGTGTTGCACTGTAAGCCCATGCTTCTCATGCTTACCCGTATGTAGAAGCAATTAATAATACAAAAACAACACAGAAAAAGTCCAAGTCCCGTGCATTGTCCGCAAAGAACAAGGCTACAGTGGATAAAGCTAGAAGCTCTTTCTTCGAAATGCTAGAGAAGCTGGGCATGTCGCCGCTACGTTATGGCGCTGATTTTGATTCACTATCACGCTCAGCAATTAGTCATCTTCACCTTGTTCCTTGTAGAGCTAGACGTAGACTTGGCGAATTTGTCACGGTGGAACGCTTGGACTTGTTGAATGATGCGCCACTTCTAAGCAGACTTCTATGTCTATTAGTATCTAAGTCGTGGTCTATTCATATTGGCATCCTGTTCATCGTCTAACAGCACAGCGTGAGGCAGTCCATTTACATCCAACTCGGGTATGACATTTTCGGAGCTGGGCTGATTAAAATGCGAGCTTTTTTGCCGGAAAACACCAAGAAAACACCTGCATACATGGCGATCAGAGACGTGCATACATTTACTTTTTTTCTTTCTAAGTATCTACAATTGTTTTAGGAGTTAGTATGTCGATGTTCTAGGGAAGTACTCAAATTATAATGCTTCAAGTCGAGTCTATTACTCATGATTCTCTCTTCCTCCCTCCATCCATCCAGCCTACTGCTTCTTATGCTTTCTTCAATCAGGAATTTTCTAAAGTTAGAGGATCACCGGAGGACAGTTTTTGTTTCGACAAGTTGGATGCCAGTTTTGCGGAAGTTTCAGACACGATCCAAAAAGTCTACTGCAATAGGGACCTCGCTATTATCGGTCTAGGCCTCTTGGGGAAGCTATCCACCTACGCCTTTTTCGAAAAAACTTAAGGCATCAAGTTGTTATTGTTCTTTTCTCTTATTGTATTAAAATAAACAATTTGAACAAGGTGGCCCTTCTTATCTTCATCGTTTGCAATGAAGGTAACCTTAGGTTGGGCAGTAAACTGTAGTGATGTCCTAGCTTTCCTCTCATAGAATGAAGGACGTTCTTCGCCTTCTCTGTTCTAACATGCGGACGAGGTGCGTTTTTATCAGCTTGGTATCATGCCGCAGCTCTACTCAAAATTTTTGGATTGGAAAGAAAAGGAGCTACGCGGCATCGAATTGAAGAGCGTCGTGTTATGAGAGTAGTGTTGAAGAACCCAGGTTGAGCAAAGATTGAGTATTTCGCTAGACAGAGGCATCAACTTGGTACCAGAAAAAAAGAACAGACGGGCACAAGTTCCAATAGAAGTCCACAAGGTAGACATACGGGCGCAAGCAATAGACTATAAGCACAGGAGAAGCTTCGTTTTTGATTTTGCGCCTTTTTTCTAAGGGTAGTTTGTTACTTCGATATTCTACAAGGGTTAGGTGTGAAGAGTCTTAAGTGGTAAAATAGATAAATTTAGAGTATCCTAAATTCTAATACGCGTATTCGTGCTATTTCTGTTCCTGAGGTCTACCTTTTTAACGGAAGATAGTGCTCGCAGTAATTCTTCTCAGTCAAGGGCCTTACTTCTCTCATGGGTGCCAGGTCACAGAGGATGAGCGAAAGATTTACTCGCAGCCCTTTTATGTGAATAGATCATACGGCTGCTAGATCTCGCTCGGCATACTCGTAGTCTCGTTGTTCGCTTCTATAATCTTATCCTCACCTGTTCCACCACTGCTACCTTCTATCTCTAATGCTTTCACCGAGCAAGGACTCCTCAATCGATCGGCAATCAGATTACGCCCGAATTGCGTCCTCTCTGGGGTCCGAGAGCATCAACGATAGGTGCGTAGCGCACGGAGGTGCGCCGTCGTCTAGTACTACTGATGCAACGACGGACGCTGACGCTACCGGAGAAACCAACGCTGTCAAAGACGCGGGCAAAGCTGCTGCCAAAGCTGCAGCGAAGCAGGCTGCCAAGGCAACCAAGGCAGCCAAGGCTGCTGCGAAGAAACAGAAAGAAGCAGAAGCTGCTGCAAAAAAAGCGGCTGCAGCTGCTAAGAAAGAAGGTCGTAAGCGAAAGGTGATTGCTTCACCCGAGCCGAGTCCGGTGGCAAAGAGGTACTCTCTCTTCATGTGCAAACTACTGGCCGCAGTAGTTTTGGTTTGTTAATTCTAATCTCTTCTATAAATTCACAGTCTAGCCATTTTCTTGCTGGGGTGCAAGTCGTGATCTGATAAGAGTATATAACTATCTCGCATTAATGCCGCGACTCCATTTATTATTACTCTTTCTGTAGGATGGACGAACGCGCGTCGAATGAAAAAAATGGCGCAGAAGACGAAATGGAGATCATGGCCGAAGGCGAAGATAATCAAGACGAGCTGCAGCCAAGTGAATACTTCCGCCGTCGCCTGAGTGTTATGTCCTCGTCTAGTTGTAACTCGTAGACCTCATTCATCTACCTTTTCTAGATGCATGCTCAGACAAGAGGCCCTTAACGAAGAAACCCATCCTAGATCTAGACCCTGCAATATATCTACTCTAACACGAAAAAAATCGATCCGCAGGGAAGCTTGTTCGCCGACGAAAATGCGACAAGCAACCAGATCCCGTCTCATCTGCACGGCACGCCGATGATTGCAGGCAAGAAGGTGGAGTTCGGAAAGGGTTTGGGGATGATGCTGGTCCCCGTTGACCCCAACACCAAGGATCACGAATGCCAGTATTGCTATTACATCTACATCATATCGCAGGCGTGGCTTGCTTTGGGTGTTTTGTTACTAGTCAGCTTCAAGTAGGTATGTTGGAGGCAGACTTCGTCTTCCTTGATGAAATTCATTAGCAGGAGGACTTCTTCTTTTTTTCAACTGTCCTCACACGCACTTCTCAGGTATGCGACTACTACAGCTGGGCCTGAGCTTCAGGACAACGAAAGGCAGGGGAGCTATATCCAAGCGCCTAGCGCTATTTTGCCAACATCTTTGATGGCGGGGCTCTTGCAGTCCAAGATGGCCAAAGGAACTCTTCTCCAGTCAATGATAGGGGTACTCCTACTATACTTCTTGTTTGTATTAGAAGTAACGAATCGCTCACAGTCTGCTTACCATCGTGTTACCACTAAGATCCAACATGTTGACGCACACACTCTATCGCTATGCATTTCCTTTCGATGAATGAAAGTGCTGCTGTAGAGATTGGCTGGGGTATAATGTACGCTGGCACTTTTATTGTCACTCGCGCCAGGTCTTGACGCAGGCGGTGGAGTGGACTGACCGCTTGGACAGGGCTTATTTACTTGCCCGCCAAATCGAAGTAGCTCGGTTCCAGAACGAGTACGATATGTATGAAGCTGAGAAGTTGGACTGTGAAGCAGCTTTAATGTTGCTACGCCTCCTGGGCAAAAATCTCAGGGCCATAGAACGACAGCATGAAAATGATTTGAAGAAAATGCTGCTCAATGAGGACGCCGTCGACCTGCTGAACTTCAGCTCGATCCGTGAAGAAGCACTTGGAGATCTTCTGTTATGGTAGCAAGATGCAGACTCGCTTGAGTGTAGTCATTTATTGAACAGGTTGTCCTCATAGTTTATAACTTGTTTCAGTGTAGTCGGATATAAGCTAACTCGTCAGTCATTAGGATACAGCATAACTTCCAACTTCGACCCTCCACCTTTCATGTTTCACGTCGTTCGATGCGAACTACGAGAAGCTACGAAGCATCGGAATCCTTCCAAAGAAAGTGCAGATGCGCCTTGATTTAAGGAAGAAGGTTTGCGTTGATGAAGTTGAAAAGTCAGCAGCGTTTTGTAAAACTTAGCTGCTACTGCTGTGTCAGTGTCGGCTTTCTTCTACTTCTCGAAGGCGACGCCCTCCTCCTCGTTATATTGTAATAGTACTAATAGAGAAGTTGTAGCGCTTCTTCTAATAATACTATCATGCTTTTGATTGTTCATGCATCACTAAACCTAGATCCTTGATCATGCTGCCTCGTTTACAAGTCCTCCCCTCGGACCCAGTTTCATTCTATGTCTACCATCGATTGCTGCAGGAAGACAAGCAGACCTGCATGAGCAGCCTGGGACTGGAAGCAGGGCCCGCGTTCAACTACTTCCTCTGCAGCAACAAGAGCTGCGCAAATCTTATGGTGGCCAGGTGATGCTTCGTTTACTATATTGCAAATACTTCTGGCATTAGAATCAACAGGCGCTCCCGCTGCTATCTCTTTTCTTCTCTCATTTTTTACTTCCGAAGTAGTATCTTGAGCTTGCTGATGGATACTCTACGTGCTTTCTGTGCGGGCAATCTTCTCTCATATTCATAATCCTCCCATCCCCTACCAACATCTTCATAATCTTGAAAGATTTGTCGCCGGAATTGAATGAAAAAGAGGTTTTGGAACGCATGGGGAAAGTGATGGATAGAGCAGCAGGAATGGTACTACCACGTCATACACCTGCAATCAAAAGCTCTCGCCGATGGTTATAGTGACATAGAGGACAGAAGCAACACTGTGATTGTTGTGGTAGATCTTGTTGTCTGCGGTCGCTTAGGCCGACGGATTTGCTATTGCTTCGCCGTATTCTCATGACGCCATTAGCGCCGCCGATTTCTCCATGCCTTTATCCTCACCTTGCCCTCAGTTTGAGAAAGTGGAAGAAATTACGAGTGCTCGCTTCGAAATTTTTCGTGTGGATGCTGATTGGATGAAAAAAGCAATCAATCAAGAAAAAACGTTATGATTCGGACGAGACTGAACTACTGAGATCCAAAACACCGAAGACGTCTATTCCTTAGTGTTTAGGTTCGTCCTTTCATAGTAAAAACCGAGCATAAGACTACTCGCATCACTGTAAATGATTGGTGGGTGACAACTTAGCGAGGATGTTGATAAGCAGTTATATTCGAGATATCCCTTACTCCTTGCCCATTCGCATGCCAGGCGATCCCTGATCTTGCTGGTTTAGTAGGACCATATCCCCCTTTCATGTCCGATCAATAGGAAACAGGCGACGGCGAAGCAGCAGTTTGTCTTATGAGTGAATGCGTGAGCATGGCACAGCAACGTTATTGGTTAACTATACGTAAGTCTAAAGCTTGGCGTCAACCTCTTGCGGAATTAGTGGCCTCCATTTTGATTCTGCTACCTAGAAGCAGCTTGTTTATTATGATGACTGTTTCTACACTCACACCGGGCCACTTTCTAATTTTGAATGGTGCGGCTTGTCAAGCGGGAAACGTCATAGCTTTTTTGGGCTCCTTGGTTACTACACAGTCGCACGCAGCCCACCGAAGACAAGTCCTACAACTGGTGCGTCATTATACCTCTCTATGGACTTGTTCGATCACGGTTAGGGTTAGAATTAGGGCTAGGCGTTGCCTCTCATGAATCAAGTCTGTCCGCAAGATGTATCGTTTAAGTCAGCAGTTAGCAACAGTATCTAAATGATCATGAACTACAGGCATCCGCAAGCAAGCTGTCGCATGGATTGGTGGCACTCCGTAACTCTGCATCCATGGAGAAGAGTTTACTTGCAGACGCAAACATTCAAAAACTCATCGGGCGCTTAGTATGGATGTTGGTGCTTATTCATTCCATCCTTGCAACCATCAACGCTTCCGCATAGCGCATGCTTTTCCGAGAGGAAAAGGGTAGCTTCGATGGTCTGGCTAGAGTAGATGGAAAGACTATTATTGTTCATACTTAAACAACCTGGCACTTTGTGCATACAGGAACATAATTGTTCCGTATTTCGAAGAACGACTCGAAATCGACATCTATCCGAGTTTCAATACAGCAGATGCGGCCGCGCAAGCCGTTGCTTCGCACCGACTCGCAGGCTTCACCAGCATGGATCCCGCCAATGGTTTGAGCGAGATCTTGAAGTTATGGCTGGGTGCGCACTCCTTGAGCGCTTTGCTTGACTTTTGTATTCCTTGACTGCTTTGATTGACGCGCCCCTTATCTTCACGTCTGTATGTTCTAGCTCTCCAATGATCAGCAATCCTCTAAACTGCCTCGTTACGGCACACTACGGAAAATCTGTGGATAACGACTTGTTTGTCGACAACGATTTTATGTCGGATGATGGAGGCGAGCCTGTTGACGCGGAGAATGGTGACGAAGATCCTGATGAGCTACAAGACATGGAGGAGCAGTTTTTGCATCAAGTCGATGACATCAAGCTCTAGGGCAGGAGAATGGACAAGGAATGAAGGTAGAGCTATTTTTGTAAGTCTGTTGTAGGAGGAAAATAAGAAGATAGAAGTACTGGCTACTGATAAGTATCGGGCTATGGCGTGATCACGTGGCGACTACTCGATAGGACGAAGCGCTACAGACAAATGCTAGACTATTGCTTTCAATCGTAACGCTCTTAGTAATTTAGTATAATGCCCTCGGTGCAATTCTTCTGCGTGGATGAAGTCGCGGCAAGGTGATTAGCACCAAAATATTTACGGAAGTACTAGCTTTCATTCTAATCACTAACTATTTTTGGAAAGTGCTACAACTAGTTATTACTCTAGTTCTCGATAAAGAAACGAGTTTTCGTAGTAGTGAGCTAGATAACTAGGCCGTTGAGCCTAGTGCCTATTCGTCTCGACATGATAGAAGTTCTTGAATATATTGATTTATTTATTCGTGTTCTTATAACAAGACCTTGCTAGCGTAGTACTGAAATAGTATAACAAGCATGACTCGTCTCGCCTTTCGCGTATTGATGGGAGTTAATTAGAGCTGCCTGAACCTGGTGGACGCATTTCAATATTATTCATTCAGCCAGGTGCTGAAGCGCCTTCATATTCTTACTAAAATACTATATGGCATGGCGCTACTAGAGTTTATCTTATGCCGATGTCCTGCTTTTCTTCTTGTTGAACTGACGTCGATTGTACATGTGTGGTTCTTCGACGAAACTAGTAGTGCACTTTAATGCTAGACTGTTCTTGTTTGATTTTAAGCTCTTAAGGAAGTGAAGTGTCGTGTAGTACCTTACGTGTCTAACCTCCATGAACTTCGTATAACTTGAGAAGTGTGCCCTTTCCTCCTCAGAGATAGGATTCCCTTTGAAGATCACAACTTCAGCCCTTATAGACGAGACTACTAGTTTTTATCATCGTTCTTTGAAAGCATGCTTTTCCGCATTGAATTTTGTAAGTAGATAATGTCAGGCCTCGACTATGGAAAACGTTATAAAGAGTAGAAAACTGTTGTAGTTTTCGTGTATGCTGATGAAACTCGATGTTGATTAACTGGCAAGCATATATAGGGTGTTAGATTGGTGAGCAGGTGTCACTTTCTTGATAGTGTGAGACTTGTCGTGCAAGATGAAACAATGCCACCACATACATTGAGATGACTTCATTATTGTAGGTTTCAAGTGTCAGTCTTCATTTATCGCTATCTATCAGGTTCATGAAAGAACGAGATTCAGAGTTTGAAGCTGACGAGGTACCTGTGGCGAATGACCGGCAAAAAAGTCGAAGCCGTCACTTTTGCGAGTATCTCACCGGAGTGCTTTTTGTGGGTCTGTAGCTGTGAAAGTCTATGTTTCTGGTAGAGAGTTGAGCGCAGGTTGAAGAATGAAGACGACGCACAATAGAGTAAACTTAAGCACATTGCAAAATTTTAATACATTCGAGCTGTTACTTGCTGAGATGAAGAACGAAAGTGAGAAAGAGCATTATGAGCATCAAAGTGCTGAGAGTAAGTTTGTAATTATTGGTGTATCTTCATTCACTCGAAATATCGAAATCGAAAACAGAATCAGCATCTTGCCATTTACTGATCTTAATTCCCGCAGCAAGCAAAACCGAAATCGAACCGTGATCGTTGTTTTTCCCTCGAGTTCTTCCCGCACGAGACATTCTGATAACTCATGCTTCCAGTTGAATACAATGCTCTTAGTTCTTACCGATCATGCTCTTACTTTTGTCCTCAATCATATGAATTTATTTGATACTGCAGCTACTATGTTCTTTGTTCGACTCGTGTTTTACGTCTGATCTTTGCCTATTAATTGTCATGTGGTCAAAGAAAATGCTGGATGTGAGTGCGAATGTAAGTGGTTCTCTATGCGGTTTCTTTTTCGTCGCATCTCTCTTTCTCTTCATGATCTCAATCTCGACGATGATGCAGCCGAATAATGAAAATGATAGGTGTGACCTTTATTTCGAGACTCCGTCCGACCTCTCGCATGATACTGCTCCTAAGACGTCTCATTTTTATAGTTTACCAACTCGAATGAGATCATGGCTCATTCTTGACCGAAGTCTGTCCTTCAACTTTCTTGGACGGACGCAGCAAGTGCTTGTTTTTTTTCGTCGCAGTCACTCAGATCTATCATCTCGCGACCCCCTCGTGCTCCGAAGCGGCATCGGTTTGGCACTCAAGACCCACACGCAAGATCAGTATCTTTTTAGCACTCGAGATCCATGTCCAACAACGCGAGCGTAGTCCGGGCCAATAAAGGTCTTCGACTCTATTCCGATGTTGCCGCTTCAATTGTTGCCAATCTTCTGGATGATCTTTCCATATTCGCTAGCAAAAAACTACTAGCTTAAGGGCTCGCTGAGCACTACGACATAGAAGACCCGTCCGTGCTCGTCGGACGAGAATTTCCTGATGTGTGTTCTTTCATGATGTAGGAGGCACACCGGTAGCGCCCTGATGCAGATTCTCAAGCATCTGGCGTCTTATCGAGTAGGAAAAATGGTAGCTCTCTGAAAAAGTCGGACTTTGTCACTGGCAAATTCCTATTTTTCAGTATCAAGGATTATGGTCTAATAAAATAGTTTTTGGACCCTTTCAATTTATACTTTATAAATCTCATATAGAGTCTGACTTTTTTTTACTTTTCGAGAATAAAGTAAGCCAGATTCTACCAGATTCTAGTATAGGCGTGGATTCGTTCCGGAATTTCCTAATTGCAATTTTCATGCGGATTGCGTTCATCTTGACATCAAATATCAACTGACACCGGTCGAAAATCTTAAGTTTACCAGAGTGACTGAAAATTTAAGCTGAATCCGAGAGAACAAAGACACAAAAAAGACCATTTTAAAAGTTACGTGCTGTCAGTGGTCATAATTGGACGAGGCGCATCATCTAATTTCCGTGTATCTGAGCATAGTTGTCATTATTGCGAGGATCTTTTCGGAGACATTGATTCCGCTTGAGAAATAGAGGTCTGTCAATGAGCGAAGAAGAATTGAGAGATTATACAACAAAATCTGTCAATGAGATACGCTACCGTTCTGTCTCCTGAGTTGACGCAATCAAGACATCATTCATCTATATCATCATTGTCAGAGCAACTCTAATTATGGTATCTAGTACTTTTTCATCTTCTAACCATCGTCATCTTCCCAAAACAGTCTTGTAGAGAGACCAGGGTGGCTACAAGGAGTGTACTTCTTTGCCGTTTTGTATCTTGTTTTGATGATAATTAATGATTTTGTAACTACTTCGCGTTACCTAAAAGAATCACTGAAACTGAATTAGATGCTGTGCATGTTCTTTGCGTTAAAATAAATTCACCTCCTACTCTTGGAAGTTCTTTCGTTCTCGTTGAGATTTCAAGCAAATAAATCGAATTTTCCATTTAGCATTTTCCCTGGCCTAATTGATCTAATCCTTGTAGACATCATCCTCATCAATTTATTAGGGTACTCATTTGTTAGCGTACTAGAAAAGATGGGTCGTTTAGGAACCGCTGGCGCCGTCAGCTCCATCGTTGCGAGCATGGTTGGTGCAGGTATTCTGGCCTTGCCACAAGCTGTTGCGAAGTCAGGTTTGCTCTCAGGCATCATCGTCTCGCTGTTGCTTGGGTTTGTGTTGTTTACGGTGTCTGGTCTGGCGCTGGCGCGTGCCTGCGAATTGTGTGAAGAATTGGATGAATTGGAGCAGCGTAGTGCTGGACAGGGAACAAGCAATATCGAGACTGGAGGAGCAGGAGGTTCTTCTGCCAGACATCAAGGTGATAGAAGTAAGCGTGTATTGGTGAGGCGTGAGACTTTTCATGGTACTAGCAATTCTCTCTTTCCGACGTTGGATGGTCCTGCCAGTGGGGGTGCGGCGCAGCAACAAGCAGAAGATCTTACCGTCGTCGATCATGGCGAAGCAGGTGGCAACACGAGTGACGTCGACCTAGCAGAGCCCCGTTCTCCTCGTTGCGTCGTCACGGGTGGTCAACCGGTCTTAGACGGTTTGGGCTCGAGTGAACCGGTTGTGGAGTTGCGGTCCACAGTCGTCGAGGAGGAGCATGAGTCTTCGACAGGAAAGGTTCGCAGAAGCAGCATTGTCTCCATGTCAAGAAGGAAGATCTACCTGTACGGTGATGTCGCGGAAAAAGCCTTCTTTGGAAAAAAATGGGTCCGACACACTTTTGCCGCTTTGGGCAGTGTCAACTTGATGTTTGCTTGCTCGATCTTCTTGCTGTTGATGGGAGATGCGGTGCAACAGTTTATGGCAGGCGCTCGACTCTTCGGAGGAAACTATGACGTTTACACCAAGGGTCCAAGCAAAAGTGTGTGGCTAGAAGCTATTGTTTTTACGGGGTTGATGATGGCTTTGGTTCAATTACCCGATGTCGGAGCCATCGCACGTATCTCGTTCTTGGGTACTGGAGCTGCGATGAGCATGTGCATTCTCTTTGTCCTAGCACCGATCATTCTGCATGCTGGCTCGAAAAACGGTCTACCGGTTCCGTACGTCGCGAGTTTGACGCCGTACCACACAGGCGCGCATTTGCCGGCTGGAAATGGGCATGAACTTGCGCAAGCGGTTGCTTCCGGCAAAGGTCATGCGGAATTGCAGAAAGTCCCAGGGTTGAAAGAGCAAGTTTTGAACCAGAAACAAATGGAAACTTTGAACCTGCTAGAAACGGGTTCGGACGAAGCGTTGTGGTCTAGTCCCACTGTTGCCCACTGGAGCTCGTCCTCCGGAAAACAAGGTGCCGAGCTACTCAACACAAACGGAGTGCCAAGTCTCTTCGTTCTGGAAAAGATTCCACATTGGCACGACACCATCAAGGCTATTCTAGATTCGTTTTCGACTTGCGGTTTTGGGTTCGGTTTCGCAGCCATCGTTCCGATCGTACGTGCCGACATGGGCGAACCCGGACGCATCTCCCGTGTCATCGTGATTGCGGTTTCCATGACCATGATCATGTACGTTCTGGTTATTATCACCGGGTTGTTGGGTATTGGCCAGAAAAACGTCCTGGCATATGGCACGATCACAGCTGCATTTCGCGGTGTGGAGACTATGGTGCGGGTGAAAGGGTACGATGGCCAATTGGACGCGGCACAGATCGAGCAGAACATTCAACAATTGAAGACTCAATATGGCGCCGAAACTGTCCTGGATGCGCAACCAAGGTTTTTCGTCCTCCCTGTTGGAGCGAATGCGAATGCGAATTCTCCGCCACAAATCCGCACCTACATTTTTCTTCTCCTCAAGAACCAGGCTTATTTTTTGCGGGACGGAAAAATCGGGAAGGCGAGTATCATGGTTTTCATTCTGGTCATTCTCTTGGCGATGAAGTTGATCATTTCGTATCCGTTGACCCTCTGGCCGGTGATCCAGGATTTCGAAGCAGGCTTAGCCGGTTCCACATGCATGCGTCGTTGTGTGCGTCGTCAGCCTCGTGACGGGCCTGGAAGTTTCATGAGTACCCACAGCGGAACGGAGGCAGAAGAGCAAACGCCATTGTTTTCTGGAGAAAATGCTGATCTTGTCGGGAGTAGAACTTCCTCGAGACTTTCGGTTTCGACTAATTCCGCAACCACTTGGTCGGCGCCTTCGAAAAAGAAACTGATTTGCGCAGCCTCGGTCGTGACGAGAGTCATCGCCGTCGCAGTGACATTCTTGCTTGCTGCAGTATTTGGCTGTCAACCTTGTAAGTTGGACGCCGTTATGGGTTTGGCGGCTTCTGTTCCAGGAATTTTGGCTTTCGTCATTTTTCCGTTAGTAGCCTACCAGTTGCTGAGTCACCAAATGCGACAGAAGAAGAACATGTCGCTGAGTGGGAAAGACGTTGCAGAAATGTGCCTACATGGGTTTTTGTGTCTGGTGAGCGTCACTCTTTTGATCTATACCTGCATCGTGACACCTGGACGCATTTATGAAGTCTTCTCACAAAAATAGCGAAATGAAAGTCAGCATGGACAAGTAGGTAGGTAAGCCTCAAAGAGATGCAATGAAAGAACGTGGTCGAGTGTGGCCACCAAGAATTAACCTGGAATTTAGAAATTGAAGCAGTATTTGATTACAGTTTGATACGGTAGAATTAAAATGAAATCAAGTAAAAGAGGTAAATGGAAATCGCTCATTCTGTAAGTGGAAGAATCTCGAAAGTAACGAAAACCGATAATTGATGATAAGATAAACATAGCGTTACAACCAACAGGGTTGTTTATTTGAGGTGAAAAAAACTCCAGGAAGTCGATTTGGATTTCGTAGGAGGATGCTTGCAGTAGGAAAGCAGAAGTAAGTAAAATTGTTTTTTGAAAACTACACATAAGGATCAATACTGAAGATAATTAGTGATAAAGTCTAGCTTGGCTAGCAGCGAATATGGTGGATACTAGGTTGAACTTGATGTAAGACGTTATTGATGCATAGAGTGAAGAAAGTCATGGGGGAAATAAAGATGGATGGCAGAAATGAACATTTTCCTTGGACTCAAAGCATGATGCTGCATCGCACAGAAGCGAGCCACTCATTAACACTACGTCTTGCCAGGCACATCAAACAAAGAAATCAAAGTACCAAGTCGAGCAAGCGTAGGATACATGCTTGGTGGATCAACAATTTAATGCACAGAGAGACGAACAACAGGAAGATTGAGAAGAAGCAATTCCTATCCTATCCTAAAAGCAAACGGAAATCAAATAAAGAAACAGAGTGCGTGGCTCGGTGTAATTATATCGGTTCTTGACATCTGATGAAGATCTTCATGATCCGAAGTATATCCAGATGCGATAACCTGTATGTCTGATGAGAATGATCTCTTGGATCCGTCGTGATCTTCCTGTTGTCTTGTTCCACGATCATTCCGGAGGAAAAAACAGATCATGAACGAACGAACACCGAAGTTTGCGCAGAAGAAAAGTTCCAGCGATCATGTCTGCATAATACGAAGGTTCCCATCGCATGGAGATGAGAATTCGAATCCGAGTATGCATTTCAAATGAACACTATAGTTACTGTTTGGTAGTCTCTCTGAGGCTACGCGCGTCCGCTCGAGTATGCAGGTAAAACTGTGGACGGCGGGTCAATTCCTATCCTATTCTTGCATTCTTTCACTCACGCACAGATACATCAGAAGTGTTGAGCATATTAATAAAGAGATAATTGCATAATATTTGTAGTTCTTCAAATTCTACTACTAGTAGTTTTTGAAGAAGATGAAGTAGAGGCCTACTTTACTTGTTATCACCCCTTTATTTGAATAATAAGTATCAATCACATAATTCTTGTTTGATTCATCTTTCGTAAGAACCACCCTCTCAAAAAAAAAATGGCGGGTGGTCCGAGTGGCGGTAATAAGGTTGGCTTGGTCGCCGCGGTCTCCTCCGTGGTGGCCTCTATGATTGGCGCTGGTATCTTCGCTCTTCCTACAGGCGTGGCGAAAGCTGGGCTTGTCTCCGGATTGGGCATTTCCCTGACTCTGGGTTGGTTTTTGTTCACCATTCCCGCTTTGATGTTGAGCAAATGCTGTGAACTATGTGAGGAAATCGACGAGGAGGAACAAGCGCAAAAAGCTTTGACTTGCGAAGGCGGCGACAACAGACGGCGCAGTGTAAGGGAAGTGGCACTGGACGACATGGATCCGAAGACTAGGAAGTCTTTGCAACTTCGTGGTGCGCCTGATGATGTGGCTCGTGTCTCTGTGGACGGTCACCGTGCGAGCCGGACCGTTGCTGGTGCCCAACCAGCGATGGACTCTATCATGAACGAAGAAATCATCGAGCGCCGATCTGAAGTCATCAACACGCAAACCGACAAGTTTGGACGAGTATCTGTCACCATTGTGGAGGAAGACAAGAAGTAAGCATTTATAGTATTCGGTTGCTTTTAATACAAGATATCTTCACAGAATATTGCCTGTACAAGATAAATCACACACACACACAGCACTACCATCATCTTAGTAGACATGATCCAAGCACTTTTTTCTCGACGGGGGGAATTGATTCAAAGTCACAATGTACTTAATTGTTCTCATTTTTTTCATCATGCTTCTTCCACTACCACACTGACTAACAGGGTCTACCTCATCGGCGACGTTGCGGAGAAGGCGTTTGGCGCAAGATGGGCACGTATGGCGATTAGCGGTCTCGGCAACTGCTACCTCCTCTTCGCGTGCGCTATCTTCCTGCTCCTTATGGGTGAAGCAGTCCAGCTCTTCACAAGAGGTATAATTGAGGGATTGGAATTGATTCTTCTTCTTATGGCTAACTTTTGAGTCTAACTCTAAGGTCTAGGGGTAGAATAAAAAATATTTAAATGAACAATATGTTATAATAGGTAATGTGTGTGGTTGTACTCAAGTCACCCATCATCCTCGGAGTCGAGTCAGGTGCCGGGCGGACTCGTTGTGCAGGACTCACACCCTAACGAACCTAATCTTTTTTCCCAACATTGCAATCGTGCTCTACTTGAATATCTCTAGATGATGAAGAATCAATCTTTCGCTCAATCAAGAATGAATGTTCTTACGCTTAAGAATAAAACAAATCGCCAGGTCTCCGTTTGCTCCGCAATGATGCTACTGTGTACACCGAAGAAGTGCCACCCTCATGCTGGTTCGAGAGTCTTGTCTTCACCGGTATCATGATGCTTTTGGTGCAGGTACCCGATGTGAGCATCATTGCGCGTGTCTCTCTCATCGGAACTGCAGCAGCCATGGCCATCTGCATCATCTTCATTGTCGCCCCATCAGTTCTCCACACCACTACCCCCTTCGGTGTGTCAAGACCGGTATTTTTTTAGGCTAATGCTCAATTTTGATGAGTTTGTTCTTACCATTAGATTTAGATTGATTGAGGTTGTGTCATTTACTGAATTTTTCCGTAAAAATGATTAATGAAGAACTTTTATTTCTAACTTCAATCAAAAGCAAGTTCCTAAAGAATAAGATGAAGATATTTTGAAATTTGAATTTCATCATTGTAGTTGAGCCACAAACTACGACGACAGGTGTTAGCCAACTTGGGACCAACGCGTTTGGTGACCAGATTCGGTGAGACAGAAAAAGAAACGATTCAGAGCCATATTCAAGAGAATACCGGCACCAACAAAGCATGGACCCAGGCCTCCTTTGCCGAGATGGATGATATTATTACAAGATCTTCGAATGCACAGGAATGTTACGGGTTCTCGCATCAAGTTGACCGATCTCAGAGCAGATCTCTGACCTTCTCAAGGGGAAAAGGGTCGTAGATGTGCGAGCTAGATCGGTCAACTTGCAAGGACTAAGAATGGTGGAACAGCAATGATTTTTTCCTGTGGGAGAAAGACGATGTGACACTTCTGCAAGTCGACTCTTTCCCGACAGTTTTTGGCTCATTTAAGCGCATGCTCGAGTCCCTCTCATCCTGCGCTTTCGGTTTCGCTTTCGCACTGTTGGTGCCTTATGTCAGGGTACTTTTACTCGTTGCATTTTTTAGTTCTGGTTTTCTGATCCTTGAGTTAGAAGTAACAGGCCCCTGCATACAACTTAGTTGATTTGAATTAATTTCTCTTTTGGAGTTATATTTGTACCTAGGCTCGTCTCTTCTGGAGGTCAACGTGATGGACAAGTAGAGCATAAGATCACTTACCACTCGGGTTTACAACTTGAAATATATACATTAAATCCTTCGCTACTTCTCACTCACAACTCAGGCCGATCTCGAAAAGCCTTCCCAGATGGGAAAAGTTATTTGGATCGCGACTATCCTAACCGCTGTGGTCTATGCCATCGTGGTTTTTACGGGTCTTCTCGCTGGCGGTCAAAAATTCCTTCTCCGTATGTCCAGTATCCAGGCCATGCCTACCTACGAAACGAGAGTGGCGGTTGAACAACTGACGGCTACCAACATCCCACCAAGAACAATTGAATTTGATAAGATTGCCAAGACCCTAGTAGAACCTGCAAATGTCGGCGAGGCGCTTCCAGACGCTCAAAAACAAGCAGCAGACGCCATGCTGAAGACTATCTGCGAGCACAAAACACAACAGGCAGCGAAAATTGGGGTATCATCAATACTAATGGGGCACGGGCACTTTATCAATCACATTGACATTTTATTTTTGTTTCGATGTTTTCTGTTTCATCTCTCTCAAGTACTTCGACTTGTATAAATCTCGAGTAATTTATTTCAAGATGAAACATCTAATATTTTAGTTCGCGAATGTGAATGAATTTACTACACATGATACTACCTGCTTTACATAATTTTGAATCGCAGGAAGTAGAATCACCGAACTAAAAACTACGTAGGAAGAGCTGTTGCAGTGCCGATACCACACGTTGAAGGACGCAGTGAGTGGTGACTCGAGAACCTACATTTTCTACCTCTACAAGAATCTGGACTTCTTCTTCGGCAGGAACGCCCAAAACAAGGGTAAAGCGTCGATTATGGTCTTTGTGATGGTGATCTTCCTAGCTCTGAAGTTGCTCATTTCGTACCCGCTCACCGTCTGGCCAAGTATCCAGGACTTCGAGGGCTGCATCGTCAACATGAACTGCGCCAGGCGGTGTCGTAAACGCGTCGATGGCGGTAACAGTGCAGAAGCTGGTAATTTAGAAGACAGAAAAGCAGAGGAGAAAGAGCCGCTTTTGGTCGAAGGTAGACCACTAGACAACGATGACGAAGAGGAACAGTTTCCAGAAATGAAGGACGATCAAGATGAAAACCAGATCAGTAAAACTGCATCTTCCGACAGTAGCAACAACAAGTCTGGTGCCACTTACAAGTTGACTTTCTGGGCCAGTGCCGTAGCGCGTATCTTCGTCGTGGCTTTCACCTTCGGTCTCGCGGCTATTTTCAAGTGCTCTCCGAAGCGTCTCGATGCCTTCTTGGGCCTAGCAGCGAGTGTTCCTGGTATGCTCTCGATGGTTATTTTCCCTTTGATTGCCGTCCAGCTTTTGCAAGGCCAACTCCGAAAACTACGTGGCATCCGATCACGCACTTGTGGTGAGTCGCTGGAATTCGTTTTCCACATTTTTTTGATGATCATGGGTTCAGCAGTGATGATCTACACTATCATCAAGCTACCGGCAGATCTCAAAGAGGCATTCGCTTAAGAATCTTCTACCGATGTTTAGGACGACTAAGAGAAAGCAAGTGGACGACGGTCTACGGTGAAGATGTTGTACTCGATTGTGATGAAAAATTAGTGGACGACGATGTGGCGGATATAAGTGAGTAGGTACAGTATAGACTAGATATGAATGAAGATCGCAAAATATATCTAGTGATTACGACGACAAAACTAAAGAGACTCAATATTCATTATGACGACAGCACGAAGATGAAGAATTTTAATAGAAGATCATTCTATTCGTATTAGACACATAGCGACAAGATAGGTTTTTTTGATACGTAGACATTCAAGTAGAACGAGTATGTATGGGTAACTATCTCGAAGACGCAGCTGGCAGCTTGTGATATGGAAACCATTCGAAGGTAAGGGTGCCAGAAAAGTCCTGTAGACTTTTTTGATGTTGTCAGTTGATGTGGTTGTACTTTTCTGCATACCAGATTTTACTTTATCTGTATCTGATGAATAGTTCTACTACACTAGATTGTGATGTCGCTCCGGTAATAAGTAAGGGGGTTACTACAGACGCGATAATGTGTTGTACTAGAAGACTCTTAGGCAGTCGTCCAATGCTAGAAGTCGCCTGCTTAGGGTGTAAAAGACTCTTAGCGTCGTTTCTCTTTACTGCAGCTAACGCTAAGCTGCTTAGTTTCTCTGGGTTGATTAGCAAAGAATGTAGAAAGATGTTGGAGATGAAAGCTGTTTCATGTCGTAGTTTTGTTGATGTCGTAGTTTTGTTGTTTTGATGCACGAAAAGAGATATTCTCTACATGGTAACGATGAAGATGAACAAGATGAAGACATACGCAGAAGCAAGTGTTTTTCTTGAACAGCTTTCCCCCCAGCGGCAGCTTCGGTTGACGCGTGGGCAAGGCTACTGGTCGCGCCGTCGGGTCGCCGTTAGGTTGACCATGATGAATGAATTCGTGTAGAAAAGGCGGTCATGTGCACGCACGGTCACGACGTGTGGCGTGAACGCAGAAGATTTTTTTTGACGGTGGTTACTTCTTGATATTGTCGTAGTTGTACTGGTGACAACTCTAATTCTACTAATCCTACTTAATGATCATGGTCATCAAGAGGATTTTCAACTTTAAATAGTTACTTTCATAAGTAGATCTAGATGAAGACGAGCTAGATAAATAGATAGAAGAGAGCTTCAGCGGCTCCTATCTGGCTTCTTACTCGACTGAAAGTACAGTTATACATAGAGTCTTTTCTACAACGCATCATGTCATTAAACAGAGGATATGTTTTGCGTACATGTGTATGAATTGCAACAAGCATCGATGAGCTCCCAAGAAGGAAGGTTGAGGTTCAGACTTGAATTATCTACTGAATGTGACAAAAAGCACATAGAATACTTGCGCCACAAGCAGAAAGATTGACTTGACATTGACTATGATATTGAAGAATAATGAAAATTGCATTTGTCGTCCCGAAAAATCAATCAAGTGAAATCTCAATCTCTGATGAATTCACTTGTGATTGATTCAATTGTTAATCCTCACTCTAAAACTAATGAAACACTGAATGTTATTGACGCCCCTTTTTTCAAATGTCCTCGTATACGTTGGCCGTATGATAGTTCGGCCTCGATATACATCCGCCACTGTGGAGGAGTCGGTGTTCAACCAAGCAATGACGGATCATCATCGCACATTCACCAGTTGTTAAGGAAGTAGCAACCACGAAGAAGATGCTTGTTCACCTGGTTCTTCGTGACTCTTGGACTTTGTTGCGGATGAAGATCGCGGACGAAGGGTTCAAAGGATTGAGATCCAAGGCTCACTGAGGAATCATAATCATCGGGAGATGTTGTCATGATTGCAGATTGGGATCTACGACAGTGAAGACATTGGGTGCAGTTCTGATCGCCCTGCTTAAAGTCATCAAAGCCAGCTGTGTAATTTTTAGTTTTACGAAAGTTCTCTCATCTTCTAAATAGTACGAATAAACAATTTCAAGAAAGACGACAACAGGCGCTTCGTAGTTTCACACTAGCTTTTGCATGTAGACCCTCGTCTGCAGGTGCACAAGACGATGAAGTCCTTTAGATTTTTCTGGTAATGAAACATGGAGCTTGGTGAAGATGTGTTGAAGATCTTTCCTTGTGTTGTTTTTGCATGGACTTTAAGTAGTAGACGACACATTCTTATTTCCTGTAACTACCACCACGTCCTCGTCTTCAGCCTCTGCATACTAGCCATAGACTGATTGATACAACTTCTAGAGGATACAGAAAATGGCCTCGCACCAGCATCAGCAGGGTCCACCGAGAGGTGGACAGGCACAGAACAATGTGCGGCCTCAGGGTCACTTGGAGGTGGGGAAGGTTGAGGACCTTCATCGAGAAAGGCTAGATGCGAAAATCACATCCATGGACTTTTTCCGTGACGTCGTGGAAGAAGTAGGCTATTCTACGAAAAACCGCGATCTAGATGCTTCGGAGGTTGCGGAAGCATTGGCGGCTGCGTCTGGTGCACCAGGAGGAACAGGAGCTACAGGAGATGCAGCATCTCCATCAGTATCTTCAGAGAAAGATCAAGCTGCGCAGAGGGAGAAGTTGGAGTTGTTACGACGAACGCAGGCGGAGAATGAGCGGGAAGAGGCGATTCCGGACTTGCCAGGCACGTACGACGACCTCGATGGCAAGGACTATATCACGGCTTTAGAACCTGTGTTTTTTGAGGAGATGCGAGCGATGTTGTGCAGATCTAAAGGCTCCGGAATGCTCCCGGAATGCGAATTCATGACGCAGAGCAACTTCTTGCCGCCAAAGGGGAAGCAGCCGGGTGCACCCTTCTGCTACATCGAATTGCTCAGAGGGGAGCACGCGGACCGGTTACGTGCAAAAGGGTACGACGACATGCGGTTGACCTATTGTACTGGAGATATCGTTTTGCTTACCAATAAGCCGAGGCCCAGTGACGTGACAGACTGTCACGCGGTGTGTGTGGTGCACAGTATGTTGGGAAAGAGGCTCACTGTGAAGACCGTGATTCAGCGAGACATACCAAGATCCTGTAATGTTGCGAAAATGGTGGGGAAGATTTCGGCTGGCAGTGCAGTTGCTGGAGCGGCAAGCTCAGGTTCTGGCAACGGCAAGCAAGACGGATGGTACATCGCTAGAATCGAGAGCACCTCTACAGCGAACCGCGAATGGAGTGCACTGGGCGCGATTGGGCAGATTCCGATACGGGATTACATCTTGAATTGGACCTATGCCGACGATCCGAGTGAGATGAAGCCGATGCGGATTAGTGGGGGACTCAGCAAAGCTCTGTCGCAAAGGTACAACGAGTCGCAGCTAGAGGCGATTCACAGCTGTCGGAAGCCAAAGGGAATCACTCTCGTACAAGGACCGCCAGGAACAGGAAAATCTACGACGATTCTAGGCATCATCGCAGCTTTAATCAACGCAATGCGACTAAAAAGCGGGGGTGCGGATGCGGAGGACGAGGAAGAACACGGCTTGGAGGGAGGTCAAGACTCTAGTACAGGTTTGATGGGAAATTACACAGGAGGCCCGAAGCCAATGGAGCTTGAAGATTTTGATGCTGGGAATGAACATCTTACTCTTTTAGAACAACAAGAGCTGCACGCTCGCGCCACACCAGGTCGTCCATTGCCGCTGTATCTCAGGCCACGAGTGCGAACACGACGTCAACAGCGAGAAAAAGAAAAAATCGAGCATCGAGCCACAGGCGGAGAGCAGTTAGATACCATGACTCGCCTAAAACTCATGCAGCCTTGGTTGTGGAACCCAGGCGGCCACATGTGTTGGATGGACGACGCGCCTAACGACGTCTCTGCGGGTCTTCAGATCCGAGATTACGTACAGCTGAAAGCTTCCCAGATCCGACATTTAGGAGCATTAGACAATAGGACTGGAGGAGCAGCGGGAGGCGACGGGAAGCCTTTTTTTTCGAAAGTGTTGGTTTGTGCACCTTCGAATGCCGCTATTGACGAGATCGTGAGGCGTTTGACCACTGAAGGCATATTCGGAAAGACCGGAAAGCAGTACAAACCTGTTGTAGTACGATTAGGTCCGGGAATTCACGAGTCTCTGAAACGATACTCTCTGGAGTTTTTAGCTTCGGAGAGAGCTAGAGCGAAGGGGCTGTTGACCGGACTGAATAAAGCAGAACTAGATCCAATAAAACGGGAGTTGCTGCAAGAAGCAAATGTGGTGTGTACAACATGTTCGGTGGCGGGGTCCAGAGACGTTTTGAACTTTGGACACGCTTTTGAATCTGTGATTATCGATGAGGCAGCGCAAGGCGTCGAAGTGGCGACACTAGTGCCGCTGGTGACTGGATGCAAGAGGCTGGTGCTTGTCGGTGATCCGAAACAGCTGCCGGCGACTGTCTTTAGTGGTACTTGCTTTATTCGGATTGATATCAAGGATGATCATATCCTATCGTTGGTAATGATTTAAGGTGATATTAAGAGACATTCTACTATGCTAGAAGATTTTAGAACGACAACGAACTCGTCCCTTCATTCCAGTCCTATCACTTGTAAGTGCCTTTCCGTCTTCATTTCCATCATTCGCACTACTGCTCGATCACAGGCATCGCCAAGCGCAAGGGCTATGACCGCAGTTTGTTTCAGCGTTTGGCTGAGGATGGCTACCCCGTCGCTCGTCTCCTCGTCCAATACCGTATGCACCCGTTTATCTCTGCCTTTCCCTCGCAGAAGTTCTACGAAGGTCAACTCGGCGACTTTCGCGATCGCTATGCTTTTGAAGCTCAATACGCCTCAGATTGGTGGGAACTGCCGATGTTTGGACCTATTAGTTTCTTCAACGTCTCCAAGGGCCAAGAAGCGGTCTGTGACATGTCGATAGTGAACGAACGGGAAGCAAATTTCGTAATTCTGCTCTACAAAACCTTGGTCCAGCTGTACCCGCATCACGACTGGCGCAAATGGTGTGGTGTCATTTCACCGTACGAGAAGCAAGTCTCCCTGTTGAAGAAGAAGTTTCGCGAACTGTATCGCATGTCGCCATCGGAACCTTGTCCAGTGGAAGTGAAAACCGTAGATGGTTTCCAGGGAAGCGAGAAGGAGTTGATCATCTTTTCCTTAGTGCGTGCCCGTGGCGCAGAGGACAGGAAGTCTAAGGGCATCGGTTTCTTGAAGGACATGCGTCGTATGAATGTCGGCATGACGCGAGCGCGACGGAGTCTTTTCATGGTAGGACACGCGGAAACGCTCAAGGAAGGCGACAAAACTTGGAAGGACCTGGTGCAATTCTGCAGTAAGAAGTTCAAAACCGGGTTTCATACTGTTAACGGGGACGATGAGCGTCGGTGGATGGCGACTGCGATCCGAAAATTCCTCAGGTCGAGAAAAAACCGCGTTCCAACGGAAGAAATAAGGAAAACCTTACGCGAAGATCTAGCCTCACCGACTGAGCGCCAGAGGCGCCTAGAACTTGCACGAACGACAGATACCACATCCGCTTCTGCACTACAGGTGCTGTCACGGAAACGGCAAGCATCGGACGAAGATGACGAGGAAAACGCAGATGGTGAAGGTGGTGAAGGCGAAGAGGAAGACGCGCCGATTGCAGGTCCTGGACAGGATGATGGTGAAAATGAGCCACAAGATGATAATGCTCAAAAAATCACAAACCAAAAGAACTGGTTCAAGATGCAAGTCGAAACTATCCCCTGGCTGAGCGATTGGCAAACCGCAGCTTCCGATTCCACATGTGACGTCGTCAGAGAATGTGAGAAAGATCTTTTCACGCTCTCTCGCGACGACATCGAAACCCTTGTCGCCAAAGAGCGAGAAGAAGAGCAACAACGACAGACGGAAGCCGAATTTGCGCGTGAGCTAGACCAGATCATCCGTGAGAAACAGAAAGCGGCTGATGCAGAGAAGGCAGAGAAGGAGAGGCAAACAGCTAAGGAGTTGGCCGAACAGCAGAATCTGTTTGATGAAGCTGGCGGAGATGAGGATGTGGAGGTGGATGACGGAGGAGCAGATGATCAAGAGATGGGAGGGGGAGACGACGATGATGGTGGAGCTGAATGATTTTGACTTGTTCGCTTCGTCATCCTTAAGACCTTGATTTTGAACTACCTCCTTGTCTGACTGCATTTGATGCATTTTTACCCATTCGATATAAAACGACTTGATAGATTGATGCTTTTTCCCACAACAATTTATGAGTGCGCTGACTGTGATACAGTTTTCCTTCGCAGAATACACGCCCACTGTCGCCGACGGGTGAATCTTCTCAAAGCAGCCCGATCGCTACCAGTGTGGATCCTATGATTGCAAGTCTGATACATCAAGGTGGACCGTACACTTTCGTACATGTCCTTGTAATCGGTCTGTGAAATTCTCCTGCCGCTTGTGGATGAGAACGTACAAGTGCGAACGCTATTGTCATGTGATGAACTTGTGATGGGATCGGATTGAGGTATTGAAATCTGTATCTCATAACAAATCACCAGTTGAACTCAACTCCCATGTAGTTTTTGTGACGCACCCTGCTGCACCCCATCCCCCTAGTACTAAGTAAATTTTGCGTAGAACAACAAGAAACCGTGTACTTTTTGTTCATTCATCACCACATAATCAACGTGTAGCATATTAGAAGCGTGTACTTTTTGTTCATTCAGCACCACACAATCAACGTGTAGAATATATTTATACATAGAAATGTTCGGAGCCACGGCAGCTTCCTGCCGGGCGGGAATGCAGCGACGGCAACTCTTTCGTGGGAGTGTTCCTGTACGCTCATCGAAAAAATACGAATGCACACTGCTGAACTGGACAAGAACTGCTTCGTCTCTCGTAGCTGCACCACAAGGAAGTCTCCGTTCGTTTAGCACAAGCTCTTCTGGAGGAGGGTCTTCATCCTCATCCACACCTCCGAAACGTCCTAGGAGGAGATGTCGCAAGAGCCTTTTCGCTCTTTTGTTTTTAAGGTGGGGTTGTAGTGTTTCATCGAGTTCGACACTACGTAAGTACGTTGATCAAGCCGTAAATAGTAGTAGACTCAATTTTCCGGACCTCAAAAGCCTTTCGTTTCCTCTTCTAATCTTCGGCGCGTCCTCTTATGGCGCCTACGTCGCCTACTCGGATGACCCTTTGCTGCGTGGTCCTTGGCGAGGCATTAGCTTCTGGCAAAAAGTTTTGCCTCTGATGCTCCAATACGCTTACCTCGCAAAGATAAGCGATCCAGACCTGCTGGATGATGAAGCTTGGACCGCATTACATGAGCATGGAGCGGAAGTGGCCTATCGTGTTATTTTGGACCTTCGCGGTTTCTACATCAAGGCAGGCCAATTCATGAGCGCACGACCGGATATGCTGCCGCATGCGTATTTGAAACGGTTTCGGACACTGCAGAGCGAAATTCCACGAGGGATGACAGGAGAGGGTGTGTATGAATTGTTGGAGAGGAGTTATGCTAGTACTTCTGCCACTTCTCTTGCGACAGGTACCAGACAAGGGAACGCTTTACATCCCCATCCCTTTTCGTACGTGGATGCGGATCACCCTATGGGAGCTGCTAGTATTGGCCAAGCACATCGAGCTAAAATACGAGGAGAACAAGGAATTGATCAGGAGGAGGTTGTGGTTAAATTGCAGTACCCTGATGCACGGTTGTTATTCAGGGTTGACATCGAGTGCATTCGCTGGGTCGTTTACTTTCTAGCGCCTCAAGCAAGCGGGATGTTCGGCGAATTGAAAAAGCAGTTTTTATTCGAATTCGACTATCGAGGTGAGAGGGACAATCTTATCGAAATGGCAAAGAACTGGCATGCGCCAGAAAATCGCTATTTCACTCCCGAAAACGTCGCAGTTCCTAATGTCTATGGAGAGCACTGTCGTGAGCGCGTGTTGGTAATGGAACTACTCAAAGGTGTCAAGCTAGAGGAAGGGCTCTTCGGCAAACAGGGTAACGAGAACATCTTCAACTTGCAGACGATTAATGATCGGATACAGAATGGGACTGGAGGTAAAGGTGATGGAAGAAGTAGCAGTGCTGGAGGCGATCCCAACAGCGGCAACACGAGTGACGTAGACGCAGCCTCCCCATCTTCAACAGCATCACCATCTGCAACTTCAATGCAAAACACAGTTCGCTCGTTCTTGTTGTCGAGTAATACAGCAAGTGTGATGCTACTGCACTATCTGCCGCAGCTGCTGGCTGTAACGCATTTTTGTCGGACCTGTTACTACCAATTCGTAGATTTGTTCCTCTCCTTGTTTGGTGGATGTTCTTCTATAGGAGGAGGACCTGGAACTCAACAGGGCAGCATTGAGAAAGGTGCATCCGAAGAGGCAGATAAACGGAGGCTAATCTTGAATGCGAGAAGGGTTAGCAAGTTACTGTTACAAGTTCACGGAGAGCAGATATTTCGGCATGGTCTCTTTCAAGGTGATTGCCATCCTGGGAATTTTTATGGAAAGAAAAGAACATTTTCATGTCACTCGCCACTATCTACGTCTAAGTAGAAGAAGAACCCACGACAATGAAAAAACAATACATAGGTAAAGAAGAAACAAGTTGTGAAGGTAAGTAGAGCAATCTATCTGAACTCTTGTACGGAACAAGAAGAGAACTGAAGACATCTCTCCTTCCATCAACATTCCCTCCTTCATACTCTCCTTCTGCTCGAGGACGGCCGGATAGGGTTGATCGACTTTGGGCAAGCCAAGCGTCTATCTTTAGAGGAGCGACAGCGTCTTGCGCGCCTTATGATTGCAATTGCCGATAACGACGCGGCGAGTATTGTGAGGGTAATGCGGGAAGAGTATGTTAAGGCTCAGCTTTCAATGGTCACCATTGAGAGTCATTGGGGTTGGTCACTGAGATCCCTCTTGAGGAAAGATGGGGGGAAAATGAAGGAAAAGCAAAGGGAGAGGCATGGGGCCCATTTCTTTCAGAGTCAGTGACCATTGAGTGCTGAGCTTTAAGTATGGGCTTGGGCCTCCAAAAGCCTTGGCAGGAGAAACGTCGACTGGTGCGACAGGAGAAGCTTCGAAGAGATCAGTTTCCTCCGACTTCTTCCTGGAGAAGCTCGCGCGTTCTGCGTTTGGCGCTTTAGATGCGAACCTCACGGATGGCAAACCACTACAGGAGTTCAGTAATGAGATGCGGAAGAAATACGACCGGAATGCGCAACTACCGGGCGAACTCTACCTCCCAATGCGCACAGCCATACTATTGAGGGGAATCGGTTTGTTGTTCGGCCAATTTTTGAACCCAGCGGAAAGTTGGAGGGAGATGGCAGAGGAATGCTTGAGGGGGGAGGGGTGAGTAGGCGTCCTGGTCCTGCAGCTCCTAGGATGAGATGTAGTTCTTGACGTCAACGATAAAGAATATTTTTCCTATCTCTTCTCTGCGACATTATTTGGAAGACACGACATTATTTACCCGAAACGGAAAAGTTGAAGTTGTCAATATATTTACTTAAAAATAGAAAATCTTCCACCTTCATCTAACCGCTGAATTAACCAATCCTCTTAATTCTTGGCTTCTGCATATCATCTCGTTGTGTCCGTGCTAGAGAGATCATGACTGAAACTGGCATAGCGAAGCGATCTGTATCAGGTGTCGGTTCTCATGAAAGGCAAAAAAGAAAATCGTGCTCGAAGTGTCATGATGGCAACTCATTTCTGAGGAAGCTCAACATGTGCGGAAACCCGAGTGCGAGAAAGTGGATGCATTCAGAATGAAAATCAAAATTGTTGAAGCGAAGAATAGACGATGAAATTAATAAACACGACGGCCACTTCTACTGGTGTTACCAGAAAAGTCGAGTTCTTACCGAAATAAGGGAGGTAGCTTAACATCAAGGCTACAACTTCTCCTTCTCATCAGTATCTCGGTTGCTCTGATTAGTTACTTGCTTTCAAAAATCGAAAAATCCTCATCGTTGTACTACTTCATTCGACTTCGAAAAATAGAAGAAGTCGAATTAGGTAGTACACCAGAGGAGCAACCATGGCGGACCCTCTTCGCGGCGACCTGTATGAGCGTATTGCAAACTGCGATCCTCATACGCTGGCTAAGATTCAAGAGATCTTGGCTCTCGAAAAGAAGTCGGCGAGCAGCGTCAAAGGAACGAACGTAGTTCGCCCTGCGACATCAGGAGGGGCATCTCCTTTCCGAGGTGTTGGAAATTATCCTCGAGTCGTGTCATCTTCTCCTTATCAACAACAGAAGAATCATGCCAGGTCGCCGGATAAGGGTTCCTCGTCTAGTAGACCTGTCGACGGACATGGTGGTAGTCCACGGACACGGAAAATGCAGAAGGCACAAAGCGGAACGACGCCTACGTCGGCAAGAGGATCAAAACAAGGGATTGGCAGAGGAGCACCATCGCCGAGAAAGGGTGGATGTGGAGGTAGTGTGCGCGAAGACACAAACAGTGGTTTAAGGCTCAAAACAATTCATTTCTACAAGTCATTTTTTGCAGTTTCCTTCCAGGGATTCTGAAGAAATGCAGGCAAGAAATGAAACGTTTTGAGCTCCTCTAAGCGGTAATAGAGCTGCAGCAGGAGGTAATATTAAGGCTCAGCTTTCAATGGTCATTGGGGTTGGTCACTGAGATCCCTCTTGAGAGAACAGGGGAAAATGAAGGAAAAGCAAAGGGAGAGGCATGGGGCCCATTTCTTTCAGAGTCAGTGACCATTGAATGCTGAGCTTTAATAATAGAGCTGCAGGAGAACAACGTGAGGCTGCTGGTGTCGCTAGGGAACCATTACCACAGGTTGCAGCAAATAGTCGGCAATCCTCAGGTGAGAGCGGTGAGATGTTCGACATCTTTTCAGTCGCGAACTCCAGTATGAGACCTAGCAAGGAAGGAACAGGAGTGAAGGCACCAGGTGGAAGTAAGAACAATCATGGCACACCCACACCGAGTGCAGATCAATCAGATCCTGGTGAGCATTCTTCGTCTAGCAGCTCCGCGGCTCACACAGTGAAACACAAACAGCTCAGTGCTAAGCGATTGAGAGGATTGTGCACACTATTCGTCTCCCTAACTAAAATTACAGCCGATGACGGGACACTCGACGAAAGATTGGAGAAGTTGTTTTATTACCTCGATAAGCAAGGGGAAGGAAGAGTGGCGAAAACACTTCTCTCTGAAGTGTTGGATGCTTTGGTGGGATCTTCTTTGTCGAGTGTAACGAAGTTGGAAAGGGACTTGCGGCAGCAAGCTGTGGGATTTTCTAGAGACTCGTTCGATGCTGACGAATTTGCGGGAATGATAAAAGCGGCATTAGGGTATACTACAAGTAGTGAACATTTATCTTCTTCTTGTTCGTGCAACGCATTCATTGTCTCCCAAGCCCAGACTTTCTGGAGCCATGCTGGCCCCTGTACGTCGCAAGCCAGAAATCTCTTAACTTTTTTCTTGCAGTTGCGCTTCCTTGTAGTAAGTAAGTAAGTAGCTTAATATGGAGGTGGACAGGACTGCTCATTTTATACACGACAGTCTTCTCAATCCCATCCAGCTTCTCCGTCTCCCCTCGCGAACAAGTCCCCGTCCAGCTCAACCTTCAGGAAGGCGCCAGTGATAGTGAGAGCGAAGATTCGGAAATAGATTTCCGTGAAAACGAAGCTCTCCGTCTAAAAGATACGATTTTGAAGGCTAAAGCCCTAGCAGCAGACGGCAGTTTTCACGACTCCTTGGACAGTCACATCTCTACGCTGTACCACATGCAGCATCATTACCGACTTGTCTCTGGCGCGAAGGCATCGGTGGACACGCGGCACTACGGCAAGAATAGCAAGTGCTATCACGCACTGCTGGGTGGAGGCAGTTCTTGTGGAGGAGGAAGGGAGATGTCGGGTGCTGGTGGCGCAGCCCCTAGTACGTCTCCGAGTGTTTCGCCTGCTAGACTGCGTGCTTACACCGAAGGCAACGGACGACTTTTGCCGCTCGAGAGGATGAGCCTCTTGTTAGAAGACCATCCTGCAGTGCGTTATAATCCGAGGCGTGACGCAGCTGAGGATCGCAATGCGGTGTTTCTTTTTAGCGAGAACCAGTACTGTCGACCTTATGATGAAAGAAACTAGATGAGTGGAGTTGTAAGTGATAAAGTCAATATAATCAATCAGTGGTCACTAGAAGATGAAGTAACTTCGGAGGTCACCAGAAGAATTTGTAATTTTGAACGTCGAGTAGATCTCTTTTGATGACTTCCCCTTTCATACCTCTCCCGATTCGCGCAACGAGAGGCCGAGAACAGCAGGCGCAGCAGCAAGAAGATTCTCTCCTGAAAAACAAGCCACTGAGCAAACAACAACTCCACGAGGATCACCCATAGCACGTGAAAAACAAGAAAGCCCTTTAACCTTATTGGTCAGTCCAAGGAGCGGAAGCCCACGTCGCTTACAACTGGGAGCCGCTAGAGGAGAGGGGAAGAAACAGGTAACGGATTTCTCATTGTAAAAAGTTGAGTTTTGTTCGTCTACTTGGTACTTACAAATTAATTTTTAGAGCTACTTCTACTCGTTCTCAATAAATTATACTTGCAATGAATGCCGATTATTCAACATCAACGTATGTCATAGGCGCAACCTCGCAACCACGAGTTATCTGCAGAGGAGCATCAGAGACACGAGCAACATCAGAGACATGAGCACAATTATAGGCACGAACATCAACATAAGAACGAACACCACAAACACGAGGAACGGCATGTTCCTCTAGAAGTCGAGACTCAGAAGAGTAGACGTGATAGTTTTGTCGCTGTCCAGATGGCTAAAGTGGGTGCTGTCGAGCAACCACATAGACGAAGGTCGGTGGAACTGGGAGGAGGCCCCGAAGGAGGACAGAGAAGGAGATCAGTAGACCTGTAGTACGCATTGACATCATCGACGAGGGAGGATACGAAAATACACTAAGTAAACGGTAGTTCTTTACTAGATAATCATGTTGGTATTCCGCTTGTACATTATAACTTTGATGTAGTATCTGTATCCAGGCGTACATAGTAGAGCATGTTGTAGTAATGGTTACGAATATTCATGATATCATTGTTGCATAGCAGTCGTTTTGTTCTTGAACAGACATAGAGTTTAGAAATTTAGTAATTTAGATTCAGCCAACTCGTACATTCTAATGTTTTACAGTAGATGCATAGAGAGCAAGCATGTTAGTTGTAAAAAAAATGAAAGGCAAATAGTAGTCGAACACTTTGCATTAGTTTTTAGTGAACAGTCCATCTAGTAGATGGAAACTTTGATGATGCAAATTTTTGTATTTGGAGTTGGACTGACATGTTGAGTCGTTAAACTTTTTCAGGTTTCAGACAACACGAAGATCGTATGCAAAACCACTGGCATCAATCTTCCTTTAGCGAACGAAGGGGAATGGGTGTAGTCTACAGTTGTGCAGCGTGCAACTGGATACCGTAAACAACAGAAGAATTACAAAACGGAGTTTTAGAAAAATGGTATCTCATTTCAAGAGAGCTCCAAAGAGCGGAAACTTGAGAACGCAAGAAAAAAAGAGGCCGAAAGAGAAAAACGTAGTCAATCTTTCATTTTTGAATTCAAGTGATGTAGTCCTTGAATAATGTAGTCCTTAGCTAGTTAGAATTTGAGTATGATAAACATGACTGAAAATGAACACAGCGGCTTCCCAAGGAAGCGTATTTTTTCAGGCGCGGAAGGGGTTTTTTTTTCGTAAGAGGAAAACAGCTCGGAAGGATCGCAGTCGGATGCCATCCCAGACTGCGGAGCTCATCAGATGGGCATCACGGGAGACCGTCAGGTGCGCCGAGTAAGGGGCGGCAGTGTCCGGAGGCTAGAAGTTGTTCGAACAAGTAGTAAAACTAAACGAAAGACCATATTAGTCGCAGCTACTTCCGCATTCGCTTTGACAGGTATTTTGCCAGGAGTACACGCAGTCTTTTTCGATAGACAGAAGGCTCAAGAACTGCTACTTCAAGAACAGAAGGCGTTTTTGAATGACTTGGCAACAGCAAGGACGGGTAAGACGAGTAAAGATGGCGGAAAAAGACACCTCCCGAAAGTAGGGGCGAAAAATAACAACCCAGGAGGATCAACTTCTAAGCTTGCAAGCGGCATCCAGCTAGAAGAAATAACAGGATGTAAGCATGTAGTGCGAGTTGAACATGAGGATGAAGAAGGTGCACCTCTTTCAAAGCGGTCGCTCTTTCCAGCTAGGGCTCATCCAGAAACCACAAGGCCATCACGGACAAGGCAACATGGAAGCGAATCTTCGAGGGGGGACGTAATAATAGACGGATCTTCACGAGAGGTACCACAAGGACTAGATGGACGACGAGAGCGCCGTACGCGTTTCACCGCCTACAAAACTACAAGTAGTAATGCTGGCTTGTTACAAGAGGTGACTTCGTCTTCGTCTTCGAGTCATGTGGTTTTAGACCACGATACTGGAAGGACTGAAGCGGTTTCTTCACATCATCGCGGAAATAGTGGCAGTACGACCTTTTTCGAGATCGCGGCGAGCCACAAGCAACATGCTCCTCCTCCACCAAGGAAGGAGGATAAGTTAAGGCTGTACCTAAGTACTACATTTCTGGACGTATCAATCCTTGAAAGGTATGGAGGAGTATCCTAAGGGAATAGATACTCCCACATACTTTTCAAGGATGCACTTGAAAGATGAATTACGGACAGCTCTAAATAAGAACAATCCTGCTCCTACAGTCTCGACAAAACAACAGGTAGACCGAAGGCACGAACTAAAGCAGGAACTGATTGAGCTTAAGCGTGGCGCAGCGGATGGCGCTCTTGCTTCAGTGGTTCCAGCAGGATATGAGTGTCGCGACTTCGTGTCCAGAGGTTTCATTATGGAGTTCGTCATCATCTGTTCAACTTCATAGCACCTATTTACTTTTGAAGTAGTAGCACTTTTTGGAACTCCGGCTTGATCTTGAATGTGAATCAATACGAACAACGACCTCGTCCTACACCCACTCTTTCATACCTTTTGGGACGTGCAACAAGGTGGATCCGGCAGACGTTGCGGACAGCCTTACCGCAATCACATCCAATTCGTCGGCACTGAATACAACGAGTTTGACGGCCTCGGTGTCAATCTGTGAGGACAAAGCGTTGCATTGGGGTGCGGATGCTTTCGCAGTTTATGAATGGTCCTCGTCAGTATAGCTTATTCGAAAAACTAGCACTCATTTAAATGAGACGTCATGGTTTTTTTTCTTCATTCCCACGATCGGCGACCCTTCTGGGATGACGGGACATTGAAGGAAGCGGAAAGGGATGCGCAGTGTTGCAGCCTGTACTTCGGATGTGTGTGGAACCCAGAGTACGTCCCGATTCCTGGACAGAACATAACCGACAACCCCGATCTCAGCTTCTTCAATGTCTTAGGTAGTTGGATTTGTTTTTGGTGTTTGCTTGTGTTTGTGCTTGTGCTTGGGGCATAGCGTGTGTCTGCATTTGCACTTTCTAAATACTTATTAACAACTGTAGTATTGGGGTTCGGTTAGATAATTTATTGGTGAAGTTTGTTACTCATGCTTATTTTTGTTGAAGTTTGTTACTCAACATCAATATCGAATTTTGATGCCTCAAGCTCAACATCCAGGAAACACACTACCACTCCAGGTCGTCGAGTAACTCCAGCGGAGATGAACGCCACGCAGTCAAGTATCAAGCAATACAGTATGGAATTCGCTTTGAGGCCTTTGACGCTGTATCCCAACACGACGCAGGTCGAGCCATACGGTGTTACAGGGACGTGTGCAAGGACAGATGACACACCAGGTCAACAGCAATATTGGCGAGCATTGCTGGAGGCTCCGAAGCTGGTCAAGAAAATCCGCCTTTACGTCAAGCAAAAACACAGTGTGGCGATGAAGGTACTTTCTCCAAAGTTCTTTTTTTCTGTCTAGATTTTTTCTAGATAATTTTCATTTTGTGAGTGTTGAAATTTATGGGTTCTGATTGGTCCAACATTATACGTGATAGAAAACATTTTTTTCCGTCGCTGTTGCGACTTCGATCAATCGTTGTAATGTATAATTTTAACGACATCATGGCATACAACCCACTACAGCAATACACCGAGACCGGTGAGGGCACTGCCTTGGAGACGAAGATGGCAGAGCTTGTTTTCCGGAGTCAAGATGGTGAAGTGCTGAGACGCCAAGATGTGGGCACACTCTCGCCAGGAGGCACCGATCTCGAATTCTCTCCAAGTGTCTTTGCCACTGAGATATTATGGATGTGAGATAAGAATTCTAGGCACTCAAGTGTCCTTGATATTGTTTAGTCTCCCAGATAGTACATGTAAGACTATGTGAGACACATGCCATGCCATGAAAAGAATCTCTGCCAATTGTCATGACTACATTTGGTCAATCATTAATCATTAATCACTCATTTTTTTTTTTTGGTAGTCATTCATCACCATTTAATTGTATTTGAAAAGAATCTCTGCCACTGAGAATTTTGAGTTTGACTTCTCTAACAAGCGAGATCAATGCGAAGCAGACAGGCCTGCCAGTTAGATTATGCGGATTCGTTGTGGACGTGGTAATGGTTTCTTATCCTGTTTGCTCGTGTTTGGTTTCTGACTTTCTTTTTCTATGAAATTTCTTCGCTACAACTACCTAGCAGAATATCAAAAGAAGCAGAGTAGATTGATTTTGCTACTTTCTCACCCCTCTCCATGATCTCCAATCAAGAATTTGTTCACTCGTCCTTTCAGATCGAGCCTCTCTTCGTCACACGAGACCTGACCTTAATGCTACGTGAGACTGCAGAGATGATAAGGAAGGGAGAGAAATGGGTGCCGCAGCTCGCTACTAAAGTGAACACTGCTCTTCAACGAGTAGATGAAAGGGCTGAGGAATTGTTGACACGATAGACGAAGGGCCTTCATCCGTTCCGAATATTTAGTTAGTTTTCCCTCTGTCCTTAGGCTTATCCCTTCAAACTAACAGTAGAAGAAGGGCCTTCATCCGTTCCGAATATCTAGTAGTAGTACTCCCATAGCAAGAAGTTCAAGTAGATGAAAGGGCGGAGGAATTTATTTGTACACGATAGAACTACTGCAAGTTGATTATACTGAAACTACAGGCTTCTATTTGATGGAAGTGGCCTGGATCAGCATGCACAATGAGCCACAACATGAAATGTACAGACACACAAGTACTACTCTAATTCCGCTAAAGAATGCACATTTATTTGTACACCTTTTTATAGTTATGTCCTAGACAGAACTTGCAAGTCATGCCTTTGAGGATGTGATGCATAGTTTCGCTCAACATCATGGAAAACTAAGTTTACTAACATTTTTGAGAAATCATGAGTTGGAAGTCCTTTTACTTTTATTTTTGACGTTAAATGTTGATGATAGACTTAGTCTTAGACAGAGACAATATCCTCTCAAGAAAAAGTCGCATAAGATGCTTTGCTTCCCGGACATCAGGACAAAGGCGACAATGTTGACTCCGTGGAGGGAAATAGCCACGTTTTTCAGACGAGGAGAGAACTACAACTACTGCAGAGGCCGTGAAGAATTTCACAGAGCAGAGAGCGTTGAGTAGAGGGGACGTAATATGCAAGTTGAATGAGTAGTTGAGGTCGACTCATTGAATGCACCATGACGTACCGAGAAGATCAGGCATCCGTAAATAAAAAGGTCGTATCTTCACTGTTGAGCAGTATAGAAAGTCAATGTGCTGTTAAGCAGATGTTGAAATCAACACCTCAAGGCACGTAGAGTTATGAGAAAATATGATGCCGCGTGGTCGTCGACGTGTGGCGCTCGCAGTCGTGCATGCCTCTGCAGCTGGAATATCTGCACACGCTCTACTTTCATCAACATCCAGGCAACAGGTCTTAACATCTACTTCCTCGAAATCAGGAAATAAAAAGAACCATCTAGATCTACCTGATGCCAAGAGCAAGGAAGCACATAAAAATAAAAGTACAGGCGCCGTCCGGCACATAAAAACCAGAGGAACTTCTACTACGGCATCAAAACAAGCAACTACCAAACAAACATTTTCGAGGGCTTCCGCTTCATCAAGCTCTTCTGAAAGAACAGAGGTCCTAGTCGACGCACCGCATCCAGCGAAAGAAACTAATGTCGCAAGTTTGGAGACGGATGGTGAATCAGAGCACGTCAGGGAGCACAGCAGAGATGAAGGAGATCATTATGGGGAAAACGACTCAGATGAAGATGCAGAGAATGCAGAAGAAGAAGCCGCGTACGCTGCCTCACAATCTGCAAGAACGTCTGCGGCAAAAGTTAAGTCACCAGATTCGGAATTTTTCTCGTGTCTTTAGTACTACATCTTTTTAGAAGGGTGATCATATGTTTGACGAGCAAGGAAATAAACGTCCCAATTAGTTTTCTGCATAGGGGTCGTGCGGTCATCTTGAACCTCCTTGCTATTTTTTTGTAAGTAACTTGGCCTGAAAAATGAAGTTATTTCTACTCGAACGAACTTCTGACAAACCCAACCTGCTCTAAAACCAACAGTGTCAAATCGTGGGTGAATCTAGTGGAACAAGGACAAGGTGGACAACATGCCAAAGCTGCTTCGATACCTCAGACGGGAACACCGCCACCAGATGTGTGTAAAGCCATGCCGTACGAAACCGATACCGTCGATGGATACGTCATACTGAATTTAAGGCTTAGTGGGGGACTACAACTTGCTTGGTATGAACTTCGACTGCCATCAACTCCAACATCGGCTTAGAGTTTTTGTGACGCAGTTGGTCCTATATTGGGCAGAATGGAACGATTCCCCCAAACCTCCATCAAAAGTATTTAGTTCGTTGCAGTCGAAGATGAACTTGTTCTTGTCTTCGGCTCCTCCTCTATCTAATAAGCCAGCACCTCCATTCGTGGGCTAGTGCGTACCGTGATCCGAAAAATGGCGACGACCAAGGAGCTCATCCGGACTGTCCCTTACACCATACAAGGGGCAAAGACCTATCAGCCGGCGCGACCCGGACGGACGGAGGCGTCTGTGTCAGGACGCACCATTAAGCTTACAGTTCATCTCCTCTCCTCTGTCTCTAGGTTCTCTCTGGCACTTCTCTCTGGCACTCTAAGTTCTCTCTGGCATCCATTGTAGAGTATGCTGAGTGCAGACCAAAGAAGAGAATCACGATGAATCCTCATAAAGACATAGCGTCGCGACAGCAGACAGGATCTGTGGTTGCATCTCAAATCATACTTGATAGTCTATCAATGAATCGGGTATTCTGCTCTTCTTGATGAAGGTAAATGGTGGCTGAATGGCCTCTAATACGTTAGAATAACGAGGACACGAGAGGTTCCATGACACTTAACACGTTATCACTATCCAATGTAGAGTATGCTGAGTGGAGTCCCCCTTGTTTTCAAGGGGAAACTACGATGGAACGCGTAGGGCATCGCCCTCAACGAGGGATGGTAAAAAACTAGCGCTAACACTACGTGAATTCGAAAGGCCATCAAGTAGGATCATGGTACCACTACTGGCGGGCGAAGTGGAAGGAAGGCGGGAAATATTCACGCTACGTGCACCGTATCGAATATTGGGGTCTCGATAACAATTTGAACTTAAGGCAAATGACTCAATGATCATCATGACCCAATGATCATGTTTTGAATCAAAGTATGATGATGAGTACCCTACTATGTTGTAAATGAGAGGATGGACCTTGTATGTTGTAAATGAGAGGACTCTCGTCAGCACCACGCGTGAAGGCGGTGCAAAGGCACCCTATCCTATCCTATCCTATCCTATCCTATCCTATCCTATCCTATCCTAATATTCTGATCAAGTCAAGTATAGAACAAGAAAGGCACTTCTTGTAAGATTTAATAGGAGGTACTACATCACTGGGTGGCCTCACAAGCAGACGCGAATAGCTACATAAGAGGTTGCATGACATGGCATTAGTTTTCCCTCTATTCTTTTTACTTAGGTCTATCCCACCACGCAACATTATAGTGAAAAAAAATATTAAACCAGAACGCTGCACGACCCGTCTTCGTTAGCAGAGCCTCAACCTCGTCTAATTAGAGGGGGCAGGCTAGTAGAGATAATCATCTCCTAAGAAGTAGCCTCAACCTCCTCGTTTACTTAGAGGGGAAGTAGCAACCTCGTCTTCTGGGAAGTAGCCTCAACCTCGTCTAATTAGAGGAGGTAGGCTAGTAGAGATAATTACGTTCTAATCACACAGGGTATTCTAGAGATAAACAGGCCTTATAGCTTTTTTGCGCATCCGGGGCAGACCATTCACCTTGATACCACTGCAGACATGCGGAACGATGCGGATTTAACAACGACTGGCAAAGTCCACACTCTTGACCGAAGTCTCACTCTCATTATGGTTCGAGTACATGTACAAGGAAGATATCAGTATGTAGTCTAGACTCTAGTGATCGGAATCTCACTATCAACATTATTTATGGTTCTTCGAGTACAAGGAAGATACTTCGAGTACAAGGAAGATATCAGTATCATTTACCCTAGACCGGAGGCATACTATCGTAATTGTGGTTCTGCGAGTACGAGAAGTAAGTATATTATCAAACCAAAAACCATTTTCACTTTCAAAAATTGAAAAATTGATAATTTTGTTGGACTTGATTATTTCATTAGCTAGTTAACTAGATACTCAAGTTAAAACTAGCTAGAAAGGAGTCTGGCGGATCCGTGTCGCGTGCAGCAGGCAGGGCTTGATGGTTGAGGAGCAGGCCGAGCTGTGGGACCTTGTGGAGCCAGGCTGATCAAAGTCGTGGCAAGTCTGAGTGTGAATATCTTGTTGTTTTCACGATCGTGGCACCACCTCGAAACCTCAGAACCTTAAAGATTCAAAGGAAGATAGACACTCGAGGACTTGACATCTGTAAGGCGCTTGCAATCTTCGGCACCAACCAAGGCTCTGATAGGTTGTGTTCCAGCTCTGCTCCTTTTTTCGACTTATGTGAAGAAGAAGCGTCGAAGTCGGTCTCGGTTCGCGATAGCCAGTAGGATCGTCTTTTTTCGGATGAGATTCGTTTTGTTGATGAGAAGGGGTGAGAGACTTGTGGATAAAGATGGACGAGGGAGATACAGCATAAACGTCCAACTAGACTCCTCGTTTTTTACTTTTGAGAGACTTCGGAACTGATCGACCTTAGTCTGATGCTTCCTATATAACCACGCTCACAAACAGAGACTAACTGCCACCCCTGGTCTTCTAGAATAGCCTCGAGTAGAGTCCTCCTCTAGTTCAAAGGAAATAAGTAATCCAAAGTCACAACCATAAAGATGCTCACGGGTATCGGACAAGAGTATGCGAACTTGCAGGTTCCGCAGAAGAAGCGCATGGCGCAGTCCCATGCCAATGCTTTGAAGGAGCTGGCCAAGTATCTATCGAAAGAAGAGCGTACAGCTTTGATCTCCTTGCTGCAGAACGTGCAAGAAGTCGTCGCGGAAAAGCTGCCGCTGGGTAAGAAGACGTTCGGGAGCCGTGAGTATCAGGGTACTTACCTTCGCCTCCCTATCGATGTGTTAGATTTTCACTGGTAAAGGACGTTTCTGGATGCTTGTCAAATAGCTACACAATATAAGGTGGGACCAGTTTCAGATACTAGAAGAACCAAAAGCGTCAGGCGCTTCTCTTGCATATGAGAATACTCCTCAGCTTGTGCCTCATCTTAATGCACCCTCATATCTCAGACGGATGGTCCGCTATCCCTAAGACCCACCTGGCCAAGTGGCTGGCTCGCCACAGCAGCTGGTCTTTTGCGAGTTGCCAGCGTGTCATCAAATCAGGCCAAGCTGGATGGGCTGTTCTTCAAGTGCTGGGCGCTACTGATCCCAATGTACAGCTAGAGCCCTTCGATGCTTTTTATACATAGGGAGATCATGGCGACTCAAGTGAAATCGAAGACCTTCTGATGCAACCTCCTCCACTTCCTACATCTGAGACCAAAGTTAGCTCCAATCTGCATCTCCTTCTACGCCTGTCATAATCATCCTTTTACTCAGTTGCCTGCCGGAGAGAACGTGGGTTGCCACCCTGATGAGATCAGTTGTGACGCCGAGGTCAAGTTTCTGGCTCAGCGACATGGCAATCTTGGCGCGGTTCTCGAAGCAACCGAAAAGTATGTGAACCATCGCACGCCTATCCCGGAAGAGCTGTGGTATATCAACACTGTTGCCGCCAAACTGAATCCGAAGCCAGTGGGTCCACAGCTCAAGAATGAAGCGGTATTTGCGTTAGTTCGAACGTTAGAATGAGTAGAGTTATGAGTTGAGTTTGGTTTATCTGAGATCTCTTTGTAGCTATGAGATCTTGTCTTCTCGATCTTGGTACTACTTTGAAACTTTGATACTTATTCCTTCACACTCGAACAGGAGCCGGACGAAGACGTCAACATGTCGCCAGAGTCGAACGATGTAAAGGAGAAGAAGAACCCGCGAAGCCGCTCGAACCGTCGCGTTGGTGCTGCAGAGAAAGAGGCAGAAGAGGTTCCTCCAGCAAACCTCTTCGGGCAGAAAGATCCCAAGGCATCGTCCACGAAGACCACTGCGACGAAGAAGCCCGCGGCCGCTCGTACGATCGTCGAAAAGCAGTCGTCGGCGAAAGATACTAAGACTGTCGAGACGGAGGTGGGGACGGTGCTCATCATAACGATGAGTGACGGCACGACGCGCACGACGCTCCTCGATAAAAAAGAGGTGAAGCAGCCGGCTGTCGAGCTGAAGGAGGGCTCTTCCTCCAAAGATACCAAGAAAGATGGAGTCGCGCCCGTCGAAACTAAGGCTACGAAGAAGAAGGCGGAGAAGAAGCGCGCCGCCAAACCCAAGGAGAAGGCTGATGCTGCTCCCGTCATCTCGCTGCCTCCTGGTCCAGCAAAGAAAGAACCGGAGCAGACCGTCGAAGAAGCTGCTGAAGAAGCTGCTTCTGAGGAGCCGAAGGAAGAGGAAAGTCAGGAGGCCGTGGAGGAGCAAGAGGAGGAGGCCGAATCGCAAGAAGGCGTGGAGGAGTCGGGGGACGAGGAAGAGGAGGAAGAGGAGGATGAAGGAGAAGAGGAGGATGAAGGAGAAGAGGATGATGAGGAAGAAGAGGAGAGTGAAGAGGAGGTCGAAGAAGCTCCTGCAGAACCTGTCGTGGAGGCTAAGGATGTGGGCAAACCGGGAAAAGTTTCGCTGCGAGACCTGGCGAAGGGAAAGGCGACCGTGGCCCCAGCGCATGAAGATGTGGATAAAAAACCGAACGCGAAACAACTGGCACCCGCTGCGCCTGCGTCGTCCGCGACATCGATCGCAGCTGCGTTTGAAGCGGCTTTTCCACATGAGGAAAAGGAGTAGGCTGATATGGAGCACGAAGCTTCTACGCACTAGATTGCACTTGATTCATAGCTGAGCCACATCTTTGTCACCTCGCAAAATTTGTCTTCTTGAGTAATTGAATGTAATTTGCCACACCGTAAAAACCGAGATCATTGAACAAGCCGAGCGAAGAACTGGATTATAAGCATTATCTTACATCGAGCCAGCAGCCGTCACTGTTCACAGCAAGGCACTTCAGTCACATTATTAAAATCAAAACAAGACTATCTATTATGCTGGCATATGTCGAAAGTTAATTAGTATGGTATTCGAATTTCATCAATGGGACTACAGGGAATCAAATCAATTCAACTTTACCGGAGAAAAAGTATTTATCGATGAGAATTCCAGCACAAGTAGCGGGATGTTGCAGGTCGGAACTTCTTCTGAATGAGCCAAAGTCTGACACTGATGCCAGAAAACTCTATGGCCTAGATTTTTTAAATTAAGAGAACCTACTGGCTCAGCTATTGGAAGCATAAAAGTCCTTGGCCACGCGCTTCGACCGTTGTGTCCTTTCGTTTATTTGGGTGCGGTGCTGCTCGGAGATCGATGTTGTGAGAAGAGAGAATCGATGGAGAGATGAGAGAGAAGTCGTTCGTATATTCGAAAACTGCTGAAATTGAAAAAAGTAAAAAGGTGCTACTGAAAGAAGGGCATGCTAAAAACACCGCTTGAACCTTAGGGAAGCTCACCAAAAAAGGAGACTGAGTTCTTCCTTGTATCTAAGTAGCACACGAGTAAGCCCTTCATAACGTAGTGCATTCATAAGTCAAAAATGCCGCGCCGGTGCGATTCTGAAGCGGACGAACATGATAACTATATGGATTTCTTCTGGGGCGGGAAGTTGTCTGTTCGGCGTTTACTACCGCACAGGCAGCGCTGCAACTGGGTCAGAAATATCCGGAAGGCATACCAAAGGTTCCGACTGGCGAACCACGTATCATCATCAGCATACAACGAAGAAGACGGCACTGCGTCGGATGACTTCGGACAGGAAGCGGCACGCCGATACATCAAGTCTTGACGTTTCACCTACAGACTGGAATAATTGAATCAACCATGCACAAGCTGGCCATCAGTAGAGTTCCCATCTTCAGTGCTCATCTCTTAAACTTCTTCCATAATTTTGCATCATCTAAAACCAAGCAGGTGTGGTTCTTGAAGTTTATGAAACAGCGAGGGGGATTGGATCGACGGCTAGAGATGATCGCTGTACGCACCAAAATCGCCTTGAGTGAGCTGACTAATGACCCAGCTCGTTTTGCGATGCAGTTCGAAAAAGTATGGTGTGGGGATGGGGTCACGGACTACTACATGCTAGTAATAATTCTGATTTGGTTGCCATGATGTCTCTTTCTACTTGTGTAAGAAACCGTAGCAGTCTGCTTCTTCAGTGAGGTTCTTCATCGGACGTCTTACTCCCGAATCGGTCTCGCAGTTAAGTCTTCTACTTGGACATCTTTCCTCATCCTCATTTTGCAATAGAAAAAGCTGATTTGCAGCGTGGTGGACCTTGCGGCGTTTATTGCGTGGCTGGCAGGGTTATCAAAGCTGCGCCCGATCGCTGAAAATTTCGGAAGCCTCTGCTGGCAGCGATGCTTGAATATCCAATCAGACGGGTCGACAAAATCGAAAGAGAAGAAGCAGGCGTACCAGGTACTCCGATAGGTTCCTCTTTGATTCTGGTGGTAGATGCTTGTTGCTTGTTCGTGAGTTTCAAACCTATACAAGATCGTCTTCATGTCGGAGGGCGCAACTGCGCGCGTAGATAGTTCGCATACCAAGAGCATGAGCTTACTGCACACATCTATCGGCTTCATCTGGTGTCCAGGTATATCTCAACTGCGTGGACCCAGGGTCACAGACTGGCATGACGACTTTCATGCACCCCTTCGCACTTCAACGGCCACCAGCTATGCCTGCGGGAGGCAACCAAGAGAAGAAGGAAACCTACAGCAGTGCGATTCCGAAAGCAAGAGGCATTCTCCAGCTTCTCAACTTTCTAGGGGGCGAGCGGTTGGCGGACCTCTTCTCACCTTGCCTCACTACAGAGCCGATCAATGTGATCGTGCTCGATAGTGATCAAGAGGAATCCGAGGTGCGCGCAGCTGCAGCGTTATCCTACAAGCTCAACGTTGTCGGGAGATTCGGTCTTCATCATCGTCTATCGAATCATCTGAATAAAGAGAAGCAGCTAGTCAACCTGCAGAGCACTTTGCGCGATTTCACTGGCGGAGCAGTGGCGCGTGAATCGATGAGGGGAGCATACGAGCACGCACGTGAGCAGGTTGCTGCTGCTGCTCGAGAGAATGACCTCATCGATGTGAAGGTCGAACGCGAAACCGGACGTGAGACCACAGAAGCGCTCGACAATGGTGCCTTAACTCTTTCGTTTTGAGATTCTTGGGAGATATATGCCTTCAACCAATTCCCACTTGAGAGCGCCACACCATGCGGATTTGGACTATTCTTGATCACTGTAACCTTACTTCTCTGCCACCACTTTGGATTTCGAAATCCGCTTTCAAAACTCTGGAGACCCCTTTCGGCAACGCATACTTTGAGACCCCTTTTTGGACCCCTCTGAGCCTCCTTTTGGCAGAATCCAGTATGGGGAAAGTGCTTTCAAAAATATGAGGTCTCCGCGAGACCCCTCTGAGCGTCCAGTGAGTCTCAAGGTTTTGAAAGTGGATTTTGAAACAGATCTTCATAAATCTGAAACGTCGAGTCCTCTCCATTTCTTCATGTCCTCAAACATCACAGCCAAGACTTTGACATCGATGGTCCGGACACGCTGGTTTGGGCTCTCTTACGTTGCTCGCTGGGCTTGTCGTTGGAAAAGTACGGTTACGTTGGTGCTGGAGCACATTCTGGGAGACAAGGCGAGCAGACTGAGGGTTGCCGAAGGAGAAACGGAGATGCTTGCAGAGGCTCTCGAGGACGAAGAATGTGGTCAAGTCGTCGATATTGATGACTTGTTTCCTGCCGTGCCTCTTGATGTCGATGATGGTGAACTTCCTACTTCGTCTTCTAGCTCGAAGGAAATAGCCCGCAAAGAACCAGCGTCACCGCAGAAAACAACCACCAAGAAGCTAGCGGATGACCTCGACGAAGATGAAGGAGATGCTAGTGGGGGCTCGAAGCTGCGAACGAAGACCAGCGCGCTTCTGAAAGCATTGAAGGCGTTAGACCTCGATGGTGTGCAGCACTACATGCGTCTGGCGATGCTTCCTTGGTCCTTTCACAAACTCCACCTGAAAGTAACTTTCGGCCTTCAGTCGATTGACGACGCGAACGAGCAGGACGCTGAGCTACATTCTCTATTCCCGGAGTTGGACTTTGCCTCAGGACCGTACTCGTTTCTCTTCGATGTCTCCATGCATCTGCCGAACCTGCTCGAGCGCTTCATCACGTCAGTTGCTGAACCACTATGGTCACCTTCTGAATTTGGTCGTTTCGCGCGCTTTGCTGCGGTTGTAGCTCGGCACTACATTTACGAGCGCTTCGACCCTGCGTTTGGACTTTGGGTCAGCGTTTTTCTTCGTCAAGACGTTCCCAAGAAGATCGTTCGCACAATCCAGTTCGAGCAGCTTAGAGCGTTCAACTGCTTCGCAAGCCACATGCACAACTACCTCCGCCGTGGTCTGGATGGTGTCGCAGAAACTGTGACTGAGCGGGTGATCGTGTCGGGAAGCACGTCAGATTCTGAAGGGGAATCGCACTGGCGATGGGTTAGCATGGCAAACAAAGTCCTTCGAAAACTTGAGGGGAAGTTTCGCCTCAGTCACCAGCGCCATGGCTGGGCCAGCCGCCTCGACTTGTTTAAGGAGATACCAGCATTCCTTCGGACGACGCAGCGACGCATGGTGGAGGTTCCGAGTATTGTCAAGTCGATCTTCGAATGTAACAACCAGAACGAGTTTGCTGAAGAAGTTGCAATAGCAGCCCGCAATGCACCAACGCGAGTAAAGCAATTCAAGCACCTCGAGCATCTCGACAAGTTCTTCCCCCTCTCTGACGAAATGAAACGACTAGAAGAAGGCCTAGAACCTTACATCAAGAGCACCAACCTGCACTGCCATGCTGAGAACTACTACTACCCTGCACTTGAGGCCGCAGCATTTCTGCAGCTCGACTCTTCATTTGATCGCACGAATTTTGCGACTCTGCTACTTCTGTCCGAGCTCGCAGCCCGCCACAGCGGACTTAATTCACGCATAGCAAAAAGCGATCGACCCGTCATTGTTCTCGACATGCACAATCTGAGCAGAGCTGTTCTCCTCCTCGAAATCAAGAAGATCTACATTGGGCTCGAGCTTGAAGCTGACGAACATTTCACCGTCTTCACGTTGCGACGCAGCTCATGCAAAATCGTCTGGGGCATGTTCTGCCACTGCTGGATCGTCGAGAAGTGCAAGTGGAGCTTCGCTGATGGTGTAATGCAGATGACGGCTGACGGAAATCTGCGAACGTTCAACTCGACGCTCCGCGATTGCGTCGACGCAGTGCCACATGCGAAGCTCGTTCCGACGCTTGAAGTGCTTACTTCTTTGGAGCTCGACGTGATGCAAGATATGCCAGAGTCACGAGTCCGCGAGTGTCTACGAGATGTTCTCTCGTATGACGATCTCTCGTACGCACAGAGTGTCATTCGTGACGCTATGGGTGACGAATGGCACGAGGTTGCTGGACTTCAACCGCCGCCGAAGAGACAGCGCGTCGGCCGCCAGGGTGGAGCAGAGTCCAATGTTGTTGTGCCAGCAGACCCTATGGAGATCAACAACCGCTCGTACCTTGGCAGAGTGTCAAACGCAGTTGAGTGGCACCTTTCTTGCGCTACGTGTTCGAAATTCGTGGCGAAAATCATGAAGACTGAACGCAGGGCGACCAAAGGGGGCAGGGCGCTATACGTAAAATACGCCAAGGAGCTTCCCATGCAAGATGGCGACGTCAAAAACCCCTGCAGGATGTGGCCGGGGACAGCAGACGCGGCATTCCTCATAGAAGAGTATGGATGGATTGCAGCGGCACAGGAAATTCATGCGCGGGAGTGTAACAGTGCAGACATCGTCTGCGCCGAAGCTAAGAAACTTAATCTACATGAGACCTAAACTGAATCCCCACTGGGGCCTGTATTTCTTTCGCCCGTATTATTCTCACTTGACTGATTACACACGGCTTGGCCAACGTATGGCAGCTTGTCATAGTTTTCCTCTACAATCTATCCATGCGCAGCAATATGTCCTGAGCTGAAGGCTATTCCTAACAAACCCCAGAGAGCTTAGCTGATTCCCAGTCCTGATAGGTAGCAGATCCGTTTGCCTTCATAGTTGCGTGCCGAGCTCTTATTTTTCAACTGCACAGATCGACATCAAGCTTCCAGATAATGAAATCTCTCGTGCCGTTCTTAGGACTATCAATTTACTACACTCGAGCAGAATGATGCTCAAGCTCTTTCTCAGTGTCAGACTTAAAGAAACCAGCCGAATAACCTTATCCACGATTTAGGAGAGCAATACAAATTAGCCGCAAATATAGCAGATCTGAAAATGATGCCGTCCGTTCGATGATAAGTCAAGTTGTTTGCTGAACTAATTTCGCATGTGCTAGAAAGATTCTACGAGCTTCATGTGGAAGCTTCGCTGATCTGATCAAGGAAAACTATCAGAAAGAACGAAATGGACCAGAGTCAGGCACACGCTCTTAAATTGAATACCATAAAAACAAGCCATGCATGGAGGGGCCCATCGTTGAAGGACTTGTCAGTGCGATGGACTCTGCCATGCGGTCGCTGTGTGTGTGTTCAGAAGAAAGGCCCTCAGATAGGCGAGAGCCCATAGTTGGAGCACTCCTGCGAGATCTCTGATGGAAAATGAAAGCGCTTCCTGCTCTGCTCGAAATGCCCTGCGCGTTGCACGGTTTTGAATCAAATGTCGAGGGTTCAGACTCGAAAGGAGTCACAACGAGAACTAAGGGAGGCAGATCCGTTGTAGTCGTATTTGCCTGGCGCCTCAGGCTATTTATTCTTCGTATCCACAAAGTCCTCTTCTCTAAGGCTCCACCTTTTCGGACAGTTCTGCAGAAGTAGAAATTGATCAGCCCACGACTTCTTCGGGTATTTCACAAACGGAGGCCCATCAGGATACAAAGCTATCGACTTCTTCCATGGTTCACCTAGCTTCTGCGACCTAAATTATTGAGAGTGAAAATGTGGCTCATATTATAGGCATAGAAAGTCGAAGGCTTGATCTAGCGACATTGGTTTGGTCTCTGTCCATCGAGTTCTTTCTTCGGGGTTCTGATTATTTGAGGCTACAGGGAATTCTTTAGCTGTGGAGTACTCTTACCTTTTGAAAAAGATATGTCGGCTGTAGCGAGCAGCTTGTGCCTGTTACTAGCAGACGTCGCCGGAGCGTATCCATGGCGCACTAATTCACGGACGGGGATCGCATATGTGCCCCACAAGCGATTCCCTGGACCTGGTTGTAGCCGCACGTGCAGCAAAATGCAATCCACGTCAGCAGTCGAGAATCCGCGCCCGTTTTTGCTGTGGATTGATTTGTGATCAATCTGGGGAGAGCGTGAGCGGCAAAGGAATGCAAGAGGATGTCGCGCAGACCTCAAGGCACTTGCGCTTCGGTGTGTGGGTTCATATTGATATCTTGGCTGGGTTCATTTCACCAGAGTAGTAGAAAACATTGACGAAAGAGAAGACTTCAAAGATACTGGACCTACTTGAGTACCGTTGCATGCTTGCCCATACTGCTAGAATGTTTCCATTTTTGTCCCGTTTCCATTTCGTTGTCCTCTCCTGGCATCGTAGACAGTGCTTCGCTTTGGTATACAGCAATCCGTCAACGCAGGTGAAACCCCGTGGATTGATTTCGTACCTCCATCCTGCCAAACGCACGCCATCGGTCCACTGTAGACGCATTTGGGATTCGACGTATTGGCCTGTGGTTGTCGCACCGACGAGGCCTAGGAAATCGCCAGCACAAGTGCCGTATCTGCTCCACAAATCTTGGAGCCGCTGCACTAGTGTGCTACCACTGGCCCAGTGATCGTCTTCGGCAAGATTAGCGGCAGCCCAATTGTAGTGCTTATTTATTGGCATGACCAATGTCCTTCGCTTCTTCGAACTTATCCCAAGTAGAATAGCATTGTGATAGGCTTCGCGCCTTTTCTTGACTTGAAACTTTACAGACTTCAGAAACTTACTCAGGGCTTGCTTGCTGCCTTTCGCTTGTATGACTAGAAACTTCCTTCTCTTGGCTGGTACATACTTAGGGCAAATTGCTAGGTCTCCTACAAACTCCGGGGTATCTTGAATAATGAAGTGGTCTGCTAGGCGTTGTTTGATGAGTCTGACTGACCATTCTTCGATAAGTCGAGGAAGAGCCCCCATCTTTTTCAGTAAATGGCTCTCCGTAAGCTCTGCTTGCAACTTTAAGGATCTACCTAATACTACTGCTTTCCACTAGTAGAGTGCTTATCTTCAAGTATGTTCCTGCCAAGTGTTTCAAGAAGGGGAAGTTCGTGATTGTGGAACCATCTGTGCACATTTTTACTGTGCTCTAGGCTATACATCTGACCCTTCTTAACTTTCTTCGTATTTGATTCGCCAACCTAATTCTGACCATTCAGGACATCGCAACCAAGAACGCGCATGAAGAACCATGGATCACCCGAGACCAGCCGAAAGCGATTATATGCGGATTTATGTGGTCCCTCGGATCTGGTTTCGAGGTGGTGCCACAGGCACAAAAACAACAGAAGTTTCACATTCAGACTGAGCCTGACCTTGGTCAGCCTCGCTCCACGAGACCCTACAGCTCGGCCTGCTCCTCAACCATCAAGACCTGCTTGCTGAACGCGACACGGATCCGCCAGACTCCTTCCTAGCTAATACTTAACTAGCTAGTTAATTTTCTACCTAGATTAAAGACGAAGTCCACAAAAAATATCAATTTTTCAATTTTTGAAAGTGAAAATGGTTTTTGGTTTGATATATATTTATATTTATTATATATGTATTGTAACTTCCCCCGTGGTCCTCAGAACAAGATCCGCTGCTGTCCTCTGCCTCGTTTCCTGCTTCTATCCTTGTTAGTGGTTCAAGATACTCTTAAATAAGAAAAATACTGATCGCTGTTCCTCTTTTCTTTCTAACCTCATGGGCCTGAAAATGAGAAGTCACAACAAAGAGCCGGGTGAGGTCCAGCTTTGCGGTATACTGGTGTACGGGAAAGAGGAGCTGATCGAGCCGCCTTATTTAAGGCTCGTCAAGGAAGAAATTCATTATAAATCTTTTCTATCTTCTTCTGGTCTTTGTTTTTTCTAGTTAGGTCTGCGGCACCACAATTGTAAATCTATCAAGAACTACATGGTTTTATGAGGTTGCCTCACAGAAAGAGACTCGCCAAGCATCTTAAATGTTGTGTTATAATTATCATGTTGTCCTCAAGTTCTCTTCAGGTAGCAGGACGAAAGGTATAGTTACATCCGGGAGGACCACACACGCATGTACATTACAAGCGAGCTCCTCGCTATCCCTCTTCCTCTAACGTTTCCTGTAGGCTCTTTGAATGCTGAGGCAATAGCTACACATGGCCCGAAGCAAGATCGAAACGTATACGATGTGAGCCAAGCCCCCTTGCATTACTTCGGAAGCGAGGAAAACACTGAGCACAAGCTTGGCTTCATGTGCATCAAAGCTCTTAACGACCAAGCCAACGGACACAAGTGGGCCTGGTGTTAAGGTCAGCTTTTTTTAGTGTCCATCTTTCTCAGCATCTCGATACGACCCTTCTCCCTTGTATATTATTTGATAGGAACGAAAGGGGTCGAGATGGGCGGACCCAGATGAATGAAAGCAAAAGCTGACAACTCTAATGGTGGCGTCTAGAGTGGAAAGGCGGGGCAACTCGATATGTAGGCAGAATCACAATCCGAAATCGTTCGCATCAGTGGCAATACGGGTACAACTTCGAGATGGTTCTCGATGACCAAGAAGCGCATGTTATGAAGATGTACTTATTGGTGTTGGTATTCTTTTTAGAAATTTTTTTGACCACGTCGTAATTGTTTTTAGAGCGCCGGCATTATAAAAATACCAAGAACATATAGATATAGAAGAAAATATGAAAATAGATTCCTCTAATCTCCGTGGCCTCAGTATGGGAGATATCGGGAATACTGCCTGGAACCGGAAAAGTCCGATGACGCCGATACCGGTCCAGCGTAGTTTCAAGTCGATGACGTTGCGAAAATATCACTCGAAGCATTTGAGGCTCATAAAGAAAAGTAACCGGTTAGTTTTTACCTCTAGAGATTTAGCCCTTCCAACAACAAAGTAACCGGTACCGGTTAACTTTTTCCTGATCATCCTAGGTTAGTACCTTCAAACTACAATATTAAATTCTCTTCAATCTGGCGAAGAGGATCCTCTCAGCACTCATCAATTCGTCTTAGATTTGAACCGCGTGATGGGGGACTTACCTTGATGCATCACAGGGATCGATAGGGAAGAAAATACATCCTTCACACATATCAAAAGATGCAGCAGCATTCTGCACGGCCAATCTTCTCCGTTTTCCCTGAGAATATTATTTTTCAACTTCATTGGACTGTTGTAGGTCGTTGTGAGCTCCTCTAAAAAAGGGCATTTTCATGCATATGTGCGGGATCCACCTTTATCCCGACATGGCAGCGCCGCACAGGGAGGAGGACGCCCCTGCGGGCACGCTAAACTTAAGGATTACTTATAATTACTCACTCATCTACTTCCGCACTACGAAGGTCCTTCACTTTTTTTCCAGGAGGCAAGGAGTCAGGGAAGATGACCTGATCCAGGTCTGAGAATTCTGCAGTAGTTGTCTCTAATAAACGGGCAGCTGCTGACTCAGTGTGGGCAAGGAACATTGCAGACTTGCATCAGAGGACTGTTCCACGACCCCTCGAAGCCAGGTGCTGGTGGAGTAGCAGGGAACAGACTGTGGTGGCGTGTCCACTGGCGTGATGGGGGTAGCCATTACTTAAGGCTAGTTTTTCACTATCCTGTTTGTTTCTTGATCTTGAAGTATCTTTCTAGTAGAGTATGTTTGTTTCTTGAAGTATCTAGTAGAGTAGCTGTTTTAATACAATCGACATCAGTATCTAGTAGAGTACTTAGCTGTTTTACAATCGACATCAGTTTTAAGTATTTTTTTTTCCTTTCTCCTCATCTTCTAGTAAGTATGCCGTGTGAAGTATCTAATATGCCTTGGTTTAGGAGGGAAATCAACATCTTCAAGGGTTCTGCCTTCATTCAACGGGGAAGATAGGTGGAACACAGGGCATTTCACTCAAATCTATGATACGACGTCATTTCGTATATGAAGAGCTTTGTCTTCAACAACATCATTTCGCGTATTTAGTGAAAGACTAGCGCTAAATTACGTTGATCACGTGAAACTCTGGGCACGACCGACGCTGTCAGAGTATCGCCTCAAGGGAGCGCGATTTTCGTTTGATGATCACCTTATGGGAGCAGGGAGAGGACGACTAACATACTGGTGGTGTTCAACAATGAATTATAGTACCACGACGACTGGAGGTGTTGAAGATTGTGATGTGGACGGCATGGAGATAACCACTTTAACTGCTACAGCTTAAGTGAGTATGAGTCTTCCTACTCGTCCTTCTGCTTCTAACCCATTGCATTACGCAGGAAATACGGTGACCGAAAGCTGGAAGAAGGACTTGCCGAATATCGGAGTCGTAACCTATGCGGTCGAAGGGAAGATACTCACAATCAAGAGATACTTCAGTTCGTTCACTTTGCACTACCCAGAAAACTCGAAGAACTCGAACAGCAACAACAGATATCTCGAATTGGCTGGCGCACAGTTCTTTCAGTTAAGGACTCACTGTCTGCTACTACATAGGTAGATACTACTAGTAGTTTCAGAGTTGTTGGTTCTTCTTGAGGAATAAAATACGAGAGACTCTTGCTGTGAACTACTTAAAGTACTTTTTCTGACAACTCGCTCGTACTTTTCAAATAGACTTCCTTGTTCACTTCTGTGAGCTATTTTTCAACACATCATGTATTTTCACTCTCTCCACTCCTCCTCCATAACCTCATCTAACCTGAGGTGAGGACGAGCCACCGCCACCGCCTAGCACAGATGAGGAGCCGGAGGCTACTAGCGATATAGGCGGCCACGTGATGGTAGATCTGCAGGCAACGATGAACGATACTAACGGTACCTCGTTGTTGCTGAGGACAGGGATGAGGACGCTGAGGAAGAAGTTCGAGAAAGTCCTTGGCGGAGAAAACGCGATGAACATGAAGAAGTCACAAGACGAGGTGGAACTTCCCTACGTAAAAGTCTTGGGTACCACAGCAGATGAATTGTTAAGGCTACTATAATGTTGTCGCAGATATTTTTAAGTTGTACATCCTCAACTACAGAGGACACCATCGTCCCTTACAAGAATTTTTTTCCTAGTCGTCTAAGTATCGGTAGTACTTCTGTTGTACAGAATATTTATTATAAGAAGCTGCCAGACCCAGAGATCAACATCATGCTTTCTAGGTGGATGGTTCGAAAGCGGTGTTAGCTCTAAAAGTAGCGACGTTAGGTATAGATGCTAGGAGTACGTTGGTGGAACATGGTGCTTCGACGAATGCTTACTCGCAGGACAATATTTGTGACAGAAACATGGTGCCCAACCAACTGTCTACCATCGGCAATCTCGGGTCTTGGGTTCCCAATTCACGAACACTCTCTGATTGCTATGCAGCATGTGCCGATGATTCGAGATGTAAGGGCTTTGTCTGGAAGCACATCAATGCAGTCAATAACAACTGTCTGAAAAAACACACAATTAAGTTCAGGTGGTCTTGGTTTTTCTTTCCTTCCCTCTCGGCATCTTCTGGACAGTACCTTTTGTGTGTTGTCCCCCTGTATTCTCATGTTGGGACCGAGAATGGGGGGGCACTAGAATCGACTACTTCTGCACCAGAATCGATTCTAGGTAAAAAAAGGGGCCAAGAAGATGTTGGGACCGAGATGCGTGCTACTAGCACACGCTAAAAAAAATGGCAATTTCAAAACGGCTACGGGCCATGACTCGCTCAAGGAGATGACACCACAATGCCGAAACCGAATTCAAACGAAGTCAATCATGCGACAACGTATTAGTTGCTGTTACTTATTGATTCACTGGCCTGGCTGGGCACTTGTTGTGGGAGTTGCCCTTCCTGTCGGCTGCCATCTTGTCTCTACGGTGATCAAGAATGGTCATATCAGAGGCACACGCATGACATCTCTTCACCATACTACATGCTAGGTGTAGTAGCTGTATCTCATGATCTCTATGATCGCATCTCAAGCACCTCCACTGTTCTCTCCGCTTCTTCAAAGCTTATATTGTCATGATTTTCTTGATTCTCAACAGTTCTTCCGTTTGCAGAGGAGAAAGGCCGAAAATGCAAAGATGACCGAAGCGTCTTCACTTATGAAGGTGGGAACTTTATTCCAAGATGGATCTAGTAGTCCTATCATGAACCTGGTCTGAACTTAAAGAAGACCAAGACCATGATGAGAATCTTAGCCCTTAAGGCAGTCTGCACTGAACTTTGTGCGAGATTTATTGTATTGTATTGTATTGTAAGTAGATGATAGATCATGAGAAAAACTTACTTTTTATTGCCGTAGTCTATTGCCGTTGTGGGCTCTATTGAACGGGAATGATGGTGAACTGCAACATGCTAATACATACATACATACATACATACATACTTTTTATTGCCGTAGTTTGCCTCTAACCAGCTTTCCACGGAGCCGATGCAACGCCTACTAAATGCGCCCTTGAATGCGAGAGACTAGACGACTGTTATTACTACTCGGCGATTTATGGGAACTGGTGCACTGGTTGCAATGGCGATGGCTTCAACACACTGCACGAGGGGTCAGAAGCATACGTTCGAGCTGGTATTTCATCCTGTACCTGTTCTTGTAGTGATGGCATAGATACGTCGCAGTGCTGGTGCTAGCTGTATTAACTATATTTCATACTTTTTAGTAACTTCGAGGATTTAATTGACAAGAATATACGTACAAAACGCCGGTTGAAAACATGTTGCTTCTTCCCTCAATTATACCACCGCCAACAACAGATGTCAAATGTCCTGTTGATGTAGACCACGGGATGGATGGTGGCGATATAACAATGCCACCTGCAGATCATGAGGCCATAGGGAGTCGGATTGAGGATTGCGTATCCTGGTGTGCTAAAAGACCAGATTGTGTTACGGGAGAGTGTAGTTGTCGATATGTAGGATGTAGAAGTTGCTGGATTTGGTGGATAGAAATTTTCAAGTCTGACAGTATCAGCATGAATAACGAGGAGTTTCTGCCTCACGAGTGCCTCAGATATGCAAGAGACATGGCCTCACCATTGCTCGTTCTTTTGCATTGTTCTTCCTTCTACTTTCCACTTTATATGAGAACAATACCTACTTCTTATTTTTCTCCTGATCTATCAATCTCACTGTGCACATCGTTCTCATTGATTCAACAACATCCTCTAATTTGATCGGCATCGTTTTCAATAGACTTGATGCTTACAAAAAGTGCTACCCAAAAAGGACATGGGATACTGGACTTCGCGTCCAGAACGTACATCTAGACAGCGTGCAGATGACCGATGGGTGTCGCACAGTAGCCAAATTATATCTGCCTCGATACATGCTGCATATGTTAAGGCGTGGAGGACGAGATGATGAACGAGGAGATGTCATGACTAAAAATAGTACTAGTGAGTTCCTCTTTTTAGTGAATTTGTACTTTCAATGTTGTAGTAGTTGCTATTCACGAGGACTCACTGGTGTGATCTTCATTTTCATGGTGATATGAACTCCACCTTTGTTCTCTAAGAATCGTCGGTCCCGCGTCTGCAACGGGTCCAATGTCGATAAACTGTCCTGCAGGCATGCGGGTTGTAGGGGGTGGATGCAAAGTGGACAGTGGCGTGCTTTATGACGGATGTAGAATTTTGAGTTTTTCCATCCTTGAGCTCGAATACATTCATGATAGACGACCTTCTAGATAGTATCAGCTTATCTAGATACAGTATCACCAGCTTGCGGCTCGTTTCCTTTCAGATTTTCAAGCTATACTAGCACAAACCACCCTCTGAAAGGATACTAGGATACTACTAGGATACAACTAGGGAAAAAGGACGTCGTCCCTCTTTCATATTATGGAAGAAAGTTGGCCATTTGGGGACGACGACGGTCTGAATGGTGGTTGGCAGTGCGGTGGTACCGCTTCAAAAAGGGTTTGGGCTCTTTGCTCTTCTAGCATGTCGGTCCATCTTGTCGAAGGAACGACGATTATGAGGAGTTTAGTATTTAGTTGTAAAAGCACATCTTGTCCGTCGAAGGAACTACGATTATGAGGAGTTTAGTATTTAGTTGTAAAAGCATAAATAATTGATGGATAAAATTATTGATGGCTGGATAAAATTATTGATGGCTGGATAAAATAATATTGATGGCTGGATAAAATAATATTGATGGCTGGATAAAATTATTGATGGACGACACGCGGCGCCCAGAATAGACGGATCCTACTTAGCGTGGCCATGATTACTAATAATTCTGTACTTATCTATCTTTTACCTCCTATCCTTCCTTTTTCTTTTCCTAGTTAGCTTGGCTCCACCCATATTATTGTTGGATCATTATGAATTGGACACGTGGTCAGAGAGAGGCTTTTTGCCCCAGAGGACTCTCTCACTCAAAAAGCTTCTGGAAAAACACAGCAATACAAGAATGGCTGCTTCCAACCACATTCTTCTAAGATTAGTGAAGACACAGGTTCGGTCGCTTGCCCATCTGGATCAGAACCGACTACGGACCCCTATCGCAATTTCAAACAACTTATTGGCGGTGGTTGTCAACCCAATGCCGCTCCTACGCAGATAAAATACAGTGGTCCAGTGGATGACACCATGAACGCATGGCAGTGCACCAGTGCTGGGGTTGCGAAGACCATTCGCGCGTTGTGCACTGAACCGCATGTGCCGATACAGCGCACGCCATGGGCTGATATTGCAGCTGCTAAGGGAGAAGCAACCTGTCCATCGAGCGGCGATCATGATTTCATTCTGGGTGGTGGTTGCGACGCACGTGTAGGGACTCCCGCGTTGCTGGGTTCGGCACCGGAGATTGGCAGTGCGTTAAGAAGAATAGTTTTTGAGTACTTACTCTTGATCATGATCGACTGCTACTCACGGGTGCACGAAAGCATGAAATTACAGGTCTCTTCAAAAAACTTTGGGAAAGAGTAGAACAATAAGAACAAGCTTCCAGTTCCAAAAAGACCAAATGGAATTAAGTACCTCGTCTAAGTTCAGATGCATACGCGCCTCAAGAATTCAGTTGCGAAGTGGCTACCGGTGGAGAGGTCTCAGCAATGGCCTTCTGTCTCAGACAGAGCACTACGACCAGTACAACGACAATTCTATATGCTGGAGGCGCAAGGCCGGATCAGGAAGCCGTAAATGACTTCCTGCAGAGTGACGAGGCGACGGAGGCCATTCACAGAGCGCTGGCTGAGGCAGTGAAGCATTTTGGCCTTTCTATCGAACTGCAGGCCCATCACATTGTCCAGCTGACTGTTCGAGGCAACGATCCTCACAGGGTGGACTACGACGACCCAGAAGATGATAAGAACTTCATTGGTTTGGTACATTTTGTCTTGCGTTTGCCCAGTGCAGAGGCTGCGGCTTTGTCGCAGTACCTGAACGTGAATTTGACCAACACAGCCTCGACGAGTGTGTTCACGGATATTTTGGGCGAAAAATTGAGTGCGGAATTCCTGGTAGCCGCCACAGACTTCTTTGCGATTCGTGCGGCACACGCTGACGGTTCCAGAATCGTTAGTCTCTTAAGGCATCTCAGGTAATCCATCTCCAGAAGCATCCTGATCTTGGGATCTTGCTCTATTAATAAGGGAAAGATATTAGCCCAGGATCGATGGCTTTCATCAAGATGGATTCCGGGAAGATCTAAGTCTCGAAGTTGCGGGAGTAGCAGTCGAGGATATCGAAGTTGACGTGGGTTTTCCTGTCTTCAAGTTCGAGGAGAAAGCTTGGTACCATCTCGGCTGCCCTTATATTCCGGAAGCCGAAAGGAGAGTCGCACTGAATAGTACTAATCAGATCTTAGCGGATATGGTGAAATTTGGCGGAGACGAGGTCACCGGAAAAGGTGGCATTCGAGGTCTCTTCCTTCGTTGTGCAGAAGCAGGCGACGAAGGCATTCCAGGCAATTTTTTGCCTCAGTCGGGCTTCTTTCTTAAGGCGAGTTACTTGCGGGTTTTTTATCATAAGTACATTATGTAATCAACAGCTCCTCAAGGTAGGTTTTGACTTATCGGAACTCGCTCGCACTACAAAAAAAAAGCCTCAAGGCGTCAAAGTTGTAAATTGCGCACCAGTTGTTCAAGTTGTTCAAGGTTGCATAGCTGTTCTAGACTCAGCAAGTGCTTTTTTTAGACTCAACAAGTCACTCCTGGAGGCAGATAAAAAAAAGAAGAATATGAGCGTAAACTTCGACCTCTCTAATCTATGCGTAGAACTAGAGGCAACCGATTCCGAACAGTACATCCCACCTCCGGATCCAGAGGTTGGAAATGCCACGGCTGAGCAATATACTCTCCGTTATCGACACGAATACAGAGACGGAACCGTGTCAAATTTTGAGGGTGCCACTTATCTTAAGGGCCGTTCATCTTCAGGGATTCCTATTGTTCCATCACAACATCTTGTCCAGGAGGATCTTGGGATAGATAACTAGCCCGATCTTGGGATTATAGATAAAAACCCTCCCTACTAGGGGTGGAGATACGGGTTCAGGGTGTCTGTCACAAGCACAACAAGAAGAACGGACTACCTGCTATCTAGGCGTCTAATCATCGTTTAGATACGGGAGAAAGACTTTTCTTCCTTGCGGAATTACAAAGTCTAGCCACTGCTACGGACCTGAGCAGATACGACCGTCTTGTCCTGGAGCATCCTACAAGAGCCCATGGTGCCACGAGTGAGAGTCAGAATTTGACAGCATTCCTTGGATGGCGTGGAGGCGTAATGGAGAGGGATCCTGCGAATTTATGGACTAGACTTTAGTTTTTCTGCATTTTCATCTCCTACTTTCTGTTCCTTCTGTCTTTTGACTCTTCTAACAAGAGACGGGAAGAGGTGTCCTTACGCAGGCATTATTACGACAGGGGACGATGGACATGCTCGAACTTTCAGGCTTGAAGGCGATGTGGTGACTGAGGCCGTTTGTCGTCAGAAATGTGAGGACAATGGCGATTGTGTAGCTTTTTCCGTAAATTGGAATGAGAACTATGAATAAGTAAGTACAAGAAAGCCATCTTCTTCAGAATCTTGTTCCCATGTTTAATGCGAAAACGGGAACAGAGATGAGACTCAAGATGGTTTTGCGGTAGCTTTAAGATAAGTGGTGCATCGGCTGCAAGGAAAGCCTGAGTGGTGCTTCTGGTGGCACTATTGCGTACCGAAAGAAACGCCATTTATGTTGCGCTGGAGAAAGGCCCCTTTGACAGTCAAAGTTTGACTACTTCATGGATACAATATCATGCGCAATTAAAATACTTAGTCTGGTTTGTGTCCTCGTGAATCTATGTTGTATTCGAAATCTTAGAATAAGCGAGTAAATTCGAGGATAGTTTTTTACGTGGTTATTTCAGTTTTTCGAATATTTATTACTTAAGAAGTACGCAAACGCAACATTTGTTCATGATCTATCTTTCTCCTTGTTCTTCTAACTACTCCACATGACCGCTATTTTCGCCGTGACTATGCCCTTGATGGCAAAGCCTGTGGAAGTGACGACAAAGGTGTGGAACTGAGGTTGGCTGGCGCAACGGAAGAAGCCTGCCTTGCACAGTGCAAGCAGAATGAGAATTTTATGCTGGAAAGAACTGCTGATTTGTACTTATAATATGGATGATAGAACTGCTGATTTCTACTTAGCTTGGCCAAGACTAATAATTCTGTACTTATATATCTTTTACCTTCTATCCTTCCTTTTCCTTTTCCTAGTTAGCTTGGCTCCACCCGTATAATATGGATGCATATTATTTTTTTTGAGAATCATGTTCATGAAAGTGGTACGTGAACGTGAAGATTTTTTCAATTGAGAACAGCTTTGAGAAGGCAGATAGTCCGACTGTGAGCATGACGGAAATACAAACATCTTCGGCTCTCTAATACTTGCGTTGGTTACTATGCGAAGTATGGAACGGTGTGTGCCGAGTGCTACAAAGTGCCTGACACAAACAAAGCGAACATGGAGTACTACAGAAAACACCTGTCGGGAGGAAATTCATGTTAAGACTCTGGAGTCAATTTATCGCGTAGCGAAATAAAAACGATTTGCAACACCTCACGCTAGGCGCATTCATTCACTCATTCACTTACATCGTCGTTTTTTTGAGTCAGAGTCAGATACCGAACACTAGGAAATATTAGAACTTGCTTCGTAATATGATTTTGTTGCTGCGATCTAAAATGCGCAGTTATAAGTGCTTTACTTATATATAGTTTCCTTACAAGTAGTATGAACTCGATTTTATGCATCTGCATTTTTCTAATCTGCGTGGCTCCATGCGAAACCACTGATCGAGCTGGATGCATCCGGATTGGGAGACATGAAAGATCATCTCCTATCAAACGCCAATAGCAAATACCTCGCTTTTGATTAAGGCTTTTCATCTCTTGGTATGCATCGATCTTGAGGGATACTCTTGATCTTCAGGATCTATGTATCACTTAGTTTGGTATGCATTGAGGGATACTCTTGGTATGCATCGATCTTCAGGATCTACCAGGAGAAAGCATCCCTCTATGCATCGATCTTCAGGATCTATCAGGAGAAAGCATCCCTCCGACCTGGTAGGGCCTTTTACGCTGTAAATACAGCATAGTTCTTTCCACCAGGATGATCTACTTGTTCAGGGGTGGAAGATTGTTCCCAAAAGTAGAGGATCTTCTTCTAATTGTGACAGAACGAGCTCACCCGCAGCCACTTCAAGTGGCTAAACCTCACTGTGGCCGCTGATGTGGTCCAGGAGCACCTCGATCGGATCAATTCAGTAGAGGACGCTTTATTACCGCCACCGGAACGAGATGACCCGGATGTGGTGTACAGAACACGGCTCCTAGATTTAAGGTTTTTTTTTGAGAGAAAACACGAATCGATCCACCTACAGAAGCGTTCAATGAAGCTGGTGTCCCATCTTTACGAGAAGGAAGCATCAAGATGCAACTCAAGAGGGATCGATGGTAAGTTCTAACAGGCGGAGCGGTAGTTGAGATCGAATGCCCGTCTTCGGGTGAAAGTCTGTGGGGTCGTCGTCGACCTGGAGACCCTCAGCGCATAGTTACACTTCGATGCGAGGACTCGAGTCTGTCTCCGACTTTCGCTCATTTTCCAATCCGAGAAATGATCGTGTACGCACCCATGGACAATGCAACTCAATTGCTGTACGAGTACCGAGCACGCGGAGGCACAGCCATCCACTACACCGCAGCGATGAAGAACTACTACGCTGGATCGGGAGACTCTGGCGATCACCGGAGCGTCGCGCTGTTCATTCTCGATACGGTGAAGTTAAGGAGTAAGGACTGGTTGCAAAATGAGCATGTCGATAAGTAGTTGTGTATCATACTACCTAAATCCACGACGTGCTGAAATCCACGAGGTACTTTTTACGGAGCAAAGTCATAGAGATCGATGTGTGTGCGATATTATCGATTGTATTTTTGGGAACCTCTACTTCTAACAATCATGGACACAAGCCGGAGTGCAAAAGGCAACGAGGGCCACATTGAGCGGATCTACATGAGTGAGCCTGCACCACCATCGGGTACTGACGTGGTGCATTTGGCGGTGAAAGGCAGCAATTCCTCGTGGTTTGGGAGCCTCACTCGCTCGGATCATTTGTTAGGCGGCAAGTTAGATCCAGATCTGGTTGACGGTCATGTACATATTGCTGAGGACGTCGAAGGAGACTACGGAGTACACGACTGCGGAACGGGCGGACCTAGTAGTGCAGCGGCAACACAGCTTTGCCCCGAAGCTGGGCGACTGCTTTTTGTGCATGACAAAGACGCCCTATCCGCTACAGAATCTCTGGAGTATTTCAAAATTCGGCAGAAGGCCATGATCCGTAGAACATTCGATGAAATTTCAGCGTCTGGAGCTTTACTAGAGTTGCGATGTAGCTACACCGGTGCCATCAATGAGGAGGGCTACCGCACGACCCCTGTAGATGGTGTGTTGGTGGGGCGACACGATCCAGATGCTGCGGCGAATATTAAGGCCACTTGTTTTTCAATTGCGAGGGAAAAGATAAAGAAGACGTCCACCTATATTGCGACTCTGTCTTCTCTTTTTATATGTAATATAAGACATTCGAGAATTACAATGAATTTAGAAAAGAGGTAAAATGAGTGGACGAACGCCCTCCTGCTCTAAACCCCCTCAGCTGCTAGTCGCTTGTCGTCGTCAGCCGAACGACGATGAGATCGCACTCATCACCCTACTCGCTGAGCCGTTTGGCACAAACCACTACATCATTTTTGAGGATCCGGCCACGCAGATCAGATATCATCTCGGTCGTAGCACAACTTCAGGGAAAGAGGACATTTAGGGACTTTACCAAGTTACATTCTCTGAAACAAAGCATCCTTGACTTTTCTAGATTTTTCAAGTTGAATAGAATCAATGAGTCAAGGATGATCAACACGTATTCCTTGGAGAATGTAACCTTGCAGCCTTCAAGACCTGTTGATGTTCGGCACGAACGCATCGAGTGTTGATGCTATGGCTATGGTAACTCCAGAACTCGTTCATGAAGTTGGACAGGATGGGGCAAGTGTAGGTTTCGGCCTCGTGAAGCTGAAAGACGACACGAATAAGTTCTTGGCATTGCAATCGAAGGCTGATCCGAGTCTACTATGGAAGTCAGTGGGGTCTCCGACCTATTTTCAACTAAGAGAACACGAGTTTTCGACCTCCACCAGTACCACAACCACGTCACCCTCATTCGATGCGCATGCGGACCTGCTAAACTTAAGGTTTCCAGGCTATGCGTCCTCCACGACTAGCATCCATCCTGGGCTTCTTTGTTTTGCAGTACAGGAAAATGCCCAGGTCGTGGATCATATGTGGAAGATCTCTCTGGAGAATGCAATATTAGAGAATGTAAAAATAGCTAATAAATGAGGAACTCTACGGTGACGTTTCGATGTCTTCGTATTATCCCGACTCTCAGCATGGGGAAGCTTGGAAACCGCTGACCTACGAGTTAGGTGGCTCACGAGTGTGGCCTGGCTCGTGCGCACACAGCGATAACAGTGCAGCACGCACCGGAGGCAAACGGCAGTGGTGGAGGGCAGCTTTCCTTAAGTCTACAACTGTCAAGTGAGAAGTAATCGAAAAGTAACAAATACATTAACCGAGTATCTGAGATTCATATCTAGATTAGTTACTCGCTTATTTCAGTTTTTCGAGTGTCCTCTGAGCCATCTGTGGCAGTTGCACCACTTCTTCTAGGTGATGTAGTGGATGGGAACGCCTTACAACTAGCTCAGAGCTCTCTAATTTCCCTGGGAACACGACGAAATACGTCCACCACATTGTGCTGTGGAAGCGTGACCCACCTAAATTCGACCCTTTACGTAATGATGCAAGGCTTGCGTTCGATGACATACTGGGAGATCCCAGAGTGGCAGAGATTTCTCCGACTAGCATGGACGATGATGCGAAAACCATAAACATTGGCCACATCTGCGACTGCCACCAAGGAACTACCATTGCTGTCAGACGGAAGATCAACTCTTAAGGCTCCTGCTTCTGTTATAAAAATCCATCTGCAGTAGAGAGAGAGCAGAACTTCTTTTTTTGAAGCAAGGTCGCATGAAGGAAAGCATCTCTTCTGAGAAGCATCTTGAAGCAAGGTCGCATAGTACGGAGAATGAAAGCTCGCTCTAAAACTCAATAACCCTGTTTGCCGGCAGTGCAGCGAATGACGGCAAATTTGCGCTCTGCGGAATACACGTCCACGCCACACCAGGAATTCAGGCAGATCTTCTCAACACGGAATTGAACTTATGTTGAGAACCAGGAGGACATCGTTTACAGTTACAGTTTGTTAGAGAGTGAGTGATGTTGAATACTTATAAGAATAAGATTAACTTCTACGCTAACGCTTCTCGTAATTATATTCGAAAACGTAACAAAATAACCGAGTTACTGACTGAAATAAGGGAGGCAGCTCTAGCGGGCTACTCTTCCTTGTTCAGTATCTCGGTTATTCTGATCAGTTACTTGCTTATTTCAGTTTATGGAATAGTTGTTATTCAACAGCACGCTAACTCTCCATCCTGTTCGTCCTTTTCAACGGTATTCAACACCACAGCTACTGCTCCCAGCGTCCTCTAATACCTGCTCACGTTGAAGTAAAGAGCGAGGACGCTTACGGCCATCACTACGCTTGGAGACCTCTGGCGTACCGCACTGATGTCACTGATGCTTCTAGAAGATCGGACGACGGGTTCTGTTTCCAGAGCCTAGGAACCGGCTCAACGCGTGATTGGTGGCGCGCAGAGTTTCCCTCGGCTCGTGGTGTGTCGCAGATTGTGCTCTGGAACCGAGAAGATGACGCCCAAACCCGTTTAGATCACGCACGGTTGATGTTTGACGATACGCTGGGGGATCCGAGGAGTGCGACGATAGCCGACAGTGATGTTGACATTGAGGCTTTGATAGTACTAGATTTTCTCGTCAAAGAACCATTTGAGGACGCGGCTGAGATGCTTGAGGCCTGAGCCATTTGAGGCGCGCCCTCAGGCACCGATTGAGTCTGCTGAAAAATGAAAAATGCCTCGAAAATGCAAAAACGGAATTAGTCTACCCTAATTAAAAGTCTTTGCTACCTCTCGAATGGGTACACTACTACTACTACTACTACTAGTACTAGTCCGGCGATTCTTCTAACAAAAGCGACAGCACGATCGATATCGGTGTGATCTCCAGCGGTATTGCTGGAACCGCAGTGCACGTGGGACGAGGGATCAGGAGCTTTACGCTGTTCGCGCCTGCGACCGCCGCAGACCATAAACTGCAGTTCTGTGGCATGCACGTCTTCACTAGCACCACTACAACAACCACAACTCACTGGGCAAAAATGGTCTTGGAGAGAAAAGTGCATCTTGTGGCTCAAACAAGGGATCGAAACACCCATCACTTCCCATCTCCGTCGCATCCCGCAAAAGTGCAGCTCGTTGCAGCTCTCCAAAAGGCGTTCCAGGCTGCCTTGAGGGAAGCCGAAGCGACTTATTCAGGAGGCACCACTACGTCGATGAACTTGGACACAACCATTATCATGGGGGTACCCTTAGACCAACTCCACGTTCTGCATTCCAGCTACGTAGAGTTCGAAAGCACTGACAGCAAGGGCGTTCCGTACGACGCAGGACAAGTGATCGATGACAGTGTTGGGGCTACGGTGCATACGTTATCCGCAACCATCGTGTTCGAAACGGAAGAAGATGGGAAGGAGCAACAGAGAAGGGATGCTGTTGCAACCTTTATGGCGAAGTAAGTGATGTACAATGATGATCATAAATTATAAGTTCGTTCTTGCAATAAAAGAAGAAGAAGAAGATCACATCAACCTACCCCTCTAACCTTTGGTTTGAATCCCGCGAGATGAATCCAGTAGTAACTAAAAGGGAGGTTGCTGTTCCGACTATGCAAGCGGGGGAGATGGAATATTGGCGTGATGATAAAACCTGCGACCGACACTTACGGCTAGTTGTCAATGATATATTTACTCGAAAACTCAAAATAACCGAGTTACTGACTGAATAAATATGGTTCGTAGCTTAACATGAAGGCTACCTCTCCTTTTCATCTTCAGTAGCTCGGTTTCTCACTGATCAGTTACTTGCTTATTTCAGTGCATCGAATATTCAGCTCCTGGCCCAATGGAGACAGCAACATTTGTCTCGGTTTTTTAGTCCTTCCTGGAGCTCTCTGAGACTCTCACAATCATGTTCACCTTATAAGAGATTAATTAGAATTACTTCGAACGCTAATGCGCGCATTCTTGAAGTCAGGCACAGACGAGGCAGGAGCAAAGCGTGCGTGTATTCTGAGCCCAAATTGCACTGCTGTTGTCTACCGCCCAGACACCTCGCAGGCGATAGGTTGCTTAGATGGAGCAAACTACGATCACTCAGCAAACGCGAAAAGCTGGAGTAAGGTTAATACGGATGCGGACAGCTTCGACTACACCGACGACGTGACGGCTTTTTCGTCGTTCTTGCATGAGAAAATGCAACAAGAGCTGGCTAATTGCGTTCCTCCTACAGGAACCGACCAAGACGTAACTCTACTGGCGTTGGAAGTCCCCATGCAATATGTAACCAGTACAAGTACCTCGACAACGACAACTGTAACTACCACGACGGAGACGACTACTTTCACGATCACGTCGACGGAAACAACGACTACGGAGACTACAACGTCTACTGTCTCAACGACAACAGAAACTACAACATCTACTGTAACTACCACGACGGAGACGACTACTTTCACGATCACGTCGACGGAAACAACGACTACGGAGACTACAACGTCTACTGTCTCAACGACAACAGAAACTACAACATCTACTGTAACTACCACGACGGAGACGACTACTTCCACGATCACGTCGACGAAAACAACGACGACGGAGACTACAACGTCTACGGTGTCAACGACAACAGAAACTACAACATCTACTGTAACTACCACGACGGAGACGACTACTTCCACGATCACGTCGACGGAGACTACAACGTCTACTGTCTCAACCACGACGGAGACGACGACTTCGACAGAAACAACGACGACGGAAACGAAGACTATAACGACGACGTCTACTGTGTCAACGACGAGAACAACGACAGTAACGACCACGTCTACTATCACGACAACGAGCACCGTAACAACCACGACGTCCACTACAACATTAAGAATGATCAACATTAAGAATCACCACCTATATTTACTTCGCCCAAGAATATAGCTCCTCTATCATAGACTTGTAGTAACCTCTAACCAGAACTTTACCCAACATTGAGCGGACTCTTGAGATGCACGTACAAGTACGCCAGAAGAGTGGTACCTACAAGAAGTTCGTCGATAGTCCGGGTACCGACATCGAAGGCGGGATCGGCTTAAGGATTGCAAATATGTTGACCTAATATCTTTCGCAGCTATCTAGAATGAGGATGCCGTGGTGCTTCAATTTTCTTAGGGATCCTAGCAAAGTCATAGAGGTTGATTATCTGCGAGAAGAACATAATGTAAGTAGAGATTCCAAGATCAATTGAAAAATAACCATGCGAAACGACCTTTTCTAACTAACAAAACACTTGCAACAGCTTTGGGGAAGTTTCTGAAGAAAATCGAGGACGATCCGACCTACAGTGGCTCAGCCCATGCGACGACGCTTACTTCGAAGGTCGTTGCTGCAGCAGATGAAATCTTACAATTCCAAAAACACGAGGAAAAAACAGATCCAGATACATCGTTGTTGCTTCGGAAGCGTGAGGAGGAGCAGGTGGAAGGTGGACTGAATTAAGCCTGGCTTTGGTTATAATTTTCGCTTCTGCATTCGAGTTTCCCACACGGTGAAGCAGCCTTCCACCTTGTGAGTGTTCTTGTCTCCCCCAAAATTTTTATACATTAGATGGAATTGGAAAGACGTCTTTACTTAAAGGATGCAGTAGTTTGCAGAAATGCCATTTGATGCTGTAACTAACCTCTAACATCATAACTACGTGTCATTGTCGAGTACAGGAGACGATGGTAACGAAGCATCTCTACTCGAGACCACGTCTTCTGAGAAAAGCGATGCCGCTCCGACATGGATCTACACGGCGACCTCTCACAAGATAATATTCAACTTATGAACTTGAAACTTTTGGTGAACAAGACGATGAAGTTGTGTTGATATCACTGCAACATTTTTGATAAGTAGAGCCATAATAAATTTCAGATAAACTGCATAAGTGCAACAACAAAAAGGGTTAATAATGATCTTCTAGTACAACTAGTTCCACTATGATTTTTATTAGTTCGACAAGAATTCTGCTTCTTCTAACAGGAGTCACATTCACAGCAGTGAATCACTCTTCTGCGGACGCTTTGGACACGGTGGCATACGTCTACGATCACGACGCTCTACCATTCGCACTTTCGGCAAGACCCTTTGCTGGTATCTACATGGTTAACTATGTCAGATAACTGTGTCAGTGAAAAGTCCCAAAACCACATGACATGACATGACACATCAAGTTATAGCTCAGCATTCATTAGTCACTGACTCTGAACGGAAAAGGCCCCCTTCAAAGCTCTCCCCTTTCCCTTCGTTTTCCCCTGTTCTCTCAAGGGGTCGCCTCTTCGATCTCAGTGACCAACCCCCGTGACCATTGAAAGTTGGGCCTTAACCGCGCCGCTTCGCCAGTCCAATCTTTGCGTTAGATCCATCGTGGAAACCATCTATGACGCCCGCAAGGCAGTCTGCACTGAACCTTTTCTAACTAACAAAACACTTGCAACAGTGTTCCTTCACCAATTTCATTAATATGCATGTTCTTACTTAGTGAAAAACATTCCTCTAGTTCGCGTCAGCAATCAGTTGCCGCGCAGCTCCACCCAGGGCCAAAAATATTTAAATTGATTAAGCGGACCGCTCCGCCGCCCAATCGTAGCATTCACAATAAGCGCGTAATGGGGAGACGGGCAACGCCCCGGGTGGCAGGTACTAGGTGTGTAATTTTCCCTGCCTTTGCTCCTAGGCTTGACCATTTTGGAATCGTAGGGGCAGTAGCGTAGTTTGTTAAGGAGATTAAGAACTCCCCCCTACGCCGGTAGCTACGCGGAAAATACGCAGGTAGGTTTTGATTTATCGGAACTCGCTTGCAAAAAACGCAGGTAGGTTTTGACTTATCGGAACTCGCTCGCACTACAAAAAACAAAAAAAAAGCGAGATTAATTGTATTGTATTGTACAGGTGCCAGCGTATTGGCCGTTCCTGGAGTAAAATGGTCCGGATTCGATAAGATCGATGATGGAGAGCCCCTGTACAAGTATTGCAGCCTTATGAAACGATGAGATTACTTCTCATAGTGGTGGCGGTCTAGAGGATTATCGCTTCGTGCAGCAAGACCTTATCTCTAACTGTTCTAGGAGATTCTCTATACTGGTGGTCTAGGAGATTAAGTACTAATACTGGTGGTCTAGACCACTCTAAGTCAAGGACAACAAGGTTCATTATTCTACATAACGATAACACGACCTAGAAGATCAAGATTGGAGACTGAATCTTCCAACTTCTGTACTAGAGTCTAGGTTTGAATTGTATTTGTAGATTCCATCCTCCCTTTGTCCTTCATACCCCGAGAAAACCAACTGTGGCAGGTAACCAAACCTGCCTCGTGGGGTTTTGGCCGTGCAGAGGGCCTTTGCCTGGATAAGTGCATGGCCGAAGCAAGTTGTCCCTTCGTTGCGTTATGGGCATAGTCAGTAAATATCCTTTTACCGTTCTTTCTGTAGGGTCATCTGTAGTAGTCAATAATGAGAAAATGCATACAACAAGGTAATACGAATATAATCGATCCTTCTCAATAAACTCATTTTAGTTTGCTAGCCTTGTAAGGAACAATCCCTTATGATTGTGTCGTCTTGTTCCGTCTACTGTTTTTCCATATCATTATTAGAAGAAGCCAAAACACCAACGGATTCACATTCATTGCTAATTCCATCACACAGACTCTGTAGAACTCATACGAATATAGTATAGAACCCACGCAGACTCTAATGCCAGTCTACCAAACTAATGCGAACAACAAGAAGCATTGTCGCGCTTGCAAGACGCCAGGCAGCGCGACTCTTAATTTTCCCTCCAACTGGCCCAAAACACGTTCTTTTTTGAAAGTCGCGAATGATGGTACACTTTTGATTTGTGATTGCTCTCTGACAAGATTCTTTTTGATGACAGACATGATGCGACTTAGCTTAGTTTATAATTCTCAAGATAGTTGTACCTGCACTGGATATAATGCCTAGTTATACTGACTCTTGCCTTTAATTCGGGTGTACTAGGAAACGGAAAGCCAGTCAGTAGTTGACTGTTTTATGTTATTTAGTTGAGATAGACAATCCTCGTTATCATCAGATTGATATCGAATCCTATCATCTTTACAACAGCTGCGTCGAGTACCCTAACGGTCAACAATGCGCAGTCTTTCCTTTTCGATCAGTTTCAGGCTGCGATCAACACTAATTCTGACATTGTCTTATGTGGTTGGTCTAGATACCATTGTTGCTAGGCTCTTCAGTAGCCGTCGAATTCTGCCACATCAGATGGTGGATCCCAACCTAACCTAACCTTGGCCATTGTAATATATGTAGTTCTCCGATGATTCTTCATGAGGGCCTGACATCACTTTATCTGTTACATCATAGTCTGAGTACTAGATGATTGCATTTCATTATACTACTTTAAATTTTCCTTAGCCAGGTGGCATACAACTCTGTGAGAACTAGACCAAACATCTGCATTACTTGCCTGCCAATCTGCATCAGCGATGATTGAAATTCGTCACGTGGTTATGTACTCAAGAACTTCGTCTAAGATAGAGCCAAGGTGCTGAGGTGACTCTGTTGTCGCTGACCACGATCGCAGAGACAGTGACGACCACATCAACCGAAACAGTGACTACCACGACGTCTATGACAACTACTGCAACAACGACCACTGAGACCGAGACCACGACGTCAACGGAGACCGAGACTACGACAACAATAACGGAGACCGAGACTACGACAACAACAACGGAGACTACGACCGTGACCGGGACAACCACGACCGCGACTGGGACAAGCACCACTCTGACTGAGACCACAACGTCGACGGAAACTACAGCTACTGCGACGGTGACGGGTACTCATACTGCAACGTCGACAGTGACGACAACAACGGTGACCGAGACTACAACAACAGATTAAGGCTGATGCTCTAATTTGTCTCTACACCCACAGAGACAGATTGATTGTTTTCTCAACAAGATGAATAGCGTTGGTTTCTTCCGGCTAGGACACTGAGAAAGTTAAAGTACATCATGATAAGTGACAGTGAGCACAGTTAGTTTTCCCTTACGGAAAAAGGTTTATTTTTAAGTTATTCCATTCAGTCCAACACTCATCTTAGGGACCTTACCACAAAAATGTCGACCAAGCAGCAAACCGCCTCTCTGTCCTGTGATCAGGATTTTTCTCATCTCAAGTGGAATATGTTTTTTTGACTATCTAAGGTTCGCCAGCTTTGGCATTTTTGTATATGCTATTGCTAGCCTCTCTTCTAATCTGAAACAGAGACCACCACCTCCACCACCTCATCGGAAACAGAAACCGAGACCACGACAGAGACAGATACCACGACTGAAACTGCGACGGGGACGATCACTACGGGAACGACGTCCACCACGGTGAGCCACACGCCTTACCCGGTTCTGATGTCTGCGGACTACTCTACGACTTTCGTTGACGGAAGAAGTTATCAGATAAAGTGTCCTAAAGACGCGGACATCTTGTGGGGAAAGATGGTATCCGAATCCGTTGCTGGAGACGCTCACTCGAAGAACGAACGTGTTATCACTTTGTCATGCCAAGAGACAGCAAGCGACAGCTCTAGTGAATTCCCGTTTGACTATGTGACAGCACGACGCACCGACATCAGTGGTGAGGACTTCTTCACCTTGGAGTATACGTATTTGGAAGACACTGGGGTGCTGACGACGTTCGCAGCAGGTCGTTATTGGCAAGCGGCGAACCCAGCGTCCGATGAGGGAGACACAGTGGCCTACAGTGACCCGAAAATTATGATGTGCAAATTGAATTTGTAGAATTGAGCTTAGCTTTATCCGAAAATAATGACGAGGCATGCTGATGAAGACGTTTTTTCCTGACTTTATGAGAGCATTGCTTTTTCTCTAACAAACAGTTCGTGTTTATGCGTGGTGACCTGCCGGATGGTCCTTTGGAATCGAAACTTCGGAAAGCCTATATCCCTCAACCCACCGCGCAAAGCTCGGACGTTGACGGCGGTGTGAACCTCCAAGTCTTCTTCAACGACGCCGATGGCATACAATACTACCTGGGTCTGGGAGTGAATGAACTCTACCAGTTATGACATGGGTCGTTTTTCTTGTTGTAAGTGACTGTAAGTATACGTTTTTGTTGTAACTGTAAGTATACATGTTTTTGTTGTAACTGTAAGTATACATATAATTAAGGGTTTAAACATTTCATTTTTACAAGCCTGTTCTACTTGAGATTGCTACTGAAAAATGAAATGTTTCAACCTTTAATATAATCCTGTACTAGTTTGGTGAGTTCTGCTTTTGGTGACGACGTGGTCTTTCATGTCGTTGATAAAGTTATAGTACTAGCTACCTAGTAGTAAGTTATGAGTCTTTATTGCGTATCATTCTCACGACAAGGAGTAATCTTTTTGAGCAGTAACTGTGTTTCCCTGATCGTCCTGTCTCTTCTAACTCACGGCAGCATCTCCGCGGAAGGACAGCACGCGTACGATAGTTCAGGAGAGGTTTTGGTCAGTCGCGGCGCTCCAGCAGAGAATTTTCGCGGTGTCTTCCGTCTTCTCCACGCCTCGTTGCAACAGATCCATCACAACCTCCTTGCCGCAAATCTGCAACTAGTTGATCACGAGGTCTATCATTTGCAGTGTCCAAAGAAGACGGATGTACTGTACGCAACGGGACGCACGACGAAAAAGAAATATGATCCGGGTAGTGGATCTCCGGATAGAGCTTTTTCAGTGGATGTTTTGACTGAGACCCACTGCGCTTCGCGTGGAGAGGCTGCTAGTGATTGGCATCAAATAGACTACGTTACAGCTCACAAGGCTCACACTGTGGGCACGACGGACTACTTCTTCTTCGAATACATCACGCCATCACAGCCCGGCCACGCGGCTGAACTCTTTCGCTCGACTTACGGCTACACTTCAACTACACTCATTCTACTCCTGTTTCGACGAAACACAGTCTGACTATCTCTTTCATTGTCATTTGATTGTAGTGAGCTCTGTTGAAAACTACATCCAATCCTCATGTTGAGAATCAATTTAGAAGGATTGCACGAAGATAAAGAAAGAGGAATCAACGAAATCGAATGGTACTAAGTACCACTCGAAAAGGAAGAACAATAAGATTGACAATTTTATCTCGTCTATCCTCATCATCTAATCTCCCGAAGCCACAGACTTCGCTTCCCCAGCCAGCAGTACGATGCGATTTCTGCATGTTGGTTCCGCATATGCGGAAACAGTTGTTGGAGATGACGCCAAATTCTGTGACCCGGCTGACAATACCAAAGACTGCGAAAAATATCGCGCAGCCGCGCTGAGGGTGGACCAGTGGACAGATGCCGACACGTCTTGTAAGAAAGCTGGCGCGACCTTGAGCTATACAGGGATGGTTTATGGAGTAGATGGCGGCAGTGGGACAACCCAAGACAACTGGGATGAAGAGGTGTGGTGGACAGAGCTCGGCAGGACCTCTGATGGGGATGCGTCATTTAAGGCTTCCCCAAGAAGTTCATCTTCTTAGAACTTATTTTTTGGACCTAAGACTTATCTTTTTCAACGGGAAAATACATAGTACGACATGGTCATCAAAGTAAGACGCTTGTAGAGAAGAATATCGGTTGTAAATCAAGGCTCTAAGTCACGTGTATCCGTTCCCGACGCAACTTCTATGCGAAATGGTATGAGTTGCGGTGCGAAGGAAGTGCCGTCAGTAAAGGTTTTCAAGGTGACGCGAGCACCGCAACTGACCCTAGAATTCACAGATTCAGTCAGCTATTCCATGGATTGTCTTGGTGCAGATTTTGCGGAACAGGGTGTCTTGGTCGGAAAAATAGTCAGGTTCGACGAAGCAAACTCATTGGCGTTGGTGAGGACTTTTTGTTATGAAGAGGACCGAACGGAAAATAGGATCAACTGACTCTGACAGAAAGCAAAGGAAATATTTCTTAGAAACATACTTACACAAATAAGAGAAAAGAGGCGAACAAACAATGATGTTGAGGCGAACAAACAATGATCATGAGTACAAAAAAAGTCTCAACCTCTAACTCGCCAAAGGAGAGAGCGACGTGGACAGTGCCAACGAAGAGTTCATCATCAATGCAGCAGAAGCTCAAGCAGATCCTTCCTTTCCCTCAAGTAGCGGCAAGGACTTCTTCCGATTTACAATGTCCATCGAGGGTATGCCGATCACTGTCACGTCAGGCCTCGAATTAGATGGAGGTGGAGAGACGGAAGGAGCTTTGGTTTTTGCAACGACGCAGTATTTCGACATGAACACGGTGCCTTCTGGGGATAGTTTGGTACGCCCACTCGGTTTCGCGCAGATCCAGGAGATGAGTTCTGCCCTCCTTAGTGGCGCGACCATGATCGAGGCTGCGACGGAAGAGGCTCCAGACACAGTCCTTGACATCTCTCTCCGCACGAAGCTGAGTAGCAGTGACGCATCGACTTCGCCTGAGTTGATCTTCGTCTTGAAAGGTGGCACAGGAGGAGTACCTGCGGCCCAGATTTTCCAGGTGCATCAGTCGGTCAGCAGTGGGTTCGTGCATGGAGCACGTGTTGCGAGTTCTGTGACACCGACGTCGACAGCTGCATCTGTGGCAGCTACTACAAGTGCGAAGCCGGAAACTACGTCTTCAACCGAAGAGCCTACTTCAACTGAGGAACCTGACGAATCTTCCAGCAGTAGTGCCCCTGCATCTTCCGGAGGTGCCATTGTCGGCGTCTCTTTCTCCGTAGGTTTCAGTTACAACAGTGCAGCTGCCGGACAAACAGCCTCTCAAGCAGCTCAATCTGCAACATTCAAAAACGTTGTTGTGAACTCGGTTGTGCAGACCTACAACTCTGCTGGTGTGCCGATAACTGCTAGCAATGTTAACAACGTGGTGACGAGTTACACGAGTAGTGGAGGGTCGTTTTTCGTTTTGACGAAGAAGCACCATCGCGATCATAAGAGCACCATTTCTAAGGAAGCAAAACTTCTAGTACATCAAAAGAAGAAACACAAACACAAGAAACTACAACAAGAACTTCTAGCACATCATGAACAAGCTGAACATGAACAAGCTGAACAAGAACTTCTAGCACATACCCAAGCTGATGAAGAAGGTACAGTGTCCGTCGATCTGGCTGATACCCAAGCTGATGAAGAAGGTACAGTGTCCGTCGATCTGGCTGATACCCAAGCTGATGAAGAAGGTACAGTGTCCGTCGATCTGGATGTGTCTGTCCCAGCAGCGAGTGGAGGAACGACTTATAGTGCAGTGAGTGTGAGCAGCGCTTTGGACCCAACTGCTTTGGGGAATACGGTGCAGAGCAACGCCGAAAGCAGCGACCGGAATATGGACGTGAAGCAGGTAACAGGAGTTTCCGCTGCGCCGTCCTCAGGTGCTGTTGCGACAACAGCAGACGGCGGCGACGGTGGCGATGGCACCACAGCCACAACTCCAGCCTCGTCGGATGGTGGCGACGGGGCCACAGCGACAACTTCGGCAGCTACGTCTGCAGCTGACGGCGGCGACGGTGGGGCGACAACGACAACTGCAGCGGCAACTTCCGCAGCTGGCGGTGGCGATGGCGGGGCCACAACGACAACTGCCGCGGCAACATCAGCAGCAGCCGACGGTGGTGGCGGTGGTGCAAAAACGACGAGTGTCGCAGCAACATCAGCAGCAGCCGACGGGGGCGACGGCGGGGCCACAACAACAACGAAGGCAGCAACCTCTTCAGCCGACGGCGGAGACGGTGGGGCAAAAAAGACGACTGCCGCAGCAACGTCTTCAGCGGACGGCGGAGATGGTGGGGCCACAACAACAACTGCCGCAGCAACCAGCGCCGACGGAGGAGACGGTGGGGCCACGACGACAACTGCCGCAGCAACCAGCGCCGACGGAGGAGACGGTGGCGCCACAGCGACAACTGCTGCTGAAACTTCCGCTGCCGACGGTGGGGGCGGCGGGGCCACAACAACAACGAAGGCAGCAACCTCTTCAGCCGACGGCGGAGACGGTGGGGCAAAAAAGACGACTGCCGCAGCAACGTCTTCAGCGGACGGCGGAGATGGTGGGGCCACAACAACAACTGCCGCAGCAACCAGCGCCGACGGAGGAGACGGTGGGGCCACGACGACAACTGCCGCAGCAACCAGCGCCGACGGAGGAGACGGTGGCGCCACAGCGACAACTGCTGCTGAAACTTCCGCTGCCGACGGTGGGGGCGGCGGGGCCACAACAACAACGAAGGCAGCAACCTCTTCAGCCGACGGCGGAGACGGTGGGGCAAAAAAGACGACTGCCGCAGCAACGTCTTCAGCGGACGGCGGAGATGGTGGGGCCACAACAACAACTGCCGCAGCAACCAGCGCCGACGGAGGAGACGGTGGGGCCACGACGACAACTGCCGCAGCAACCAGCGCCGACGGAGGAGACGGTGGCGCCACAGCGACAACTGCTGCTGAAACTTCCGCTGCCGACGGTGGGGGCGGCGGGGCCACAACAACAACGAAGGCAGCAACCTCTTCAGCCGACGGCGGAGACGGTGGGGCAAAAAAGACGACTGCCGCAGCAACGTCTTCAGCGGACGGCGGAGATGGTGGGGCCACAACAACAACTGCCGCAGCAACCAGCGCCGACGGAGGAGACGGTGGGGCCACGACGACAACTGCCGCAGCAACCAGCGCCGACGGAGGAGACGGTGGCGCCACAGCGACAACTGCTGCTGAAACTTCCGCTGCCGACGGTGGGGGCGGCGGGGCCACAACAACAACGAAGGCAGCAACCTCTTCAGCCGACGGCGGAGACGGTGGGGCAAAAAAGACGACTGCCGCAGCAACGTCTTCAGCGGACGGCGGAGATGGTGGGGCCACAACAACAACTGCCGCAGCAACCAGCGCCGACGGAGGAGACGGTGGGGCCACGACGACAACTGCCGCAGCAACCAGCGCCGACGGAGGAGACGGTGGCGCCACAGCGACAACTGCTGCTGAAACTTCCGCTGCCGACGGTGGGGGCGGCGGGGCCACAACAACAACGAAGGCAGCAACCTCTTCAGCCGACGGCGGAGACGGTGGGGCAAAAAAGACGACTGCCGCAGCAACGTCTTCAGCGGACGGCGGAGATGGTGGGGCCACAACAACAACTGCCGCAGCAACCAGCGCCGACGGAGGAGACGGTGGGGCCACAACGACAACTGCCGCAGCAACCAGCGCCGACGGAGGAGACGGTGGCGCCACAGCGACAACTGCTGCTGAAACTTCCGCTGCCGACGGTGGGGGCGGCGGGGCCACAGCAACAACGAAGGCAGCAACCTCTTCAGCCGACGGCGGAGACGGTGGGGCAAAAAAGACGACTGCCGCAGCAACCAGCGCCGACGGAGGAGACGGTGGCGCCACAGCGACAACTGCTGCTGAAACTTCCGCTGCCGACGGTGGGGGCCGCGGAGCCACAACGACAACGAAGGCAGCGACCTCCGCAGCCGACGGTGGCGACGGCGGGGCCACAACGACAACAGCAGCGGCAACTTCCGCAGCCGACGGTGGCGATGGCGGGGCGACAACGACAACTGCTGCTGCAACCTCTTCAGCCGACGGCGGAGACGATGGTGCAAAAACGACGACTGTCGCAGCAACATCAGCAGCAGCCGACGGTGGAGACGGTGGGGCCACAACGACAACGGAGGCAGCAACCTCTTCAGCCGACGGCGGAGACGGTGGGGCCACAACGAAAACTGCCGCAGCAACATCAACAGCAGCCGACGGGGGCGACGGCGGGGCCACAACGGAGACTGCCGCAGCAACATCAGCAGCAGCCGATGGTGGAGACGGTGGGGCCACAACGTCAGCTGCCGCGGCTGTAACCACGGGGGTGCCTGTTGCCACGGCAGCGCCACCGGCAGCTTATGTAGGCGTCGCGTTCACCATGGGCATCGACTATGACGATACAGGATCGGAGACACCCGCACAAGCAGTCGCGTCAGCAACATTCAAATCCGCTGTCGTAAATTCTGTTGTGCAGACGTACACGACTAGTGGGATTCTATGGCTTTTCAATTTTACATTGGGTCGAGTATAAATCATCACGTAATCATCACGTAATTGATGTTTCTTCGTAGTACGAGTCTGACAGTTGTACATGTAGTTGTTCTACTCCTCCTGATGCTTCGCCACAGAAGCTCGTTTGCCGGGTTCATGAATGGTACGATAGAAATATTTGTGAACTAAGGAAAATAGAAATTAGGACCTATTAATCCTTCTAGTTCTAAGCATTGCGATCAGCGCAAGTGATGTACAAGACGTGGACACCCGCTACGAGAGCAGCGATTCCAGTTTCCTTGTCGAGAAGCGCAAGAAGCGGCGGCGCTCTGGTGAGAGTATGCTTGGGAGGAAAAACCTCCAGAAACTCCATAGTGCCTCATCTAGTAGCTCAACGACATCTGGTAGTGCACATGTGAGCCTGAATGTAAAAGTACCCGCAACTGCGAGTGCGAGGGGTATGACGGCCAGTAGTATGGGCTCTGCGCTGAATACAGCGGCTCTGAGCAGCAACCTTCAGAAAAACGCACAAGCAGCCAACCCAAGCATGATTATGGTCAGCTTTTATCCATCTTTCTTGGCATGTTGGTCGTCCCCTTTTGCCTTGTATTCTCATGAAATTGATACAAGGGGATAAAGAACACTGGAGTACGACTTAGGTGTTTAAAGAATATATTCTTTATGTGAGTAGATGAGTTCTTTCTTTAAATGTGCAAAACTCGTACATGATGTAGAATCTGATCTCACTTACGTGGAAATTGTGTAGAGGGAGCCGCGATGGATTAAAGCGATTTCTAACATGAAGGTCTCAAAAGTCGACGTGGATCCACCACATGTAGTCACGCCACCAATCTCTGCGGCATTATGAGGAGGACAGTTTCTTCAACTACATAGTAGTGCGTTGTAAGTGCACATATTTATGCGTAAGTTACATGAGATTCACTTTAACGCGTAAGTGCACATATTTATAAGTAAGTTATATGAGATTAACTTTAACATTAACGCGTAAGTGCACATATAAGTAAGAGATCAACGGATGATTTCGACAACGATCACGATGTGCATACAACCCTAGTACAACGTGGTGATCACGATGTGTAGACATTACGTGGTGGATTCAATATCATTGGCTTTTCTTGGATGTTGCCCTTCATCTAGTGATCATTTCCCCTCGAGCAACATCTTCTATTATCAACCCACCTCCTTCTCCTCCTCCTTCATACCCTGTCCAGCACCTAGAAGAGGGAGATGGTGACATTTCTTTGCGAATGTCGCGTGGGCACTATTGCGCAGCTGACAAGCTGACCGGGTTTAGGAGGAGAGGTCCGTGTGCTCAACTACTGGTCGAGAATAGAAATGATCGGGGTAGTCTGGGAAATGGCGCGATCACTAGGACATCGACAGATGTACAACTTGCTATTTCTTTATCCTATTAATTTGATTTTTTCCTCATATTTCCTTGTACCTCAAGAACAGGGTTATAGTAAAGATGTCAGTGTCACACTCATCATACTATCTGGTTTGATGTTTGATGTTCATTGTGTCGATTGCTTGGCATTACTGGTCTGACTTGTAGTTTTACCAAAACGAAAACTTCTTCTTGGTGGGTTTCGGGGTCATCTATCCTGACCATCCATCTCCCTCGTCAGATATCCCGGTACCAGTGCGAGGATGACTGTTTGAACGAGGCTGGTTGCGACGCTTTTTCTTTGGATAGTCGTGCGTATGACTCGACTGGCGCCGTCATCCAAGAGGATAACCTGTGCTGCACGCTGTTTGCCAATTGCACACAGCTCTACGGTTCAGCGAAAGCGTTATGATGAGTCAGATTTATTTCCTACACCGCTCAAGAGAACAAATGCCGATGATTGCATCACGTCTCTCGGTCATTTGTACACATACATTATAGCTTTTCGTTGTTCATTCTAACACTTCTGTGTACAACTACGTACTTCTCTCTCTCTCCCTCCCTACCTTCCCTGCCTTCCCTGCCTTTCCTCCCTCCCTCCCATCCTCTCTCTCCTACCCATCCTCCCTCTAACACCCAACACAGACACTCAGGCCATGTGGTCCTTGCTTGGGTATCGAGTTGACCGTGATAGTGACAAGCTAACTCCGGAGATTTCTAGTGGAGTGCAAAAGAATGCGGACGACGTGTTGAATAACCACGATATTGATTCTGGTGAATACTTTGTGACAGCAACGGAAGGGACCGGTACTTATCGCTGCGAACAGATATTGTTCATCATCGTAGTTTCACTATAAGATGTACTTACTTAGATCCGTAAGAATGCGAACAAATGTTCATCACGTTGTTCAGGGGTACTTCTAGATGTAGAAGATCGTGTGTTCGAGATACTCATCGAATCTGCTTCATATCCTGTGGATAGCGCTCTTGTCATAACATGTGCACCGGGATACCTGGAGCATTATCACCCACGTTCTTTCTACCTCTCACATTCAACAGATGTCGTAAGGCAATATTGGCGATTGCCATTTGAAAACCCGAGTTACCAATTGCTCCGCAGAATACGAATTTTTGACGTAGAGGAGAGCACAGGACTGGATGGCTTGGATACAGGAGATACCGAAATCGTTATTTTGAGTGGTACTTAAGATTAAGTACAAGATTCATTATTTGTGAGGCTTGGTGGAGACATCAGCTAGAAATAGATCAAGAAAAATAGTTGTTTTTATCAGAAGCGTGATACAGCAAAAATTGAATTTGAAATTCAAATTGTTCAATTGGGTTATCTTCAGCTTGATCATGTCGTAATAAATAGAAGAAATACTTGTTGATAGTTACCCACCATTCAGGTGGCGCCGGTGACGAACAAGCGGAGGAAGTTGTCTGGCCTGTAGGGGGAGAAGGGAATAAGATCTCTGCGGCAGGCACCGATATCCTGTTGAAGCCATCGCGGCAGGCACGTGCCATAGAAGTACGATCGAAACGCGCGAAGGTGGCGCTGGAGATTATGGTTCCGGTCACAAAAAGTATCAACAAGGTCTTCAAGACGAGGATCACCAACAAAATTCCATCACAAGAAAAAGCATCAAGATCTTCAAGAGGAACCATGTTGAAGCCAAGTCGAAACTGCAAAAAAATTACAACAAAGTCAACAAGATCTCTTACGACGACAAACAAAGCATTCTTCTTGTCAATCAACGGATCCTTCTAACAAACGCGTTCAGATTGATGCAGTAGACGTGGATCGGGTGTCCACAGCAGCTCAAGCGGAATTCGAGACCGTGGGGAACGTGATTCAACTCGGTGCAGTCTCGGATTTGAAGCACCAAGTCTCTAGCGTCGTTGCACGCATGAGGAGCTTCTATCAGGATTTGTTGGGACGATAGGTGTATGGACGATCGTGTTAAAGTAGGGAATGATCATCATCGTAGATTGGACCTATAATTGGGAGACATTTTCAACCGGATCATGAGTAACCGTTTGTACTATGACTTTGGTCTTGCTTATGAAAAGAAAAACAAGTGTTGAAATTTTTGCAGCATGATTCGTTCCTAACCGATGAAGGTTACCTTTTAGATACTTATGTTGATAACGTTGGTTTGGTAAGTAGAACGAAAACTTAACGACCTACGACAGCAGAACGGATTGATAGGTCAGAAAAGCTCTGCCAGTATCGATGATTTTTGAATAATTCCTTTGGGGTAGCGGCTTCGGATTCGGTTACCACCATCAATTTACCATATGAAGTGAAATTAATTTTTGCAACAGCTTTCGATTTCGTCATATCAACATGAGCATGCCAATACGTAAATGATACCTACAGATACAGAAGCTTAGCTACTCATACTCAATCACAAGCAAAGATTCGGATGATAGGATGCTTCGGAGAAAATTTCACGTAGAAGGGGCATACTCGTAGTCAACAAGAAGACTGAAAATAGCAGCGGAATAGTATCCTTGTTTTGAGGACATTAGCAACCGGCTACGAAGACAAGTAGGTAATACAAATATCAGATGATAGTTGATGTACTTGTAAAAATTGTGAAGTAACTAGTAGTTGGATGAAAAGAAGCTTATAAGTCATTTTGGTCTGTATTTCCGTCACATCAAGAATAGTTCCAAGAATAAATACGTTGATTTTCAAGGGGGATATAGCAGTGGTAGAAGTACAAGTTAAATTGTACGGACTTGAACAGGAGGTACGGACTAAGGTGAATAGCCGGTCGCTGTGCAAAGACTAAGTTATGAAAAGAATCAAAGGACCGACTCATCGGGTAAAAACCTAAAGTAGCAGCTAAGGTATACATGTGGGCAGCAAGTCAATGATTTTTGATGATCAATCCACTACGTGCCGGTGCCTACTTCTACACGCCATGCGGAGGTAATATGCGCAATGCGCTGCAGCGTAGTGACTGCCGGCAGATCGTGTTATACTGACTGCTGAGTCATCAAAACTAGCCATCAAAAGCGAGGCATAGGTCAGCGTCACAAAAGTTGACAGCTAAGGAAGCATGTGGAACAAAAAAGAGCATTAGAACTCCGAGGACAGGAAAAAGGACACAAAATAAGTGAGGAAAAAATAACAAAAACCTGAAGCAAGCAGCAAGTAGTGTTTCTCTTCCGCTTTCCTATTCTTACAAAACTTCTTGCAAAATAAGGAATGCCACATCCAGAAAAAACTACCATGGCGTTCACCCACCTCCTCTTGTCGATCCTCGTGATCGGCTCGGCAGGGGTACGACAGACACCCATCGCTTCCGCACCATCCGGCGTCACCCAAGTGCCCTTGGTGGCAGACAAGGTTATGTTCATGGTTAACGAGAATTAACATGATAGGACCTCTTAATCTTTTCCGTCTATTTTTGTATCACCGTCATCCCTCCCCATTGGCCCCAGGCCCTTTCATAACTCCGAATGAGCATCACGACCATGCTTCTCCCAGTGCCTCCACGACTACATCCGAGGACCACAAGGATGCCGCAAGTGGAGTGCTGAACCCAAGTGTTCTGCCTGAAGAATACATTCCGCTGAGTCCTGATGCGGCTGCCGCTGTGCTGGATGGCGACCGACAGCCGGCTTCAGTCTTTCCGCATCGTGGCTACACACCCATGAAGGCAAATGAGACGTTTTTTCTGGTGTTTTTCGGAATTGCAATGACGGCATTGCTGCTCTTCACAGCTCAAGGTGTGGCGAATGGCGTTGCGGTCGTCCTGCAGTCTAATGAAGGGGCGACTGGCTATGTGAAGTATTGAGCACTACCACGACTATTTGATAAGAAGTAATTTTTTCCAACAAACCACGGCACGAAACGAAACGACAAATAATTTACTTAATACGTAAAACGAGATGTCCATCAACGAATTTCAATTTTTCTTTTCAAATTTCGATTTCTTTCCTTGTACAGAGCTTTAGGAGCAAGACAAGTTTCTGCAACTGCAAGTGTCATATCAATGTGTTGTGTTGTGGGAGTATTCATAGAACTGGGATAGAAACAGGACTTTACAACAAGAAGAAGCTTAACTTTCTCTCTCTTTTCATCAAGAGGGAAATGGACATTTCCGTTACAGTTATGAGTTCTTAGAAGTAGAGGTGATCTTGTATAAGAAGGAATAGGAATTGCTAGACCTCGTCCTTTCCGTATTTTTCGGAGGGAGGATCACTTGCACGTGGTGTTCCCCTTAACAGACGTATGCAGAGCGTGTTGTCCTCGTGTGATTAGTCTCTATATTACAAACAGCCGTTCTGTTTCAGAGAGAGGAGACGCAGATGAATAAATCTGTTACGGAGAGGTGCGAAGCCACTGTGTCTCTCTGTCCGTGAAGAGTGTCGAAGCTAAATGTTCTATCAATCTTTGACCTAGAACGTGTTTATCCTGAGTTACTTCTGTTAGACGAGAGATGAGAAATCTGTGCCTGAGCGACACATCAGCAAGAAGAGAGAAATTTTTATAGCTCATTATGATGATGATCATTCAAATTGGTGATTGTCATTCTCAGAAGGTTTGTATCTAGTCCGTATTTTTCCCTAGCCCGATATTTCTTGTTTTCATGATTTCTCCCCATTCTTGGTAATTCTTGTCCATTATAATCTTGGTGAAGCTCATCATTAGGATCTCCTTTATTTGTAAGAGTCAGCTAAATTCTACTAAGTTGCCTCAAATACAAATAGAACAAAAGTGTTATTTGTAAGTGAACTTTTTTCGTTGTCCCTCCTCTGTTTGTTTGTTCCCCTGTTAATACATAGAGAGACTCAACATACATTCAATATCGATCTATCTACCTCTTGCTAGATCATCATCTCCTTACGAGCAAGTTCTGGAACTTCTTTTCTGAAGCTTACTCTATTTCAAACCTCCTCAAGATGGGTCGTGCTTCGCAAGGGGGCGGTGGTGCCGAGGAGAGCAACAACATCAAGGTGTGCATTCGTTGTCGGCCGTTCATTGACCGTGAACAGGGTGAAAAATGCATCATCAGAATGCCCGAAAAAGCCGTGCTGGAGGTGCTGGATGAGGACAACAACCCCCTACGTTTTGGTTATGATCGGTGCTACTGGAGCCACAGCAAGAAGGACGAACAGAATGGCTTCGCGGATCAGAACACACTGATGTCAGAACTCGGCATGGAGTTGTTAGAAAACGCATTGGCTGGTTACAATGATACGCTATTCGCCTACGGACAAACGGGTGCGGGGAAAACATGGTCAGTGATCGGAGGGAAGGATATGAACGTCGATGCAGGTACTCAAATACCCTGAAAAATTTTTAGTATCTATCGTCATTCGATAGGGATACAATCAGTGTCTGCCTAGTATTGGAAAACTAGTACTTTATCGTTATATCTGGATCTGGTGCAGCTTGTTTCGTGGTTTTCATTCTTAAGTGAAGCAAGAGAGAGAGCACAGAAAAATAACACTAACCCTACAAAAATCAAAATGACCAGGTCTGCTTCCTCGTATGTGCAACCAAGTGTTTATTATGTTGACCGCGCGGAAAAAGGAGGAGGCCGACTGGAATTTCCAAGTCAAGGCGAGTTATCTCGAAATTTACAATGATAAACTTCGCGACTTGCTGAACCCAGAAGAGGCAGGCGAAAAAAAGAAACAATTGGAGGTCCGTCAGCATCCTAAGTTTGGTATTTACGTGCCTGGCTTGTCGGAGTGCGCATCTGCTAGTGCCGAAGACATCATGGAATTGATGGAATTCGGAATGAAAGCACGTTCTGTCGCCGCCACCAGTATGAACGATCGAAGTTCACGTTCTCATTGTATTTTCTCCGTCCTTGTCGCGCAGATTAAGGGTGCAGATCCAGAGAAACCCGACTCGTTGTTGAGGTCCAAGATCAACTTGGTGGATTTAGCCGGTTCCGAACGACAGAAGAAAACCAACGCCACGGGAGACCGTCTCAAGGAAGGTGCGCAGATTAACCAATCCCTCACTTGTTTGGCTCTAGTGATTCACGCACTGGCGAAAGCGTTTTCGAAATCAGAAGAGGACAAGAAGAAAAAGAAGCACGACGATTTTATTCCCTTCCGAAACAGTACTTTGACGTACTTGTTGCAAGAATCTCTGATCGGAAACAGCAAGACCGTGATGATCGCAGCTGTCTCTCCAGCTAGGTCGAACTTTGATGAGACAATGTCCACTTTGCGTTTCGCCAACAGTGTGAAGCAGGTCCAAACCCAAGCAGTGGTAAATCAGATGTCCGATGCTAACATTATTGCACAACTGAAAGCCGAAATTGCAGCTCTGAAAGCAGGGGCTTTTGGAGGTGCTGCGGGAGGGCCGGATCCAAATGCGGAAGCAAATGGCGAAGCAGGTGGAGTACCCGGAGCAGGACCCGGAACGGGGGGACCCGGTCGCCCAGCGCCTCTCGACTCCGAAACGCAGGAGCAGTTGCAAATGTTGCAAGAACTCGTGGGGCAATATGGTAGACTTTTATGTTTTATCTCAACATGGTCATGTTGGTCATTGTCATTGTCACAAATAGCCTATAAGTTTTATTGGACTTCTTGGTCGTCCGGTACTGTTTGCCTTCCTAGCCCTCCCAGTCTCCGCTAGAAGAACAGCGTATGATCCTCGCAAATCTTCCCTCTCACAGCTCCCCCAAACAAACATGCGCACTATTTTTAGGCCGCAACTTCAAGGATGAGATCGAAGCTAGTAGGAAGATGGACGTGATGCGACAGCAAGCCCTACAAGATATGGGTTTGAGCGGGAAAGGCCTTGCTAGTGCGATGAACATGAACCCCAATACGCCATATTTGGTCAACGTGGCAGACGATCCGAGCTTGAGTGGGTGCCTGGTCTACTTCATTCCGATCAACGAGGTCGTGACAGTAGGAAGCAATCCGAATTGCACGATACAATTGAAAGGTACAACTGACAACTTACGGGGAAACTGTTGTAGTAAGAAGAAGAAGATTAAGATTAGTAAAGTAATGTACAAGAGCTGACTTACAGGGATGAAACTGTTGTAGTAAGAAGAATAGGAGTAGTAAGAAGATAAGGCTGTCTGTGCCTCGATTTCGATCGTGATGACATTCAGACTTTGTATGTAACTTGGATGAGCTTATTTAGGTTAATTATTTGATTGAAAGGGTGGCGGCATATAGTCCTAACGCAAAAAAAAAAAAATCTACGGGTGTTAGGAATGACACTAACAGGGGCATACACATGGCATAAAGCAACTCTTGTCGTGTTTTTACACCAAACGCGTACTACACAGTACTCCTGCTCAACTAGTTTAGGGTTTAGGGTTCCATGTTTTTCGTACCCCAAATTCAAACCATTCCAAGTGGATTTCTACCACGCTAATTTGGCAAAAAGCTCCAATGACAACCATTCCAATCGCGACCAGGTCTCGGCATCCACGGAGAAATGTGCCAACTTATCAACTTCAACCACACCCGCGTCCACGTAAAACCCATCGCCGATGCCAGCGGCAAATTTGGCCGATTGTGTCGTAATGGACGCGCAATAGGCAATTTGCCTGTCACTTTAGAGACCCGTGACCGCTTCATGGTGGGTCATACGCACATCTTCAAGCTCGTTGTTCCTTCGGCGCAGAAAAACAAGAACAAGATCGGTGCTGCGCAGGAAGAACAGGATGCCTTACTAGAGGAACACTTGAGCGAGATCATTGATAATTCCTCTGAAGAGTTTATCCAAGCTAAATTGTTCGTGGAATCTGTAGCTGATCGAATTGGCGAAGACGCAGCCCAAAACTTCCTAACCAGTTTCGCCCAAGCCTTACCCCTAGTCCAGGAAGCGAACGACATTTGCCACGAATTGAGGGCTAATGACCAGCTGGTCTTGCGACTGGACGCAGCTTCCGATATCATGGGTTTCGAAGGTAGTGAACCGATGCTCTGTGTCCGCTTGTGGAAAAAAGAACCTGCGACCGCAAAAATGAAGCGTGTTTTTAAGCGTGTGGTGCAGAACAAGAAAATGAAGAAATCCGTAGCTTCGATCGCGACGTACCTGACTGGCGTGAACACAGGCGCAGATGGCGAAATCGATTTATATTCGGATGGCATGATAGAGGGCGCTCGAGCGCAATTACTAGCTTTATGGAGTTGGCGTTCCTTTTTAGTGCGTCTAGCAGGAATGCGAACTCTGTACGACGATTTCATGGCATCAGGCGACTCGGCTGTCCAGAGGGTCATTGGAACGCATAGCGATCCTTGGGGTGAAGTCTCATACCTAGACATTGCGCAGATAGACACCGAGACAAACCATACAAATGGAAACTCCGTCTTAGTCGAACAATTGCAGCAAAGGTTAGCCGAAACGGAGAAAGAGTTGAGTGCTTTGCGGAAAGGTAAGAGGGGTAGGCGGTCGAGCAAATACAGTGAGGAGGATTCTTTTCGAGGAGACAGAAATAGTGGAACGGATGACTTTTCGCCGCCCTCAAGGCGGTCATCGCAAACAAGGAGTCAAGAGGCAAAAGCGCTCGCGACAGAATTATTGTCAGAATTGAGGAATATGAAGCGTGAATTGCACGCGTGGAGATGATGCAAATCGAGGTTTGAAATTTCGTTGTTAGGGTTAGAAATACAAGTAATAGTACGTGCTGATATCACAACTCAGTGGTGGAGATACCGTATTGTTGATTGTAGAGCTTCAACTTTTTCAGTGAATGAACAGAACTTCTGGACCTGATTGCTCTGTGTCTTTTTTATTTCAAGAAATCAAAAAAGATATCTTCAGGCACTGAGGTCGCAGTTTTGTACAGCTGGCCACTACCTCATAAGCACTGTGGTAGTACAGTATCTACTACGCTGCAGAAGATGCAAGAGAAATTTGTTGACTTTAACCCACTAAACGCAAACATTATAAGAAAATGTTAAACAGTAGAAAGTGGATTCATGGATCTGCAAACCCTTTCGGTCGTGAAACATTATTGCCACGTCCAATCACGTCTGTTATCATTGTCCACATCGGCTTCGGTTTTCATCTTGAGGTCTCGGTTTTAACTTACCAGATTTGTAAGAAGTGAAGTCGTGGCTTACTTCCCGTTTAGCATCATGACAAGCATCAAATCTCGGTTCATCGTTTATTGTCGGCTTTGAAATGTGTTGCAAATCGGAAAGCCTTTCGGGTTTCGAGAGAAATAGTAGTCGGGTGCCCCATCGTCTCCTATATTGATCTTATTTACGTTTCCGTTTATGTTTATGCCCTGCTCCCCGATTTGTTTGATGCTCGTTGCATGGTTCCATTCCCTGACTTCCTGTCTCATCCTTCTATCGCTGTTGTAGTACCTTTAAAGTTTTTTTGTACTTCCTGTACGACCTAACATGATTTTCATGTGGTAGAAGGTCAAGGTCATTCTTCGTCGTGAATGGTACCAGACCCTGCGTGTGAAAGTCGGGCGCACTAGGATCGCCTCGAAGGTGCCACACTTGTTTGCAGGGCAAGTATCATCTTGGCACCTCGACTTCTAGTACGATCTCTGAAAATAGTACTCATCCGCAGGCGGGAGATCAAAAGCCTGGTGCGACTTCGGAACAATAAGCGACTTGCCAAATCGGATCCATCACCTGTAGTTGCAGACGCGAAGTCTCTTTTGCCATCTATTAGCGGAATCCTTGTGTTCTTGACACCTGTTGTGGATTCGCACTGACGGAGCACCGCTTTCGTTCTACTAAAGCAGTTCGAGAAACCGTTCGTCGAGTATAGGAGACTGTCAGCGTCCGCCTCCTTCATAGAGACAAAGTCAACCACAACTGCCCCTGGACGCTTCTCGGCGTTTGTTCATCAACAGTGGAAGAAGCGCGCGCTCAATCATGCCAGCAATAGGAGTAGATCCGCGTATGGCCAAGACCTTTACGGCGGGCTTTCCAGCTCGGCCGTTGGTCGATGGGGCTGTGCCAAATTACGACACCTTTGGGCATCAGCACTACAAACATCCTTTCCGGGATAAGAGTAACTTCTACGAGGAAAGGGAAAACAACTACTGGAAGACTGTTTGCCCATGGGGTATAATATTTTCTTTTAGTTTTGATGCGGAACTGAAGAGCCATTTGTTGGACTACATCTAGACTTCATGCACTACGGGGTTAGTAGTAAAACTGTCTATACTTCTGCAAGGTACCAACGCCACGCATCAACTAAACCCAACTCGAACGTCTTTGATGGAGAGTAGGAAGCAGCAGTCGGTCCCACACATAAGTTACGATATAGACGGAGATGGCGTCGTCGGAGCCAGGGACTATTTTATCGGAAAAAGTTTCGACAAAGATCGGGATGACCGACTTTCCGAAAGCGAGAGGAAGGAAGCGATAAAGTTACGATCAACAAGGCTCTTGTAGTTTACTATTACTACCTAAGCGATAAAGTTCTTACAGCGTCGCAATAATAGGACCTAGACCACCTTTCATCTTTAAAGACAAACGCAACGCTTTCGTAGAATCAACGGACTCCACGACACGACGACAACTTTCACAAGTACCACCACGACAACTTCTCACCTCACTCGTCTAATCCTCGCCCTTAAAAACGGATGGTTAGACCAGTTCTCGTTTGGGCATGACCAAGCAGGTAGCAAGAGGCCCTACCCCGTGGTGCAGCGGAGGGGGAAGATAATGACCATTGATAACGGTTCAGTGATGCAGGAAACATTTATGACTGCTACATAGTCGTTGAGGAAAGGGGGTTGACGACGAGATAGCACCTCTGGAAATCCTCCTTTCGAACATCAGTTTGTAGTACTACATTATTATAGAGTAGTTTATAGCACGCATGGTGCATGGAGTGCATGGAGTAGCATGGAGCGCAGAGCTTTAAGGGGCGCAAGAAGCTCCCCCTTTAGCTCCATGCTGCTCCATGCGATCCATGCACTCCATGCCATGCGAGCTGTGAAACCTTATATATATATAAATTGCTCTGTTATTAGTTCCTTTTTTAATATCTAGCAGAGCCAGCCATAATTTTGCTCCGTGGTTTTTGAAGATTGATCGTGTCTCTAATCCCCACCCAAAGCACTGGAACGCAGAGACTGTGCCGAAGCATACGACTTTTACGGAAATGGCCAACGATAGGACAGCAGAGCTGAAGATGGCGGCCAACGATAAGATCAATAAGTGGTGCGAGGAGAATCCAAGAGTACTTCTATCTGATAGTGTTGATCATTCTAGAAGATGTCTTGGTGTTGATCATTCTAGAAGATGTCTTGGTGTTGATCATTCTAGAGTACTATCACAGGCTAGCGCAGGGATGACGACATCCCTGCGCTGCTGTTAAGTTTATTAAGTCACTCCGGGCTGTCTCGTGTAAGTATAAGGTCTAGACGTAGAAAACGAGACCGCCAGGCTCTGACATACTGGCAAAGTGCATGACTTTAAGGAAAAAGGGGAAGAAGAGGGAGGAGGGAAATACTGCAGAGACCAGAAGGGACTACCCAGTCTTGGCGTTGATCATTCTAGAGCACTATCATGTCTTGGTGTTGATCATTCTAGAAGATGAAAATATGCATGGTGGTCAGTCGGGTTTTGGTTCTGCCTGTTCATCTTGACTAGAACTTGCTAGTACTTCAATTATACGTCCTCTGGAGGCAAAAACTCCAACATCTTCACCCACTGCAGCTTGTCTACGAGCAACCAGTTTCGCAAGAATGGAGTGTCAAGGACCCGCCAATAAAAAGAATAAGCGAGCGAGCAGAAGCAGAGCATCAGCAGGCGAGGGTGCGAGCCGGTCTCCAGCCAGTTGCGTCGTACTATTCCGATTGTTCTTTTTTTATTTTGGGCTTCTCGTTTACTGCTCCCTCGTACTCGTTTTTTAGGTCACGCTTCCTCACAAGCGCAGGTTTGTGTAACTGTCATTCAACAAGACACTGTACGTAGAGTCGTGTAATTGTACGATTCATCAACAACCTTTCCAGGTTCGTAAACCCAGATCGCGAGATGCGAGCTCCTGGATTGGAGTATAACAATAGTCCTGAATTCAAGTCTAGACGAGAATTGATAGAGGTCAGGCGAGGCCTCCAAGTCGCGGATCTAGAAGCAGCACGACGGCATCAGGAAGAACAGTATATTCCACTTTCGGTACGAAAGTCCAAGTACGAAGCAGCCTGCACGAAATTTAGGGCGTCGCAGCAAACGGAGAAGACCTTGACGCAAATGTATCTTCACATTGATAGAAGTTTCTTCTCGTTGTTCGTCTTTCAAGCAGTTTGCATTTGCTGTACAGTTTTTATATATAAGTAGTTTAACTTTAAATGCTGCATTTGCTGTACAGGTTTTATAGGCACTTTCTCTTGAGAAGTTCTTACTTAAGTACAATTACTAATACTAATGGTTGTTCCTTTAAATCAATGCATTGGATTTCCTTTCATGATCTATCATTCTGCTCCCTCCCCCAATCTCAAGGTTATCTCACCTTCTCTTAAGGGTAGTACATCACTATCCGGTGTGAGCTATCTTGAGTGATTATCCTTCTCACTTATAATTTCTCTACCGCCTGACCAGGAAAGAGCAGCGACGGCGGGAGCGTATCGAGTATGATAGGAGACATTTCTCGGCGCCAGAGAAGGCAGAATTCCGGTATAGTGACCAAGACCAATATTGGTTCGAGACGGTTAGAAGAGCCACTAATGTTAAGGCTTTCCCTCATCCTTCTCGAAGATAGGGATCGATCCCTCAATGATCGTATCAACCCAATAAATGCAAGGAACATACTTAGCCTAAGGCATACGCTTGCGGGATCCCTACGGGGATGAATGAATTGTTTGAGCTCTAAGAACGAGGAGAAAGGGGTATCACAAGAAGATGCTGACCGCATCCAAGGAAAGACCTCTGCCGACTTCGCTAGAGCTAGAAGTGTGCCGCCACCTACTTTCAAGGTCACCGAGCAAATACCCTACGCCCACGATACCCATGCACCTCATGCGGAAAACATAGATTTGCCGGAACATGTCGAAGGCGGGGTAATTCAACATAAACACTAGTTCTTCAACACACATTAACATTATTTCTTTCAACACACACACACACTTTATAATATGTTTAGTCCTTCTTTTTCAGAAACAAATTGAAGACAACATACATCACTCACAGTTATGAAATGATATCCCAACAGAGTATCAAAGAACGAAAGAGTCGATGTAGGGCGTGGCACAATGGAGGAAAAACCAAGTGGAAGTACACGACAGACGTGATAAAAACAGGAGGGTTGCGAAATGCGGCTAGGCTCTTTGACTCAATGCAACCAGAGAAACTGTACTTTGCAGTCTGATTTTGTTTCAACTGACAGATTCAAATAATCCACGACTTGGTTTTGCGGATACAACTTCTGAGTCGTGAATCTAGACAGCCGTTTTACGAACTACCTTATCTGACATCATCAACTACATTAACAACTTCTGAGTCGTGAATATCGACAGCCGTTTTACGAACTACCTTATCTGACATCAACAACTACATTATGGCGTCAACATATGTATCTTTTACCCGCCAATCATCAGGTCTGCAGTGGACTTCATTCCCCTGGATACATATTCGTCGTTCGAAGTGATAAGAAAAGGAGCCATGCGCAAGCATGCAGAGCTGAAAGCACACACGAAAGACCACGGCCTGGTACTTTGTCTCTGTTTTCTTGGTTTTTAGAGTTGACCTTGACCACACTTATAATTTGATGTTTGTTACCTGCTGAATACAACTGAGGACCGAGGCAAAATGCATTTGCATTGACATACATTCAACTACCGCACAGAAATCTCGACTAAGCGAGATACCAAAGAACAAGAAGGAGAGGGGAAGTGCTGCGTCTTTGAGCGGCACAGGAGTCAACTCTCGAAGTCACGGAAGCGAACTGCCTAGTATGGTTGTAGCCAATGAAACACGGGTTGGCGCACCAATGTTATGCACTGACATGGGGTGAATTTTGAGTTGACTTTGTTTTTTGATAGTTGTTCGTTGTTGTTCATGTAGGCCTTGAGCTAGACAAACAAAGACGCAGTATCCTATGACACTGCTCTACACCACAGTTCTGTTTCAGTAAGCCATTGAACGTCTCTGTCCTCAAGTCGAGAAATCTGGACATCTCAAAGGAGAATCACAGCATGATCAGATCTATCATCTGATGTCTATCTATCATGTTCAAAAATCATCATGATGTCTATCTATCTATCTATCTATCTATCTGATGTCTATCTATCTATCATCTGTCTGTCTATCATCTGATGTCTATCTAGATGCTTTTGAAATGATCTATCTATCATCTTCAAAGAAGAATCACAACATGATCAATCTCTAACCCCCATGGACCGCACTAGTTCCCTCTGGCGTGCCAACACCACTGGGCATAACGTAGCCCATTTCCGAGCTGAAGATTTCGGCGTGCGAACAGGTGGCTTCCAGAGATTAGAGCAGGTGGAAACGATCAAAGGTGAACCTCTGGGCATAACGCAGAAGGCAACACTAACTGCTACACCTTCTGGAGGCATCTCTCGAGGGGCTAGCACAGCGACGATGCCGTCGAGAGCGAATGTGGTCACGAGGTGATTGGAGCGTATAAGGAGAGGCGAGATGAACACAACTAATTTGTTAATGAACTTAGACATGAGATATGTTTGTACTTTGTAGTCCACCTAAAGTATTCTATCAATAGTTGGATCCCATTTCTATGATGCTGAACTACGAAACTAACAAAAATGAAATCCAGTGTATTATCACAAGTTTAGACAGAAACTATTCTGCAAATCGTCTCCCGATCGTATTTTCTCTCCGTATTACTCGATCATTGATAATGTACTCGTTCACGCGCTAGACGTTGCTTCGCGCTTCACGTCTCAGATACTATTGCCTTCTAGGTTTTCAACGTTAATGACTTCATACACACTTCAACATCTACTTGATTGACAAACATTAATGCACCATTCAAGTTGAGCACCTGCTTGACTCGTAGGCGACATGATTGCCCGCGATATTGCTAATGAACAGAAGATTATGCGATCTGCTTACAGCTTCAGTTTCTATCAAAATGCACCAGTATCCAAATATTTTTCCAAAGACTTGAAGTTGAGTGCATCCACCCAGTTACAGTATTAACTTACAACGGATGTTGTGCATTCAGGGTAAGATGTATGTCATAATGAGTCATGTGTTGACCATATGAGCGTGCTATGTATGATTGCCTCCTAAATTCTGCTTGATGTTTATATCCTCCTTTCATCTGTACGAAAGATGCTTTACCTGTACCCACGAGCCCCGCTTCTACCCTGTGAACGACTTAACACACCGCCTCCTACAAGTTTGCCCATACGCCCTGTGCAGTCAAATCACGGACCATGCGAACATCAACAAGTTCACGTCGAGTGATATCTCTTGTTGTGTTCAGCTCGCCAGCCAAGGACAAACAATCAAGAAGCGCCTCGCTGAACAACAAGTGTTCACTTTTTATGAATATCGAATCGTAACATCAGGCTAGTTGGTGATACCTTACGGCACAACTAACTTACTGCAACAAACATTCATCCAAAGTCCATCAAAATGGCGCTTGGAGGTTCTGACCCAGTAACCTTGGCTATAGGAGCCTGCTGGTTTGCGACCACTGCCTTTTATTCGCTTCCTGCCAACAACATTTTCCTCCGAGACCTGAAGAGTCCTCTCGGCCATAATCTCACGCGATTCGTCGGAGCCAGCTTCTTCTGCCTACTGTTAGCGGCTTTTACACCATGGAACAAAACCAATCCGCGGCAAATTATCCGATGTGCCTTTCCTGGGGTTTGTATGGTTTTGATGAACGTCAGCAATTCGGTTGCGTTGCAGACTGTTGGCGTGACGCTCACCTACGTGGTCAAAAGCACGATCCCATGTTGGACTTGCCTTTACTGCTTCATCTTCCTGAAACAACGTTTTTCGGTCCCGATTATACTTGCCTTGTTGACAAGTTGTGTAGGTGTTGCGTTGGCTTCTGCAGGCGAACTCCTCTTCAGCTGGTCAGGGTTCTTTGCGGCATTGTTGAGCTGTGTGAGCACAGTGGCGTTCAACCTATCTTCGAAAAGCATCATGCAGACGCACAATATGACTTCACTGGAGGCCTTTTCAGGGTCGCTCATGAACGCTGCAGTCGTCGCTTCGGTGTTGTATGCTGGAGGACTGGAAGTGGCTTTAGGTATAAGTAAATCGTTACGTCTTCCTTTCGCTCTCGATTGCAACAAGCCCAAAAAAATGATTCTCATCTTGAACACTGGACTACAGTTCATACCCCCACACCATCACTCAGCACACCCACTTCCACTGAACTAAAGGCCTCCGCACAAGTGACGTTTATGCCACTACTCTCGCGGCCACGCAAGAGGGAGACTACTGGTTATCAATCGTTTTGGGCATGACTGCTACCTCCTACTTCCTAGAGTATAGCTTCAATTTCGCCTTTACACCGCGTGTCTCGCCGGTTACTCTAGGAATTTCCGACATCGTGCGCCGCATTCTCACCATAGTCACAAACGCTTGCGTTTATGGATACCCAGTGTCCTTGTTGAACGCATCAGGGATTGCATGTTCTTTAGGCGGTGCAGTGGCATATGCAGTGTTGTTGGCAAGGGAGCAGAAGCCTGCAGCGAAAGCAGGATCGCCAAGTACGCGGAAATCCTCTTCTGTTAGAAGTACACGAAGAAGTTCATCGAGGGGCAAATCTCCGGGAAAAGCTGCGGGGAAGAAACAATAGACGAGACTTTATATATGTTCCATCCACAGGGGGGGGGCCTCCCTCCCTGGTACATATATACTACTACTACGACTACACAACCGCATAGTACATCCTAACTTCTTGATGAAGAGGACACAATCTAAATGCGTCTGCAACTCTCTTCGTTAGAAAGCGTGAGAACAGCACGCTAGCTGCAAAAATAGCATTTCCATGCTCGTCGTCAAGGCTTCGAGGACGTAGCCTGGTCCTTCACAGCAGATAGGAGCTACTAGACGCGGAATTGTAACATCACTTTACACGTCCACTTACTATCATTTCGAATAGCAACATGCTTCAACGTCAGCAGGAGCAGCAGTCAGCCACTTTACGCTGGCTCAATGGCCAATTATTTCGGAGGCGTGTCAGTTCCGAGACTGCCTCAAACTTTCATCAGTGTGCGATACATGTATGCTTCTTTCAACCTGCAGGGGGAGACTTTAGTTTTGCCGCAGGTCTAGGAGGTAAAGGGAAAGGACAGGTGGATCGCTCTCCGCAGGAGCCGCAGGACCTGCAATCATCGGCTCAACCACTGCAGTCTTCCGCAGACGTCGTGGAAGTAAAGGAGGATCATCATGATCCCAATGCTGGCTTTCTACTAGCAGTGTCTCGCCGGGCGTCTCCTCTATGCAAAAATCCTTTTGTGAGCCCAACACAAAAGTTTGATGGTTTTGCGGCTCATGCTCCGTGATATTGGCACAGATTGTAACTTTGAGCTTTGTGTTTTTCTCTGCGTTATCGCCAAACTGTGCTATCAATGACTAGTCGTAGGCTTGATGTCCGTCTGGGAACTACTGTTGGCGTAGAGCCGAATGGAAGGCTACGCAAACGAATCCGAGGTAGAATTGAATTTCGAATACTTGTAAGATTCGGTATATTTATTAGTAGCTTTTTTTCGCAAGGAATGAAGATCGCTTTGAAAAAGCTCTGCAGGAGAAAACAATACAGTAAACGGATTTATCTGGCGTGCTGAAAAGTTGTGGAGAACAAGAGGATCCAACGAATTGAAGGCTAATCCGAAAAAGGGCTCCAACAGATCATCAGCCGATCTGTCTTTCAACAAACCACCAAGAAAAAAACATGTCTCCACCTTCTCAGGACGAGCTTTCTGGGCATTCACCTGCTGGTGACAGCTCAACCTCACCAGAGTCTTCCACCCTCGACTCCGCAGCAACCTTTCTTCTACATTTCACCGCAACCCTACCACCAGCATCAATTTTCTACTTGTTGCAGGCCTTGACCCTACTTCTGCTGTGGATTGCGGTATTTGCGGGTAGTGGAGTCGATTTCCTGCGCTTAGGCCAGAAGCTATCGAATACGGCTTTGAAACCCTCATGGCTTTCGAAGAGGGGCTTCCTCTTCGTTCTACAATCGGAGTGGCTCTATTTGGCTTGCGCGTACAGCATCGTGCCTTTGATGTTTGTGGCTGGATGGGTTGAGAACAGCGAAGGAGCTTTCTCTACTGCTGAGAATTATGAAATATCTTCGACGAAGTCGAGGACGTCGACATCAGCATCGTTTTCGACGTATGCCCGACCGATTCTCCGACTCCTGATCGCTGTTGCAGTTACGATATTCCACTTGGGCGATTCGTGTCGGACCAGCAGTCACCGCGACTATCTCATGCTCTACAATTGTTGGGTTTTGGCTTTTGCTGGGTTGTTTGTAGTGTTTTTCTCTCCAAACGATCTTCCAGAATATGAAGTTCTTGCCTCCGCTACATCCCAGTGGATCGCTTTCGGACTTTGTATCTGGTACATTTTCACTTGCGGTGTTTCTAAAGTCGTCATTGGAGGAGCCAAGGAATGGGCGTGTAATGGCACGCTTTTGGCCATTCTAGAGACGTTTTCTAGAAAGTCACCACGTGGAGGTGGTCCGGTTCTGGGAGTGGTGACGCGGTCTTTGGTGAAACCTCTGTTGGATGGACGTAGTAGTGAAAAATCGTCTGCACCACCAGCACCGGGCTACTTGGATTCTGCCAAACGTTTTTTCCTCAACGCTGCAGCCACATTCACCCTACTCTTCGAATGCGTGGCAGCTCCGCTTTGCCTGGTATTTCCGTCAATATTCTATTTGCGGGTATTGCTAGGTGCTGGAATGATCTTTCTGCATCTAGCAATAGGCGCGCTGCAGTCTGGCGCAATCGGTGCGTTTTTTCTGCCATGTGCTGCTAGCTATGCATACGGATTGACGCCGGTTACGCAGGACGCGAATGAAAGCTTGTCATTGTATTACCTCTCCATCATCGTTGCGATTTCACCAGTCGCTTACGGTCTTGTATTCAAACGACCTTCTCGACTTGTTTCTGAGGATTGGCCTTTTTCTCCTATGGCCCTCTTCCCATGGAATAATGTGCAGTGGGCAAAACTTCACGATTTGTTGGTGCGTGGTGATACGAGACTCGTGGTTGTAGTAGCCTCACAAGAAGACGAACAACCTGGCCTCCAAGAAACTAAAAAGGGAACAACGAACCGTCCTCTAGAAGGCCTCCGAGTAATCCCCATAGAATATGATGCTGAAGTTAAGACTCAGCTTTCAACGGTCATTGGGGTTGGTCACTGAGATCGAAGAAGCGACCCCTTTCGAGACCAGGGGAAAAGGAAGGGAAAGGGGAGAGCTTTGAAGGGAGTCGCTTCCGTTCAGCATCAGTGGCCATTGAATGCTGAGCTTTAATGAAGTGCCCTTGATGGAACGGCAAACAGGTCCGCTTCCTGGAGAGAGATCTGTAGCGTATGACTTATGGTCTAGAGTGATAGGGATTACCACCTTTCAAGACGTAATTCTACAGGAAATTCTTGCTTCTAGTGCGAAAGGTGGGAATGAGAAATATACATCGTCATCATTAGCACAGAGATTGACAGAAGCTACCAGACGTTTTCTCGTAGAAACCCAAAGAGTGATTGAAGTTAGCTCAGGAACAACCTTGACTGACTGTTACTTCGTGCGTGTGGACAGAAAGACTTTGAGAATCGTGGAGGTGATACATTAAAGTGCATTTTTTATGTACATTCCTCCATGCTGGACGACAGCAAAAAACATGACGATTTCGTGCTTCTTCAGGATATAGAAGTACTGTATCTGCTCGAAAGCCGGGCGGAAATGAAGTCAACAGCCATCTAAAAAAGGATGCACAAGAAAGAAAAGAAGCTTTTCTGAAACAAGAGTCTTGGTTGGAGTTGCTTTGGTTGAGAAGAGAAAGGGAAAATTGAACTTCTAGGTGTAAGGAGTAGTATCGATGCCGGTGGTGCTCTATTTTTTGTCACAATCAAAGAAAGAAAAGCAAAGAGAAGAGTCGAGGACAGGTGTAAAAAGATTGGTAGCTAGTGGTTAATAAATTGACAAAGAAATAGAAGCTGTCAATTTTATCGTAGCTACTTAAACACCAGTGAACTGTTTAACTGAACAGAAAATACTTTGTTTAGGTTATTCAAAGCCTGAAGACGAAGAGCTCGGCAAAACACCATGAGAGTCGCACGGACTTCATCCACCGGTCTCGCGAGCGCTACTGGCCTGACGCCAGAAAAGGAGAAGCTAGACTTACGGGAGTTACTACGTATTCGCGACCAGTATAAGAATCTACTCTCCGAGGCTCGCACCAGACATGCTCATGCGGCCGCGTCTTCGATTAAGCCTCCAGAGGCTCCGGGAACTGCGAAAACTGAGCAGCATGGCGGAAGCAGTTCCAGTACTAGTGCTTCTGCACCAAGAACTGCTAGTCGCGTTTTACTTCCGCCACCTGTCAGTGTGGATGGATCGTCGCCACCAAATAGCGGAGGACAACAAGCATCTTCCCGACAACCTCCAGTTGTGCAACAGGTTGCACTAGACCTACAACACGGTGGAGAACAAGGAAACCAAAGCAGAACGGAATCTCACAGTACCGTTGCAGATCTGCTGTATCTTGCGGAAGAAGTAGCGAGTGAAGTGGGACAACCGTCTGTTTCGGGACATGCCGGGAACAACCGAGGGACAAATTACAGCAGAAGCTCAGGTCAAAATGCTGCAACATCGTCGAAAGCAAGTAGTTCTAGTTTCTATCCTCAAGAGGTAACCCCTGACTTGAACCGGTCTTTCGGGAACAACAGACGACCGATGAGGCTCGAGGGTGGCACGTTGGACAGAAGCAATAAGGGTGCGCATGACAGTCTCATAGTTATGTTTGGAATACAGAAATATTCGTCGCATACTTGCTGGTTTATCACTCGGTCATCTTGCCCTTTCACATGGAAGGTACAGGGTGGCTGATCGGCCTCTATCACGTTAGAAAAACGTAGAACGAGGTATCATGACATGACATTGCAGCAATTGTTTTATCCTCACGGTAATTATTAATCCTATAGATACTCTCATCGATTGTTTGCTTAGCCCACCTTCACATCTTTTTCATCAATGTCTCCTCTTTCATAAGAAATAGTCCAATCTTAGCAGCAGCAGACGGTCAGCAGACGACGACGCATCAGGTGCATTATTTCGAAGCAGAGCTTGAGGAACATCAAAAAAATTACGAAGACGAACATCATGCTCATGTTCATGACGATGCTTACGATTCTGAATGCGACGAGATGCTAAACGACACTCTGAGTGCTTCGCAAGCTGGAGATAGTAGCTTTTTCGTCAACGAGCGAGGAGAAGTGCAGATTCCTGTCGAATTGAAGATAAAGTTCAACGAAGTCTGTCTGCAAATAGGGATTGACTCTCTTACGCGAGTGTTTTTGCTAAGACATTTTCGCAGTTTGCGAGAGCGGTGTATTAGAAAAGCTGCAGCTGGAGGTGGGAAGGGGAAGGCTTTGGAAGCAGGTAAGAATTTTTATTTGATTCTCTACTTTTGTTTTCTTCCATGAAGATCTGGAGCATTAGCATAAAGCTTTTACATGAACATATGTCTGTAAATGAATAAAAACTTGTTCTCATATTGCCCCTCTTTCTACCTGCTTGAAAACAAGGTGCGCTCACTCTCGGTCGTGTTGTGAGCAACAGAGCTTGTCCCGAGGCTGCCTGTATTCGTGACATTGAGTTTGCACAGAGTTTAAATGGCCTTGGAGGTGGAGAGGTGGTGTCAACTTGTTCTAAAATAGATGTGGAAGCAGATGAAGGGGGTGAACTACAAGCAGATCCGCAGCTCCCCGCTCAGAAACTGAAAGCAGCAGTCTCGATGTTAGTACAGTGGCGACGAGGTTGGTTACGACGGGTACTCCTAAGGGCATTCTGGCAGTTGAAGTTACACTGTACAGCTACCTCATGTGCCGTGCCAGCAGTCGAGATTGTAGACGATCCCGCAGGAGGTCTCGCACTAGGAGGTTCTTCTAATCAGGAACATCGACTCTTAGCTTCAAATCGGGACTTCAGAGCGACTGTGTCCAAAGATGGCGCGGTTTCGTCGTTTGAATACTACAATTGAAATCAAATTGACCTTCAAATTGACCTCAATTTGGTGCACTCTCAGAGTCAAGTGAAAGTGGTACAAGAACATGGCAAGAAAATGAAAACTGATTCTCAAAAACAAAACGGAAAGAAAAACGTCCTTGCTACCTCCAGAGTCGCTTCTGATTTTTCCGACGACTATTAATGTAATCCATCGGGTGTTCTCCTACGTCTTCACCCGCACCAGGAGACACGGTCTTATATAAAAATACAAAATGCTGGTCTGGTATTGTTTTTTCCCGAAAGAAACTGGCTCATTTGATGTAACATACGAGATTGACGCAGAAATCTATTCCTCTCTCTCTCTTGATTTCGGTTCGGATATTCAATTCTTGCGCAGGTACAATATTTTTCGAAAACTTGTTTCTGAGATCACCTGAAAATTTGCTTGCCTGTAAGGCTAAGCTAATAATAATAAGGTCCTAGTGACTGATAGTTTGAAGAATTGATCGTCCCCATACCCATAGCCTTTTCTTACACTCAATTTCTATTATATTAGGTTTTTGCTCTTGTAGTTTTTCATTCTTTATTCGGAGCGCTTTATTGGGGACGTCTGTCAGTAGATCAATTACATCCTCTCAGTCCCATCCTCTTGATCACCAAAATGACGGAAGCTGCGTATGTTGATGAGGCTGGCGAGCCCGATGCTAAGCGCAGACGTGGCGGAGAGCTTACCTACCTATCCGCTGAAGATATTCAGAAAGCCTACGACGCGAAAACAATTTCAGAGTGGGACTTCAACTTCTACAAAGGTAACAACAATAATGTTTTTTACTCTGGAAATGAATCAGAGAGTTCTGTCGACAACTCTGCTACTGCCACTCTTTCTTTGATTCAGTAATGCCTTCGATTTGGCATACAGCTTATTCATCATTTCTATCACTTTTTTGACATCATGCATCAGATAACATCGGTAAGGAGCAGCTGAGCGAGAAACAGCTAGACATCAAGACACGCATCGAGAATAGCATACAAATAAATGGCGCCAGGAAGCAGAAGCTGGACGAGGCGAAGGCCGCTGGTCGGGTCAACGACTGGGAGCATAACTTTTATTATGAAACTGCAAATCAAAAATGCAACTCGTGACCCCCTCAGCCTCTATTGGCTCAATTTCATAATCTTTTAGTCTTCGTTTTTGTTATTTCGGTGACATGCAGCACTAAGTAATGTGTTGCTTTACATGGATGAAGTGATGCTGTTCCCACTCTAATCCCTTTCGGAGCAGATGTTAAAGCCACAGCTTAGCGAGAAGCAGCAAGCGCGCTACGATGAGATCCAAGGCAAGATCGATGGCACAATCGCACCCGGACGCCGAGGCGGAGCCGGGCAAGAAGGTGGCTTTGCTGCTGCTGCAGCTCCACCAGTGAGTGCTGGAGGGGGCTTCGGTCAAGGTGGCTTCGGTCAGCAACAGATGCCCAACAATTTCGGAGGAGGTTTTGGAGGTGGACCAGCGCAGCCAGGAGGTGCTCCGCCTTCTAGTAGTGCTCCTGCAGATCAAATGGCTGGCTTTGGCGCGGTCAATAACACAGGTTTTGGAGCAGGTGTAGGCGGGTTCGGCCAACAGCCTCAAGCTTTTGGTGGAAACGGAGGTTTCGAACAGCAAATGGGTGGTGGGTTTGGGCAGCAATTTGGTGGTGGATTTGGTGGACAACAACAAATGGGCGGCTTTGGGGGAATGCAACAGCAGCAACCGTTTGGGGCACAGCCAGGACTAGGAGTTGCACCGCAACAACAACAGCCAGGAGGATTTGAACAAGGACAAGGACTAGTACCACAAGGACCAACCGGCGCAGACCAATCTCAATTCTTGCAGACCATTCCTCCAGAAGAAGTTACGCAAGCACAGGCTGCAAATAAGATCACAGAATGGGAGAAAAATTTTTACTTGGACATCGCAAAGCGAATTGGCGAAGGGCTTAACCAGCTCTCTGATCGTCAGGCAGAGAGGAAGGCGGAGGTCGAGGGAAAAATCGCTGGAACATTCACTCCAGAACAACCAGGGGGCGCAGATCGTATGGATATTTTTTATCGTCTGCGTTTAACAATTTTGTTAGGGAGAGGGGAGTTGATACTCACTTCATTATAAGATGCTCTTCGATACGGCTATGATAACGAATATTTTATTTTGCTGGTCTTTTCCTTCTTATCTAATTCTGATCATATTAGAATAACACCACAGCAAACGCGATCTCCCAACTTTGGGGCTTCTCTATGGGACAAGCGGAGCAGGCGAAAACTGCAGGACAGATCTCGCAGTGGGAGTTGAATTTCATAACGGACAACTTCAACAAGCAGTCCCTGAGTGAAAAGCAGCAGGTAATTTGTGATCGTATCAAAGGCTCAATGTCGCAGCCAGCTCCAGGCGGTGGACAGCAGGGAGGTACTTAGATAGTAGACTTTTTCGAATGTTTACTATGAAGCGCTTCGGTTTGATGATCGTGCTAAAATACTGACTCCTCGACTTATATACCTGAATAGTGCTAGGTAAATGAATGAATGAATGAATACTACACTACTTTCTTAGTACGAGGAGGGATTCTTGTAATTCTAACTTCTATTCTGACTTCTTCATCCTTCTACCTCCTTCAGGTGCCGGCCTGCCAGCTGCAGGACAAGCGGCATTTGGTGGGGAGGGGGATATGTCGCAAGCTTGGAACATCTCCCGCGCCGATCTAGAGACTCTCATTATGCAGGCTCTGAGTAGTACATAAAAACTCACTTCTTTATACAGTAAGGTAACTGCAAGAACAGTATCGTAACTAGTACTAGTTTATTCGGCATGGTGTATGGTGATACGTTGGACTACATAATCATTATTCAGGACTGGCCTGCATACTCTGCTGAGATAAGCATTCAATTTCCAAAAGAGGAAGGACAGCCAATGATGAGTCTTCTCATTCGCTTAACTTTATTAAGCAACTAAAGACAAAAAACTCCTCTGACAATAATTTAAGTAACTTCGTGTTCGTGTTCCCAAAGCAGAATTTTTATAAGGTTTCCCCCTTTTTTCTGAGGTGTGCTGCAAATCTAGACTGGTTTCTTCCTTTTCATAAGGTTGGGGCTTAGGTCCAGCGGCGCTGAAAGCCCTAAATATGACAACCCACCGGTTAGTTTTTACCTCTAGAGTCCTAGCCCTTCCAGCAATACGTAACCACTATTCAGGAATGGCCACCTTTACATAGAAGTGCTCCATCATCTACTTCCCTACATTCGCACTCTAATCTATCCTCTTCTGGTCGAGTTAGCGAGTGGGAGAAGGGATTCATCGAATCCAATTGGACAAGGCAGAGCTTCAGCGAGAAACAGCAGAAAATCGTAGACCGAATCATGCCGAAACTGGCTGGCGCTGGTGGTGGCGGTGCTGGTCCATCAACACAGGGAGCCTTTGGAGGTGGTAACAGGAACCAGCTTCAAGGTGGCGGTGGTTTTGGTCAGCAGCAGCAGCAGCAGCCTTTCGGACAGCATGGCGGCGGTGCTGGATTTCAAGGCCAAAACTTCCAACAAGGACAGCAAAACTCCCAACAGCAACAGAACAGCTTTGCTGGTCAACAGAATTCGAATCCAGGCGCCAGCGGACGACTGTGCGCTTTTACTGTTGAGCAGGTAGAGGAGGCGCGTGCGGCAAACAAAATCAATGACTGGGAGCGCGGGTTTTACATCGATAATATTCCGAAGGAGTCGCTAAGCGAGAAGCAGACACAAATCAAGGACCGCATAGAAGGCAAAATGCGGAGGTAGTGGTAGTCAAGAGAATTAATCTATCTAATGTGTGAAACAAGGTGGGTGATCAAATGGATCAGCATATGTAGTACCAGACGAACGGAACAATTAATTTGGATGCAACAACTAGCGCGACGAGGAAATTCACAATCCACCCAAACTTAGACTTTAGACTCCTCAGAAGTGAGGCCTTCCATATGTTAAAATAGGAATTGTATAACGTCGACGTCGTGAAGAAGTGTTGTACTTCTATTTTTCTGGATCTTGCTTCCTGCTTGAACGTTCGAAGATTTCAAAAACCTTAACCTTTCTTTGGTGTGATTCTCGTACCTCTATAATTGTGATGTGAATGACCCAGAAGATTCAGCAGCTTCCAATTGTAACGTCCCTGCCAAGACCAAAAGAGACTGTCATCAAACCATAACGAATCGCAAAGTGAGTTTTTTCAGACTTTTTACTACTGCTCAATATCAATGGAAAAAGAAAATCAGTGAAGTCAACGTTCATGTTCAATTTAGTTTCAGCCGTTCCGCTGATGATAAAAAGTACTTTGTTCTCACGGAATGCATCAGATCCTTAAATGCAAGGAAATTAGAATCGGTGATGAAGCTCTTCAAGTGCATGAAAGAATCGAAAATTTCTAAGCTCCTCAGTCAATGACAAAATCTAAAGAATAACTCACGACAAATAACCTGCAACCAAAGAACATCAAGGAAAAGGATCTTTCTACTCTCTTCTCATGATGATACGGCATCAACATTCACTTCTACTTCTCCTCTAACTTACAGAACCAGGAAATCGCATTCTTGCTTTTCTTCTCTCTACTTTTGTGGAAAGATTGATTGCCAAACGCAGAACATCAATTTTTCTCATACCAAGAACGCTACGTAGAACCAGAAAAACGCATAAATCTAGTTGGAATTTGATCGTACCCAAATAACATAAGCATATTAACAAATACTGGCAAAAAAGATTGAAAAAACGAGTTTCAGTAACATAACCACACCACATGCAGTCCTAGAGGTTCTTTGTTGTTCGTAAGATACCATCACTACTACGCACGTATACGTACCATTATCACATCTAGCACTCTCATCACACTGTCTTGTCTTCACACTACTCACCTACGAGTATCTAAAGCGACGTGCTTTGTCTTTGTATACAATCCATCAAGATCAAAGGAAAAAAAATGTTGGCTGGAAAGACGTTTTCGTTTGCTGTCTGTGGACTGCTTTTCGCCAATGCTGTCAGAGTACAGACATCAAGAGGAAGTGGAGATATGCCTGGGGAATTGCCGCCTCATTCTGGATCATCAGATAAGGGACTATTTTTGCAAGCTCATCCTCAGATGAGACAGCAAGCACAAGGATTAGTAATAAAAGCCGATCCCGCGATCAATGGAACAGGAGCTGTGGAAGTTGACGCATGCGTGGAAGGAGTGACGAAGCTTAGCCTTGCAGAAAAGGACTCATCTACTTCTAGTGGTGCCTCCAAGGGAAAAGATCATGAGCAAGAACAACAAAAAGAACAGCTTCAGTCGCAGGTTTTGCAACGTGTACCTTCTAACGGTAGCACACAAGCGCCTGCTTCTCCTGACTGTACTCCGACTTCATCGGACAGCTCACCTGAAGATCCTCGTGAATCTGGAGATGATAGTGAGGAAGAGGGGATTTTCCACTTGATGGAAGACATTCCACCCTGGGTCATAGAGGCAGGTGGGGACGACGAAAGATCGGAGCAGGTACTGTCACTTTTTTATATATTAATTCAACAACAAGATCATTTACATTTTGTTTTTGATGTGGATATGGATATGCAGTATGAATCTAAATCTTCCTTGTTTTGAATGCAGTTCGCTGAATTTCTCGAGCGGAGTTCCTCTCCGTAATTTCTAGTAAAGTAGGTCTTTTTGCCCGTGCTCGATCTGCACTGAAGTGTTAATATGAAGCAAGTCTCTACCTACGGAAGTGTTGATATTATTTAATTACAAAGTTCTTTCCAAAAATCTGACCCTTAGCAGGAACCCATTCCCTATCCCTTACAGTTATCACTGAGCGAGCTGTTTGCGGATCCGGATCCGGAACTGGGAGATAGCAGCAACGACAATGCTAATATTATGAATATGCTGCCTGAAGAGCCAAAGCTCTAAGTTCTCTGAAGAGCCTGGCGCGGAAGAACCACGCCGAAAACATATGCATGCAAGCTCTCGTGATACTACGTTTGATTGCGGGCTGGACATTTCATCTCTACTCTAGGGTGAGGGCCAGCCTGATGAACAGCGTGTAGCTGTGTGATGAGGTTTATGTCCAGCGACGCTTAAAGCATTAAAGTAAATAAAACAACCGGATAGCAGCTTTCCCTCTATCCTTAGGCTTATCCCTTCAAACAGTCTAAGTATTTATGTGATAGATCGAAGGTGATGTAGCAGATGGACTTCTGTTAGAATCAAGGGGTTGCGCGTGGAGCTAAATTAGTACGTTCTTTTGATGCTTTGATCAGGTAAGAACCGAAATAAGGGTGCTTGTTACAACGAAATAGTGAAGATGTACTAGAAATAGAAGGTGGGCACAACTTCTAGATCATGGTTTTTATTATGTATGACGTCGTATTTGCAATTTAATTAAAAAACTAGTAGTAGATGAGAAGTTGATGTTGAGGTTGGGTTTGAAAAAGTCTATCATTTTCAGTGATGTTCTTTACAGAGAAGTAGAACGACTCTTCAGCGCTCTTCAATTATGACGAGAGCTGAAGGGACTACTTGTCTAGGTTGTGTAATAAGTTTGTGCTGATTTTTTTTGAATTTCTTGTTTAGTGTGATCGTAAAAATGCAAAACATTAACATATTTGATGCGCAAACAAAAAGAAATGTATTAATACAACAACAAGTACTACATAGATGACTGAGAACAAGTGAGACTGAAATTGTAATTTGAACTAGAAGTTGTGATCCATCGCGATCGCTCTAAAGGATCTTCTGAGAGGAACATGAAAAATGATTAAGAAAGACGCGACCTGGGCTCGTAGCAAGAACTAGCCCATTGCACTAGAAGTTAGATATTTTTATCTATCCTTCCGCCACCGCTCCATATTGATTATTATTGTCACGAATACGAATCAGTACCACGTATGACAATAATGTTGCTAACGCTAATCTTATCCGCAAAATCAATGTCAACCTAAAGAGACTTTTTAGCCAAAAACAAGAACAAGATCTACTCCATATCATTCTATTTTCCAAACTTCTACACGAATGTGACCACGGTGTTGTTTGTTCTGCTCAGGAACGGGAGGTGTTGGTTCCATTTTTAGCTTTCCACAAAGAATTCCGTATATGATGTTTATCTCACTCTATTATTTTTTTGCACGATCGCGGCGTCTTAGTCACATCTGCCGTATCTGATCTCACAAACTCAGGAGAAGGGAGTTCTATCAAATCTTTCCCCAGTGACGCTGTTGTACTATGGCCGTGAGGTGGAGCCGCGTAGGACGCGTAGGATTATGGACGTTGTACCTGTGTGCACGAGTCGTGTAATAGATTGCAATTATTGGATTTGAGTTATATGTTGTACTACTTTTTTATGTTATCTTCATGTGCTAAGAAGAAGGAAGAGTCGAAGCAGTAATTAAGTTATATGTCGCTCAAGCGTCAAAAGATACCTCCAGAACAGGTAAATGAATGAATGAATGGTCCTCCTGGTAGCAATAATTTTTTCAAATACAGGCTCGTTAAGAAGACTTCTTTCTACTGCTACTCAAAGCCGCAACTACAGGTTAACAAGAATGTTGTTGCAAAAATAGGTGAAATTTAATGTTGCTCGCCGTCGTGTGAGCACAAGACATGGGCAGCAGCCGGTGGGGATGCAATCAAAACAGCCTTTGCAAGGATGCATTTGATGTTGTACAACAAAATTAGTATCGAAAGAGTAGCTAGTACCGAAACCGATACTGATTATGTTGGAAAGAGAGTTGTGATTGTCTAGGAAAACTGCCTGTAATCCGTTAACGTGTGTTTTTTAAACACAACGTCAATCTTCACAGTCAGACCATGATTATCGTCAAGTGAAGGACACCAGACTTTTACATCGAAAAAGAAGATTGATGCAACCATCGCAACATGAGGTTCAGGTGTGCAGCACTGACTTATGTCGAAGAGCAGCGCAATGAGGATTTATATGTCTTGTTCGTGCAATCCCATGGGCTAGTTGTAATTGCAGTGCAGTGGTTGCTCCGCTGTCATGTTTATCATGGGTCTATCATCAGTTTTAAGTGAAGATCGGTGAATGAAGATGGGTAGTGGAGTACTGCCCCGTGGTCTGATGTGGACCCGGTCAGGGTGAGATAGTAGTAGAGAATGATGGGAGCAACGATGTATCACATTCAAAACAGAAGCCAGTTTTGAGTAGGAAACTTTCTGAATCGACGAGGACTACTTCTAGTCCTCCCTACGTTCTTGTCTACAACAAGTGTATCTCCGTAACCATGATCATGCCTGCTCTGGTTCGACTGTCACTCGTCTTGAGTGGTGAAAACTACCTCTACCAAAAGTAGGATACTAATACTCATCACAATGTCAATGTCTCTGTGATCGGTTCCTAGTGGTTAACGCTACTTCTTCTACCTCTACTCCTACGTACTAGTTCTACTCACGATATCTATAATGCATCTCTCTAAACACATCTACTAGACTCAAATCGTCGTGTGCAGGTGCAATTTAGGCACATGAAAAATCTTTCATCTACTCAGGTTCTTTCTGATGAAACCAGACTACTGCATTAGCAATCCCAGAAAGCATATTGGATCAGGATTAATCGTAGAGGAGGTTGCTTATGTAACTAGTACTTCGAGTAGAGTATCTATATTTATTAGTAAGCCCTTTTGGCTACTGGCAGAGAAAGAACGCCTTTCGAAGTTGTAAGTACTTAATATACTAGTTGTGGGCCCATCAATGAGCAGACAACACGAAGCAGACAAGTACAACTAGGTACCAGAACTCCGAGATCTGACAGGGATACGACAGGTAGAACTAGAAGAAGATGGTAAGAACTGAAATGTTCTTCATCTGTAATCTTGGGTTGAGTTCTCAGCGCGGGCGCGGGGGTGAGGGTTAGTTATCTCTCAAGTGGGGTAGACATCGTAGCAAGTTTTTCATTGAAAGGATCTCGTTGATTGTCGCGCTACAATCTTCAAGCATTTGCTCAGCATACTCTGAAGATGATTTTTCTTCTTGGCATGTTATTGACCTCAAAGGAAACCTAGTATCATCTTCTGATTTATTATTAACATTGTGCTCGAGGAGTCATCTCAAACTAGTGCTATTTACTTACTAGTTTTCCACCTCTCGTCCAATACCACGCAGATAGAGTGATAATCTACTCAGGACATGCAACGCCGTGAACCTGAACTACCACTCTAAAACAATCTTGGATTTGGACAATGAACAGAGTTACAAGTAGTATCTTATCTCAATTCATTTTCCATGGCCTCACTCTACTTTTATGAATCTGTAATTTCTTCGCATTCCCTACGTGACCGTTTGATGTAATCATGTCGTGGTCCTCTCAGACCTCAGCCAGGTCTTGCGCGTTTGATTGATTTTTTCATTGTTTTTCGTCTTGAAGTTAGGCTTTAGCTATAAAGTTGCTCGTCGGTCTTCTTTTGTACTTTCTTGTACGGGTAGTTATTTATTGCGTGGTCCGTCTGCGGCAGCTGCCATGTCTGGTAAAAGTGTTCGAAACAAGGTCCGTTGGTCTTCAGTCTCATGAAACGATCCACTAAAGTGAAAGCGGACCATGGTCATGTGCATGATGCTCATCATTGACGATCCTCTTCATCTTATGATCGTTCGTCGCGAGCGCGACATAAACCGTCTATTCTTATTGTGATTTCGAGAGAACTTCTACGCTTTGTGTAGGATTGTTAAGAGAGCTAGCGCGCGTGCTCGGATATTTATTTATTACTACGCAAGAACTTCTTCCCATTTTGTTTTTGTAATTAAACCTGAAATCTGAAGACAATCAGAAAAATGGCGAGAACATCAAGAAAGTTCTCCTCTTCTGCTCCTAAGCTTGGGCTTGCAGGAACGATCTTGTTAGCCTCTGGTGCTGTGGCCGCAGCCCTCGTCCAGACACCGGAAACCGATGTTGACGTGCGTATACGCACGACCTGGCCACGTGTCTCGCCAGCCGCAGAAACCCTTGAGTTCCTCAAAGAGATCGACCCCAAAGATGCAAAGCCCTTACTGCAGGAGACCTTGTCCTGTGCATCTTCGTCGTCTGGTGCTAAAAAGGGTCCGCCCTCCAAGTCCAAGGAAAAAAACCCTTTCGCCTTGTCCACCTGGCTCGCTGACGAGTACGTGGTACGCTTTGCCGAGCTTGCTATTGCAAACCACTACTACTCTCCGAGAATCGAGATGCACCGGTCGATTGAAAGAACACATCGTGCGGAGTATCTCCTGACCACTGGTGGTGCTGAAACGATGAAAGGGGCGTCTCCAACATGTCCGTGGTTTTGGGTCTTACTTCCGGATGGATCAGCTACCTGCGACATCACTCATCTGGGAAACAAGCAAAAGAAGAAGAAGCAGAAGAAGCCTGTTGAGGATGAAAAGGAAAAAGTGATCAAGAACTACCCATCCACTGACTTTGACCTTGTGCTGTTCGACAAAGTACAAGATGGAGAAGTACAAGCAACTGGTGTTGCTGAGAAAAATACGGCAGAGCTACAGCAAACTGGCACCGCGATTCTCTACGCGGATGTTGGCAGGCTCACTGAACAGCGCGCCGCTTTTCTCGACTACTGTACTTCTAGTGCCAAAAAATCCAAACCTTCTTCTTCCTCTTCTTCTTCTTCTTCTTCTGACCGACATGATCTCCTTGCAACCTTAATGCAACTAATTTCGACTCGTAAAGACGTCAAGAAGTTCGTTTTTCGACATGCTGGCCGCTGGACACGTGATCGTGATGAAGAAGATGGGGTAGATCTTGTGGCTGGCTATGGCGTCAAGCTGATGATCAAAAACACCGAGTACAAGACCGATGCATCGGGGACTGGACCCGAGTCCAAACCTGTGCGTTTTCACAAGGAACTAGGGGTGGACTTCGTGGATTACTTGAATAAGATCGCTGGTAAAGAGGTGAAGCAACAAGACGTAGTGGAGCTTCTCGATGGTCCACCTAATGCGACAACTGGAGGAGATCCTGCTAATGTTAAGGCTCAACTTTCAATGGTCATTGGGGTTGGTCACTGACATCGAAGAGGCGCCCCCTAAGAGAACCGGGGAAAATGAAGGGAAAGGGGAGAGCTTTCCAGGGGGTCTCTTCCGTTCAGAGTCAGTGGCCAATGACGAGTGCTGGGCTTTAATAATCATGCAACAGAACAACAAGATCTTCTCCCAAACTCCACCATTTCTGAGCAAAGCAGTAGAAGAGTACTAAGACTCCTTCAACGGATGACCCAGAATTACCCAGAAGAGGACGAAAACGTTGCTCTTGCGATCAATAAAACACGCATCGATTTGGGTCTGAGCGAACGACGTCCAAAAAAGGAGAAAAAAATGGAAGAAGCATCAAAACAAAATTATGCTGGAAAAGGTTAGTTGCATTTTTTATGCTTTTTTTAAGCCTCGTTCTAATAAACGACCAACTATTTGTCTCTTACTTAACTTAAAACTTTGCTCCCACCTCTAAAAACAGAAGGAAGACGCCGAGAAGAAAGACAAGCAAGAAGATACTGACGCTGTTGCCGAGAAGATTGCTGATGCTGTTGAGAAGGACGAAAAAGCGAAGAGCGAGGATGAAGCTGAAAACGACGACTACGATACGAATGTAAAAACTACCACAGAGCCGGAGGAAGAAGAGCCACAGACTCCGTCTCCATCTGAAAGCGCTACCTTCACACTGCGGAACATGATGGGCCTTCGGTACATGAAAAATAGCATGTTTTCGCTCAATGGGCGCATCTTAGGGACTGACACGGCTAATCTGCATGACGCGTTAGGAGTCTATCTGCTTCTCCACCAGTTGATGCCGCAATTTTGCGCACGCGAACGTCTGCGCCGACTTCAGACGGTCAAAAATGCGGGTCAAGTCTCAGCTTTGCTTGCTGGTTTGCCGGACGATGTTGGAATGATTACGGCGTTGATCTTGAAGTTGATGTGAGAAATTCCAACTGTGTCGCAGGAGTAGGGAAAGAAGTGTGCTGTAGTACTTACGTAGCACTTGAGAATGTTAAAAAGAGGTTCTCCCCAATAAAGGGTGTTCCCTACAGCTTCCCTGAGAACATCTCGTCACTACAACAGATCTCCTACTAGTTCTTCTAATATATCCGATTCCAACAAGGAACTACAAAATCCAGAGACCAATCCAAAAGAGGGCACGGGGCTTGGTCACATTTCAACTATTCAAGATTTCGACTTTTGGCGATTGTTATCGCAGGAAGCTGTAGTATCAGACGGGGCAAGACCTGTGCCTTCGATTTACACTGTTAGCGCGGATCCGAAAGTTAAGAACGTTGATATTCGCGGAGAGGAATTTCCTATTTTTTCTCCCATATTGTATATTTATATAGTTTCTTTCAACATGGCTTTTTGTTTTTGAAGGCACGTTGTCCATTAGTTACATTCAGACAATTATGTTCAATGCGCAGGGCAGCTGAGGCAGAAACTCCTCTAAATCTAAATAGATCTAAATATAGATGACCACTCTCATCTTGTTCTGCCCCTATCTAATACCCCCGCAGCCTGGTCTTCTGATTGGGAAGCGCTTCAAGAGAGACAGCAAGACATGATGTCGCAATTAGGGATGATGGGCATGATGATGGGAATGCCTCCGCAGGTCCCAAAGATTCGACGCCCACTGGTTGAAGTGGTCTACCTGTTTGATCCTTTGATTATGGCTTGTTTACTAGATACAAGTACTTCGTATCTTGATTTTCTTTTACGTGGTCTCCTTCTAGTACATTAAGAGATGATCATCTCTTAGGCCTCCTACATAAAAATCAAGGCTTTCGTCCAGCAGCTGTCTTCTGAGCGACTGCGAGAACAAAACTCACCAGGAGTACAACCGAAGCTGGAGGATGAACTCGCGCTCTGCTCTAATCTGCTCGAGGAGCACAGCAAACAGGCGATCGGGCTTTTGCGGCTGCAACCGAGTCCAGTCGACATCTACTTTTTGCTCTTGCCATCATCTACTGCTGGGATGATCGAAACAACTGCACAACAAACAAGCCAGAGCACCACATCTTCCTCCTCTTCAACAGCAGTTGCACCTTTTGCAACAGAGGAAGACGCATTTTTTAAGCGCATCGTACCGGAAATTGAGGGGATTGATTCTACTAAAGACGTGAAGAATAGAAAGAGTTCTGAATTGGCAGAGTACAAATGCTTCCTCAAGAAAGTCCGAACAGCAGTCGCAAAGATGTTCTTCCATATACTTACGCCTTCGTCGTCGTCAACATCTGGTGAGGATTCCTCTTCCACTGACGAAGAAAAGAAGAGTACTAAAGACGCACTTGACGATGAAGACGAAGATTCGCCTGGGGAACTCGCCAAAGAACAAGCTGAAGAAAAGGACAAGAAGCACATCCAAGAGGCACAGAAACGACGAAAGAAAGCAGCACTGTTTCTCCGAGATGCAACCTCGCATGCAGAGTGGAAAAACCTTGTCTACGCGTACACATTTGATCCGGCGACCGAGGCGACCGCTGATGCCGAATTCGATTATGACAAATTCAAAAATCAGAAGAGATCCAACTACTTTCTACTCCTTATCCTGAATAAATACTAAAATAACTTGAGCCCAGAAATATGAAGAGATGTGCAAGAAAGGACAAATATGATTAAATAGAAGCACATTTTTGCATACCCGTCGAACTGCAACTGACTGGGTACTATATCATCATGATGATCACCACTACTACTCATCGTCTAACCCTGAGAAGAGGCGCAACAAGAAAGACAGATAAAATTACAGCACCTGATGATGATGGGCGCGCCTGAGTATGCGGTTGAAGAGGAGATGTTGCAGTTTGATACCCAAGTCGATGTGATACGCCAAGCAAGTAAGAAGCGAAGGGAGGACAGTCGAGTGTTATGAAGTTGTTGTTGGAGTTGATATATTTATATGAGCCGGCAGCTGTGGCCCCTTGATATAAGTATTTTTTTGTTAAAATAAAAGATGTAACGAATCAATTGGTCTTCTTCGGTTCAAAATCATCATTATATGAGCCGGCACAACTTTGTGGCTGGTGCTCTCCGTAGAAGGTACTACAGCATGGGATGTTGGCCTCACAAGTAGACAGCAATAGCTACATAAGAGGCGCCATGACATGGCATGTGTTTGTGGTATTACAGATGAGATCTTGTTGAGCAGATACTAAATAACTCGTCCGCGGGTTACCCCTGCTTTCTTCAAGGTGAAATCCTTGATCATACACTTGTTCGAACAGATACACAATTTTATAATTCGTAGTGACGCCCTTAAGGCAGTCTGCACTGAACTTTGTGCGAGATAAATTGTATTGTATAGCTGGAGGAGCTGCTAGAAGGTCCTTGATGTTCCTCTCTCTTCTCTCTAAGGGCAACAGTAACCCGCTACCTCGATTGTGCCGAAGACGGGGATACTTTGATCAAGGAAGTTTTGGAACCTCAGTTCGAGAAACGCCTGGCAGAACTGGGACTGGAGGACGAACCTAAGAGTCCAAAACCAGTTGAGCAGTCTTACACCACTACCCACATTCCCCAGAATACTGCCGCTTTGCCTGTACCTTCGATGATGCACAACGGACGCATTACGACGGGGAAGCATGTCTTTCAAAACTTTGAGCATAGAGAATTCATGAACAAGGTCATGTGGACCAGGCGTATTAGGGGAGCCCTAAGATTAAGGGTAGTTTTTCACTATCCCGTGTGGACTAGGCGGATTAGGGCCGCTCGTGCCCTTGCTTTAGTAAAGGGCGCGTGGGGGGCGCAGGGCACCCTGCTCGACTCGGTATAGTGAAAATCTACCGCTAATAAGACACGCGGGAAATATCGAACTTCGAATCGGAGGAGTCCAAAACTATCTGAAAAACGTTGTCATGAAGGAACGATTGCCGGCACACCATGAAGCGTTGACGATGGTACTTCATTTTTTGGACACCATGATGAGGCGTTGACGATGGTACTTCGTGTTTTTGACACCAACATAAACATGCAACATTGATGATGAAGGCGATGGTTGTACAACTTTTCACAACTACCGACTATACAACTGTGCATCTTCTATAGGTTTAGGTTCCTAAGTCTCATATACCTGCGGGACTGCGTTTATTTTGATACTTGGGTAAAATGTTGAGAGGATGTTGGAGCGACCGAGGAAGACGAAAGGTCTTGAAGTCTATCAATACCGTGCTCCACCTTTTGCCCTACTTTTCCTATACCGGGAGCTGAGATCATACATCGAAATCAAGTCGGAGCTATTGTTATCATCTTTTCCTATTCCTTAGTTCGTACAACTCTACCACAGGACGCGATGATGAGTAGCAAAGGCGAAGATGAGCAAGACGACAAGAAAAAAGGGAACGAGCAAGAGGGTGCAGCATCGGCTTCTGATCGCAAACTGCGCAAAATTCCATGGGTTCTGCAACAATTGGATATTCCAGACAAGATGCAGTTTTTTGGAGGTGGTGGCTCAGGTTCTCAAGTTTTTGATGGTGTTACGCGCAAGAGTGGTGCAGTAACTACAACTGCTAAGTCCTCCAGTACAGGAAATGATGATGCGACCAGCACAACCGGATTCTTCCATCTCGTTTTTCTTTTCTCCGAGGCGGACTTGTATTTGATCCAAGTGTTTGCGCAGGCGGCGAAATTGCGGGAGGAAACACAGGTTTTAAGGCTATATTATTTCTTGTAGTAAATAAACCTATGTAATATAGCTTGATACATAGATGATCCACTATGATCCATTATTTAGTTATACATAGTAGTAGTACAACACTCAGGAGGCTGAGGAGGACTCCTTCATTTAAGGGTTACCGAATTGCATCCTTCACTACCATTCTTGACTTATTTTCCAATAGGAAAGAAGTCAAGGATGATCTGAAGAATGTAATTGCGCAACCCCTAATTCATCGTTTTTAGATTTTTATTCAGGATGGAATACTTCAAAGAATGATCATATTATGCCCAGTTCTGGTGGAGCTGAAGGCCTTCGTCCTCTAATATCGGGATTTGTCTTCGTTGGTGATCGCATGTGGAAGCGATACGGTAAGAAATTCTATTGCCAGCTTTTGGTGAAGAAGGGCAAAGAAGCCAAGAATGCAGTTGACTACTTGCTGACTAGTACGTCTGTCTTGCCGTCTTCAGTTTGCAACTTCGAAGAAGAAGCACAAGCAAAAGTATCCTCTTCAAAATCCAAGAAGGGAAAAAAGAACAATAAAAAGACCTCCGCAACAAAAGCTGAAGACGAAAAGCAGCTAAAGGCGCAGTTAGCAGAGATCGAAAAGGCGAATGGGAACCTTGCAGACCAGATGCAGCACAAGGAGTTGCGAACAGATGCAATGAAAACCTTCATTCATGGATGGAAAAACACTGAGACATCAAGTAGTACTAGTACTGACATCTCCACTCCTCTGCCGAAAGATCGTGTAGCCAGGTGGTGGTGTAACGGAAGGGTCGTGGAGTTGGTTTCGCCAAACGTTGACATGGTTGAAGAATCTGCTTCTGGTGCTTCATCTGTGCACAGTACTAAAAGTAATTATCTGCCTCTGACGATGACTCCATTGACCCCAGAGCATGTTGCTACCCTCGAAATCCAGATGCCGTTGCCACTAAAACTCTCACAAACCCGCCCAGTAACAACTCGCGCGCAAATGCAGGCCATCGTGAATCAGAAGCACCTCGAAATCGCTACCCGGTCCTTCGATGCACGTCACATTGGACTGGCGGATCTGTGGAACGATTGCCCAGAGGCACTGAAGATGCGCCTTACTTTCGGGCAGGGACCACCAATGTTGAAAGTTTTGGCCTTCGTAGATCCTCTGAGTCAAGACATGGCGATCGCGAGTGCGGTCTTTGCGAAGCTGAGCGAGCTTTTTCCGACTGAGATAAGCTTCATCTTCAATCCCAGAGACGAGTACGAAGAGGCGCCCTTGCTGCACTACTACCGACAAATCATGTTCACGAAGCCTACTTCTTCTTAAGGCTCAATATTTATTTCATTTCTACATAAGTCAGTTCTTCCTATTTCCTTCTTAGGATTGGGAGAAATTTGGGCAAGAAATGAATTGTTTTGCGCTCTAATCTTCTTCGAGTGATGCGACTACATCTACGAGGACTTCTGTTGCTGTTTTCAACCAGAGAGACGAGAACCACAACTACCAGGAAGAGGACACAGATGACAGCGTCCTTACGATTACGCGGCCTAACATCTTCACACTGTCACTGGCTGTGCCAGATCCCTGGTTGGTTTCGGCTAAGAATGCGGAAGAAGATTTCGACAATCTCGTGATCAACAACAAGCAAGTTGCACAAGAAGGACAAGAATCTTCTTCTTCTACCTCTTCAAAGAAAGTAATCAAGGGTGTGTACGAACTCCGGTCCATGTACATGGAAGGACAGGCTTTGATCGCGAGGGATGAGGATCAGGAACAAATGTCCCTCTTCCTCTTCGGTGAACGTCCAGCTGCTGGCGTAGAACTGGGTATCTTTGAGCAGAGGAGCGAAAAGGTTCTTGACTTAAGCTCCCCTCAACTATATTTTTGATTCTTCTTCGTTCTCATTCTCAAGTACTTACCTATACTTAGTACTTTAAAAAGGAGAAATTCTGATTCTCAAGTACTTATCTGATTCTTCTTCGTTCTCAAATACATTTTTTTGATCGTTATAAATTTCTCTGTAAGGAGATGAAAACATCAAGACGTTAAGGATACTAGAAGGATTCATCTCCAGATGTGAATCTAAGTAGGTTGGTACGAAGAAGTTCTAATTTGCGATGCCCGCGTCTTGCGGAATCACGGTTATTTTCAGCTAGCTGCAAATCCAGGCATGTACACGATCAAGGTTCTGCCTGACAGTGCGGCAAAGTGGCAGCTAGTTGGTGCACCTTTTTTGACGGTTGACAGTTACATCACTCCGCCATATACGATCCGCGTCCTGAATCTCCAGGCTGATGAGGAACCATCGCTAGCTGCTAGAATGGGGATGCAGTTGCTGGGTGGAGGAGCACGTTCTTCTAGTAGAAAAGACAAGAATGATGCAAAAAAGAAGGATGAAAACAAGGCTGAAAAAACAGAAATTGAAATCCCATCTGACGGACTTGCGGACAACTTTGTTTCGAGCGCTATCTCCAGCGTCACAGGAATCTTTTCGTCGTTTATATCCTCCGGGACAGCTCCTGCTGCACCGACTACACCTCCGACGACAAATAAAGAGGAACAAGTAGAAGAGGAAGAAGATTCAACAGGAGGTGCAGATGTTGAAGTTGATGTTGCTCCTGAAAAGAAGTCCTCTTCCAAGAAGGAATGGATCCCTGCCACAACTTCTGCAGTCGAGGTCGGAGGTGGACAAGAAGAAACGTTAAGGCTCAACTTTCAATGGTCACCATTTAGATTGGAGCCACCATTTAGATTGGAAGAGGCGACCCCTTCTTGAGAGACGGAGACCCAACAGGGGAAATAAACGAATTGGAAGAGGCGACCCCTTCTTGAGAGACGGAGACCCAACAGGGGAAATAAACGAAGGGAAAGGGGAGAGCTTTGAAGGGGGTCTCTTCCGTTCAGAGTGGTCATGATGACCATTGAGTGCTGAGCTTTAAAAACGCCAGTCCACATCTTCACCGTTGCTTCTGGGCACTTGTACGAAAAGCTGCTTTCGATTATGATCCTGAGCGTCCGAGCTCACACGACTGCCCCTTTGCACTTCTGGTTCGTAGACAAATTCTTCTCTCCAAAGTTCAAACGCTTTGTACCCCTTCTAGCCGAACGCTACAAGTTCCGTTTCAGCTTCATCAGCTACAAGTGGCCCACTTGGCTACACCCGCAGACCGAAAAACAACGCTTGATTTGGGCGTACAAGATTCTGTTTTTAGATGTCTTCTTCCCGCTGGATGTCAAGCGAATCATCTTCATCGATGCCGACCAGATCGTGAGAGCTGACGTGCGGGAACTGCGGGATATTGACATGGAGGGGAACGCTTACGGGATGGTGCCGATGGGAAATACGAATGAAAAAACGGAAGGTTTTCGCTTCTGGAAACAAGGATATTGGCTGAACCATCTGAGAGGAAAGCCATATCACATTTCGGCGCTCTTCGTTGTGGACCTGACGCTTTATCGAACTAGTACTTATTCAAATCTTGTTTTTGCTCTTACTTCTTCACGGCGCTCTTGGTTCTGCAAGCAAAAGCATGTGACGGAGATGAGTGATCATCATGCTCCAACTACATAATTCGAGATTTTTTCTTCATCTTTCCCAATCTATCATCTCTTCAACAAACTAACAGCCAGCAGCGGCGATATCCTGCGCGATACCTACAACGGCCTTGCTCAAGACCCCAACAGTTTGGCGAATTTGGATCAGGATTTGCCGAATTTTGCGCAGCACCACTTACCGATCTTCTCCTTACCGAAAGAGTGGCTGTGGTGCGAGACCTGGTGTGGAGAGGACGAACTTTCTTCAGCCAAAACGATCGATTTGTGCCAGAATCCATTGACCAAGGAACCAAAACTCCAGATGGCCAGACGTATTGCGCCTGAGTGGAATGACTACCATGACGAAGTGGTGGCATTGCAGAAGGAACAGGAAGAAGGACTTGATTCACAAGCCGTGTCGAAAAACACCACCACATCGTCTACGACATCCAAAGCCACTTCGAAAGGCACAAAAGAGACTTCTTCAACAACGTCGACGACCACGACGACGACTTCTACAACCACGAAGAAGAGTAAGAAGGAGACAAAGAAGGAGAAGAAGAAGGCAGAGGACGAAAAGAAGAAGGATGAGGAAAAGTCCAAAAGCGCAGATGAAAAGAGCAAGAAGAAGGATAGTGACAAGAAAAAGAAGAAAAAAAAGGGAAAGAAGAACACAGAATTGTAAGTGCATCTCATGATCCAACTCTATTAAAAAGATTGAAAATGATCGATCAGAGACATTTAGACATGCACATGATAGAAGATTTCAAATATGACGAAAGAGATGAAAAAATATCAACGCGCGATGTGCCTATAATCATGATATCAGAGAGGGCGAATCATCCCATCATGTCTTGGGATGATAGAGAAACGACCATACAACGAGCGGCTATTTAACTATCCAAAAACCTTGAAGGTGAAAATGAATCTTAACTGTGTCTCAAAAAAATTTAACGAAATAAAAAAGATAGATAAGAACTACAACACAGACCCTATTCGGAGGTACTTCTTGACTAAGGTGTTGATGTTCAGGAACAACACAGAACGACACAGAACGAATTAAAAAAGATAGATAAGAAAACGCTCCTGAACATCAACACCTTAGTCAAGAAGGTAATTTTATTCACGTGCACTTCTTGACTAAGGTGTTGATGTTCAGGAGCGTTTTCTTACCTTGCTGCTCGGAGGTGTCAATTCTCCTAAGTAAATGACGTTCTCGCTACGAAAGCATGACGATCAGTACGTGATATAAGAGTGAGAGCTTGAAGAAGACGAGTGAGAGAAAACGTCACATCATCTGTTGTGAGGAGGACAGAAATCTGGCAACGACAGTTATAGTTCACTTCTGCTCTGTCGTGGGGGATGTCTGCTCATGAGTATGTTCACGAGTGGAAATTGAAATTGAACGAGTGAAAATAGCCTCTGTTGAGCAACACTAATTTCTGTCAAGAGGACGAGGACGGAGTACGCACGAGTTGCGTATTGGTATTATGCACTTCCGCGATTCTATTCAAGAAGCATAGTCTCTCGAGTCCTTTCTTTCAGATTTTTACGTTTGACTCATGACGCAGGTTCACCTTTACGACCAATCCCTTGCTTCTCTCTTAGCTTTCCACGAGCCTCTACTGAAACATGCTTTAGCCCTAGTTGTATTGAATCGAAGAAGATTCAAAAACTAACTAATACATAGCATAATCTTCATGTTCATCTACAGATCTTCCCAATTATTATCAGATTGCTCCTTCTCCAAATGAATCTTCATGATAGGTGTTTTAGTGAATACCTCAGTCTGCTCCTCTCTATAAAATATAGTAGCTTGTCAGTACTAGTAGCTAGTAAATTGTCCCTTTTGTAACTCATAGATTTTGGCCCACTAAATTGGTTCGGTTGTATAACATTATTCATTCTCTGCAATCGGGAACAAAGCTTTGTGTTTGAATACTTCATAGTCGTTTGACTCAACACAAACACTCGTATGATTGATTGTTCTTTCAGTTCTTGTTGAAGATTTCTTTCGTTGGCGCAGTAGAGGATTTTTCTAACCTTTTTTAAAGCTTGAAATATTCTTGTTTGGTTCATCTTCTCCAAAATTAAGTAACTAAAAGCTGTATCTATCTAAAGTGTGGCACCAAGAGGTCGTGCAGTTGCTTCCTCTGACCCTTCTGCTATACCTAATCTTCTTCAAATTCTTCGATTCACTCTTCATCCATGAACTTGAACTATCTTTCGAAATTAAACTAAAGAGTAGACTAACTTCTAGTTGTATATATAACTAGTCTAACTAGTCAAAATAGTATAATAACTAGTTTTTAATAGTAAAAGAAGTCGTACAACGCAACGAACTCCTATATGTTTGTCCTCAAAGAAATGAGTAACCCAGCAACCGGGGACGACTTCTCTGAGGAGAAGCGGGAACTTGTCAGGTTCCTAGTCAGGAACAAAAGGGATGTGCTTGCTGGCAGTACCCAGTTGAAATCCAAACTTGTACCCAGACCAGACTCGATAAGGAGTAGCTCGAGTGGGAGTGGCAATGCATTTCTTGGGAGTAACAGAACAAGCAGCAAAAGTAATGGCTCTCCTCCTGCGGCCTATGCTGGACCTGGACCTACAATTAAGGCTCAACATATTTGTATTTCATTTCTACCAGGAGTCATTTCTCCCTATCTCCTTCTTAGGATTCTTGGGAGAAATGTTTGTCGTAGGCAAGAAGTTGAAGTGAGTTGATGTTTTCAGCTCTTCTAATACAGCTCCCACTTCTAGTAGCGGTACAATAAACGCTGGTGGTGCTCGAGAAACACTGAAGAGCGAGGCCTTGCTTCATATGCCAGCAGCTACGTTAGAGGCGATGTTGGAGCGTTTGGTGCCCTTAGAAGACCTCAAATCGATGGCGACGATGAGAGACGCCCAAGCTTGCAGGGACTGGGAATACAGGAAGCTAGCTAGTGAAGCGCTTGAGAGGGAGAGGAATAAACCACCGAGGACTTCTAGTAATCCCAAAGAGGGTGCTCGAGTCGCACCTGCTTCCTATCGACTTAGCGGCTCAGGGAACAATTCTCGAGCCTCTTCTGCCTCTGCTTTCTTGAATAGTAGTGCTTTAGGTCCGCAAAGAGTGTTAGTAGCACCGTCATCTGGCCCGACAGCTCATCTTCGTAGAAATTCGTCTTCTTCGAGTTCGGGAACAGTTTCATTAAAAACCGGAACAGGAGCAGTCGTCGCTCGGATTCCGCAGTTGAATCCGATCAATGCTCCACCGAGTCGAAGGAGTAATTCCAACTCGAGCAGGAGTAGTGCTGGTGCCGCGGGTCAAGAACATAACGGACAAGAAGAGGTAGAGAATACACCCAGAGCCTCCACGATTGAACCGGCAGAGGATGCGCGAACCATCAGCGACTACGACCAAGACCCTGACAACAGTGTGGATCAACTTGATAGAACTAGTGGGGGAACTACATCCCTTGACGCAACGGTAAGACAGAGTTCTTTGACCTCCACAGGAGGAAGGCCTCCTTTTAATAGAAGCAGTGCCACAAGTCCAGGCTCCTCTAGTAGTAGTAGGAATAGTGTTAGTGGTCGCGTTAGAGGAGGAAATGCCTCGCAACCTGCAGTAATCAGTTACAAACAGGATGGTAGTGGTACGTACAATCTCGTTGGGAGGAGAGGACCAAGTCCTGGTGGAGTTGCTCCGTACGCTGTGTTGAGCAGAAAAAGTGCACTTTCTGCATCCTCCGATAGAAATTCTACGACAACGACCACTTCTCAACAAATGTCATTGTCAGGATCAACCACGACCTCTAGTGCAGGTGGAACACAGGGCGCAGCGACAATCACCACTCCCGTTGTGACACCGGGGGCAAGAGGTGGAATGGCACCCCTTGGCAGAGGGGGCCTTGGAGGGGGTCTTCAGCCTCCAAATACAGCAGTGACTAAAGCCAAAAGTATAGATAATTCTCCTGGAGGCGGAGCGACGCCGTCTCTAGACATATGGCTTGGAAATAATACGACTCAAGGGGCCTTCGGTATGAATTCGAACCAAGGAGTTTTCGGCAATCTTTTTGGGGAAGGCGCGCCAAGGCCACAGGATGTGGAAGAATTGTCACCGGCGATACACCAAAATTCTGCAAAGCACCGACAAGAACATCAACTACAACAACGTCCAGAGGGCGAAGTTTCTTCACGCGGGCCATCAGTTGTAGAAGGAGACTCAGGCGCACCTACTTCTAGCGTATCGAAAGGATCCAGAAGTGGTCCACACGACCCAGCCCAACAACAAGCTCGGCTGCAATTGACTTCTATCAACTTGTCTGAAGTGAATCTCGATAGCGCAACCTCCTTAACAGTCGGCGCAGCAGCTGCGACACTGAGATTTTCACGTATGCAGCGGACCAGCGATCCGGAACTGATCAGAAGACGGAAATCCTTGTCCAAATCGTTGCCCTGGAACACTACGATCGAAATCCAGAGGTATAGGGACGCGCAGTCAGAGGCAGAGAGGGAGGAATTGATGGAAACATTGAAGAAAGACGTCAATGTGAGGGATATCGGGAATTATGGGTATCCGAGAAACGCACCGCATAAGATGAATCCCGCATATTGGCTGCCTATGCTGGCGAAATTCGGGACCAATGCCATGGGAATGGCGGGACTTACGCTAGGTTTTGGTGTGGCATCGTTTGGCCGGGCCACGGTGGGAACCAAACTACACGAGTCACCAGTGCTGGAGTCAAGTTTGATAGCGCTACTGCGGTTGAATGGACTTACTTGCACAGTGACGGTATAGAAGATTATTTTGTGTAGTTATTTGTTTGACGTTATTCTTGTTCCTTTTACTTTTTCCTCGTTGTACAATGTCATTCCTCTTTTTATGTAGGAAAAATGCTTGCCTTACGTGTTAGAAATAGAAGACGACTTCGATCTGAACATACTCATCGAAATATAAATGCAGAAATACAACCATTCTGCTCACATACATTCTGCTCGTTTCACAACAATAATTACAACATCAGTATCCGAAAGGCGAAAGCGCCGCAAGCCTCAACGAGAGTCCGTTTATGGTTGCCAACCACACAACCTATTTGGATGGCGTCATCATCGCTACGGAGTTGAATTATCCGCAGATTATCTCCATGGAGGCCGCCAAACAAGTCCCTATGGTAGGGGAATTCATGAAAGACATGGACACTATTTGGCTTGACCGCAATAATAAGGACTCCAGGAAGAGCGTCTTTGAGGCTATCACCAAACATGGGAGAAAGTGGAGACGGGGTGATCGCCCGTTGTTTGTCTTTCCGGAGGGGCAAACGTCAGCAGGGAGAACGATATTGCCTTTCCGACAAGGCGTGTTTACATCGGGGCTACCGGTTAGGCCGGTGATTTTGCTGTACACAGGTGAGTTCGACCTAGCGATGCCGCATTTTATCAGGACCAAATCTTCGGACGGGAACATTGTTTTGAGACCCTTTTTTGACAGTGACTGGTTCGACCAGCTTCTTCGGGGCATGGTGCACTCAGTGATTGTCAAGGTGTGTCGCGTCTACTATCCCTCTGAGGAAGAACGAGCGAACCCAGACCTGTACGCGGCAAACGTGCATCGATTCATGAAGTACGAGTACGACAAACTCAAACTCTTGCACGACCAGCGCACTCTAAGAGTCGACTTGAGACAGAAGGGAACGGGACCAGGGTATAGCGAAGATAACAGAATACCAGCGACGAATATGGAGGCGTCCGAAGCGATCCCACCAGCTGGAGATGTGGACAGATTTCCCGTATTCATCTGACTTGTTTTTATTTGTTGAATCTTATGGTGTTGTATTAAGTACGGTATCGCACTTTTTACGAGAAAATTGCATACTATTGACCTTTTAAAAACTATTTTAATAGGCGTTAGCGTTTAAAAATCAGATGCAAGGAATAAAAATGAATCGGTACTTATCTGTTTATGGGCCTGGATTGAAATGACTCTAGTATTATAAAGATCCACTTTTCTTCTTCTTTTCTCTTTCTTGTGCTCTTCGAGCATCCCATTGTGGGTTTTCCTTCTTTTTCTTTGTTTGATTTGAAAGTATGCACTTGAAAACTTTCTTTGGGAAATTTTCAAGTGCAGACATTCGATTTCATCTCGGGTCTTTGCGACCCTTTTTCCCCTTTGTGAGTGCTAGCTTTTCGTTCGTCGTTTTATGCGACCTTCGTCCTCTCCTTCGTGACCTGTTCCTGTCGTACCTACACCTACACATTCATAAACGGAACTACATCATAAACCCTACTACTCTTCTTGATATTAAATAGATGTGGATCATAAAGAACACTTTATTCTCAACCTGAAAACAGATGCGAATATCTGAAGACACGGGCGCTCCTGAGATCGTGGTGCCGAAAAGCTGGCGAGGCCACATGCCCTACAATGGCGAACAGTTGGAGAAGCTAAGGCCCTGGGTCCTAGCCAAAAGCAGAGAAATGGTGCAACGTGGCGAGCTCTTCAAGCGCCAGCACCATCAAATGAGTCTGCAACAGCAACAGGTTCCTCCACCTGGGGGCGGTAGTGGACCGACTCTTGTTGGAAGCACACCAGGTAGTCCAGCAGGTAGTCCGAAGCACAGTAGTCCAGGCACAGCAGGCAAAGCTAGTAGTCCATCCTTCCAACCGCAGCAACGGTCCAATGTGTTACGGTCTTTGGAGAAGACAAGGACCAGTCTTGGAGAACGGCCGTCCGGATCTAGAAATAGTGCGCCTGATGACGCAGAATCTTCTCCCACGTCGTCTGTGTATTCTTCACGACCGAGGTCATCTGCGAGTGCTGGAGACCTAGTGTATAAGAGGCGAGCCACGGACTCACAAGCGGTTATGCGACCACGTGGAAGTAGTTCACAGCAGAAGTATAATCATAGTGGTGATACTATAATTAAAGAATATAATGTTGGGGCAAGTGGCTCAACGCGGCCTCGTCCTCAGCACAGCAAGCCCCAGTTTAGTAGTGCGCCTTCAGTGGAAGAGTTCTTGGATGACCAGACGTCGTTGTCGGAGGTGGAAGACGATGATGAACAAGTGCTGGAACAGCACTTAGGAGCTGTTGCGCGCGCCAAAGCGAACCCTCAATTGAACCAACAGGCTGCAGCGCAGTAGAAGAAGGCTATGACTCGTTCAGAGTTCTTGGGGTCGTTTTCGGGCTCCTGCCTATCATGACTTATACTACAATGAACACGTCGTTCACGTGACACTGACATCTATCTTTGTTATGATCCCCTGTATTCACAGTTGTTAGTTCTATGTATTTGCTTCAGTGTCACGATCCTTCTCAGATCAATGAAACTAAACTTCTTGGAACAAATCTATGGAAATCCTAGGCAGGAGCATCGATCATTATGCTGCCAAATGGTATAGATTTTTCAGCTCTTATTTAGATACACGATTTTATCTATCAGGATACTGACACACGACTTAGGTTATATTTTTCGACTTTGAACATTCATCTTCATGAATTTCTGATGGTTCTCAACATCAACGACTACATGCGAGTTATTATTTCTTTGCATCATTATCTACACCATTAACATAGTTGAACACCTTTCTTCTAAAAAGCACATCGATTGAACATCTTAGCTAATGCATAGCGCGAACATCGTCTAAAGATCAAGATATTTCTAAGTGAATAAATTGTACAGATTTAGGGTGAACATACCAGTGGTTCTGACTAAATGAAAACAAAAATTAGCAGCTATTCCTCAATCCGCCTGGCGAACATCAACCGAGTTGTTGACGGAAAATGCACAGAAGTATTCGAGATAACGACACCCACCGCGCCGAGCCCAGGGAGACGACAGAACGTTCAGCAGAGACGATGTTCTTCCCTCAACAGCATGATCTAGCACATGTTGTCCTTAGCAAGTGTCCCCAATTCTACTCTGGACTTGTCGTCAAAATGGATCCTGGAGCGACGAGGGCATTGACAATTGACAAATATTAGAATGCAAGTAGACGAGCATATGCATATCATGAGAAAACGAGAACAGCCACTTCGTTTGCTGAGTTCCGATTGTTTTTGTTGTTCGGTTTGAGAAACTTGCAAAGTCTTGCAGATTCTGGTTAGAAGCGAGCGGCGGTAAGGCATCGGATGCTTGCATGTCTTTGTGTCCAGATCGATCATAACGATCTAATTGGTCTTTGAAAAAGCCTATCTTTCTACAACCCAAAAACAACAGAGCAGGGTGTGGCTCAGTTTTGCGTGAAGGTTGAACTCGTTCTTGTGGGTTTTTCATAGAATGACACCATAAAAACGTTGTAAAAAAGGATTTGTCGAGGAGCCTAGTGTTTACAGAACAAAAAATCGTGGTAAAAATTTATTGTACTAAATGAACAATCTCTGCTGTTTATGATACATCACGTAATTAAGGGTAGTTGGAAATCTCGTTTCGTCAGTTGTATAGAAACGGCGTTTAATTTCCGCGTTTTTGACGACTTTTAGTTGTCTGCAGTTAAATTTGAGGGGCATCCATGCTGTCGTTATTGTGTGCAAAAAAACAATAGTTCTTGTCGAACTAGATTTTGTGTGCAGCTGAACAACATCTGCCTATAATTGTGCTAGCTTCTCTGATCATAATTCAAAGTAATCGATACAGCTTTCTTTAAGGAATAAAACACATACTTACAACAGCGATAAAGAGTAATGAAAAAAAACATGATCGTTCGTCTCAACACGTGAGCATGAGCAATAACCATCTTTTTGGATTTGGAGCGGTGTATGCGTTGTAATGTTTCCAGAGGAGCAGGCAAGGCGAAAAGAGAAACTTTCTTCTAAACTCGCCGGAAGCAACAGCAAAGAAGCTTCGTCTTCACTAAGCAATACGAATAAGATTACACCCGTTCTTGGCGGAGAGACGTCTTCTACTAGAGCAAGAAACTGCGATATAGGAGGGAGCTCATCATCTTCATCCACCATAAATTCTAGATCAACATCGGGAGGACCGACCAACAAGAAATACAGCAAGATGTCTGCTCCCACATCTCCCACGACCGGAGCAGGCGGAAATCCCGCCCGAGGCCAGCCGGCGTTAGACGACCTTCCTCCGCCAATGAGCGGACGTCCTTTGCCGCCACCGGGTGCGACCGGAGTCAGTTATGCCGTGAGCTATGGAACTCCAGTTGTGGCCATCGATAATGCTCCAGCTTCGCGACGCACGTCTTCCGGAGTCATCGTCATGGAGCGGAGCACGAACGGGACTGTACGGTTCCCGGGACATCTTCAGGGGTCTCCTCCACCACACGCTCAACATGCGACCGCAATGCCGATTTCGAACAACATGATCGAGATGGAGGGAATGGTTGGCGAGAATGCAAACTTGGTAGCTCATAACTCTAGGACGAAAAAGTCTAGAGGAAACCACCAGCAACTTGGCATTCAAACTTCTCAAGGCGGTCCTCCTACAACGGACAATTTCGATCCTTTCGAGCATGCGGTCAAACCAGAACCAGGCAAAACCGCCTTGGTTCCTCAGCAAGGCACTGTTTTATCTCCCGGTAGTAATGCAGTTCTTGTGTATAAAGACTACAACAAGCAAGAGGCAGTTGTAGATCCGGTTCTTGTTGGAGGTGTCGTGCATAATAATCAGCGTACTTGTTCTGGCAGAGTGTCGATCCGCAAAGTGATGACCGCTGCTTTTTCTGTGTGCTTAGGAGCTGCTGTCGGCATCGCTGGTTACAGCATGTTCTTTGCTGACGGTGGCGGCGGTGGAGACGGCAATGACGTTGCTTCAGCTGGCATGTTCGGTGGTGGAGGTGGAGGCTCCGACAACCGACAAAATCCTGCCTCGAACGCCGCAACAGGACAATCGGGTGATCGTGCTTCTTCTATCGGGACACCTGCTGGTACTGGTTCGGTCGTTCCTGATCCTGAGGTCGCTGCTACGGGGTACTTGACGCCAGAAGTCTATGCCGAATTAGTGGGGGATGCAACTGCCACTCCACCTCCTCCGGAAGCTGAAGAACAGGTCGAAGTCGATTTGGTTGCTCAAAACGTTGACGTCCCGGTGACTCTCTCCTGGGAAGGCGGCGACGCCACGGCTGCTGCAGCTGCCGTCTTGCAGGACCCCGACTTACAGGCCGGCTTTCTCGAAGGCTTTTGCTCCGTTCTGGGTGATGCATTTGCGGGTGATAACTGTGCGCAGTGGGTGAGCATTGTGGATGTGAAACCGGCGACTGCTGTTTCTCGTATGCTCACCGCTTCTGATGCGTCCTCTCCCTCTGCGGATGTTGCCCTAGACGTCAAATACGAAGTCACAGTCGCGGATGACGCAACGGCTGAAGTTGTCGAAGACTTCGTCGAAGAAGTCGACGAGACCGTTATCAAGGCCGCTCTAGAGACTAAGGTCAAGGAAAAGACTCAAGGTCTAGAGCGTTTCGCCACATTGCAGATTCGCTCTATCAAGAAAATGAAGGCTGCTGGTCGTAAAGAGACGAAGAAGAAAATCCCCAAGAGCATGCTAATGGGTGGAGACTCGGCTTCTTCTTCGGAAGATGGGAGCAGTGCATCTTCTGGTTCTGGTGCTTCTGGAGGTAGTGGAAGTGGAGGCTCTTCTTCTGGTTCTGGTGCTTCCGGATCTAGTGGCACAGGTTCTTCTGGTTCTGGCAATGGCTCTGGCAACAAAGGAGATGTTGGCTTTCGTTCCGTCATCCCCTCTGCAAAATGGGATTTGTCTACGCAGATGCGCGCAGCAGCCTGCAACATGAAACAGACTCCTGAATCCGTTGCCAAGATGCTCTCTGCTTTGCCTGACTCGGACCCAGGTTTGAATCCGACGTCCTGGACCCATAGTCCTTTGCCACAATTCACCCAGTTGGCGACGCATTCTACTGTTGCCGACGCCGTGGAGGACCACGTGGACGGCGTCTTGCGGTCTTTTGAGCAGGTTTTCGGTGAACTACCCGCTGTCACGCCGGGGGCAACGAAGCCTCAGATCCGCAAATTGTACATCCACCTCGATCAAGGCCAATGGAACTGTCTGGAAACCGACTTGGAGAACCTCCAGAAAGACGAAGAGCGTGAAAAGTTCGAGCGCAAAGAGCAAATTTCCAAGATCAAAGAAAAAGAGCAGAAAGTGCGCCAAGACCGTCAGAAAGAACAGGAAAAGCAAATGGAACGCAAAAAGATGGAGGCTGAAGCCCGTAAGAAGGCGGCTGAAGAACGTCGTAAAGCTGCTGAAAAAAAGAAACAAGAGGCGGAGCGTTTGGCTAAGGAAGCTGCGAATGCTGCGGATGAAGAGGCTCGCTTGGCTGCGGAAAAGATGAAACGCGACGCAGAAATGGAAGAGCGGAAGGCGAAGAGAGATGAAGACAAAGAAAAAGCGGAGAAGACGAAGATGGAGACACGGAAAGAACGGTAGTAGAGCAAGACTCTTTCTACTTCTTGATTGACAACAATTATGAATTTCTTCTCTGAATTTTTTGAATTTCAATATAAAACAAAACTTAGTTTTCATCAAGTAGAACGAGGAGCAACTTCATCTTGCACAATCGGTCTGATCTTATAGTACATGAACATAATTACTATTACATTCCATCTTTCCCACACTGCATCATCAAAACCGGACCACCACACAGTGTCCAAAAGCAGTTGAAGCGCGAGCGCGCCGCCACTGACCGCACCAAGAATGAGGCTGCCGCTGCTGAAGCCCGCAAGCGCAAGGAGCATGCTGAGACCCGTGAAGACCGTGAAAAAGCTGAAGACGAAGAACTCGACTCGCAGGACAATGCCGTCTTCGCCAGACTTGAGGAAGCCCAAGTGAGTGCTGAGGTCGACGGCCTCTTAGCTGAAGAGGAAGTCCAACGTGCTATCCAACTCAAGCTTGACGGAGAAACCGCTTTGGAGGATGCTCAGGCTAAACGTGAGGATTTCGAAAAAGCATGGAAAAAAGCTGTCGAAAAGGCTGATCAAGCTGCTGCTTCTGCAGACGTTGGTGAGCAAGTGAAGACGCAACTGCAAGAGGAAGCAGAGAAGGTCAAGGATGAAATGCTCAAGGAATTCGAGCGCGAGGAAAAAGCGAAGGCCATAAAGGACGAAATGGAAGCCAAAATTGAGGAAATGCAAGCATTGAAAGAAAAGAAGAAGAAAGAGGTATTGATGCTTCAATTTCGTATGTACTTAGACTTTTTAAAAGATGCTCTTCGTTGCACTTGCAGCTGTTCGAGTATGTACAACCACTTCATTTATCCACCAAGCTTAATCTGTTGTAATCAATGATTTTTAATTTTTGAATTCGACACTACACTCATCCTCCCCTCTTCACCCATTTAGGCCGAAAAGTTTGCAACGAAAGTGACCGAAGAGCGCGCCAAGCGCATGGCTGCGCGTGAAGAGCGCATGAAAAAGCGTGCTGAGGCTGAGAAAAAGCGTCGTGAGGAAGAGGCCGAAGAGGCTCGTAAGGAAAAGGAACGCCTGGAGGCTAGAGCGAAGGCTGCTAAGGATGCTGCAAAAAAGAAGGAGTTGGAAGAGCAGGCCAAAGAGCAAGAGCGCAAACAGGCTGCGGCTGAAGAACGCAAGAAACAGGCTGAGGAGAAACGAAAACAGGTACTACTTGTTTTTAATATCTCTTGTGAAAGACGGATTTTTGTTTCATTATAGTTTCGATCATAAAGGGTGTTAAAATTGACTTTAGTTTGGTCTTGAGTCGGGAGTACTAACGTCTCACTTTTGAAACCTTTTGTTCTAACCATCAATACAAGATTTTCTAACCACTCGTTAATACTAGGCCGAGAAAAAGGAGGCTGAGGCTGAGGCTGCGCGCAAGAAGGCCAAGGAGGAACGCGAGAAGAAGGAGCGTGAGGAAGCTGAGGCTGAGAAAAAGCGGCAGGAGGCTCGTGAGCGTGCCAAGGCTACGGAACAGGCTAAGCAAAAGAAGGACCAGGAATGGGCCGATTGGGCTAGCCGCGATCAGAACAACAAGAAGAACGCGGCGGCTAATACGGAGGACAAGAACAAGAACAACGTCGACGAAGCGAACGCTCCTAAGGACACCAAGAACGGAGATGGAGCTGGTGCTGGAGACAACAATAACAAGCAAGCTCAGGAGAACGACAAAAAGAACACGTCTCCGGTGAACAAACAGGGCGCCAACAACAACGAAAAGAAGAATCAGTTGCCTTGGTGGATGCAGAATCAAAACACGAACAAGAAGAATGGCGGAAAACGCAGTCTGAGTGGGCTCTTCTCGACCATGAAGTTGAAACGGTTGGCGCGTAAGAGTTCCTATGATGAAGATGTATCCGACAAAGACGGACTTGTCCAGTTGCGTCGTCGTGCAGATGAACAAGCCGAAGCCAAAGCTGACATGTCCAAGGCCGACAAGGAACTCTGGGAAAAGGAATGGGCTCACCAACAGCACGAAGCCGAAGATATGGAGAAGGAAGAGCAGGAAAAGGAACGCGCCCACGTCCATCTCGCGCACAAGAAACGCCGTGATCATCGTAAGCCCATGACAGTTCCCGCTACGGTCTCCTACACTCCGGTTGAGACGCTGAACCATGGTGGAGCTGGAAGCGACAGTGGCATGCTTTCCACGACCGATCCGTTGTTGTATTCCCACGTCGGCTTGAAATTCATCCCTTCGAATCCGGAAAACGGAAAGTTTTTCAAGGGGATGAAGAAGCGCAATTTGGTCTTGGACTTCGGAAAATGGAAGAATAAGCAAAGATTCTTCGGTTTCAAGCGATTGATCCTGCACACCAGCATGGGTCGTGATCGTTCTCGCATGCAGGAAAAACTCATGTCGGATCTCTACGCTCTCGCCGGTCTAGCAGTGCCTCATACGCAGTTTTACGTGGTCTACATGTCCAGAACCGAGGATGGCATTGTCCCGGCATCTGGCTCCAGCGACTACAAGTACTTGGGAGTCTTTACGGCTTTAGAAGACCCGAATGACACGGTTCGCGAGACCGGGTTTTTCCAGGAGCAAGCTAAGGGAGTGGAAGTGGAGGACTTGGCGGCACGTTGGGAGGATAAGGCTTATGACATTCGTGCCGAGTGGAAAGCGACGATCGGAATGACGCCGAAACCTGAGGAAGAGACGACCACTGTGGCGCCACCGTCTGGTAGTGACAGTCGTGTGCTCCGAGGACGTGAACTCGGTGGCTCTGCTCCTGGTGCTCTTGTTGCAGGTGTTGCGCCGAGTCTTGGCCATCAACAAAGCTTCCCTGGTTCGCCTTTGCGTTTCTTGCAAGGTAGTTCTTCTCGCGAGCTCCAAGTCGACAACCCATTCTTCCATCAAACCGGTGACCTGTACAGTCCCACGCCGACCTCTAGTCGCTTGCTGATTAAGGAGCGCGTGATGAAGCCCACCGACCGCGAAAAAGAGCCTCTGGAGACTCCCGAATTGAATGCTGAAGCGTTTAAAATCCGCGTCGAGAAAGAAAAACTTCTACGAGCCAAAACGGACAACAGCACGGACACCAAAGAGGGTTTGAGAGAGTACCATCTCTTGCCGAAACGGGTTGTCAACGGCACTGACAGTCTGCGTCCATTCCAAGATTATCGTGCTTTGGTTGATGTGCTTAACAAGTTGCCACGACGCAGCAAGATTTTGCGTACACCGATCATTCCGGAAGATGATGGAACTGGAACTACGGATGGCACGACTGGTGGCACTACTGGTACTGATGCGGACTCTACATCTGGATCTGAAGATGTTTTACGCGCTCTCCAGACCAACAACGATAAGAGCACCGATGAGAAGAAGCGCAAGCGCTGGCGCATGCATTTGCGTTATGACTCTGAGAGGGATCCGACTGCACTGGTTTGGCGTTCTGCTATGCGCAAGGCTCTGGACACGTATTCCTTCATGAAGTACCTTGCTGTCGCTAACGCGTTTGCCGCGCGCGGTCAGTACGGGCACAAGACTGGAGGTTACCGCTTGTACAACTCCAAGGTTGGCCAAGGCGCACGCTTTTCCCATGCTGGAGAGCCGATCGTTCGCCCTGCTGTGATGCCACCAACGGAGTGGACGGCCAAATGCGGAGACATCACGTGCAACTTCAGCTACCAACCGATTGCTCAGACAAGGCCGACTGAGAGTCAACTGCATCCTTACTCTGGTCGTTTGACGTGGATGCCCACTCGATTCACCAATGCCTTTACCAGAAACTGGAAAGTGCGCGAACTGAACTACAAGTTTGTCAAACCAGGATGGCCGCTTCTGCAGTACACCTACGAAGACAGCGTCTTGCGCAGCTACTACATACATGCGTTGCAGACCATGACTGGGGAGAAGGATTGTGCCAATGCAGGAACGGGAAACGGTCCACAACCCCGCAAGGGTTTGAAGTCGCAGTGGGAGTACTTCTTCGACAGCACATTGTCGGAGATGCGTTGGCGCTGCGTGTCTGCTGCTTCGGAAACGCCGACAAGCGTCGCGCAAGCTGCTTTCGCACGCATTGCAGCTGTTGGTCGCGGTCAATTCACGGCGGGTGATGTTTTGGGTACTTCTAGCCTCATGATGAGCAGAAGATCCTACTTCATACATCATAAGTTAGAAGATGGTAGCATGAAGAACTGCTTGTCCTCGAATATTTCTATTTCTTGTTCACCTTCATCCTCATCGTCCATCTACTCTCACGTCCATCTACTCCAAACCTGTGATCTTATAGTTTTCCCGCTTCACGACCTCTTAACTACATCCCAGCTTTCTCCTCACCATTCCACTCTTCTCAGGTAACCTCGTCAGCAGGACACATGCTCCGAGTGGCATTCTCAACGAAGCGCTTCTTCATGGACAGGTTGAGTACTACAAAAACGTCTTGCTACACTTCACCACGGATGAACCCCGCGATCTCGAGGAGGAGCAAGAGGTCGGTGCTGGCGAAAGCTTGGTCGAAGACGCGGAGGAAACACTAGCTGAAGACGCTGAGGTCGATTTCTTCTTTGGTCAAACTGGCGGCGCTGGCGCAGTCACTGAGCTTCTACCTGGTGCTTCTAGTTCGGCTGGTAGTGGTGCTTCCGATAGTTCCAGCACTGGTGTTGCTGGAGACTCCTCTGCCGCTACTTCGTCTGGCAGTACCGGCACTGATGTCGATTCCACTTCTGACGATGGTGAACCACCTGTGTTGACAGCCGAACAGGAAGCGGAGCAACTTGACAGTGCAGATCAGACCGAAGATTCCACTGCTCTCGGTGTTGGCGGTATTTTCGACCTTCGTGTTGGAGGCAGTGTCGTGTCCACTTCCAGTGATGTCGGAACGGGAGGGAGTACCTCTACGGATACGGACACGGACGCAACGACTTCTCTGATCGCCATTCGCAATACGAACTCGACTCTGATGCAGGCTGCGACTGGATCGGATGAAAAGAAGAAACCGTTGGATGCCAAAGAAGCGTTCCTTAAGGGCGTGACGCAACTGAAGAAGCGCCTGACAAACCGGGTGAACGTGGTCAAGAAGGGCGTCAAAATGCTGATTCGTCGTGAGGTACGCAGAACGCTGTACAGCGTGTAATGGTAAAAACGCTCTACCGATTGTAGAGCAGGCAGAAAAAATTGTAGAATTGAGAAAACGAGGTCGCAGGAAGCGACAAGATGAGTGGGAGCGAAAAATAGGGAAGTACAAAATTGAAAAGGCATTTATACGAACAAAACAATTTGGATGATCTTATAGATAAGGGGGATTGATTGAAAGGGTGGCAGCATATAGTCCTAACGCAAAAAAAAAAAGACAAAACAATCATCTTTCACAGCATCATCAGAAATGCACACATGACATGCTATCTAGTGCATCTTAATTATCTATGATCATCATCAAGAAAACTCGATGAAACGCTGAGGAGAAATAGACATACATATCAAGTTTTCCATATTTGAATGGATCAATGAAGATCCAAAAGTACTACATTATCATCATGAGAGAGTCCAAGAACCACTTCCGAGTATCGAATTTCAATAGTTGGAAGCAGTCGATGCGTGGTATAGTTTGAAACTTACTCCTCCTTTTGCGAGGTAATCTCGATCGAGATTTGCCTCTTCAACGATGGCTAAGCTGCATATCCCCACGACCCCTTAACAAAAAGAGCCTTTGTGAAAGATCTAGGCTCATCTTATCGGGCTTATTACTTCCTAGAAGAAGTGAATTTTCTACTTCTTAAGATATTGAGGGCATTCGTGCCCTTTGTAATGTGCTTATTCTTGATACTGTGAATTCGGTATCCCCGCTATCGTCATTTCTAGAGTACTATGTAGTAGTCGAAATTGCGAAAAGAGCAAGTAATATCAGAATGAAAGTATTGAATAAGGTAGTCGTAGTTCTTGTGCAATTTCGTTGAAATTATACATAGTCGACTATTAACATGAGTAATGAGTCGTAAGTTCACGAGGATTCTAGTTGTTTCAGCACAACGATATTGAAAATATGAATGTTTGGGACCACCCAGGGTGAGTCAGAAGGTGTGAAAATACATGGCCGGCTACTTGATCCTTGAATCAATGTAAGCTTAAATGAATATTTAGTTGTTAGATGCTTGGAGGATACAAACATCAACAGATGTGCAGTTTGTATCCTTTCAAGAATTATCATTATGTGTATGAGTTCTTCGTCTGAGAAGTGAGGACGACCTAATTTTCCATGAGGTATTGTTTTTTCGTCCAAAAAGAACCTCGAAAGCTCTTGAGATTCCTGCGTTTGCTATAAGAAAGTCAAGAGTGGTGCAAACGATAAAAAGAGTATGCAGCTACTAGAGTTATCAACTAGTCATGTGCTATGTATGCTGATGTAGACTCTGCGCACGTTATTGAATAGTGTAACCAAATGAGTGCCAGGGTATGTAATAAATTTTAGGATATCGATAGTTAGTTGGACGATACTTGGACACATCAGATGTATAGTTTGTATAATCCTTTCAAGAATGAATTCGTTGGTGTTGTACAGATGAGGTAGAACAAATGTTGTACAGATGAGGCAGGAGCTATTCTAATTCTAATTTGATCATGTCAGATCACGCAAGTTTGTCAAGAGACGAGGACAACTGAATTTTCCAAGAAGGATTTTTTTCCGGCGAAAAAGAACAACTACGTACTATAATATCTCCAAGAACTAGGAACAAAATGCAGCATTTGCCGTGCCTTGTCAAAAAGAATTGAAAGTGCAGCTGAGATTCCTGCATTTACTACTGTAAGAAGACTTGTTGAGCAGACCGAAGTGGTGCCAGCAATAAAGGACGAATAATGTTACAATGTTGAGAACCTCGTCGTGAACAATAAATAACGACCCACGTGATTCAGTGGGTATTGCAAGTCTCTCCGCAAAATAGTCCAAGCATTCCGAATGCGCCTCAGATGAAGTGGATTGATGGTCCTCAGATGAAGAAAATGCCTGTACAAGAACAAGAACAATCCTAAGTACTACGATCTTCATTCTACAATGTCTGATGAAAATACGTTAGACAAGATGGACAGGAGTCTCCATCTCCTCCTCCTGAGTGTCCACGATGCTTTATCTGTTGTGGAAGTTGTCGGTGTTTTCCCTTCGTCAAATAACTGGAAGAACAGCGGACTGCTTGTTTATGGAATGTTTTCTCCACCCCATGCGCTAGGGCTAGAAGTGATACTTCCAATTTGTTCCAGTTTTACTCTTACTAATTTTCACCCTGCTTATTTCGTAGGTGATGAAGAAAATTTAATATTTATTCCTCATTCTACTTGGAAACGAACCCAGTCACATGTTGTGGAAAAGCACGCTACTAGATAGTATGTGTTTTGCTACACAAAAACAAGTACTATAAGATCATTGTGAGATGAACACAGCAATTGATGACGTTGGACGTTCTATCTCGGTAAATAATGCCCACGATTTTCCACTTTACTTCTTCTTCTTCTTCTACTAAGTAAGTATCAACAAGTATTTAGTTCTTCGGATACTCTGAGTATCCGAATCTAAGTTCTTTTCGGCAAGTTCTTTCACCGAAATGCGTTGTACAACCTGACTACCAATGTTGGGGCCGCGACAGTCGAACAGGAACGGAGGTGCATCGTCAGGCAGTTCTGATGATGAGAACAGACCGGCCGCCAACTCAGGACGCGTGACAAGTAACAGCAGTGTGGCGTCTGTGAGTCCGGCAGAACTACATGAGGTCGACCATCGAGAGCATGCCATTGAAGATGTTCAGGGCAGCTCTGCCTCTGTGCTTTTAGGACGACAAGATCATGCTAGCTCGTCGTCAAGTCGCGCAGCTCCAGCACCTTGTGCGCCGTCGCATCAAAGCAGCTCAAGCCCTTCTGCTGCAGCACCTTGCTCGCCGTCGCATCAGCGATCATCTCCAGCGCCTTGCTCATCAACATCATCGAGACGATCTTCGCCACGACATGGCGACGAGGACACAGACACGGCCGTTTCTTCTGATGGTCTTGAAGAAGACGCAGACGCCGATGTCAGCGAGTGTGGCGTGGACCATAACGCATTCAAGGCAAATCTGTTTGGCATGTGTAGAAGAGTCGCGCCACCTAGTAGAAAAGAATCGCCAGCACCTAAAAATGAACAGACCACCGAGACCAGTCAAAACCATGATAGTTTTAGTTCTGCTACAACGGAAGCGGAGCGCCTTTCCTTGGGAGTTGGACCTGAGCAAGAGTGGGGCGTAGCTTTTCAAGAAGAACAAAAGGAAGAAGAAGATCCTATGAGGGCCTACCTTAGAAGCCACGCAGAGATGGCAATTGGAGCAGCGCAAGAGGTCGCCATACGCGAGATGATGTTGGAAGATTAAGGCGAGGTCTGCTGCGAATAGGTGCCTTATTATCCCCACGCTAGTTTTAAAATTATGTATTTGACTGTCTCACGTGTCACTCTGTGACTCAAGCATTGCAGCAAAGACTAGTGCTCTGGGTCCTTGATGTATTTTTTTGTTTAAAATATTGAAAGATGTAACGACTTGGTCATCTTCTTCGGTTTAAAATCATTGTTCTGCTTGTAGTCGTCTCCTTTCGATGATATTGTCTAGTTGTACTAAAAATCGGAAAAATATAGGAGCTCCAAAGCTCCTGTATTTTTTGGATTTTTCCAAAGCGCTACTGTGCTACAACAACGAAATCCAGTCCTCTACTCCCGCCTCATCCAAAACTTCTCTACAACCGTACTTAATATAGGTAAGTACAACTCTACTGATGTACTTCCTCATCCAAAACTCTCCCGTAGTTAGCTCATCCAAAACTCTACTGTACTTCCTCATCCAAAACTCTAAGAGTAATCTGACTTGCATGCTGCCGCAGAGCGGGAAGAGGCCGGACTCGCTCCAGAGGGAAGCTTAGACTTTGCAGCAGATTACTTTGGTGTAGCTTTTGGGGTCGACCTGTATGAAGGTCAGTTTCTCAGCTTCCAACACACAAGATATCGCGAGAGGGTGAAACGCAGTGGATGGGACAAGAGCAAGAAGCATTATGAATGCTAGTTTTTTATCTAAATGTATTTTAATAGGCCCTCATAGGCTCGCGCGCCTTAATCTTTAATAGATCTTTTAGCTGAAGGTTTACGTCCCGCGACGCTCAAAGCACTGAGTAAAGCAACCGGCTTCTACTTTTCAACCCTACAAACCTAGGCTTATCCCGTGCAACAATAGATCCTAACTAGATAGAATATTCATCACGGGAGAAGTCAGCACTTTTTTACCAGACTGCATAATTTTGATAAGTATCCAATTTGAAATCACAACTACTAGTTGAACTCAAATTCTCATACTCATTCTGGTACAGATACTCTAGTACAGGCACAACAAGTAGAGTCTTGATATTGACAGCGCTAAGAACTACAAGGTCGCTATTACTTCAAAGAAGAGGAGGACGACTCCTCGCTAACCTCTTCAGCTAGGACCGAAAGTAGTAGAGGTTCCTCTGCTCACTCGCCTAAGGCTCGCACGCCAAAGATGATATGGTCAGAAGGTTACGGCAGGGTCATGCAACTACAAGGAGAAAATTATTTGCTAGTTGTCTAGCATTCATTTTTGTTGCCGTTGCTGTTATTGACATCATCTTCGAGGTTTTTACAAGGACTACCGAATCATGTTGCAGTTGCGTGTGATCTCCTTCACGAGAGTTTTCTAAAATTTTGAAGAGGAAGAGCGCGAGGAGCTTCGGAGGCTGTTTCATGAGACGCCTTTGTCAAATGTCCGACAGGAGCGCCGCAAAGTGAGAGAATTGCGGAAGGGCGGCAGACTCTTTGAAGCCATAGAAGAACCGTACCAGTCCGATAAAGACCCATGCCCACCGTGGTACATAGATTTAAGGCCATTGCTCTGAAGATTCTGACTTTCCTTCGTCTATTGTGAGAAGTTAAGCTAAGTACGACTACAACTTGAGCTTTTGCTTAGGAGCAGAACGTAGCTCCGCTATCTATCGGTTTCAGTATGTATTATTGGACCACAGAATACTACACTTGTAAGGCGCGGGACTCATCTTCTAACAGTAACATTGCGAAAGCATGAGGAGCGGTACAAGAGGCAAGACGAGGCGAACGAAAGCGACAGCTTTTTCTGCTTGGCGGGTCACAACAACTTGAGGAGATCGCCGTCGGAAACGTCGCTCGAAGCGTCTGGGAGGATTGATGATGATCAAGACAAGCCTGAGGATGATCCGGCCGTCGATGAGCAAACTACTGCTAGTAGTAGAAAAGGTCATGGTCGACGCCGACAAGATGAACATCCCAACCTGGTGCAGGAAGATGTTGACAGTGATGAAAACTCTGAGCAAGAACATGGGACGCGGCAGCCCAAAGAACACGCCGACTACTACGATAATTGGAGGGACAATAATGATGACAAGAAGAATTATATGTCCTACTCGTCCACAGCCGACACATCATGGGGAAAAGATGACAATAAGTCCTACTTCTATAATGACGATTGGAAAAAACTAGTACACACTCCAAGTACAACGGATTACAACAAGTTGTCTTACTATGACAAATGGCGGGCACGGGGTTGGACCTGCGGGTATGATTGGGATGAAGAAAAACGAGAATATGGTCCCTGGAAGTACGATGCAGAAATGGACCAACGTCGTATGGACCAACGTCGTATTGTAGATGACAAGGCTGGAACAACTGCGGATCATGTTGTAGACGAGCAAAGCGAGCCTCACCAGCCTCTTCAAGGCATAAGAACTTCTAGAACATTGGCCTCGGCCTCATCTTCTTCAGCGCAAACTGGAGAAGAAGAAGATGATTTTTCTCAAGAAGATCTTGGTGTCGTATCTTCTCAAGAAGAAAGGAATGCTAGTCCGGTCAAGGACGAAAAAAATAATATTGAAGGAGTAGAAGAAGCTGCTGCAGCGGCGGCTTGTTTTACAAATGATGATGGGGCGCAAATTGACAAGAGTGTCAATGTTGGTCGACCGAGCAAAATTAAGTCAACGTTGAGCGCGGTCGAGCGACTAGAGGCTGTGGGTGTGGCGTCAGAGGAAAATATTCCTTCAGGACGAGGCCAGGGAAAACGTAACAAGAGAGAAGATAAGAAGCGCAGGGACGATGTCTCCTTGCTGCTCTGTTGTAGTTCCTCGTCCTCGGAGGGTCGTGACGGCATCTTGTTCGTTACTACAACAGCCAGGATCAGGAGGACTAAGAAATTACCGCAGGAGCCTCCAACGGCAACAGGAACTACAGGAGGACGCAAGAAAGAAGCAGGTGATGCAGGTGTTGCATCGAAAGATCGGGAGAGGACCAGAGAGCCACTTGCGAAGACACCCAATTGGCTCTCTGGTCCTCTGGCGACTGATCACCCAAAAAGCGTCGCAGCTGCTCGAAACCACGACAAGCGAGGTACTCGTGGTACCAGGACGAAAATACTAAGCAGGATGTCCTCTTCAGATTATCATGAAGTCGCTCGTCTTGGTCCGACCCCACAAGCAGGGAGTGCAATTGAGAGAGCTTGTTCCAGCTCGAGAGAGAGAGAGTGCCAGAGGACCAGAGAGCCACTTGCGAAGACCACAGATCGAGATCTTCTTGCTGCAGCATCGGTTCACGACCGAGAGCTGCTGATAGAGAGGAGCCGGCGCAGGAGAGATCATCACGAGGACGGCCAATATCAACGGGCAATATCAACGGCTGGTGTAAGTCGAAGCAGAGCAACGCATCAGTCTCGCAGTAGCAGGCCTAGTTGTACTAGTAGAAGCACTTTAATAGTGAAAGAGGACCCGGGTCGTGCCTCTTTTAGAAGTACTACCTATTTCGAAGAGGACTCAAAGCAGCGTCTTCAAGAAATTGAAACTAGTAGAACACAAAAGTCGTCAGATTCAGATAGCAGGTGGTCTTTTGCAAGTACATCCAGTTTCAGAGAGCCGATAGATCCTGAGTGGGAGAAACAGAAAGTGCTTATGGAGAAGAAGCGACTGCAATTGGAGGAGGAGGAGAAGCAGAAGCTTCAGGCTCAGCGCAATGCAGAGAAGCAACGTCTTGAAGAGAAGCGGCAGCGTGATGAGGAGCCACGACGACTGCAAGAACAAGAGAATCGACGACGCGACGAGGAGGCGCGACGACTCTATGAGCAGGACAAACCCAGACGGCGGCGCGACGGAGAGGGGCGGCAGCGTCATGAAGAGGCGGAGGCGCTGCGACTTCAGAACGAAGAGAGACGGCAGCGCGAGGAATATATCAGGCGCAATGAGCGCATACTCACTGCCCACAGGAATGGCCTCAGCGGTCGAGAATACGATGTGGCGTTATGACTAAAACAAGTGGCATCTCTCTACGCCTAAAGGTGGCACTCAAACAGATAAAACGCGTGACATCCTAGAACGAAGTTGTAACGAGCATCAACATCGACAGACCTAGCTTTCGTATTCGTTCTCCTCAAGATAGACCACGATAGACTCAATAAGGCACGGCCAGAGATCGACATCGAGCAGATCTCTAATTATGGAAGGTGCTGCTTCTTCGCAGCGCTTTTTTGCTGGCTTGAGACGAGACCGCAGAAAGACTCTCGCTCCTTCTGGTACAAAACCTCCTGAACTCTTGGAATAGTAATCATGAATTTGGGAGACTGTCATTGACAATTTTTTCGCATTACCAACTCTTATATCCCTAATATCTCTTCATATTTTATCTCATACGCGAGAAAGTTCTATGCTCAACATGATCCTTTTCAAGTTCACGATTGTTGCCTTGGTTTTTTGCACATCCATGATTTATGGCGCGCGATCCCCTAGAACTCCATCTCGTTCTGAGGAATTTTCCTTCTTCTGTTGTGATTTCCATCACGCCGGGGTATGTTCTAGAAGAATGTTAAGACTCACATCTGAAAGTCCTTCTTGGATCTGCGACTTTGCTCGGACACGCTTGACACTTGATTTTCGTTCGGTTGCTACGGTTGAGCACTTCCTAAACTTCATCGACATTCGGTTGCTACGTCGGTTCAAGACTTTCTATTTCAAGCTTCGCCAGGCTCCTGCTTGTTCCGTATTTTGAAGATTCTGTTGGAAAGGAACTAAAGATATCTTCGGTTTCTCATGATCTGTCCTTTGAGAAGTCTCTCGGTCCAGCGGTAGTCCGAAGTTGTAAGCATCGGCTTCTGATGTTAATCTCAATTATCAAATATCTGTTATTGAGATCAACTGTCGTGTTGGCTATTCATCTATACCCAGCGATCGAATCCCAATCCTACCATAGTACACCAATCTTGAACATAGAGGACGAGGTTGAACACGATATGTGAACTTTATGTCTTTTCTTTCACCTACCAATGCGAAAAACATAGACTCAACTCCTTTGTTGCTTTTTAGGCATTTTTTACGGTTGTAACACATCAGCTTCGACACATATTGTTCAATCAGAAATGCGCACTTAGAAGCATCATTACATCTTAAATTAAGGGTTTCCGAATTACGTCCCTCACTACCATCCTTGTGTCCTTTTCAAGGGCGAAAAAATAGGTCACGGATGTCCTGAAGAATGCAACTCGGCAACCTCTAACTAAAGCTGTAGTACTAGCGGAAACTCGTCAATCTTCTTCGTGAAGATTCCCTTTTGCTATCGGCGATCATGAGTTCCTCATCTTCCCGGTTGAGTCAGCTCGACCGCGAGATCGAGCAATTGAAATCGCTGGCACGTGAGAAGTCCCAAGACATTTTGCGAACAAAAGAGAGGCTCTTTGGTAACCGTGGAGAGCCAGCTTTCGGACCTGCCGTTTCAAACAGTGTTCCTGTCGAAAACGAAGCAGCAGTTGCACATCGACAACTTTCTCTGCAGCAAGTGCAAGGTTCTAGCCTTCCTCCAGAACAGTTATTTAAGAGTTTTTACCCTCCAGAACGAGAACGACAAGAAGCTGGAGCTCCAACTACGTCATTCGACACTCTCCGCTCAGCAGCTGAACGTGGGAGCGATCAATTCGAAGTTTTGCTGCATGAAGCGAATCAGGCAAGTGGCATTGGAGGTGGTGGGAACAAGAAGAAAAGTCCAACTTTTGGTACTATCTTCACAAAGGAAGAGCACATTGGTGCCGTCATTGAGCCACACCAGTTTGCCCAACATCCTCTAGCCAATGAGGCGATCCGAGAACGCATTCAATCCAACAGTGCTGCTGCACTCAGTGCGGTCCTGCGGGAGCAGAGACCGATGGCATCGATGCCTCTGAGTGAGCGCATGCGGAGTCGATCTCGATCGGGGAGTGCTGGTCCTGTCCGTGGTGGGATGCCTGATTTTCCACCACAAGCTGGAGGAGCTCCACAAGTCGTCCACAATAAGCCGTGGTCTCCTGCTGGTCGAGCATCAAGTCCAACAAGTGGAGGGAAAGGGAAGGTAATTATACATTTAGTTATAGAAATTTGTAGTTTTAGTGGAGAAGTTCCATTGATTTTGATTCGGTCTGTCTCCTTTTGATGTTCTTACTTCACTGTCACTACTAACATTATATCTATAAGAACAGCTTCTTTTTTTCAGGGCGGCACACCTCAACGCAGCTGTAGTCCCTCACAGCAGCGACTTCGGATATCTTCTCCTGGACGTGGAGCTTTTGAGAAGCGTCCCGGAGGTCCAGGGGACGTTTCTCCCAATTCCGCTCGCCTAACGACGGATGACTACGGTTGTACCCGACCGCGCAGCCGTAGCGCTTCACCTACCTTGTTGTCACGCATTAAGGAGGATGAAGCACGCGCAGACCGAAGTCGATCGCCAGCTCAGAATGAACAAAGCGCGACATCGAGATTGCGCTTTATCAAGTCACCGTTTCAAACGCAACACGCGTTGGCGAAGGAAAGAGTGGATAGAGTGCGGGAGAGGAGAGAGCGCTTTGAGACCGACTGCAAACGATTGATGGCAAATGGAGATGGACCTTTGTCAGAGACTATTGCCACAGGAGGTTCAGCATCAGGAGGTTCCTCTCTACGTAACGACATTCGCAATCTGCGTCTGCGCGAGGAAATGACAGAGCGTGCGCACATTTTTCGAGAGGAATTAAGGGAACAGAAAGCCGTTTATACGGTTCGGGAGCGACAGTTGATGGACGAGCTAAAACAAGCGAAAAGCGTCAGTGCTTGTTTAGCTAAGGCTGCGATGGATCCTAGGCTGTTGCACGGGATGTGGCGGCAATCGAAGGCTCTGCAGACGAAAGCAGGAGTCTATGCGATCGCAGAAAATCACCTGCTGGCAGCAGAGAGTGCGCCAAATGTTGCTGGTGTTCATCCTTGGGGAGCTTTGCCTGGAGCAGGAGGTGCTGGTCCATTAGGTGCCGCTAATGCAGGAGGTGCTGTAGGCGGTGGTATGTCAATGCCACCACCACATATCGCGAATACTTTCCTTCCCCCACCTGGAGAGTATCTTCCTGCTCCTGGCATAGTACCTGCTCCTGGCCCAGGTCCAGCAGGAGCTGTACCAAATGCAGGCGCGGTGTCCTCAAAGGGAGTGCCCCCAGGGTCCCCAGGAGGATCAGCTGGCGGAGCTGGAGGTGGTCCTTCAACCAGTACATCTATCTTTCCCTCAATGCCACCATCTATGCCAACCGGCTACGGTGTTCCAGGTGGTATTTTGAACACGAACGTCCGCGGCTCCAATGTCGGTGTGCCTGCTTTGTATCCACCACCCTGGTGGGCGTACTATTGTCAGTTGCAGTCGCAGATGAACGACTTGGCGGCGAAGACTAGGGAGGCTAGTCTCGCCTCGAAAGACTCATCGAAGGACCGGAGTCCGTCGACTTCGCCAACGGGCAGAGTTCCAGACTTTAGCCGTTTGCATCAAAGAACGAGCGCAACTTCGAAAAGTGTACGACAGACGGAAAGAGGCGCTGTAGGTAGTTCTTCGCAACAGAGTCCAACATTTGGGTCACCCACCTCGAAGATGCAAAATAAGGAAAAACCATCTTTTGGCAAAGGTCGTGACACTTCAGCTGGTAATATCATGGTGAACCCAATAAAGAACAATGCAAGAAGTACAATCACCAACAGAAACAAAAAAGAAGCAACAAGAACAACATCCAGAGGTGGAGGATCGTGTAGTTCTACCGCTGAACATCAAGCTGCCTCCAAGTCAAAAAGCGACAGGAAGCTATCCGCAGCCTTGGACGCACGACAAGAACAGGAATTGGAGAGAAGAGAAGCCGAGTTCGCAGAGGAGCGTAAGAGGTGGCGCCAAGAAGCAGAGGCTAAGATAGCAGAACTAGAGGAGCAGACCAAGAGAAAGCAAAGAGTTGCAGATAAGATGAAGAAAGGTAAAAATAAAGATAGTAGGGGTGGTGTGCTGGAAGTTGTAAAAGTTAATACTGCTGCTTCAGCTCGAGGACGACGAGGACAAGCTCACTCTTCTTCGTCGTCTGCGTCACATTCACAAGGAGGACCAAGGGATGAGGGACGTAGGAGACGAGACGGAAATCGTGAAGAAGATAGATCCAGACCAAGGGGACGAGGTGATGGAAAACGACAAGATGAAAGAGATTACTCCGATGAAGAAGAAGAAGAACACTCGTCTACTTACGAAAGTTCGAATTTTATCAACGAAGAACAAGATCAGCAAGAAGACGAAGTAGACGATGATAGAACCGGAAATCGTCCCTTTCTTCGTTATACGTCGAATTCTTCTTGTACGAGTGCTCCAGAGGACCGATTAGAAGAGCAGCTTCGTGGTATAGAGGATCTTCACCGTACTCGTAGAAGTACTAGGGGAGAACAAAGAACAAGGAGAAGTAGTCGCAAAAGCAATAATTACTACAGTAGCGCATGGACAAGAACATCTCCACTTGCTGCATCTTCAAGAAAGAGTAAAAAGAACAAGTCCGTGTCCGTTTGTGATAAAGCGGCCAGCGGAGTATTGAGCAAAAGCACACGACGTGACGATAGGAACAACAAATCTTACATCCACAGGAATTCGTCAGACTCAGATGAGGAAGAGGATGGACAGGAACGGAGACCCAGTGACGCGTACAACCAGGAGTCTTTGCGGGATAAACGAGCTGCCGCAGTCGCTCGTCTCGAAAAAGAGCGAGCAAGGCTGACGGAACTGATCGAACAGAGAAGTCAACAGAAGACACACAAGAAAAACGCTTTACCATCTTGTGTTGCCAGTTCTAGTAGTCGATCTTGTTCGAAACAAGATGAAGAGCTACAGCACGAAGAACACAATCTGCTTCACGACGCCGATCGAGGTCAGCGGGACAGGAGTTTCACGTCGCGACTCCGTGAGAGACGACGAGATCACGGAATAGGGGATGAAGATGATAGGGCAGGAGATATCGTTTTTTCTCGAGACGAGGTTGCTGTTTCTTCAGGGGCGAAGACACAGAGGGCACGCTCGTTGAGCATCGCATCAAACGTAGTTGAAGTTGCGATTGTGCCAGATCTTCCAGTAGCACCAACTTCAGTAATAGTTTCTTCTGCAGCACCTCAAAAATCCACATCTGCTTCAAAAGAACAACCTCAAGTACCAGATCCGACAGTAAGTCACCGCCTCGCTGGCGCATTAGGAATCGAGGGGGGAAGCGAGTCACAAGCCCTTGAGGCTATCCAGGACATGCGTTTGGTCATAGCGCACTGTATGGACAAGATCAATGGGGAAGACTCTGCCAGTATGGTTCCAAGCACCGCTGCTCCACCAACTACGAATGCAGCGTCAATTGCAACAGCTTCTACTGGTGCGTCTTCTTCCGCTTCGTTTAGCTCCTCGTCTAGTTCTTTCAAAAATGGTGATGTCCCATCAGATGCAGCGAAAACGTTGCAACCACCGCTACTAGCACAGCCTGTTCCACACGCACTTGGACGCTTTCTCAAGCGCGAGTCAAGTGTAGAGCTTTTTGCTTCGCCGGTTCGTCTGCGGGTTGAGTCCCTCGGAAGCGCGAGTGCCGTAGGACGAGAGGAGTCAAGGACTTACTCTTCTATGTCGAAGTCGGGTGGGGCAAGGAGCTTAGCATTGGAACTAAACGATTCTGCTCGAAAGTCCAGTGTCTCGAATTCGGCTACCAGCCAATCCACCCCAGTAGATAACGTCACCGCCGAAGTGGCGTTACTCCGTGCAGAATTACAGGAAACTAAGGAACGCGCTAATCGCGCTTTTCAACTGCAAGAAAAGCACAGAGAAAAGGCGTTGAGCAACCACCGTGCGGAAGTTGATTTTCATCGCAAGCATGCGAATCGAGTGCACCACATGTGGCGGCAACAAGTCCACAAGATCTCAGCATCTGCGCCAAACTTGGCGCGACATTTTCATCATCTGCACAAGAAGACACACGCTGATCAGTTCCTGACGCCTGGGTCTTCACCTGTGAAGAAGGGTTAAGGGGGCTATGGGTACGGAGGAGGTTTTTGCAAAACAGTACTAATAAATTTACTCGACGTCTACTCTGATGCGAGCTCAAGTCCTTGGTAGCGAGCTCAATTCCTTCTATACAAAAAAACTTCGGCCATGCTGCTTAACGGCATGAATCAAGATTTAGCGAATAAAACAGCCGAGGAGACGATCAGTGTTTACACTAGACACGTCTTTCGACACTCGTTAGTAATAGATTCAGTTACGCTTACGTATTCGCCTGCCTGCGTCGAAAACTTGCACGTACAAAAATAGAGATTCAGTTTGAACTGTCTTTTAGTTTCATCAGCGAAGTGCTGGCGCTGCTTGTCCATCTCCATTCCAAATCATGGCTTCGCTGGCAAGTGTGTTCCATCTCAGAGGATACATCGAGCCTGACGATTCCTTTGACTCTCTGCGAGTCGTGTTCTTGTGTGTGTCCAGCATCTGCGTCTTTCATCTGTGCACCGCAATAAAGTAGATTGATCCACAGCAGAGATCGTGTGGTGATGATGATGATGATGATGATGTCTTTTGCCAAAAGATAAGCAAGATGAGAATATAATTGAAGGAGAAGTAACGTATTGGTAGTGGCTGGAGTCTCTTGCTTGTATTTGTATGCCGCCAATCGTAGGGCTATAGGTTACGATTGTCCTACATACGGGCACCAGTGGTGCTTGTAGAACTAGCCTATGAAAAAAAAGGCTCCCTGTGAGACCCATAGAACTAAAAAGGTTTTGGCTGAGTATACAGGAAAAATGGAGTAGTGCACCCGAATACGAAACGACTGCTCTCAGAAGTATGTTGACACGACATATACTTGAAATGTAGCACCCTTTCACCACGCTTCTTCACACCATCCTCCACACAGGAAAATCGCCAAATTGAGGTCGTTGTTGGAAAGGCTGTAGCTCTTCTTAGAAGATCTGTCTAGCCGGGATCGGTCCCCATTCTGGTTATCGTTATTCTATCGCTCTTGTTCTCCTTGGTTTCGAATATCTCCCCTGTTGCCTGTAAGTGACTATGATTGCACATCAGAATTATATTGCTCCAGTTGTTTTTAGAATATTTTTGAGAAACTAACTCGAGGATCTTTGATTACGACGGGTGCATTTCGTAAAAAAGAGAAAAAACACAAGATCAATTATCATGACCTAGAAGACATAACGATAACATCATGCGACGCGTGCACGAAGTTTACGCGCGCATTGCGGCTGAAACGCCGAACGCTGTCGCGAGCTTTGCCGAAGAATACGAGTTGACCTACAGGGAGCTCGTCGCACGTGGCGGTCACTTGGCTCAGGCATTGCGTAAGCGCACGGACTTTCAAACTGTTGTGGAAGCCAGGAATGCAGAACAAAAATTGGACGACCTGGCTGTACGAAGTGATGAAAAGAGGAGGACGACGGGGACTACGCGGCGAGACGAAGATGCACGAGGAGAAGCAGGACATCGTGGCTTTCAAGGTAGCGGTGTCGATTTTTCAAGTGATGCTGTTTTGGCATCTGTAGTCACGAGAAAAAGCTTGGATCCGCGCATCGAGGCTCTGGTCGGCGTTGATATGTCCCGATGCTCTGTTCACTTTATGCCGTTGCTTTTGGCCTTATCGGAAGTCGGAGGGACGGCAGTGTTCTTCGTTCGATCGCAGGCTCAAGCATCCCCAAAGGAAAAAGAGGCGAACGCAAGGCGGAACAAGCAAGTGGAAGCTTTGATTGATTTTGCAGTCTTAGATGACTGGTGTGCGGAAGCAATGAGTGACTTTACCTGTTCTGTCGATGTCGAGTCTGGTGGAAGTGAGATGCCTCAGCAAAAGAAGGTTGCTGAAGTAAGCGATGAATTGGAAATTGCAGATGGTGCTGCCGGTGAGGAGCCTATATTTGCTTTGCTATTCACGGGTGGGACGGTCCGAGAGAAGGTAGCAGCTGTGTCTCACAGCATGTTTCTTCATGAGGCAAAACATTACTGCAACGTCCTTCCAAGTGAATTGCGAACTACAGAACCCCAAAGTCAAGATTACAAGACCACTTCGACTTCTGCACCAGGATCAACACTGCGCGTCTGCTGTAATACGTCCTTGTATTGGGCAGCCAGCACTCTGGGTCAAGTTACCATGGCAGCTGGATTCAGGGGATCTGTGTTTTTTATCGATACGCCTGACTTTGTCGAGCAGCGAACTGCAATAACTTATGTTGGAGAATGCAAATATATCATTCCTTTTCATTCTGTTTTGTACTTAGCTTTCTGATGAGACTGAGAGTTTCTTGAAACCGTAGATACTAGAAGATGATCAACTCGACGAATTAGACGAGGGGGTGCCCAACAGGAGAACGCGGAGGTACGAGCAATGATTTTTCTCCTCCTGCTTTCAATTCTCGAAGCACCAGATCACGGTGATTGGTGTTGCTCCGACTGTGTTGCATCATCTAGCACCAAGCTCGAATCCGCAAGACGACCTGCCAAGTGTGAAGCTTGTCTTTACCTGGGGAGAGAGGCTGCGCCACCAGCTGCGCTCGCGCTTCGTGCGCGCAGGTATGCATGTTCGCAACCTGCTCATAGCGACTGAGTATTGGTTGTGCATGTTTGCGCCGGACAACGAAGACCTCTTCTTGCCTCTATGCGATGACATCCTTGACCAGATGCAAATTGTGCCGACAGTTTCGTCAGAGGAAGAAGGCAAGGGCTCTGGTATTTCGATGCGCAAAAGTATTTCGCTTGCTTCAATCATGTCAGCTCGCCACGGAGTCGGAGAAGGAGGCTCAGAGCAACTCACGACTGGAGTTCTGCATCTGCGAGGCCACTTTGTCACGCCTGGCTATTTTGATGTCGAGTCGCGCCGTCTGGTACCTTTGGGTGAGATGCGGGAATTGGAAGATGGCCTGACATATTTCAGCACCAACGATCGCGTAGAAGCCAGATACGACGAAAATAAGCAAAGCATCGTCCTCAAGTGTCTGGGTCGGGACGATCTCAAGGTGAAAGTGAATGCTGAGATGATAGATTTGGGCGAAGTTTGCGAGAAGATTCTTTCGCTGGACGACCCTGAGAACAAGAGCAATGCGAGGATCATCGAAGAGGCTGAGATAATCCCGTTTCGTGAGACGTATCAAGCGAACTTCCCCATCGAATATCACTTCTTCGTGGTCTGTCGCAATCAAATGGCGACTACGCAAGAGGGTCTAGATCAAGTCGTGGGTCATTTTTCCCCAGTATTGGCGATGCGCGTGAACCGTCTGATTCCGAAAGCGCCCCACATTCGCGTGCATTTGCGCTGTGCGAAGTTGCCCCGGAAGGCGGGAACAACGAAAGTAGACCGTGAAGAATTGCGAAGACAAGTCCATGATGCTGAGGTAAGCTGGCCGTTTTCCGTTGTCGCTCCTACGGTTGATGTGACGCAGACACCATCAAATGCTGTTTCTGTTTCGGCCACGACGACAAAAGTGACTGTTGCGGCCAAGCCTCGGCGTATTGAGGCACACGTTGCTGACTTTACGGCCCATCAGCGAAACATGGAGCTTTTCATACCTATGTTGTATGCAACAGTATTTGTGATGCTGTGCGTCTTAGTCATATCGCTGTCATCTTCTGAGCATGCTTCCGGTACTATCGACTCTACCTCTACGTCGACGACATCTTCAACAAGGGGAGCATTTCTATTGCGACTAGTTTTGTTATGCTCAACATTTAGTGTCCATCTTTCCCGGCATCTTGGTCCCCTACTTTTGCCTTGTATTCTCATGAATTCCTATGAAATGATACAAGTGGAACAAAGGGGTCGTCGAGATGAGCGGGGGACCAAGATGCAATTTAGCTCTAGCAGACTCTAATTTTGGGCCTTTTCTTTTGGTATCCGTTTCTCTACGAGGGTTTGTATCGTTTGTTATTCGTGACTCGGGATCAGCAACTTTCTGTAGTGCGTGGAACAGCACAGTCCGACCACGCACCACGGCGCATTCGTGAGAAAAAGTTTTTTCAGGTGCCTGGAACGCAGATGCTTGTTGGATTTCTCGATTTCATCCGGGACAATATTTCAGACGCAAGTATTCATGTGCCTTTCGGCACCTTGGGTTTGACTTTCCTGATGTTTCACGTGTGGACGCGCTTCCCAGTTTTTCCTGCACTGAGCGACTTGCTCTTATCCTCATTTGATGCGGCGCCACTTGACCTCCTACTTGAACAAGAGGTCCTTCTGCAGGACGACACAGACTATTTTTCCATTTTCACCTTAACGACTAGTACATCATGTTTTCGGCTCCTCGTTGGTGCTGCACCGTTTGGGTTGTGGTCCTACGGGTTTGTGCAGCTTTTGAGATACGAGCCCTGGCGCTGCATCGCGTGGGGGCTCATTTTCTGGTGGTTAGTTGGTTACAACCAAAAAAACGATGTGGAATGGTGGTCCAGCTATATCGCGGAAACATGGCTGCCACTTCTAAGAGAATGGTTTTTTCTGCACGAGGAAGACGTAAACGATCCGACTGGAGTTGGTATCAGGCTAGATGAGGAACAGGACGCAGCCGAACTAGTAGTATTAAGGCTCAACTTTCATTGGTCATGGGGGTTGGTCTCCGACATCAAAGAGGAGACCCCCTGAGAGAACAGGGGAAAACTAAGGGAAAACAAGGGGAGAGGCATGGGGCGTTTTTCTTTCAGAATCAGTGACCACTGACTGCTGACCTTTAATCGTAGATGCGGACGCTTCTATCAAGAATTTTTACAATGTTGAGGCTCCGCCTGCGCCCAAGAACAACATGATTGACATCAAGAAGGTACTACCAAGCTTCACGCTCGACGAGCTTGAAGAAATCGAAGCACATATGGAGGAAGAGGGGATAGAACTCGTTCAAAGCGAATACGAGCAAGCAGTGAAGAAGGAGTTCAGCAGTGAAATGACGCTCCTGCTGCGCGAAAATCTTCGAGATGATATCGAATCATCTTCGAGTTCTTCAGAGTCCGAACAATCTCAATCTCTCAGTGAAGAGCCTCCTAGTAGGAGTGGTGCTATGGAGCGAACTTCATCTAACTCATCCTCTTCATCTCGAACTTCTGGAAGAAAATGCGCCTATTGTGGAAAACTCGAGTACCAGTTGCCAAAGCACTGTCATGGTCGCATGCCGGCTTTCTCAGAAGCGGCGAGTGTCGTGCAAGGCAGACAGGGAGCAGGCGTCGTGCATCCGTGTGCAGAATGCTGGGCCAAAGTGGCGGAAGCGGAAGTAGGTGGAGCCACAAGGTACTGGGTTCAGATGTTGCAGTTTTTCGCATTTGCATGATGGAAGATCACATGTGCCTCCATGAACACGACCACGTTACTCGCTGCTTGAAATTTGTCATCAACATCATCAAACTAACTGTAACTCGAAGGTACTTGACCGACCCCAGTCAGAAGAATCTTAAAGTTTCAGGCGTAGCCTCCGACACTGGCCTTGCGCTGACCCAGGCTGCAAAGACTCGGGGTCGGGGACGCTCAACTGTCGCCCTCGGACGCGGACAAGAAAAAGATGGGCCGGCGATTGGCAGTTTTTTTGCAGCACCGGGTGGAGCAGAGCAATCTTCTAGTACCTCTGAAGAAGAAGAAAACTGCAACGTACTATTAAGGCTCAACTTTCAATGGTCACCATTTAGGTTGGAGTCACTGAGATCGAAGAGGCGACCCTTTCTTGAGAGAACCAACAGGGGAAATAAACGAAGGGAAAGGGGAGAGCTTTGAAGAAGGTCTCTTCCGTTCCGAGTCAGAAGTGACCAATGAGTGCTGAGCTTTAATACTAGCCTCGTTGAACTCAACTGCAGAGCTAGCTGGTCATGCTATCAGTGACGACCCAGAGGATGACGATGAAGATCGCTCGCATTGCTTTGCTACTGTAAGAACCCTTTTCCGCCTTGTCGATCAGGCTTTGCAATTTGCGGAAACGAAAGCCTTCGAACTAGGATTATGCATCTTCAACACCTTGCCACTAGAGCTGCTTCGCCGCAAGCTGAAACTTGTTCAAGATTGGAGTCCTCGATTTTTCCTGGTTGCAAGAGATGTGGCTACTTTTCTGTGCGACACGATTCTCATGGTGCACGAGGAGGTCGCAGATACGATCTTCTTTCTTGACAATGAGAATCGAGCCAGTGTCTTCGACGTATACGTGACAGAGCTACTACTTTGGGTGTTTGTGCGTTTACCGTGTTTACCGCTATTGCTCCTTGCGCCGGTTTTCGACTCTGTTGTACGAGCGAGGCAACAAGACGAATATCGAATGTTGAAGTCCGCGAGCAAGAGCATTGGCGTTGATGAGCAGGAAAAACTGCTGGTGCAGATTTGGGCGGGCCTCGGCAAACTTCACCTATTTGTTTTCTCACAGCTTCGTTGCCTCTGCGAAAAGGTAGACGCTTTTTTGGAGTGGGTTGATCATGACGACAATGAACCACGGTCGGGAAATGACCTTGTTGAGAACTCTTCCGCAATAAAGACCGACAGCACGTCCGCGGTCGAAATGTTTACTCCATCTGAGGAAAACGACAAGTACTACTACAAGAACAGCTATGACTCAAATGATAAATGGTACGACTACGGAGACTACAACGAGAACTACGGCGATTATCAAACGAAAAAAAGAGGGTACACACAAGAGGACTACTGGCAAGACTGGGATGACATGAAAGCTGAGAAAAAACTTTCGGAAGAGAAAGAGGACCTTGAACAGAAACTGGCAGACCTATACGAAAAGCGAAAGGAAACATGGTTTGACTGGTGGCTTTACAGTGAAGATGTGAGTGAATTTCTCTACCTGGGTGCCAAGGATGAAGACTTGCAAGAGCTCAACGCGGCGGCGATTTTGAGGGTCGAAGGCAAAACAGCTACGGGCAAAGACGGAGATGGAAATTCTTCGACACGAGCATCGGGTGGTCTTGATGACGTTGTCAAAACCCCACTGACAGGCGAGTGCGCAGCGGCACTGACGTCGTTGCTGCAGCTGCGTGTGGAACTAGACGAGGTGTACGCAGAGTTGCCGCTTGTTGGGGTTCTCGACAGTCTACGCCTGACAGCGCTGGTGGAAGACATCCGCCAGAAGTTGAAGCGCCGCGTCACACGGATTAGTTTGCTCGCGGTCGAGACTGCGGGAGACTTGTTACGCATCGTGCAGGCAGCTGAGCCCTGCGAAGGTGTTAGGGGAGGACTAGAAGGTGTTAGGGGTGAACAGGTAGTTCTTTCGACGCCTGAGGCAGGTGAAAATGAAGAAATAAGTCCTGATCATGTGTCAAAGGAACAAAGTGAACAAGGAATCGTCCTCGAGAAACGACGAGGACTTTCGCTTTCCAGTGAGAAGCGTCGCGTTGCCACGTGGTACGTTGGTCCTCACCACGTCCCTATGGGCTCGTGGACGATGGCCCGCATCGGAAAGGTCGACCATAGAGCAGTGGAGAAGAGTGTTCGGGACGTAATGCAGCGTCAGGATGCTTTGCGAGCGCGGCTGGCCGAGCCCGTGCAGCACGCTTTACGCGAGATTGTTGAGCCAGCAAACATGCCTCGAGTGCTCGCACCTCTGTTCAGACGACTGGGGATCAGTTTAGCTGAAAGACCTCCACCAGCACAAGAATCTGTAGCTATCAATGACCACCAAAATAGTCCAGCTTCTGCTGCAAGCCAAACAAGTGGAACTCGCGTCTTCGTTGTTCTACTTGACTGGGTCGTTACAAGAATCATGCTAATTTTCGCAGCAGTGTGGAAATTTTCTTGGCCAAAGTGGTTGATTGAGCCGGACATTGACGGTCTTTACGGCTCGAGCTTCGCGGAGCCGGCATACGTGACGAAGAAGATGGACCTAGAGTTAGATGACAGTGCACTGGCAACTCATTACGAGGAATTTGGCTATTTCTCGTCAGACGATGAGTTGTTCACTGACGACGAGGGTGGTTCTCCTGACGACGATGACTTCCCTGGACTTGACTCTGACGAAGCAGGACAAATTGAGACGATTCAGCCCGAAGCGGAACTACAAGACGAGAAAGACGAAACACGGCTACAAATTCTACCTCGTCGAAATGACGAGTTGTTCGAAGAGGTTCCGAAAGAGCTTCGCCATGTGAGCAGTGACTTGTTGACGCGACTTGTAGTGCACAGTTCCAGTGGCAGGTCCGCGTTGAAGAGGGAGCTGCGTCGCGGTGGGGAGACTACGCACGTTTGGACGACCTTGGTAGAGCGCGCACCCGCGCCTGCGGTGACTTTTCGCAGGTGCGACACGTGGGAGCAAGCACAGATTCTTCACAACGACCGGCCTGAGTACGAGCGCGTCTTGGAAGTAAAATGTTCAGAGCTTCGATATCAGACTCTCTCTGACTCAGCGTGGGTATTCGCAAAGTCAAACGGAGAGGCTTCTGGTGAAAATCGTAATGACCACCGAGGTCAGAGCGGAAACGGAGAGCAAAGAGGTGGTGCGCCATCAGTCTTCAGCATAGTGCGTGTCACGCGAGATCATGCCGAACTAGGAGGGCGCTCACCCCTTGGTAAATTGTTGTGGCCGGACAGCGAAACTTCTTCAGCTTGTGGAGCCTCAGGTGCAGCAGCAGCTGTTGAGGACGCAGAAGCGAAAGCTGACGATTCAAAGCTTGTTTTAGTCCACCGGTCATCCGAGAACCTGTGGATTGGAGAGCTGATTCCGTTTAATGATCCTAAATTTTTGGCTGCTCCTATGCGTGTGCCCGCTTTTTGGTATGTCAAATGCATTCCGCGTCGCGACATTGAGCGGGTTTCTTCATCAGCAAGGGAAGCTGATCACGGTCGCGGAAAAAAGGCACAAGAAGATGAATTCCTCGAGACACGAACTTCGAGTAGTGCAAGCAAAAAAAGTGTCGAACAAGAATTAAACAGGATGAAACATGGCGTTCGTGATGCTACAGCAGTGGCAGAACAGCCGCAATCGGAGACGCCATTATCGAGCACTTCTCCTGTGGCCCCTTCAAGTCCCCATAAGGTCGGCAGTCATCGGACAGGCTCGACCACTACTCCAGAGGGGACGCCTGTGCCCGCAAGTGGTGCTGAAATTGAAAGAGAGGCATCTACTACGATACAGGGCACTACAACAAAGGATGAAGGCGCTGCTCTCAAAATGAACCTCAAGGAGGAAGTGGACACTACTGCTACTCTTCCTGTTGAAGGCTACTACAAAAACGATAGTCATGTTGATGTGTTTGATCAGGCAGGAGCAGTTGTTGCGGGTAGCAAACCCCGCCATCGCACAAGAAGACGAGGATACGATGGCGATTCTTCGGAGAGCGAGCACGAAAGTGATGACGCACTTGAAGATGAGGATGAGGTGAACCCAATTACAGGTAAACTTGATGCTGATGATCCAAAGAAGCTGCCTGGATCTGAAGAAGCAGATGTTGAAAATGACAACATCAAGGCTCCTATTCCCATCCCTGTGATCGACGAAGAGGTAGAAGAGGCACCGGAAAATAATAATGCATCCGATGACAAGTCTACACCGCCCGCGAAGCCAATGCCGCGTCCTCGTGGCAAGAGAAGGCGTCACGGTTATGATGGCGATTCTAGTAGCGAGTCCGGTGATTCAGAATCAGAAGATGTCGTCGAAGTAGACTCTCCTGCCAACGAAGATGAAGAGCAGGAGGACAATTTAATCAGCGAAACCAAAGCACCACTGCCAGCAGCGCCTCAAGGAGAAGAACAGCCGGAACTAGTCGCTAATGAAGATGTCGATCAGAAGCTAGAAAAGTATCTTGAAGATACAATAAACCAATCAGACAAGGAAGATGCAGAGGAGGAGCGCGAAGTCAATCAGACCTCTGTTGACAATGACGAAGTTGAAGACAAAGACCTCGAAGAAGGTGCTGTCTGCCGTGAAACTGGATCGAAAGATGTACCACCAGCACAGCAAGAGCCAGAGTGTGGCTGCCCAAACCGACACCTTGGACGGCATCTCGGTGACTGCCCGTACGATACGAAACAGCGGATTTGCACGCATTTTATGGATGGCGTTTTGAATTCAGAGTTTTTTAGAAGTGCTATCAGCATGCCCGTTATGTGGTCTTCATGACAGGATACTAGAAATAGAACAATTCACTTTCACAACACCAACATTATAACAACGAGGAGGTGGTAACACATAGTCTTCAATCTTCATAAACTGCGGCGACATGTTGCATAGTCTGACGGATTGCCCGGTTCCCATTGTAGCAGGTGGCAAATTTAACTTGTCTGCGAGACAAGCGAAAGACTTGCTTATGGAGCAAAAGCAAATGCAACGCAATCGCGCACTTGCGCGTGAGCGTGCGTGTCAGAATTGCAAACGGGCAGGGCACAAGACAATGGATTGCCCAGAACCTTTCGGAACCGACGAAGCGTCACTGCACGCGCGCGCTGTGCGACTCCAGGAATGGTTCAACCGTGTTGCTGCACTAGAATTTCAAGCGCGAAGTCCAAGTCAAATTCTGTCTCGGTCGTCTTCGGAAATGACTAGTGGTTCGTCAGGGTTGCAACAGCAAAATAAGATGACTTGGTGTGCTCTCTGCGGTTCGAAGGATCACCTCTTTAGGAAAGGAAAACTTGTTCCTGCAAACGCATCGCCTACACGAAAACAGCGACAAGGTACTTGCTCTTGTTACTGACTGACGCCGGCTGACTGTTGAGAAGAAAGAAAGAATCGTTTAATATCGTTGCTTGAAACAGATGGAAGCTCAAGTTTGTCTTCAAATGAGTTTCGTTTTCTTGATTTCCCATTCCCATTCCAGCATCTTCAGGTATCGATGATAAAGAGGCCAAGAAGAATGCCACGCCGTCTCAACTACACCAAGAAGATGAACAAGTTGATGAACATGGGCAAGACCTTCAGATTGTTTCCGCATGCATACTCCCACCGACCAGAGAGGAGATTGAAGCTTTGGAGGAGTTGGAAAGGAAAAAATTCGAAGAGTCCCAGCAAACCAGGCGCGGCACGCGAGACAGACCAGGCAGATTGCGGGAGTGCACGTTTTGTGGCGCAAAGGGCCATATCTACTACGAATGCAACAAGCGAAGGCGCTTCCTGGACAAGTGGTTGTGGCGGATCCAGCGTCGAGAAGGAGACACGAGTCCACCGACTGGCGTGAGCTCTGATTATACACGACTGAATGGGAAAGCAGGCAGCAGGAATCTTCGAAATGGAACGGGTCCCGATGGAGGTGTTGACAGAAATGCTGACGATTGGGACCACGAGGACCCAATTACCCATTTGTGGCTTCGCTTGGATTCGTCAGACGAGTTGATCATCTATGAAACTGACGAGGAGCCTGCAAAGATGACTCAGCGCCGTCCAATGCACTACCACCAGGCCTATCGAATACCGAATACGCAAACTACAACGGAGAACACTACTGGTTCTGAGGAAGAACAATTGGAGTTGCAATCGGGTCGCATAACTACCACACCCTCGTCCGGAAAAAACAGCGCCATGCCTTGGGACTGCTTATCTTTCCTCTCGGTGCAGGTTTATCACTCCGTTGGGGATCTTTTTACCTATTACCCAGTCTTCAAGACTCTATTGGAATGCTACGAAACTCGTGAAAAAGAGTTTAGACTTCTCGACGACCAAAAAGTGGCCTCCTCTACGTCGACGTTTGCCGACGTAACAAAACACCTTTTCAACCACAAAGTAAACAACATCTTAGCATCAGACGAGCCTACTTTCTCTATGCAAGACTTGGAGGCGCGTCTCCACCGAGGTTTCGATATGGATGACCCGGGCGCACAAGTTGGCTGCAGCATCGCGGAAAACGCGCAGAAATATTCGATGCGAGGTCAGGGACTGTGCCCAGTAAACGGCAACGGCCTCGCAACAACAATCTTCATTAGTGGAATGGAGGCGCAAATTCTGAAAAAGCTTTCGGCATTCTACCAGATTCCCCGCGAGCCGCTTCTGCATGGGATTTTCCTCGTAGCGGAGGCCCGCGCCTCAGGCCAGGAGTTGGTAGCATAATTAGGCTTTTTTTTGGAAACTCCGTCTGCTTGGCGACCACTGCCCCCCAATGGTGAGCGGAAGGTTTGCCGCGATCGCCGCGTGTTGGGGCGCGTAGCCGTTAGCATTCTCGATTTGCATTCGGGTCGACTCTTTCGTGACGCCGGGTGTGTCTTTCTTCTCCCCTTCTTTGTTTATCTTTCGAATACATAGCCGCCCGCCCTGCTTCTTTTCCGTCTTGGTGGCTGGAGAAGTTGATGGCAGGCGCGCTCTTTTTGTCGCAGGCGGGCCCCTGCAGCCTCAATTGTGGGCGGCTGTGTGGCTGGATATTTAGAGAGGCCGGAGGGCCGCGGCGACGCTGCGCACGCACGACCAGGCGAGGGGCGCCGCGGGCTCTCTGCCTTGTTGGCTTGGTTTAGGCTCTCTTCGAGGCGGCGCGGACAAATATTGCTAGTAATGACCTGCGGGGGCACTTCTATCAGTTTCTCAGTGCAAAGAATGGGGACGGGTGTGGCTTGGTTTCACACTGGTGCGCGGCTGGGTGGGCTGGTGTGGTACATGCCACACCCCCCAGGGCCCCCGCGTTGGGTTTTTTGCAATCATCTGACTGCCCTCACTTGGTTGTCTTCCCGTGGTGAATGCCCCGCCTACCGGCCTGGGCTGGTGGAGCGTTCTTGTTCTCTACTTCAACACCTCGGCAAGGGTGCGCCCGCAGGGCGCAGCGAAAAAATTTTCATGGGCAACTCGAGCAACCCGAGAAACTCGACCCGATATGGGTCAAAAAAAGCCTAATCCTATTATATGAAAAATTTCCCCTTTCCCAAGTTAGTTTGTTCGCGATAATTGCTGCTTACTACTCTATTCTCTGTGTCACAACGACAGCTTTTTGAGGAATGATAGGGTATCTAGTTCTAGGTAGATGTTCGTTCCTCCCAAATGTTCCACATTAAGCTTAATCGATCCGCCAGGCTCATTATTTTCACCACCATGCTTGAGATTGGGTTTATTGCTCTTTGTCCATCTTCGTGGCTTACTCTTCAGGTTGAGTCGACGCTCTTCATGCTTCATCGCGACGGCGAAGAGGATAACAACCGAGTAGGACTTTATTCGGACTGGCGTGACCTGACAATCCAAGTGCCAAAAGAGTCTGCCACTGTCTTGGGCACTGTGCAACAGCTACATAACAAGATTCGAAATCGCGAGTGGCGCCTTTTCAATCCAGTGGCTTATGCAGATCGAACGGTCGTGAACTACAATGTGCTGGATCCAGCCCCACGCGGATCGCATGTTGCCAAGTTTCAGCGTATTTTGGACGAGGATTTCCGAGTTCCGAAGGGTGTAGCTGGCGGCCATCGACGCAAGCTGCGAGACCAAGATGAGCGAATGCAAATGGACTGCCAGATGAAGCTGAATTTTCACCAGGATACTGCCGATGTGTGGCGTGTCGATATTCGGATCGACGATAGCAAGGCAGGTTCAGGTGGAGATCATCGCGAATCAGTGATCTGGATGCACAAGTTCAAGTTCAGCGTCGTTGATGCTTTTTGGGCACTGATGCAAGATCCCGCAGCGAAATTATGAACGAAGCGCCTTCTACTTCTAATAAAAAATCACCTACTTACTTATAAATATTTAATAGGAATATTAACAGAAGTTTCCTACTTACTTATAAATATTTAATAGGAATATTAACAGAAGTTTCCTACTTACTTATAAATATTTAATAGGAATATTAACAGAAGTTTCCTACTTACTTATAAATATTTAATAGGAATATTAACAGTTTCTTGAAGAACTTTCTTGATGCTCCGCTTCTGATGGATTACAGAATGAGTAGTCTAAGATACGAGATCGAGAACAAGAACTTCAACTTGTTCCCCTTGGTTAAAGAACAGGTCAAGAAAGTCTTTATTTTCTCAACGTCCTCAACATCACTCAACATGCTCCTCAACATCCTCAACATCACTCAACATCCTCAACTACATCACGTTCATCTTCTAATACATGTCCACCGCCGCTTTCCGCGAGAGACTGTCATCGAGCCATGGTTGCGTAGACGGGACGAGGAGTGGACCTGCGGAGGTCCTGAAGGCAAGAAGGAGTACGACAACTTGAAGAAGCGGATCCGTGAAAAGTTAAGGCTCAACTTTCAATGGTCACCATTTAGATTGGAGTCACCATTTAGATTGGAAGAAGCGACCCCTTGAGAGGGAAAAGGGGAGAAGGGAAAAGGGAAAGGGGAGAGCTTTGAAGGGGGTCTCTACTTCCGTTCCGCATCAGTGACCATCGAGTGCTGAGCTTTAAAAAAGGCAGAGGAGATTCGACGTTTGCAGCGAGGTCGAAACAAAAGAAGTGCTGAGAAGGAACGTGCCAAAGATGAAGAAATAGAAAAGAGGACTAATTGTTCTACTTCATCTAAAGATAGTTTTTACGTGAAGAACGACGAGCCGGTTTTGAGGGCAGACGCGTCCCATGCAGTTGGGAGCTTTTGAACACTCATGTTATTTGATTGCCAAAAAGAACTTAACCTGCTATTACAAATATCAAAATCAACAAATAGAATAGAGATAGATTTTTCTTTGCTGGCTATGGCCAAGATCACCCAATTTATAACTTTCTTGATGTGAACCTTTTATCCGTTCATCCCCATTCGGATTTCATCATTCTTCATACAAAAATATTATGCAAGAGTGAAATTAGGAATCATCTAAGCACTTCTGTAAGACCCACGCAGGAGCACTCGGGAATAAATAGCCAATTATGATAAAATGTACCACCTTATTATACATTTTTGTGTTGACTACACGCAATGATCATGATCAACCCAAGAACGCACGCATACAGCTAGGTAGATATGGTATAAACTGTAGCCCTCCCCACAGAGGAGGATCATATTCTTTTTATATTCGTCTTCTATAGAGGGCTTCGACGAAGATGATACCATGACAGATCATGGACCTATTAAATAGAATTTGTTTTAAGATTTGTTCGTAGAAGGAATAGAAGCAAGGTACTCAAAGAACTACCGAGTATGAACAACTTGCCACTTCTACAAGAGATATAATGGAGCAAGATAGATGATCATGATGGAAACTCATGCTTTTGCCCTTGCAGTTTCGCTTTCTTTGAAAAACAATGAGAAAACGGGGATTATATCAGTGAATCTTCTGAAAGATGACAAGATTTCTTCACGCCGCCGGGCCAGGAGCGGCCTCTCTTGAGCGAATGAGGAGGAGCAGGTGCTTCCAACTACCTTCGTAAAGAGTCTCCGTTTCCTTTCCGAATGCTTAAAGAACAAGAAGTGCTAATATAGGGATACCGTTATTTCCATTTCGTTCACAACAAAACGGACGACCGCCCACAATGATGTTGATAGTGATGATTTCTCGTGTTGGAATTGCAACTAATCTCATGAAATTAAAAAGCATCAGGTTATGTTTTCTTCATAGAAAATTTCTAGTCACTTCCAATTGCACAGAGGTACAGTCATTAGGTTCGAGTACTTATGACAGTCTCCAGGTCTAACCAAATAGAAACATGAAAAACACCAACATGAAGCGACCAGCGACGAAGAAGGCTTCGAACAGCAAGAGTTCGAGTTTTTCGAGTTCCTCTTCGGTGATGCCTTCTAATCCAGCTGCGCCTCCAGTTGTGGTGGAAAGTGCGTTTGCCTACAAGCAAAGGCTGGAGACGATGAGCAATTTTATGTTGCGCACACTTCTAGAGGCTTTGCAGATGGTGCCTGGTCGGACGAGGCGTGCCATGATTGCCCAGCTAATGACCGTTCGGACGAGTCAGAGTGCGGCCGCAAAGAATGCTGCACCAGACCGACGTCAAGAAGAAGAGGTGGGAGAGACAAGAAGTGCTGTAGATGGAGATGAACATCATGATGGAGATCACTATACAACTGAAGATGTCGGGGCGGACCGCAATGTTGATAGACCAGTTGTAGTACGAGCACACAATCATTACACATCACGACATCAAGCTGCTAGTGCCTCTGCCTCGTCGAGCTCCAAGACACGAACCACAAAAAGAACAGCATCGCCAGTTGATGTTGATTTATCGAGACGTGCTCAAGCGTTTCTGCAAAATTGCGATTGTTAAGGCTACCGCTGGAGCATCCTCACCACCATCCTTAGCCCTTTTTTCAAGGGGAAAAAGGGCCGAGGGAGGCTCCCAGGGATGCACGTCGGTACCTCTAAGATTGCTACCATCCTCCTGAGCACATTCTGCTGTTCCAGGAGCTCCGCTTCTACCATGCACGTGCTTCTCCTTCAGGTCGACCGTCTTTTCTGTTGCCGCAGGACTTTTTATACAATCAAAAACACAAGGATCATGAGGCAGTAGAGGAAGAGCATTTCTTGCAGATTTTATGTTGTCGAGTTACTAGTGCATCAGCTGGTGGCCAAAGAAGTAAAGGTGGTGGTACAAGTACAACTAGTGGAGGTCAAGAACAAGGTAAAAATGTTGAGCAAGAAATCTCATTGGCCTGGCCGAAAAACAAAGTAGAAGTAACCGTCTCAGTATCAACGAGAACACCTTCTTCCAGTTCTTCTTCAAACGCAAAGAACGACTTTAGCACTACGAGCTTCGAAATCAATCCTGGTACCACTGCAAATCCGCTTTGTTTGCGCGATGCCGTAATTGGCTTAGCAGAAGGAGAGGACCAGCTAGAAGTAGAAGGTGGCTCGAAAACTCGAGTCTCGGTTTCTGTCTCTGTCAACGAACCATTCTTTGATGACAACGCAAACTACTTCGTCTTAGTGAGCTACGGTCGATTCAGAACGGTTGCTGAGTTGATGGAGCGCTTTTGTGAACAGGCATCAGATCCAAGAGGCTCATCTTCTCCGTCTTCGCGCTTTTGTGAACAGGCATCAGATCCAAGAGGCTCTTCTCCAGTTGTACATCCAGAATCTTCAGCTGGAGAAATATTAGGAACAAGGCGTGCCCGTAGTGAATCAACCGACAGTGTGGTAGAAATTTTACCTGCATCTCCAGCTCCACCGCCACTAAGAAATAAAGGGTCTACAACAAGAACTAAGAGAAAAAGCACGACAACTCCAAAGATATTGCTCCCTTCATCGGCCAACAAAAAGCGACGTCGAGGGTCGTCGCAGTCCTCCGTAATCGCGATTGAAGATGATGGTAATGACTCTCCAGAGGACCACACATCAGCAAGAGCACCAGGAACATCTAGAGGTAACAACATTTGTCCCCTGTCACTCGATCAAATCGAGATCCCTGCAAAGGGAACCAAGTGCCGCCATGATCAGGCGTTTGACTTGCGGACATTCCTAGAGTATCACTCGAATCCAAAACGGTCACGGCGATTTCACTGTCCCATTTGTGGTCAATTTTTGTTGTGTAGTACACAAACTACAACAGTGGAAAGAATGATTCTTGGAACATCAGGAGCACTTGGAGCAACATTCAATATGTTGCGTGTTGTAGTGGAAGAACAAGCAAAAAATAAACCTTCATGATTTTCAAAAATAAGATGATCATGATAGAAGATTTTTGCTTGGACGAAAGGAAGAAATGGCTAGTCCTTTCAGAAAAGGAAGAAATGGCAGCTTTACAGGAAAGGAAGAAATGGTTATTCCTTCGAGAACCGATCGGTGCTGTCGGTTCTTCAATCACTTTCGTCGACTCGAAAGGCTTCGGTGATATGGAAGCTCGTGTCTGTTGCAATCTTTCATACGATCAGCGTGCAATTACGGCAGAACAAGGTCTCTTTCTTATCGTGATGATGCTCATCGGTTGTCCATCGTTTCTGTGTGTTCGACCCTGAGTACTCAGCTGTGTCCATTTGGTGTCAGTGAGTACCATTCTGATTCTGTTGCACCCTGCTTTCAAAGGTCGGTGATCATGTTGCACGTACCTACCCTGAACAAGCCTGCATCATGCCCTTGGGCGAAACAGCTTTAATATGTCTGTAACCAAATGAAATCATGAATTCGAAATCCTTTATTTCAATCTACTTTTCAAAATAGAGTAACAGCACTTCTGCAAATCCAAATTCTAGTCTAGAGATGTGAAGGTCGTAGAAAAAGAATGACGCGGTCTCCAAAGAATAAACGAAACTCGGGAAAAGGTCAACTCCTGCAACAGAGTCGTGGTGCGACACCAGGAGAATCCCCCAAGAACAAGTCTGCTGCGCCTACCTCAGTGTCGCCACATCATCAGGGACCACAGCGGTTGCATTTTTCAGGAGGAGATAGCCCCACGAGGCAGCAGCGAAAGAACGGCCAATTTCAACAACATGCGAAGGCCGAGAAGAATTTTCGACGCCACAGGAACCCTCCATCCTTCGCCTCCACCTAGCCACTCCCACCTCTGTCCCCTCATTGCAAGACTGTGGTCTGTTTTACCGTTTGGGGCCACTCCTTTCTAGAGATACGTGCGACGGGTTGGTAGAGAAATTCCAATCCTATGGAGATTGGTGTCGGTTTGCAGACAGCGTTGATGGCAAAGTGGAGAATCAGCACACCATCATTGACATTGGGAAGAACTTGCGCGATGAGACCTTACTGCCTTTGATCGAGAGAATTTCGAAGCAGTATGTGCTTCCGAGTCTGGCGCGGAGTCTGGGTGTGGCGGCAGTTAGTGGGTATGGCTTGAGTTTGTCGAGATCTTCTCTTGAGTTTGTGGAGTGTGTTAAAAAAACTAGTGACTCCTAGTAATGGTGAAATCCTCTTGGTCTAGCAAAACACATGATCCTGTCCTGCTCATATTTCTAAGACCCCCTGAAAATGCACTGGGCCTTCCTGAGACGTTATTCTGAAGACACGCGCGTTGAATTCCCGGTACATCGAGACACCAGTTCCTTCACCGTAAACGTTCTACTCTCCGAACCTGGTAGGGATTTTCTTGGTGCAGACCTGTACGCTTTGCCCGATTCTACTTGTGCTGATCATTATGGCTAACGCTTCATCTCTTGCCATTGCCTACATGATCGTAAAAACAATTACTTAAAACTTCTTTACAGTTCATTTGCGTCCGCGTCCACGTAGATCTCATATTTGATTCCCAGATGAGGGAACAGGAGTCTAAACCTTCATTTCATCCCACCTCTAATATCAAATAACTGTGGCTGAATTTCGCAAGCGTTTTGGAGCGGAAACGCTGAGACGAACGGGTGCCATTGTGAGACAGGAACCTGGTGCCTGCGTAATCCATCCCGGACGCAGACTGCATGGCGTTTTACCCATAGAGAAAGGACAGCGCATCACACTCATATTGATGTATTTGGATAACGTGTAGGAGTACGTGAACATTCATAGAAGTGATGCAAATTCTTGTACAGATTCAGGTCAACATTTATGAGAAGCAGTCGCGTAAACACGACATGAAGATGTTGATGTATAGATGAATTTTGGCTAGTTCTTGTAGGTTGGGTTACCGGAACTATGGCGCTCCTGTTGCACATGACGATGTTGAGCTACAGCACAAGGACATGTAAAAAACATCATTTGGTAGACGTCAACGTAAAGATTGTACTGTACAGACTGTGCACACGAACAGGATATTGTCAAAGCTCGATAAGAAAAATAAGATGAAGTTTGGGACGTCTTCTTGATGTATAACCTCAGGAAAGGAGATCGTGCGGCCTTGATGTGTTCACGGGGACCAACAGAGGTGGAATTGAGAAGTAGAGAACTTGAGCTACTGTGAAAAATGTGCTCATGGGTTTATTATTTCTGTACTTCTACTTGTGGCAGATGAATATGATGAATGCTTGATCGGTTCAGTTTCAGTTGTAGCGTAGACAATGTCTGAGAGCTGACGTTAAAACTCAATGAGTCGCAACATAAATTTGAATCCACTCTTCACCCAATGAATGCGTAGGGGGCTTCTTCTTATTGTGCATTTTTTAGTTTCTATCTTCTTATTTGTGCCCAGAGCCTTATGCTCTAGTACTTGTGTGAAGGTGGACGAAGTCAAGTTGTATAATAAATCGATCGCAATATAGTACCTACTTCATTATCTCGGTATCCTGCACTCAGACCCACGCAGGGTTTCATCTATCAAAAATAGGTAATCACAATCATCATTAGATGATCTAGACTGCTTAATACACTAAATCTAAAAAAGATGGCATCAGTCGTGTTGTTCTTTCAGGTCATTGCCTTTGCAGCATGATGTCACTTGCAAATTCTATCAGGGACTGGAGCGCTAAGAAAATACAAAGTTCGTCGTGGCAGAAAGAACAAGCTTGCTGGCAGAACTACTTTGCATAAACAAGCTGCGCGAGGGACACAACAGATACTATTGCAGTAGTGCATTACTCCTACTGGTGCTCGTCGTGACAGCACAATTCGCTCAAGTCCGCAGCGCCGGATCTGTGCGTCGTACAATCGGATTCCTGCCGTGTAGTAGAACAAAACTTCAACTATCGCAACTTTTGCTGTGCTTATTGGAACTTCACGATTACGCGCACAGCGCCGCACTGCACAACGCTGAACTACAATTGCACGTCTAGAAGCTGTGCTGCACACGGCTATCATACTAGAGCCTTCCTCAAGTAGAAGAATGTCGAGCGCAAAAACTGAGGATATCAGTAGTCACGACATACTGATTTTAGAGAAAAAGAACTCCACTACTAAACACGAGGAAGAAATGTCCTCTGTAGATACAACACACTCCGAACCTGAATCAAGCGCGCCTGAAAGCACTGAACAAGGGTATTTTTTCTTCCTTGCCAGAAAGATCGAGGTTGTACTCTCCGTCTCCTCAATCATTAATAAGAAGTTGTAAACGGAAGAATTGCTACATGACCAGTACTAGGAGTAGGCTCAGTATTATTTGCTATTGCTCAACATTTTTTTTTATGGTCTACGTACTTTTCATTTCACATTTTTGACCAACAACAGATTCGTCGCTCACACCGGTGGTGGGGAGTCGGATGACACACCACCACCACCTCCACCCGATGACTCACCTGAGGATGACTCACCCGAAGATGATTCACCGGTCGTCGTAACAGCGCAACCACGACTAGACCAACAGCAAGATGGAACAAATAATGCAGCGGGACCAGGACTACAGACTAGCACAGGAGGGGCCGCTGTGGTGGCCCCACCTGGGGCCTCACAACTTGCCGGTCAGCTTACAGTCACAGGAGCAGGCGCATCAACAGAGCAGTTCTCGGCACAAGCTGGGCTGGGTACAATTTTCTGCATCGATGGACAGTTTTATATGCAGCAGCAGCCGATGCAGCTGGCCCCCACTACCTCTACTTCGGGAATCATGCAACTCGGATCGCAGTTGCAAATGTCTTCCACTGTAATTATATGGCTTCTTCAATATGGAGGTTGTTGCTGTTGGTTCTGATTCGTCATCATAGTGTTCTCCTTACTCAACACGTGAACGACGATCTGAACAAGCTGAACAAGTCTGTAAGTCCCTAGTCGTGTGAAGATGTCCTTTTTTGTTCTAATCTTTGGAGCAAGTGGTACACCTCCCGTAGCACCAGGTGGCGCAGTTGGGCAAAACAATTTGATCGCTACAACAGCCTCCTCACCTACGGCAGGAGGTGCGAGGAGAGCCCAATGGACGTCAGATCCTAACGAGCCACCTGGTACCTACGTCAACGGGATGGTAGTTTACAGTGGAGAAGCACCCGTCTTCGATCGGCCTGATCCTAGTCTGCTGAAGAATAAAGTGGTACTCGTATTTTTTGGTTCGTCATGGTACCTAGTCCATTATCTACTTTATTTTTTTGCAGATGCAACCTTCTAGTATCACAGCAGCAACAGCACCTGGTGACTTCTCGTCAGCTCAGCTTCATAAAGATATCTTCAACACCACCTTCCTACTAGGGCGACGCCGAGAAATACGGAGAAAGGGGAGGGCTGCAATCGTGTCCGGAACTGCAGGAGCAGATATCGGCAGCGCAAGCTCTAGCCAAGCTAAAGGCAGAGTTAGAGTCAAGCGACGTCCTAGAACATGGACTGACGCTAGACATGGCCACTTACTCACGCCTCTTTGGAGATGGTAGTGCGAAGATTCAAAGTAGTTCCTCTCAGCAGGCAAATGGAGGATCTTCAAGTTGTCCAATTATATCCGGCGGAGCAGGGGTCCAAGTCCAAAACCAAGGCCCTGTTCTTGAGGACGACAAACCAAACGCCAATGAAGATACTACTTATCCTCCAGGCACGACCAGCACAAAGGATACAACTGCAACTAGTAGTAAGACCACTGTCGGTGGTGCTAGTGGAGATACCAGTAGTAAAACAACGATCACGATAGATGAGAATGAGATGAGAACCCTAGCGGCCGCATCGCCGACGGCTTTTTTTATAAGTACAACAGGAGCAGATGGAGATGATATTAAACGAGAACTAGAAGATGCACCACCAGGAAAGCCTGCAGATGCAGGATCGATACTTATGATTTGTTGTATTAAGTACTGCTACTTCAAATCTTCTTGAAATTGTACAGTACTTGATTGGAGGTCGCTTCCCGAGTCCTTTGTTCACCGGCACTTCATTTGTGGTGAAAGCCGACCTCCTTCCTTGTTATGCTTCTACAAAAGTTCCTCCTGCTCTTGCTTCTTGCACTCCTAAAATATCTCCTGCTCCGATCACCCCAGCAAAGAGTTCGCCGAAGACCACCTTGGATCCCAATGCCGCAGTCTTTGTGCCGAAGAGCGACATTGGACTCCATGAGACTTCCTTGTCTCTGGGAACAGTCAGCGACCAGCAACTGCTGGCGTCCGAACCATTACAGCAGAGTCAACAGGTGCCTTTATGATAGAAGAACGGCATTATATTGCCAAAAGATAAGCAAGATGAGGATATTGAGAGAATAAAGTAATGATAGTGGGCTGGAGTTTCTTGATCTATTAATCGTGAAATAATATAGAACTTCTAGTTTCATCTGGTCCTCGCGTTCCTCCCTAAAAATGATGTTGAAGAATAGTTTCGTACGAGTGGATCTTTTCCCCTCTCCTCCCTAATGACTCTTCCAGGAAGAAGGCCAGATTCCCATATCAATCAAATGAAAGCTAGGATGTTCTCACAATTTTCAGTCCGAAGAATTTCTTCTGAAGTTGCCGGTTGCATTTCCTTTCTTTGCCTCTTCTTTTCACAATCTTGCCAAGAATACTTTTTTGCCTTTTAGTACAAGATCCTTGCTGCGGTCCCTTCGTGCTAATACGCGCCACGCCTAGCTCCCTTTAGATTACTTTCGTACGAGTGGATCTTCTCCCCGTTCCTGAGTCCTGTCCTTCTAAACAAAAGTGATTATGTTCTTTTAGACGGAGAGCAGCCACAAGCACAAGGCTTTGCCGCTGGCGATCCGGTTCAGTTAGTCCAAGCGAATTGGCAACTACCCAGGCAACAAGTTTATGCGGTCATTAACGGAAACTTCTATCTTGCGGAGCCTGTGCCAGGGACTGGTATAGAAGTACGCACCTAGTTCGTAGTAAATCTTATATATAAGCATGCCGCTTATACTTTTTGATGAGCTCCTTTAGTTCTTTCTGATGAATGATTCTTTTACCTTGAAGATGTAGTAGATACAAACAGAGAAAGATGAATACGATTGACACCTTTTCGACGAATTGCATCTCATGAACAAATTATTATGTGCCTCGACTTCCTCAGGTGCCCCTCCGTCTGCTCCTACAGAAGTTGCGGGTGGAGCTGGAGGAGCGGCGCCTTCACGCGGGGGACCGCTATCTACTGGTGGAAGAGGAAAGGGCCAGCAGCCTGTGATGTATAGTAATTTGAACCGCCCTCCTCCACCAGCAGCAAGAAGCAAAAACTTTTATAGCCATATAAACCCACCCGCACCCCCAAACAACTATAATGGGTATGGCAGGAGTAACAACTTCAATGCAAGTTCTTACAACTCGTCTAGTATCGGAGCCGGAGGCGTAGGGGGAACAAGAGGTCTATTTTTAGCCTCCGGAGGCGGTAAAAAAGGTGGGCATCAAATCAAAGGAGCAGGTGGAGGAGCACATTTGTTCCAACATCAAATGTCTACTTCTTCTGGAGGGGCATCTTACAATACGACCCAAGTGGTGAAAAAGACTTCTAGTGTTGGTAGTGGGAATACCCCGCCAGGTCCACCTGTAGTTATGGTCTTCACAACATAAGTATTTAGTGTAGTCCATGATCTTTCTCAGCCTACTCAGCATGATGATCTCGATATTACGCTTTTGTTTCCCTTGTATTCTACTCGAAAACTCCTTGTATTCTATAGCGAGTTACTGTTGATGACTGAAATAAGAGAGTCTTGACTACATTTCCCTTCTTTCAGTATCTCCCTCATTTTCACTAGTTACAACTCGCTTATTTCAGTTTATCGAATACGTTTCTTCAGGGGAAGAGAACAAGGGGTCGAGCTGAGTAGAGGAGGACTGAGATGAATAAAAGCTGGCAGCTCTAATGTCGGGACGAATAAAAAACCAAAATCTTCGATATATCAGCAACTTGTGGCCCCTCCACGTAGCACTACACATCCTGCGCCCCAGCTTGTTCCGCATCGTTCGACTACCTCGTCTTCATCCAGCACTTCTTTGAAAGCTGCGGGGGCATCGGCAAACAAGATGAGCTCAGGACCGGGAACGGGTACAGCGGGTGCAGCTGTTCCATCTAGTACTACTTCGCCTTCTATAGCTCCAGTGAAAAATTTCTATTCGTACATGAATAAGAATCACGGACGCGGGACTCCTCCAAGTGTCACAAAGCAGCAACGGACGCCACCACCCCCTCCTAAGGACAGGCCAGTAAAGAGGCGTGGAGGGAATAAGTGGACTGTGACAGGAGCAAACCCTAACATTAAGGGTTTCGACATTGCATTCTTCACTACCATCCTTCCCTCGTTTTCCAGTAGGAAGAGGGCCAAGGATGTTCTGAAGAATGCAATTCCGCAACCTCTAATAACACGGTTACAGCAGCAATGCCTGGTGCATCGGCTACTCCTCCTTCAAATAGTGGTCCATTACAAGTACAACGGCCTGGTGCATCGGCTACTCCTCCTTCAAATAGTGGTCCATTACAACAGCCTGGACCTGGTGTCAAAAACAATACCGGATCACGACCAGAAGACGAGGCAAGAAGAAGCGTTGAAGATAAACCTCCAGCTAGCGAAAGAAATAATGACAAAGCCAAACAAGCCAAAGTAGGCGCAAGGTCGAGTGCGACCGAACTCGAAGCGCCAACCTCGTCTAGTACAACTAATGGAGTACCAAGTGCAAGTGCTGGGGAAAATCGCGGTAGGACTACAAGCAGTGGAAGCAAGAAAAAGGACAAAGCGACGTCGACGAAACAACCATCGGCAGAACCCACTAGCACTACAACTTCCACTGTTGCTGAATCAAGCGAAACGCCAAAGTTTACCTCGGAAACTCCAAAGTTTACTCCAGAAGCGGGCCCTAGTTGCGATTTGAGTGAGACCGAGCGCCACGAGATGAAGGACGTTCTCAACTCTGAAGACTGCGCAGTTTTGAAGGAGATTTGGGAAAAGTACAACGAACTACAACTCCTGTTAATATTCGCTGGAATTTTAGAATGAAAACAGTGACATCACATTCTTCTTGGCATTTAGATTTGGGTGCTTCCTTGTAAAACTACAACAGGCATTGTGATTTCTACAACAGGCACTGTGATGCCCGTCGAACGACTGGGTCGATGCAGAATTTTAGAGCGTAACGCAATAGGAATACACATCTTGCACCATTTTGGGGGGTGTTTATTCCTATCCTGAAACCGTGCGACCCCGAGGATAGAGAGAAACGCGGCGGCAGGAATCAACGCCGCCCCGAGTTGTGAAAATCGTGCGCAATTTCGCTCGTTCGCTGTGTATATTCCTATCCCGGGAAAGGTTTCCCAGATCGTGCTTTCGTCTATCGTTCTGCAGTCGTGTCGGTTCAGAACGGAACCTGTGAAAGGGTTCGAAATCGCAAAAGCTGCGAAGGTCGATCGCATAGTTTGCGTCCTCGCTAGTCTGCTGAGAGTATTTGCGTCGTGTTGTCTTTTTGTTTGGTAGCTTAAGAAAGTCCGTAGAGCGTTGGGTGCTGTGCTCTGCTGATTATGCTAGTCCCGGCCCATCTTGCCTCATGTGAGAGAAGTCCACACTGCCCCAATTTGTTGGAGCTGTTTGCTGGCGATCTGTTGAGGGTTGAGCCATACAAAAGCTGCAGCCTTGAAGTGGTCTCGTTGGGTAATCTCGACGAAGAAAGGGCGGGCGAGTGACTGGCAACGCACTGACGCAGCAACATTCTGACTCGCTTCCAATTCAAGTCCACCTATGGCGTCTCTTCTTTTTTGCCCCCCCCTCTCCCCAAGTTCTTAGCTTACTTATGCATGGCGCAACGAACTTGCGCCATTTTCTTTGTTTCCGAATCATTCTTGCTTTTTTCATTGTTCGGCGTGCTTGGCTTTCTTGTTTGTTGCGCAAACAAGTAGGGCCATGGATAAACACAGCACAGCGCGCGCGAATTAGCTCGCAAAGTATGGCGATGCCCGTGGTCTATGTATAAGCATGCCGCTCCTAGTGATAACTCTCGAAGCTATGAAAATAAGAAACACTGGGCGCACTGCGATCAGGTTAGTCGCTAGGGCTGTGTCGTTGGCTGCTTCCTATGTTTCTCATTGATTTGGGACGTTCGCCGCATCAATTTTGCGCCTGAGAGGCGCCTTGGCAGGGCCTGTTCTCCCGCGCAATAGAGCTAACCTTCTGACGCGGCGTCGCCTCGGTTTGTGCTCCCGCGCCATCTGTCTTGTAAATCTGTCGCCCTCTGTCTCTGTGTCTGTGGTTTCCGTGTGCCCTTCGTGCCATGAGTGTCGCGCCGATCTTTCAGCAAGTAGGTTGCTCTGGGTCATTTCATCTGTGCGCACTTCCGTCTCCCTCGGTCTTCTCCCTTCGATTAGGTCGCAGCAGTATGCTCTGGCGGTGCTCCTTCTGGCTTCCTTAATGGTATTAGAATTGTATGACTGCGCAGCGTTTTCCAGCGTAGCCTGCTCCTAGTTAACGCTGCGACTTATGTTGGGGGGGCTTTGCTTATTCTTATCGTTCCGTTTCCCTCTATCGTTCTGCATCTATCATCATCATCATCAACCTAGGACGAGCAGCACCACCAACGTATGCAAGAAGTAGCCCACATCTCTACCGCGACAGGTATCGCGACGACCTCGAAGCGCCCAAGTTGGAGAAGAAGCCTGAACTGACTTCCGAAGAACGGGATGAGTTTTTTCGCCTGTCGAATAAAGTAGTGCAGCGCATGGCTGGTTTGTATCAAGCGCCGTTATCCTTGGACCAAGCTCAGCTTTCCGCAACGAATGCCTCAGGCCACAAACGACACGCAGATAATTTCGTTTTCAAGACAAGGAGAAGTACTAGAGGACTACTAGCTATGATTTAGAAGATTGTACTACAAACATTGCTCCTCAACACCTCAACAGAAACTGTCCTACCCCCCCCAACGGAGACTGTCCCACCTCTAATCCTCTTCATTTTTTTGATGCTAGAACGAAGTACGTCCAAATGGCCATCCACTACAAAACACAACTCATGAAGATGTTGAATTTTTCTGTAAAAAAACCTCCAGAACGATCGAGAACGAAGAGTGGGTCTTCACTGCACGAGATGTCGCTACAGGACATGCTGAGACCTAGTCGCACCTCAAGTATAGGATCCGAGTCAGATCTAGTTCTAGCAGAACAAGATTCTTCTGCTGCAGCAACAAAAAACAAGGAGGAATCGCGAACGCCCACTACTCCGTGTGTGCCTGTAGTTATGTGGAAGGCTTTGAACAACAAGACGCGTAGCTCTAGTTGAAGAAATTGATTCTTACTGTTCTTTTAATAGTGACTTCCTTATGTTGTCTGTGTCTTAATCATCTAGAATTTGTTTTCTAGTACCTCCTGTCGGAAGATAACGATGAAGATGAAGAACGTCCTTATGTATCATGATCAAAAGTTTGATTCTCTAATCTGAATGTTAGAAGTGTTGATCTGTGCAAAACCGGTCCCGCAGGTGAAGCTTCATCAACAGCTGCGGCAGATGAGGAGTCAATATCGAATCTCGTTGTGTTTTGGAAAACCAATTCGACGGCTCATCGTACCAACACATACATTTGTTTTTTCTAGGAATGAACGATAAACATCAAGCACTAGTACAACGTATTTATAAGTCCTAAATCTGGCTGCATCCAAATATGGTGAAAAATACCGTTAAATTTTCCTCGTCTTATGATCACATCCTCGTCTCCTCATAAGGTAACTACGCCGCCTCTGTGAATTTAGTGGCTCCATCCGACTACGAGGGTGGTGAAGTACGATTTTTCGTCCATCTGTACGATGCAGAGCCATGCTCTGTGTACAAGTCAGAGAAGGGGTGTGGTGTTTGCTTCACCGGTTGCCCCAAAAATGTTCATGATGTCACCGGAGTTACCAGCGGCTTTCGCCTTTGCTTGTTGGTATGATTCACTTACAAGTGTAGGTGACTTGTCACTTCTAATTTGATCGCTGTAGAAGTACTACTGGTATGCATAAAAATGACTTCGCGTGGCTGATTGTCGTGAAGTAGTAGAATAATAGGGATTTCATCTTCCACCTACTTCTACACTGAAATCTAAAGAACATCAGGTTTGGACCCGTCCCGGTGGCACTTCTTGTCCGAAGGAAGCTCAAAACGCGCACTATCACCGACCTGGTACTGGAGAAGCTGTCTGGCTGAATTATGGGGATATGACAAAAGGCCAACAGGAAAGCCAGTGCATGCCTCAAACTGAAGGTCCCAAGTAGCGGAATTTGGACATCGTCGTCGGGGTATGATTTATAATTAGTCACTGGTAGAACAAGAAATTAGAATATCAATCTTCTACCAGCTTACTATTACTCAGTAGAAAATTGTAGAATCTTCCACCTGTAAACGTTTGTCATCAGAAAAAGAAAAAGCTTAGACAGCATATGCTCGTTGAAGAACCAACAGGAGCATCTTCACCATATTAGGCACTGTGAATTTCAAAAAAGCATGATGGATAATATCATGGATATGGTGCGATGGATAGTAATACGAATTTTTCTGTTTCTTCAAGTAATTGTGGCTGTAACGGTTTCTGGGGGGAGTGTAGATACATACGACGACGTACAAGTCGATCCTGCTATCGTACAGATAGTATTTGTAATTTAGTTTTTGGTCTCACCCATCTGCTACAGGACATCACATGAGAAAATCATCGATTCTTGTTTACTAGAAGCAAGAAATTATAGAGGTCAACCAAATTGGTTGAACCACTATCTGATTAACTACTTCAAGAACAGATGGAAACGAGGAATAGAATAAGACTGTAGTTCTTGTACTAGTTGAACAAATAGATGATAGAAGAGCTTGGGAGAAATGGATTCATGCCTCCATATGAAATCATAATCATGTTTTTGTCGATGTTTGACATTGACTCGATTTGGTCACAATTCTAGTTTCTTGTTGTGACAATCCAGTCTAGGACCATAAAACAAACCAGACAATTCAATAGATTATGATATCGCAAGGACGAGGTCCTTGCATGTTTGGGTTTGGTTACCTCAAGCTTTGGCCGCTTAAATTTCATAATTCATTGATACTAGAAATGGAGGTACAGTGGGCCGAAAGCTTAGTGGCCCATTCCGCGTGCTGCATGATATGTCATCATTCAGACTATCAGCGTCAACATCTTCGATAAAAGACGCTATTTCATACTAATTTATGTTCATCATTAATTCTGTTTCTGACCTCTCTACTCGCGTCCTCGTCGTTGTTCTGAGAACGTGGCTCATCTGGTGCATGTGGCGGCTAGACACGAGTGCCTCTCGAGGAGGTCGTAAGAAGGTTGAAGGGGGGGCAGGAGGACATTCGTACGCTGATGGGCCGCGAAGCCTTGTTGCATAAACATGTAGATTTCTCCTTAATGCCCAACACTGGTGGGTGAAGTAGACGTTGAAAGATACTGAAGATGATGTCATACCATACATAGCAACTATTTATGTAGATGTACATGTGCAGGTGTTGTGCATGCTGAACAAATGCAAATCCACATGTATCAAGATGAGCAAACTTACCTCTAAGAAAATTGAAGAACAACATTAGCATCACACGGAGCATGGTGAAGTTTGTCAGATCAGTAGGTTAGATGCTAAGCAATGGTAGGTGTTACATCATTTTTCGCGTATTTAATCATGATAGCATGTTGACATCAACATCAACATGCTCGAAAACAAGCGATAAACGTGTCATAAAAACAAGAACAAGGGTGTGGTGTCTTATAGACATACATCAATTTTACGAAGTGTGTAAAAATAGACGAGGAAGAAGGGAAGACGCTTGCGGCCGATATTCAACACGCGAGGTGGTCCATGTACACGACCGCAGCATCGGTCTAGTACAACTTTGGATGAATTTTATTTTTGCATTGCACGAAGATGAAGAAAAAGGAGTCAATGAAAACGAATGGTACTAAGTACTACTCGAAAAGAAAGAACAATAAGATGGCATACTCAACATTCGTTTCCGCCGACTATAAGAAAGTGGAGAAGTCGTGAAAGAAACTTTTTTTCGCATGAACATGGCGTCTCCAGGTAATTCTAAGAGTTGTAAAAGCAAGACTGACCATGAAAAAAATGATGACCATTCGAACAAAAACGAAAACCACGTGTCTACTTCGGCAAAGACGGCGTCGTCGGGTATATCACGGTCGATATTCGATCCCTTATCGCGACAACATAGCGACCAGAAGGATGGAGCTCCTGCCAAGAACCAGAACCAGGTCCATCGCAGGGGCGAAGCACCGACCTCTAACTCTGGTGCCTTGGGTTTTTTTCCACATCATCTTCAAGAAACAACAAATAGTGTTAGTGCAAGTGCAGCCGTCCCCGCCTCAACGGCTTTGATTACACGTCTTACCGCAGATGTAGAGCGTTTGCAAGGTAAAATACTGCGCATGCAGGATGTGCATGCTAAGGAAGTGCAAAAGTACAAACAGCGAATCTGTAAGTTGGAGGAACAGGTACGACAATCTTCGAGAAATGTCGCAGTGTCTTCGTCGTCCAGTGCGTCGACGTCATCGATCACGCCTAAGGCAGCTAGAGAAGGGTCTTCTGGAGTGAATGGTCGCAAGGTAGTTGTACAAGAAGGACAACTACAGGGAGGAGGTTTCTTGAGCAGCAGTTATACTAGTCCTCCGACGACTTCGGCTTCGCATTTACCAGTACCGCACTCTGTTGTAGGTCAACATCAACGAGAAATCAGTACGAACAACAGGAACAACATTCAGACACCTCAACCAGTACTAGAATCCGTTTCTGCACCAGGTTCTGCGTTCAAGAAACAGGGTATCGCACCCCGAGTGCCGGGACCTGCAATCACTCCTGAACTTGCTGATTTCGTCAATCTTCATGCAGATGAACTACAACCTAAAAAAAGGTCCAATTTCGTTGATATCGAATCCTTACTGCGACATGGAAGACGATCCGAGCCGCCAGGGAGAAAGCCCTCATCGAGGAAGAAGAAATATTATGGTCAGCTTTTTTCCATCATTCTCGGCATCTTGGTCCCCTTTTCCCTTGTATTCTCGTGAAATACAAGGTAAAAGGGACCCCAAGAAAAGGGAGGCCGAGACGCAATCTAGCAGACTCTAAAAATCCTTCTCACATACTCGAAGTACTAGTAACTTCAACGTCAAGAAGGACCACATGAAAGCTGGAGGAACAAACTACTCTGGCTCTTCTTCGTCGTCCTCGTCCTCATCTTCTTCCTCGTTGCTGCTACAACAACAAAGAGCAGGCGAAACATCTAGAAGACATGATGCTGCAGGGGTCAGAAGTGGGGGTCTTGGTGTACAAAATGTTGTACCTCCACTAGTAGCTGGATCTTCTTGTTCTACAACAAGTAGTACTACGACAGCAGGAGCACCAACATCGGCGGCTCGAGATAAAAAAGATAATCTTCATAATTATTAAGGCTCAGCTTTCAATGGTCATTGGGGTTGGTCACTGAGATCGAAGAAGCGACCCCTTTGGAAAACAGGGGAAAAGGAAGGGAAAGGAGGGAGCTTTAAAGGGGGTCTCTTCCGTTCAGCATCAGTGACCATTGAATGCTGAGCTTTAAAATTATGAGAATTCACGACAAGGAGCACAACCACAGAACTATCTTCATAATGATGAGAATTCACGACAAGGTCAAGGAGCACAACCACAGCTCCATATTAATGTTGATGAGAATTTACGACAAGGAGAACAACCACAGAACTATCTTCATAATGATGAGAATTCACGACAAGGAGCACAACCACAGCTCCTGGCCACCTTGAAGATCAACTGTCCAGGACCTCTAGACCACAATCCACCGCCCGTTCCAGAGAACGTTTGGGCTCGCATCGCGTATGTTAAGGTCCATCAACTTGTTTCATTGCTCATAGAGGTTCGTTGGCCACTGAAATCGAAGAGGGCCCCCTTGAGAGAACAGGGGAAAACAAGTGAGGGAAAACAAGTAGAGAGATGCAGTGGGGTCCCTCCCGTTCAGAGTCAGTGACCAATGACAACTGCTGACCTTTAAGTATGAGCGTGAAAACCCAGAGTTTCGTGAGCCGATGCCAAAACGACAGCGCACCCAAGTAGACGAGTATCCTATGTGCTATACGCCATCTGGGTTTTGGGAACTAGGATTTGCGAAGACACAACAAACTGGGACCTTCTTGGTTAGTGACGTGGCCTCCAAGGAGCTTGATGGTGGAGTAAATGAGCAACTACATCATCTTCATCAAGAGCAGAGAAATGACCTTGGTAAAGTTAACGATAGAGGTGGACACGAGGAAGGGGAAGAAGGTCAAGGCTTATTGAAGGATAAGAAGAGTAGTAGTAGCTCTAGCTCGTCTACGTCCATACTGCAACTAAATCCTGCTTTCTGAGGGACCACAATTAGCGAATCAAGCAAAAGAAAGTATTCGTCTTCGAGAAGTGTAAGTCGATGAAGTGTAATTTCGACAATAGAACAAGCTCCTGGAACATGATCAAGAACTCGGAAATCGACGTCGAGATAATTTTGTTCGCAAATGTCATCTTCGGTATGCAAGAGTATCATGCAACAAGACTTTACAGGAGTCGTGACGCTGTAATTCATATTCATTCTTGGATCATCACGTTTTCGAGTTGATGTGATGGTTGCTGAGAGTGGTAGAGTACTAGAGACAAAAATATCTTCATTATATTTCCATAACAAGAACAATCTACTCCTTCCAAAGGATTCTTAGTGCTGGAGGCGTTGTTTTCCTGCGCTGCGTCATCCATGATGCAGTGCAGCAGATTTGGTAACAACAAGAGTACTTCTACTTCTACAAGTAATCTGAATCTGTTTTGAGAACGTGTGGCGGGTCCTCCACCTAGTTTCTCTAAAGACGAACAACAACATTTCAGATGAACTAGAACACTTAAGAAGATCATAAAGATTCCACTCACATTGACTTTGACATTGGTTTTCTATGATCATGTCTTTTTTTTATCATGATAGTCCTCGTCCGTGTGATTGCGTGTGGTATCGACCGCAAGTCCAACTACGAGCAGAACGAACCCCCACATCTTCAATTTAGTGCAATCGCAAAGCGCCCGTTGTAGCACATCATGTACCAGCATCACATCATCATAGAGCATCACCATCAACAACGACTTTCATCTGACGTGGTCGAAGAAACGAACGAGGACCTACTCAGGAGTAGTCACTAGTGCAAGACAAGGAAGAAGATAGAAGTAGTTACTTTGACGAGTAAGAGTAAGTAATAAAGACTTCTCGTCCTTACTTAGTACTCGTAGTCCTGCTCCAGCAGGTCCAGCACCTCGAGGAAGATGATCCTGTTGCCAGCGGCGTTGCAGAGCTTTGTGTATTCGCTTGTGCTCAAACTAATGCTCCCCTTTCTGGCGTTGGCAGCTATTGGGTACTGCGAACGCAGGAGAATTGAGAAACAAAAAGAAGCTGCGAAGCACGAGGAGCAGATGGACAGCGGGGACGCCTCTTCTACCAAGAGCCTCGAAAAGCAGCCGCGTCGGCCAACACTGGCATGTCTTTTTTCAGGAAACCTGTTTGGAGCTGTCGAGAAGAAGGCTGGTACTACCTGATCTCTCTTTTTGTATCATGACAGTACAACTCCTTACTTTTTCCTCTTCTTATCAACTAGGTTTTCTTCTTCTTATCAACTAGTACAGTTTTCCTCTTCTTATCAACTAGTACACAGTTTTCCTCTTCTTATCACCTAGGTGTTGTAGCCCTTCATGCAATCTATCATGACAGTACATGATCTCTCTTTGTTCATCTATCATGAAAGTACATGATCTCTCCCTTTTTCTACATGATCTCTCTCTGACAGTACTAGAGCAGCATGATGTTCTCATCAAGCATTGAGTTGTTAGTATTATACTTATAGATAGAAGCATATTTTTTGCTTTTAGTTCTAAACATGATCCCATACATCATCACCGTGCAGCTACAGGGAAAAGTCGAGGCGGCCCTGTCAAACAGATGAATGTTGGAGGCCTCAGAGGATGGCGGTTGGTTCGTGTCGCGCTTAACATCTGCGATATCGCATATGGGTCACTTTTTCTGGCCATTGTCAACTACCTATTTGGATTTCTCTTATGATGAATGGTCGTGACTGTGACATAGAGATAGACTACAACAACATATTTGACCTCAGACAGTCTACATTTATAGGGGCAATTTGCATTACTCTCGATCTCTCGCTCGTCCTCGCCCTTTCTTCATATCTGGACGATGTTGATAAATGAGAACAATATGTTTCTATTTCATCCACCCTCCTCGTACTCGTAGACTTGTCGTTATCCATTGTTCGTTTCTTTCTCGTGAACCAACACAACCTCCTAGAATTATTCATGACCGCTCTAACACCCTGGTTGCAAAGTGACGAACGGCTGAAGGACGTCGCGGATGGTGGAGATGGAGCTTCTGAGGTTCCTGACTTTCCAGCAGACTGGGTCGAATCTATAGATCGTCCTGCAAAAAACAAGGGTGGGAAAAACAAGAACCGAGCCTCAGGAGCCGCTAATAGGTCTACGTCTTCGACATCCAGTACAACTAGCAGAAGCACACAACATGGTAGTTGTACTTCTAGTAGTTCTAGTAAACATCATTCGATACCAAGTGGGAAAGGGAAGGACAAGGAGAAGGAGGAACAAGACAACGACAACTACAGGCAAGACAACGCTTCATCTAAAAGGCTGCAAGAAGCATCAAAGAGTGGAACCAGTAAATCTGCGAGAAACAAGACTGTAAAAAGTGAAGGAGCCGCTAACGAGGACGTTGAAATTTTATTAATGGGTCGTGAGTCTTCTGCTTCGATCGCGAGCGAAGATGCGAAGAACGAGAAGAAGTTCAAGAACGAAGATGCGTCGTCGAAGGACGAGTTGGAGGACGTCAGCAAGAAGGATGCGGCCTGCTCGAAGATTATATCAGAGCCAACAAATAATACGTCCACAATGCGTCCACAAAGCTCGTCCACCTCCACTTCATCGTCGTCCAACTTCGGTGGTGGTGGAGGCGATGAAGACGACAACATCCAGGACGACGCGTGTCCTTCAACTCCATCCCTGGATGTAGTAAGCAAGAAGAAAGCGAACAACGCCAAGGCGATGAATAGGTCGTCGTGGAAGATGAATGTGCTGAAAGGAGCAGCTGCAGGGGGTCCTTCTTCTATTCAAGAAGAGTTTTATAGTCAGGTACTCGTACTAGACCAAAGTACAGGAGGAGCTGGAGCAGGGCAAGAAAATGGAGACCACAAACACAAAGTCAAAGAGAAGAAGACAAACAAGCTGAAAGAGCACAATATTGAGGAAAACAACAAGAAGGTTGCACAACAACAGATTGTACGAGAATCTTCACAAACAAAATCACCAGATGATGCAGATTCTACGTCTTCTTCGAGCTTAGAAGATGAAGAGGTTTTGCTTCAGTTCAACAAGACAAGGAGAGCTGGTGGACTACAACATGGCGATCAACATCACGTGCGTGGAACAACGCCACCCAGACAGCTGACTTTTCGTGGTAGTAGGCAAAAACGCGCAGGTGGCGAAATTCCTATTCCAAGTTTAGCAGCTTCCTATAGTCCGAGTCCCCCAGCACCAGCAACAATGCAGATCTCCCAGATACAGTGTGAGCAGATGAACACGAAGACTCCTACAACTTCTACCCTTTTGTCGAGGACACCTGAACTCATAGTCTATAATACGCAAACGGTGAACACAAGCACCCCTCTAGGCCATTTTGCACATGAAATCGACGACCAGAACCTTTCGACGGCAATGAAAATGATTGTTCCCTCCTCACGGTCAAGTAGTGCGGTGAATGTTATAGATACGACGGCTTTGTTTGTGCACGCGGATGTGGTTTTGGAGGATACGCGCACACCGGAAGGACTAAGTAAAGGCGCTGCTTACAACGCATCTAGGGAAGAGCAAGAGAAGACACAAATTATGGATGTAGTTGGTGGAGTTTTTTGGGTCTGCTTCTGCTCAACATATTTTCAACAAAGTTGTAGGTGAGATGATGATATCGACACATCAACACTACAATCTCTAACAATGTAGATAAAAACAAAACCACCGTTGGAAATTCGTCAACGATTGTCCTTGATATGCATGAAATTGCGCCAGCAGCAACGCCACCACCTGTGGATCATCAAGATCCTGGTTCTAGAGGCTCCAGAAGCAGACACAAGCATATGACGGCTTCAGTTAAGGCTCGATACAAGTCATTTCCAAGGGGCACTTTCTTCGGTTCTTTTCGTCTTCGAATTCTGAAGAAATGAAGGCAAGAAGTGAATTGCTTCGAGCTCTAAGTCAGGGGGACGGAACAACAAGAATAACGAACAAATTGGTGGTTCCACTTCTTCTACAACATCACTCTATGCGGCCTCAACAGCGACACCTCCACCTCCAGGGAAATTGAACGACGAAGACGCGACTTCGACGACCTGTGCTACGACTACGACGACTGCCACAACCCCTGTGTACGACTCTGGCGGAGGTAGTGTTGTCACAGCCACAGGTGGACATCAAGGAGAACTCGAAATTCTTACAACCTCCTCCGGTGGTGCTACAAGAACTTCTTCGTCGTCCGCTTCTACAGGAGGTGGAGCATCGACGTCTCATGGATCATCTGGTAAAATGCAGCAAGAACCAATGGTGCTGGAGCTGAACAACTTGCTGGATCCAGCATTGTCGCGTACGTCAACGAATGGCAGTGCTAGCTCTTTGCGCACTGTTTCCAAAAGGTCTAGGAGTTCCTGGGCTGATCAAACTCTATTGGATGACGACGAGGACTTGATGTTGCTTGACTTGCGGATACCACCACCAAGAAACCTAGTTCAAGAAGACGACAAGAAAGTTGTTCAATATGATCCTTCTGCTGCGTTGCGAAGTGCTGCTAGGCGTGCGGGAGAGGTTGAGACTACGTCAACTTCCGGCACAACACCAAGTTTACCGAATCCGAATACAGTATCTGCCCCATCTGCTCGTCCTGGTGGAGGTTTGTTCACCGGACGTGGGACGCCTGTGGTGTTACAAAGAGGAATGCCTTTGGACAGTGTGGTGAGCAGCCCACAAAAACAGGGTCATCATGGTGCGTCGTCTGCTCACCAAGTCAGCGACAAAGTGTTTGTAAATCAACAACATCAAGAACAAGGTCAACAACATAGCTTTACTTCTATGATGCCTCTACCACTCTATCAACAGAAGAACTTCACGAACATCCGAGAAGAGGAGGATAGTTTCCGGCAAGTTGAGTACTCTGACGACGACGATATTCCTATGCGCGTGGTCAGGGATTCTCGTAGTCCTTCGCCAAACAAGCCGCGCAAATTTTCCGACTTAGCGCCTTGTTCCGCATGGTCTTCGCCATCCAAGGCGCGATCGTCGACTCCCCAGTTGCCCCCGAAAGTTAAGGGTAGGAACAAATATTTTGAATAGTAGGACGAGAGTAATCTGGGTAAGCCAAATTCTAAAAGATGGTTTAAAAGATGGCAAGATGGTACCCCTAAGTAGATCTTGTTTGATATTATTAAGGTAACCTTACTGTTGATGTACTGGAAGAGGACTTAAATCAAATCAGCATGTTTTGTGATACTTTTGAGCTCTAACGAATGCGGCAATAGCGGCAACAACATGATCAACCTACAAGCAAACGGTACGATCCTCAACGCAGCTCTGAATGGCAGTTATGTTTATGATGGAAAAATTTGTCGTGCTAGAGGAGATCATCCAGCAAATCGATCAAAATGATGTTGATCTTCATCGTTTTCGTTATTCTTGATCACATGCTTGTTGTCCTGCACACTACTGTAACATCACAGGTGGGATTCATGGCTACACTACACATATTACTTTTAGTGGCAGACAGACAGTAAAATTGAATTCGCTAGCTGACGTACTATTTGCTTCTACAACGCACAAAGGTTTATCTTTCTGATTAGCATTTTTGACATAAATACAGATTTAGATACTTCGCTTTCATGACAATGGCGCACCAGCTCAACCGCATTCGTCTCGCGCCTCTACCCCAACAGGTGGCAATTCTATGAGCAGAAGCAGCCTTACAGCAGACATCAGACCACCTTCTTCTAGTGCCTTGTCTAGTTCGTCCGGGAGAGGGGCTGCCCCACCGCGACCACCATCGCTGAACTCACACACTGCGACGCTTAGAAGTTCGACTTCGAGTGGCGGGGCGTTTATTCCTGCTGGCAGAAAACATCAAGTGCCTTTAGCCGCGCCAGGTGGATCTTCCTCTTCCGCAACAGGAGCAGTGCTGGTAAAAACGAGAACGAAGTCATCTTCATCTGGAGGGGCGACGCCTGGAACAACTGCCACACCCGGAGGACAGAATAACAAGAAGGGAGCGACGCCACGTGGTCCTGGAGCGACAATGTTTCCTCCTGGAGCGACAATGTTTGCGGCACTAGCAGAAGATCACGATGACGATGAGTCCTTAGCATCGGTTTCTGTGTCTCCTTCCAGCACTTCTTCTATTAAGAGGACTTGCCGTGATTCATCTTTCGAGGCATCCCTGACACGTTTTCAAGGGGGAAATACGTCAAAGATGACTTCCAAGATGAATTGTTCTATTAAGCTCTAACTCTAGGAGTGCAAGGAAGAGGAACAAGAAGAAAGCAGGGACGAATCAAGGAGCATCAAGTGGTAGTCCAACTCCATTGAAGAAAAACGATACTGATACAGTGATGAATGGTGCTCATACAGCTGGAACTGTTGTATCTTCAACATGTACTACGACAACTACAAGGCAAGACCACAATGAGCATGAGGAACAACATCATGATGAGATCCCCGAAGGACACCTTCGGCTTCGAGCTCGAGGAGGGCAATCTTCATCTTCAGATGAGCAAGCTGCTAGTACTGCGGAGCTTCTTCAGTCGCATGATAGCCAGACGACTTGCCAAACAGTCCAAGAAGGGGAAAAAGAAGAAGAAGAAGAAGAAGAAGAGCCGACTATCGACGTAACCGTATTCAACGAAGACCCAGATGAGTGGAACGTGCGTGAATCCGAGACGATCGAACTTCCTTTGACTCTAGTCTTAGAATGCACGCGGTTGCGGACGCGAGTGCGCTTTCAGGGAGAGGACCAGATGTCACCTAGCAAAAGACAGGAGCTGTATGAGAAGTACAAGCTGGTGGAGGACGTAGTTGTTGATACTGATAGCACTCGTCCTAAAAATGATACAGTAGCTGCTGCTGTCGTGGGCGTGGCAGAGAGCAGTAAGCCTACAAGTCCTCGAGCAGATCAAAGCAGGACTCCGAACAAAAAGAACAAGCGACAAGCAGGCAAGGGAAAAAACAAAATCGTCGGCAATAAGGATGGGGTACTCTTCTATGATGATAATCCTGATTGCGACGCTGTCCCGGCTGTTGTAGTACTATCATAGATCTTGCCTGCGTATATCGAAATACCAATACAGTTCCATTTCGCTCTATCCTTGCATACATGAAAATGAATCACGAATTTCTCGATCTACTACAGGCCTCCACAGTCGACCGGATGCTGGAGGACTGCATCCAATTGAACGCGGTTAAGGCACAAAGCGACGCTCTCCAGAAGCGCCGAGAATGGTCTTTGGCTTTCGCCGCGTTGCTGATTCGTGGAGGTCTGCCTGCCGTCGCTGCACTGATAGAAACCGCTGGACTTTTCTGGGAATCTTCATGGCTGGGAAAATTTGCAAACAGAATGTTGTTCGGGATCATAGAGGATGAAGTAGAACTTGCTTCTAGTCCAAGCAAATCCACAGCAGCGTCGTCCCCAAGCAAGAGCACTGCGTCTAGTCGGGGAGGTAGTCCTTTCTCATCGCCTCAAAAAGAGAAGGAAGAGAGAGAGAGGGCATCTTCCACTTCTTCTGACAACAACAAGGATGAAGACAAGAACAAGTTCTTGCCGAAATTCGACATCGCGAAAGCTGTATTAGCCGGAGAGTTACTTCTCGAAGTGGACACGACCACGCAGCACTGGCCCGACTTGAGTTTTAACGTTCTAGCACAGCTCACCTACTGGTACGACAGGCGTGCTATTGACTCACGTGCGGCTAAGGAGATAGTCGAACAGGGCGGTCGAAAGGCGGACAGCAAATTGGGAAGATGGACTACGAAAATTTCGAGAGAGAAGATCATTTACGGTGCTGTGGCGACTGAAGCGGTAGAGGTTGATCTTGATGGAGCAGCATCGCCTGTGGTTCCACCTGGATCAACAGCAGAGCAAAATCTAACAAAACGGCAAGTCAAGAGACAAAAAGGCAAGAACAAAAAGAACAACAAGCAAGGTGCTGGAGGTGCAGCAGCTGGTCTTGGTCAACCTCAAGCTCAACAGAGTGCTAACGCCGAATTAGAACACGCAGTGGACCACGATGAACCCCAAGAACATGTTGATCCTGAACTCTCCACCGAAGCCCTTCTCGCCAGACCTCATCTAGGCCAGAAAGGAGCTTCTAAGAAAACCCCTAATGAGCTGTTCCGGCGACCACGAGGAGTCGATGTCACACGGTTGCAGACGTTGCGGGAAGCCGCCCGTGTCGTAGGCCATCCGGAGCTTGCCCAAATCGTTGGCGACGCCATCGAAAAGTTGAGAACTGATAACTGCGCTCGTGTGCCGTTGCACGCCTTGAAACAGCACAAAACACGAGATTCTTGCTGGATTGTGATCGATCGGAAGGTGTATGACGTGACACAGTTTTTATCCATGCATCCAGGTGGCGAAGAATTGATAGTCAAAGCGGCAGGCTACGACGCAACGAATGTGTTTGAGGCGACGCATGGAGAGGGGTTGAGGTAAGAGACTTGTCTTCTGGTCAGTCATCTAAGTTGTAAATAGTTCAAGAAGTGAACTCGTAGATGTGCAACATCTAAGTAGCTTATTCTTGTACTTGCTCTGCTTCTATCAATCTTAATAAACTTCAACATGATTCATGATGTCTCCTCATCATCTCTTCAAAACCTCATACAACGCCAGGTTCTCGTTGCGCATCCTGAATCAATTTTTCATTGGCTTCCTTGCGGACGATGTGCATCTTGACCCCTATCCTGATGTCGATCCTCCGAGCGCAGAGTTTCTTAAGGTGCTTCGGAAGATTACAACTGCGCTTCACCAAGTAGACGAGGCGAACGCGACGGGAGAGAACCAAAAAACATACTAGCAGAACTGAACTATGATGTGAATAAAACAACACTTTCTAAGAAATCTTGAACTTCATCATGTAGACCTTATCACAAAGACCAACAATATCCTCATTTTCTGGCTCACCTGTAGGTCTGTGGATAACCGTCTATCCTTCTCCTAATAATAATCTGCTGCCACATATGAACTCAGTCTCGTCTTACCCAATACAAATCAGAAAATTTTCATCCTTTGAGACGAAAAATACTAAGAAAGTTACACGTTCTCCTGGATACTTGATTATACTCAAGATCAGACTGATAGGTTAAATATATTTAATTTATATATTTATTGCACAAAGAAATTATTATCAGAATTGACGTTTACATACATGAATGATAATATGGGTGAATGGTCATCTCTTCTAGTAACAAGACGTAGCCCGTTTCCCGTCTTGTTGACATCATGTAATAACCTGTACAAATAAACCAAAAAATATGAGCTTCCGTACGAAACTTGTTAGATTAAAAACTCTTGGGTACAACACGAAGACACCGTCCTTTCAGGATTCAATTCTGCGATGCCGACGTACTCATCTTTGACAAAAATAGTCTTCATTTTCCTCCATAGGTTTAAGTTGTATAGATACTTAAGAATTTTCTGCTCGCTGATAGATTTATTGTGAAAGAAGAGAGCAAGAAGGCAGTCATCTTGAAGGTGATGGACCTTCCAGTTCCTTCTGCTCGTCTTCTTTTACTAGATGAGTCATCAAGGAGCTACCCCTCAACAACATCCCTTGTTGTATTAATCCCGATACTAGAAGTACATTCTCCCCCCTTCCTTTCCTGACGACGAAGACCCAAGAAAAGCTTCACACGGCACCACGTTGTATTCACTCATAACAGTGATACAGAATACGACAATTGTTGAACTCCGAAATAATCACAAAAGATGAGAAGTCAGAGGACGCAGTACAACCACTCTAGTACTGCTGCAATATTAACGCTCCAACGAGGTGCATGATTTTGATTTTGGTCTATGATATTATCGGTTCTACGTGCGTTCATCCGCAATACGGAGAATCGGTTTGATTCTTCCACGGCCAAACGACGATATTATCTGTTTCTGTTAGAGGAATTCTTAGGCAGAGAAATCTTTTTAGGTACATTGCCGAATTATAGATTCACGCCATCGCTGTCTGTTTCTGTTACTTCATCCCAGCATGATCGGTCAAGCAGCCTGCTCCTACTTTTAACGTATTTGACTAGCTCGTTGCTCAAGTCCTTGTACTGTAAGAAGTACTCCCGCACGTGGTCCCCAATGAACGCCCTAACGCTAACAAAACTCACGTTTCGCCTCTTCGCTGACTTTGCTTGCTTGTTTCCCTTTATCTGATGGCGAATGAACGAGTCTGAAAACAACTCCTCCGATCATTTGTGACACTCCGTAGAAAACCTCTTCGTCGACTCGTCCGTCTATCATCATACAAAAAGCACATAACGCTGGCCCTATAATTAAGAGAACAAAAGAAGAAGATCAAAGAATGAGGTCATCAGCGTCCTCCCCAAGTCTGGGGATGGACAGGAGTGCCATGGACAGGTCTACTCACGACTTCAGAAGGACAGGCAGCAGTGTCTTTTCGAAGACGTATGGTACTTCGATTACATTTTCCTTGCTTGGTCGTTTGTAGTATGTAGGTGTTGAATGATGGATCATGATCGTTTCTACTTCTTTTCAATTTTACTTGGTTCTGCAGCACACTTTCTTGTTGTTCTTGTCCATCATCTTCTTCTCGAACTCCCCTTGTTCTCGCTATTTAATACTATGTATAGTAGACTATAGATACCAATTCTAGTATGTATCTCAAACTCAAGAACCGCAATCAATCTCGTCTCGTACAGATCCCATGGACATGTCAGAGTGGAACAAGCAGGTTATCACAACGTTCCCAACATCCCTCCAATACTTCGAAACCTACCATCACGCGTACGGATGGGTCAGCAAACTGAAGGACTTAGCGTTTTTGTCAGATCTTTTTCGGAGTATTGTTATGGCCGCGTTAGTACATGTCAACCAGTAATAGAGCAAGAACTGTTTTTATTTCTAGATCAAATTCAAAGCAGACGAGCTTCTGATTCTGTCGTGGTAAACAATATAACGATTTATGCAATTCCCTCTCTAACCCCAACACGGACGGTAGCGCCACCATCGACAAAAACGAATTTGACATTTCCCTAGCGCATCCGGAGACGAAGAAAATTTTTGCCACGCGGTTCGGTTTCCAGCCGCATCAAAGGGACAAGATATTTCAAGTGCTGGCGAATGGAGAGAGTACAACTCGCTTTCTTCCGGATGTTCCTTTTACCTATAGCTTAGGGCAACCTCAATTATATCATAGTTTTACCTATAGCTTAAGCCTAGGTCAACTTCTACGACGCTTTTCCAAAACTTTTCATCTTATACAAACCTGCTCATCACTCAGAATGCATTAGCTACCGAAGGTGGATGACGTACTTATTCTCCTTGATGGAGGATGGCGACCGAGTCCGAGAATTCTCCGCTTCAGGCAGACCCGGGCATTTGTCGAGAGAGGAAAGCTTTGAGAGTATCTTGCTTGTTAGTTTCTTCTTTTTCCCTCTCTGAATTGATTTCAACCATGAACTCAAAAATCAACACCGTTGCCCATGGATGTGATTATCATGTGAAATCTCTTCCTCTCTCAAACACAGAATTCAAGTCTTTGCCATTGCCGACAAGAGGTGGAAAGATACGGAAACCCGGATTTACCAATGGTCCAGCGTGGCTTATGAAAACGCATCCGACGAAGACTATCATCTACAAAGATAGAAATTGAGCTGACGCCTAGTGTGATGAAAGTGTAGAAGCAACTCTGGGTGAATGTACATGCAAGCATAGGAGAGAAAAAAATGAACATACAAGTAGTCCAGTGAAATTAACATCAACACACAAATTCGAGCATATAAGAATTTTTCCAGCAAGTTAACACATGTTTATCCAAATACCAAATACGCGAACAAACGTCGAAACAAGTCAAAGTCAAAGCCGCAGCTATACGTAGTCGTTGTCAAAGTCATCTAAAATCATCTAATCCAAAATCAAAATCAAAACCATCTAACTACATAACAAGTTCCATCAAGAACATCTACATCATTCTCGCTACACTCAAACCTTAACATGAGCGAAAGCATATCAAGTGCAGATCGAGTTTGGTCTTACGTCCATGAGTTCACTGTCATTCAGTACTGATTGTGCTTGCGCGAGAAAACATATGACAACATGAAGTATAACTATAACGGAGCACGCACACAGAATACGCACTGATAGCTATTGATTCCGCATATCAATTCTGAGCTTCATTTACTCATCGTGGAAAGGTACAACGACTCTTTCTGTATCTTTCTTTTGGATTTTTGATTATGTATCTTGGATTTTGGAGTCCGCAGCTTTGAAATTGAACAGGATGGAAAAAGCTAATTATACTAGAAGAAGAAAAAGAACATCAAAAAGAAAATCGAAAGCATTGGCATTCCCTCGTTGCACCAGCCTCGTGCTTAAAGAGCGCGATGTTTGATGCTGCACCACGTCACGAGGAGGACTTCTTTCAAGAAGCTAGTGAGAGTTTTTTATATGATGCTAGAAAGAGTACTAGAGAGTGAGAGAGAGAGAGATGATCTTGTTCGAGGGTTAAAAAGTGAGCGAGGTTTAGCCGGGGGACAGCACTAAGTGATGTCTAGTGATGTAGTATCTAATATGTAGGATCGATATGACGAAGATGAAGATGATACAGAAATGACCTTCTAAAGATGAAACATCACCCACCCAACCATGTTGATGAAAGATGATACCACTCTTCTTGTTCCTCGTCCTGGATTTTGTCCTCCTCCTCGACGCCAAACTTGCACGACGAAACCTTCTTCATCTACGCGAAGGCTACAATGATGAGAGCGCACGATCCAGCTTCGATCGGGAGGTAGCATTCGATGATCTTCTCCACTTGCTGGATTTGGAGAAATGGCGACCCGGTCATCCGATCATATGGGCTCATCGGAGGCTGATAGAGCGGCAACTGCAGGAAGCGGGTGGGGAGCTTGTGGCTGCGGCGGAGGAAGCGGAGAGGAAAGTAGGGGTTGTTCTTGACGAAGAACCTAGAGGTGGAAAGGAGGCAGATGGAGGAGGAGGAGGAGGAGGAGAAGGTGGTGGTGAGCATGCGGCAGTCGTGGTCGATGACAGCAACACTCGGAAGCGTCTAGCGCAGTATGCTGCGACAGTGCTGTTTTTATCCGCGTTTGCGCCCACAAACACAGTGGACAAGCTGAACGAAGGCGCGACGACCATTTTCAACAGGCGGCAACTACCTGACTTTCTCAATGCTCTACCGCAAAGGTTGCTGGAGACGGCTTTATTGGGAGTCATTCTCAAAAATACCTTTAGTGGGAAATCGAGCTCCGCTTCCACTTCGACTACATCTTCACCAAGCTCCACCAGCATAACCAAAGATGCCTTATCCCTTCTTCGCCTGTTCATCGAAATTCTGGAGGATCGTGTCCTCATCCTAGAGAACCATGACGATCATTACCGTGGTCGGGCGTTGTGGAGTGCGGCATCAGTGTGGGATAGACCCGAGCCGAACTTTTACACGCCGATCGAAGCTACGAGACTCGTGCAGAAAGAAACGACGGCGAAAACGTTGAAAGGGCTATCAGTAGACGACAGACAGCGTGTAGTGGAGTTGTTGCGGAGGTTTGAGCGGCCGGCGAAAACGACAGCACCAGTGGCGACGGTGAGGAATGCAGGGGAGCAAGGAGAAGGTGCGAGTCGACCAAGAATGGAAATTGAGGTAGTGCAGACGCCCTCAGGAGGCGAAGGCACACCGAGTAAGAAGGAAGCAGAGGTTCTCTTGACCATTTTCCAAAACGATCATGACCTTCACGCGATGTCCCCACAAGATCCCGCGAAGCCGCTACCGACTTCTGACGACTTAGCCATGGACCTACCCACCTCGCATAAGGGCTCTCTAGTCTGGCGCACGCATCGAGAGTGGGGGGCGAATTACAAAATCGAAGACCCAGACTTCCCACGCTCACCGTGGACACACTTGGCAGCTACTCTGCCGCATAGAACACATGATAGGCTTCGATCAAAACAATGGGGACCCAGTCAGATGTTCTACACCCGGTTTTTCGAACCTAGTATGCTGGATGTACCGCCAAAGGTGAGGCAGATGTATTTGAGGAAGGGTATTGGAGAAGCATTCTCGCGTGCGGCAGTGGAAGTGGGAGAAGTGTCACTTTTTCTGAGAGAGGTTGTGCCTTGGGTGTTGATTCAGACAGTCTTGGCGCACGACCAAGAATTGCAGCAAGAATTGCTTGTTGATGCCTTGGAAGCTCCGAACAACGCAGTGACGCTTGCTCGGGCACTGGTGAAAGTCGACGAGATCCTCCGGAAGTCTCATGGAGGTGATGCTTCTTCAAGAAAGACAAATAAAGAAAATTTGTCGTCATTCTTGTCCGAAAAAGCACTAGCCGGTGTTCGAAAATTCGTAGACTCGAACTTGCCAACCACCATAGCCTGGAACCAAGAGTGGGCCATAACAAGTGTGGGAGATGCTGTAAGCTTGAGACCAACTGCTTTTGGGTGGCTGATACCTGGAACTGTGGGCCAGGAAATACTGGACAACTTGAATGAGGTACGCGAGGACGGCAGTTTCGATGAGAGTCCTCTAACTTCCGTTGGTTCTCCTTTTAAGGGTAGGTTAGAGGAGGTGCTTTTGTTACCGTTTGTTATGGCTCTCTCCCTTAGGATGAGAAAGCCATAACAAGCGGGACAAATGAACACCAAAAACCTACCTCTATTAATCCTTCCGTTCTTTCAGCAAAAACTCTGATAGCGAGTAACGCTGCTGCTCCCAATCCCTACCTACTGAGAAGTGCAGGTGCAGCTTCTGCTTCATCATCTGGATCCGACGGGGGCAATGCGTCGAATAATCGAACGTTTCTGAAAAATATAGTTGCAGGCAATGCTTCCATAACTACCGAAAGTAGAGCGGCGAACGGATCCTCCAACAAAACATCTTCGGACCCGCCGAAAAGCAAAGCCTCCTCGGGTCTCGCGAAAAGGATGCATGTACGCGTCCCAAAGTTTCTGGCAAGAAAAGTTCGCATAGCAGCGGAGCAATATAGTGATGCGGGGAAGTGTTTACAAGACAGTCGCGAGCGTCAAATCCGTGTAGAAGCAGAGGGAAGTGCCGCTGCTGCTGTTGAGCATGCGTCAACTTGGACCACTGCCCAGGTTGCTCATGCTGTAATCGAGTTGTTCTACAAAACACATAGTACGGGTACCTCGTCCAGCACGACCACCTCATCAAAGAATAGGAAGAACAGCAACATCAAGAACGGGGGTCAACATTGTCCGAACCTCCTGGCAAAAAAATTCACAGACAATATAGGTGGATGGACAAGGGGACTCCGCGACATTGGTATGTTGCTAGTAGGCCGCGAAGGTCGTTTCCTTTCACTGCAGGACCGGGAAATGGAATCTCAAATACCAACGAAGGAAGGCGAGTTTTCACCCTGGCAGGTGTTGGATATAGTAGGCGAACTGGAGAGGATCTTGAGTTCGCAGGACGAAGGAGACAGAGCGAAAACGGCCAAATTTGTAGGATCGTTGTGGGAACTTTTCGCACTCAGGAAGCTATTGCTTGGAGATTTGCAAGGTGCGACAGTACTGCTGCGAAAGCAGGTGGTCAAGTTGAAACTAAGAGAAACGTCGAGCCACCCTATCCTTGCTAAAGCCTGTAAAAATATCCTAAACGCAGAGTCTGCATTATTTTCCCGTACAAACGATGGCAGCACTGGCATCTATGCGCCGGAAGCAATTGCGCAAGGAGACGAGTGGGGATGGTCCGAAGAACTGGGACATTACAAAGTAGGCAGGGAGATCATGGAGAACGAGAAGGCATCAGCAACCTTGGGGAAGTATCACTTGGACATAATCCGTGATGGGTCTCCTTATTTACAAGTTTTCGCTGACCGATTTTGCTCTGATTCAGACTCAAGCACAACTTCTACTAGTACAGCTTTCGCTTCCTTGTTCTTCGATGCTGACCATTTGCATTGGGCGGCATGTCGGCAAGCGGTTTATCGTGCAGGCCAAAACCGGACACTAGTATCGGCTGGCGTGGAAGCTGGATGTTTGCGTGTTGTCAACACGGGATCATTTGACCATGAACAAGATGGAGATGCAGAGGCAGACGCAAAAGCGAATCATGGTAGCAATCCTTTCCTCAACACACATTTAGGCGACCTAATCGGACCATACAGCAGCGTGCGTGGACGTAATCAAGCTGAGAACGACTACTTCAACGAGAAATACCCGAAAAAAACACGGGGAGTGTGGGTAATCCTAGCTTACGCTGTGGACGCTTGGATGCGAGGGGAACGAGGATCTGACATACTAGTACCTGTCGGAGCAAGCAATGATATCAGCGGAATTGAGAAGAAGGAGAAAGTCGAAGATAAAGCGCAAGAAAAGCAAGCTCTGACAGTGCTAGAAGTAGGAGAAACTTCCAGAAATAGTACGGAGCAGAAATCCACCCCACTTCCAACCATCGACAGTACCAAGACCTTACCACAACCTAAAGTTTTGATCGTTGTGCCACGAAGCTACAATTGGATGGAGTCGTATGCAAATTGGTGGTCTTTGTTTCGGTCTCCTGCTGACAGTTCACGGTTCTTTCGGGAGATGTATACCGGACCCCTGAACCGCGCTGCCGACACAGAGAAGCCGACAGTGAGACTGCATGGCAAGTTTGAGATGCAATTCGAGTTCGATGGCGAAATTCCCTTACAGCAAGGCGCTCCAGCTTGGGTGTATCTAAATCAATACCACGCAACGGGTGGAGGTGAAATACCGCAACCAGAGTATAGGCTGTTGGGACCGGGAGGGCCAGCTGCTAAGCATGATGATGACAAGAGAGCAGTGAAGGGAAGTACATCTTCCTCTGGTGAAGAATCTAGTGGTACTAGTTCTGAACAAAATATAACGACTTCTTCTTCGAACGAGTTCATGATTCGCCTATCCGACACAGAGGTCCACGCGGCCAATGTGACGTTTTTCCAAGGTTGGTTACATACCATCATGACTAGAATTTGGAAGAACAAAGTGACGACAATACTTCTCATGGGTTGGCGACAATATGAGCCAAATATCGATCTCTTGACCGCCTTTTTGCAGGACTACCTCGACGATTTCTACTACTCTCCCCCATTGGAGAGGGCAGAGGACAACTTTTTCGGAGGAACCTCTACATCCAGTCCAGCTAGTGGGAGGCAGGAGCAAGATCAAGGTCCTCAAAAAGACCATAGTACTACTAGAGTTCTTCTCCAGCCTTCACATAAGAAGCATCTTCCTTTCTACTCAGGACGTAACGCCGTCGCAGGTCTCTGCGTTCAGAACGACACAGGACATAGCAGCTGGCCAGTCCAGGAGATTGTGCGAAAACACTGGAAACTCGAGTATCGTCCATATCCCAGCGGCTATTTGCAGCCGTTCAAGCTGAAGCACCAGTATCGATGGATTCAAGGGGAGACGACCTCTGGAACACGGGTCATGAGTGCTGAGCTCTTTGTGGATTTTTTGAAAAGTTTCTTTAGTAAAAAACAAAGAGCGATCCTCTACGGTGAGAAGTTTCCAGATCAACGTGACATCCGTGCTGATTTGAATGCGCAAGTGACTAAAGCTCCGCAACTCTCGGCCTTAGAGTCGGATAGGATAAGCTACATGAAACGACGCGAAAAAAGCGTCAGGAGAAGGGCTGTGATTGAACAGATGCAGGGAGTGGAGGTGGTCGAGCACGACGAGCATAACGAAGGAAAGCGTGTAGCTGATTTGTCTAGCACTAGAAGTACTACGTCTTCATCGTCCTCTGCAATACAAGCTCCTTCATTCACGACAGCCTTAACTTCTCCAACTTACACCTCCATGCCCGACCCTGATACCCATTTGCCAACGCACGCACTGGAGTGGTGGGATACACGTGAAGGTCGCACGATTGAAGACATCCAAATGGCAGAGGAGACTTTTAGGATTTTAGAACAGCAACTTCCTGAAAACGAGTGGCATGGCGACATAGTTGACGGCGAAATCGATCATCCTCACATTATATCCGGGGAAGCGGATTTTGCGCCAGAAAATGGCGGAACCAATGGAAAGGACTTTGGGGATGTGAACGCTGTGGAATTCTTCGTCGACATGGATTTACATTTTCGATTCCACTATCGAGGATACTACAACTACCAAGGTGGTCGTGAGCGGACTCCCACAGACCCAGTGCCAACGTTCACGTACTTGACTCACCGTTGGCTGGGTCGTGACACTTGGTTACAACATTCGGATTACTTGGGCAGGTCGCCACTTGATGGGGTTCCGATGTGCATCAAGGAAAACGGCTATACGGATAAACTGAAAAGGTTACCAAAGAGGATAGCCTTGAATTAAGGCTCAGCTTTCAATGGTCATTGGGGTTGGTCACTGAGATCGAAGAGGCGACCCCTTGAGAGAACAGGGGAATAAAACGAAGGGAAAGGGGAGAGCTTTGAAGGGGGTCCCCTCCGTTCAGAGTCAGTGACCAATTAACGCTGAGCTTTAATTGAAGTATCAAATCGAAGTGTTGCGAGCTCCTACACCTCTTGATACTTGGTCGCTGCGTCGTGGCTTTGGTGACTCACTTACCCGCATCGAATCGGAGGAATTTCAGGCCGTAGGCTTCAGTCCTAGAGAGCAGAAGCATCACAGAGTTGAGGACTGCAAAACGGTCTTGTCGTTTTTAGCGTTGAAAGGGTTTGTGCAGAGAGGCTACGTAGAAGCCCAACCGGAAACGGAAGAAGCAGTAAAAATGATCGCCGAGTTGTTGGGGAAAGCGAAAGATGAAAAGAAAAAGATTTTGTCGAAGGAGGAGAATGCTACTTTTAAGCAGGCGGGTGGCAACACGACAGCTGACAAGGAAGAAGGCACACCTTCATCTGCATCTGCTCTTGACAACGAAGACGATGCCGCGATCCTCCGCGACCTCCGTCTTCCTCGTGGCCGCTTCACTATGCGCAAGCCGGTGTACTTCGAGCAGTTTGCGGAGGCTGTTGGGCAAATGCGAGGTCTCTTGTCAGAGTTTCTTTGGATTTTAGCACGTGATTACCTCATGGATAATGGTTTGACCATGTCCTATTGCGCGCGCAAAGAGATGATCGTCACGTTTAAGACGCTCGCACGTGCTTGGCGTGGTTGGTTTCCGAATCGCAACGTCGTGATGCCGATCACCGGCACTTTGACGCACTTAATGAGGAATCCAAAGTCAGTCTATGCTCTGGACTTCGATATCGATGTCGGATTGTGCCAAATGCGGTTGCCAGGCGATAACATGGCAGAACTGCGATGGCGTGGGGCCCTAGCTTCCGCTCAGTTTTGCAAAATGCATATGGCGAAATTGGGTTATGCCTGTTACGAACGAACAGGCTTCACAGAAGTCTCAAACGCGTATGGAATCGGCGTCGGGGTGGACTTCTTCTTCTTAAACACAGCAGCCATGAATCCTCAAGGCTTGGGGTCGGACCTCGGAAAAGGCATCCTGTTCGGCGAAGAAGTGCACTGGTTGGAACACCAAAGGGTGGAATTGTACGTGGACTACATCCCGAGTTTGAAAGTCATGAACTGGATTCATCCATGGAGCTGCAGTCAGGTCTGGGATACGGTTCGACGCCGAAGAGGGGATGAAGATGATGAAGATAAGTGTGCCGTGAATGCAGGACAACAAGAACGACTTCTAGTGTTACCAGATCGTGAAATAGCCCATCCCAGTTGCTTACCTCGATGTGGGGAATTGCATAATGTCGGATGTGAGTTCGACGACGATGGTTGGCACACAGAGGACGAGTTCAATTTGCAACAATTCAGCGTCGATGCACAGAAAAAACACTCTCCCAAAGAGACGGAGTCGGTGACCGTTGTGTTGGAGTTTGAAAGGAACCCACTGGATGGGTCGTTGCAAGTGAAACGACCTCCTCCACAGAAGGACGCGATGAGTAAGGACGTAGCGGACGACTTGGTGGGTTTTTTAGCTGCTGTTGAACAGAAATTTACAGACATAGACATTAGTAATGCTGGTGTGACTGGGTGGAACAAGGGTGAGGCGGGGAAGGGCACTGGTGAGGGAAAAGGGACGAGCAGCAGTGCTGCTGATAGAACACCACGGCTTCCTGCTGGAGAAGAGCAAGGCAACGTTGAAAACATAAAGAACGAAGAGAAGGAACAGGAAGAGACACCGACCAGTGCTCATCGACAAAAGTCATCGAATGATGCTTCATCGACAAAAGTAGGAGTAGAGAAAAAGATGAAACCAAGCTTCGATCTAACCCGATTGCCACGGAAACAGAAGTTTGCCCAGTCTGACGGCGTAGATCGCCAGTTGCAGATCGCCTTCCAACCAGATCTCGCTTACAAGACAGACATCGGAACAACTGGCCAGAAGCAACAGCTGGCTGTTGGTGAATCAATCGGCATAGAAGCTTTCTGCCCTATGTTCTGCGGAAGTGTGCCCGCGGGAGTAGATGGAGAAGGAGCTTTCTCAATATTCTGCAATGATAAGAAAACGAGGACGGGGCTGCCTGGTTCGAGATCAACCACTAGTACAAGAACTTCTGGCTTAATATCTTCTACTGCTTGTCCTCCTTGTGCCAGTACTTCCGATTCATCTCCAACTCCTCTATCTCCACCGAAGCCCTTTGTGAATGTCACTTTCTCTCGATACGCAAAACTACACGGCGAAAAAGCACCCGCTCTCTCCGCATGGGACGGTGATGAACGTGCAGTTGAGGGCTTCCGGTGGCATTTTCACCTCTCCCAACAAACAAAAGCTTGGTTGAATGGGATTCCTACACCACTATTGGAGCACTGGTCATTAGACTGTTGGCATGGAGGCATGTGGGTTAGTTTTGAACGTTGTTGCGACATGGAGATTGCGCCAGACACACCAGGAGCTTACAGGGGAACCAGTCAAGGGGTAGGATTCAACGCTGCATGCCATACCTTCTTCGGAAACGCCAATACATACGAACGATGCTGTATCTCTGAATTTATACTGATAGAGCGAAAAACGCCTTTGTATCTCGGCTACCTCGACCGTGTGAAAACACTGAGGGAAGATCGACGTTACCTGAAGGCAGCAGACTACAAGTGGTTCTACGACACTGCGGAAAACAAGCCACCGGAAATGTTCGCGATAAAACAAGAAGCAAGTCTGAAAGAGATCATGTTTCCGTACACAGAGAATGCGGAGGACGCAGTCGCAGCTGTCGGAGCAGAAGGAGGAAATAACAGTGGCAATAACAGTAGTACTAGTAGTGAGCTGGTGGAAAAGCCACTAGAAGATCAAGAAGATGGAGTTCCAGGACCACCGCCCGATGAAAGACTCCTGATGCCTTTCAACCTAGAGGAAGACAAGGTCGTGAACCCTTTTCTCGAACGTCCGCGACAAATTGGCATTCCTGCGAAAATTTTGATGAAGAATACTTCTTCGTCTAGTATGCCTGGTGCCATCAGCGCACCAGATACAGAACAAGGTACAACTTCTAGTACCGCTGTTTCCTCTGTTTCCTCCACTCAAGAACAACATTCCACCAACTCTCTTCTTCTCTTAAAAAAGCTCGTTCTGGGCCAGGATTTGAGCGTACCTTGGCAAACGCGGTGGCTGGGCGTCGAGATGGATCTAAAGGGGAAGAAGCGGCGTTCAGACCAGTCACGTCGACGCTCGACGTACGATGACTGGGTCGAGAGGAGTTTTCCGAATTTCTTTGGGATTAAAGAAGCTACAACGTTCATTCGTGAACATAACATGACGAGGCGGTTGTTGTTATGGCTCCACCTGGACCTAGTAGAAAAGGAAAAGTTCTTTCATCTGTACTAAAAATTGTACTAGGACCGCCTCACACTTAATAATACTCATGTTGAGCTCTCGCAGCTCCGGCGTCCTCTCATCGTGTTTCTACCATCTTTCATCTTACTAACTTGCTCAAGAACTACATGAACTCCTTCTTCAACATCTGCCTCTAATTTGCTTGCTACAAACGCACCTGCAAACATTACGTGATGCTTGGGGTAGGTGGGGAGCGGATCCAGAGTCCAAAAGCCTTATAGAGCAATCAGGGATGCGAACGGCGACACCGAAAGGCTTTTTTCAAACATCGGCGATGGTCTACGGGTGGAGAGATGAAGAAGTAGATGCAACTCTTGGGAAAATAAATCCTCCCTTCGCTCTTGGTAACCAATCGGACGCAGAAAGAGAAAAGAACACGAACAACCCGATCAGCAACAGCGGCATTTTTACTTCAACACAAACATCCGCGGCCGCGGCGTCCCCTACTTCCACCTCTTCTGTTGACACAACGCCATCCCAATCTACTCCACGAGGACCACAGAAAAACTTCGCTTCAACTTCTGTGAATAGTCGAGCCGAAGAAGAGCTGAACATTGCATCTCTGCAAATGCTGTTAGATCGCGGAGAATACAAGGTCGATCGCAAAAAACAGCGAGGTGGCTGCATGAATAGGTTCGGAAAGCCAGTTTGCTGCGACGAGATAGAACCAGAAGTCGAAGAGACGGCAAGCTGTCTTAACTTATGTTGAACAGTTCAGACGTTTGCTACAACGATTGGCCTGAAGATGGCTGAATTCATTGCTGAATGTGCATGGGTTCTACAAGAACATGTTTTATTAAAAAAATGTCAACTACTAACTTCCTTTGGTGGTTCTTTACTTCTGTGACCGCCATCTCCAACTCCAGTCTCTTCATCTTCTCCATCTCCACCTCAACCTCGTACTAGTTCTAATCCTCGAAGACTTCGTACAAGAAGCGGATGTGGCCATTGTGACTGGCGTTTTCGGTCCTGGAGACAAGAACGAATTCACAAATGGCGCCATCAAAATGGGGAAGAGCCTCAACGTGGTTTTGGGACAAGAGGAGGTACAATAAATGTGGGATAAGGATTGGAGAGCACCAAGTGTGCCACGACAGTAGATTGGACCTGATTTTGACTGTGTTACCACCACTTGTCTACTGAGTATCATGAACCCAGAATCTACTTACTTAAGAACATTCTCTCAACTACACATCGCACAGGTCCTCCAGCAGCAACGAAACTTCGATGCACCAGCAGGCTCCTCTATCAAACGACGCAAGCGTGCTGACTTGGTCATTCTGGAAATAAACCAATTTCCAATCGCAGACGAGTATAGGGTGAGACTACGACAAGCCGGATGGAAAATTTGTACGGTTGCCTGCGTGAAAAATCGCAGTTTCATCCACCAACCCGCGCTGCGTCATCGTTTCACGTTCACGAAGCTGAAACTTCTGTATGGCTGCAATGTTTTTTTAATTCAGATCCACTACTGTTTTTTATTTTTGTTCAGTACTTAATCCAATCAAGTTTCTTATCCATCATAGCTCTTCATCAGGAATCGAATTTTAGAATTATGAGATAAAGTCAAAAATTTAGATTTTGAAAATTCAAAAGTTCCAATGCCACGCTTTCCAGCACCAATGGACTTTTTCTTTCATCGTCAGGAATCGAATTCATTTAAAAGAAGATAAAATCAAAAATTCATATTTTTGAAATTTCAAATTGTAAATTTTGAATTTAGGCAAATTGGAAATAGTACAATGGAACAAAAACCTACAGTGTTACTATCTATTCAGACTCTTGAATTAGACTAGCAAGCATATCTCTGCTAATTTGGTATTTTTTCGTGGAAAAATATCCTCCATGATAAATGCTTTTACACAATTTGCAAGCATCTCTGTTCAGTGATCACCCTCTAACTTCCCTCCTTCGTGCAGTACCAGCGTGCGATGTGGCTCGACAGTGATGTGCAGATCGTAGGTCCGATCGACGAGCTGATAGACTTCGATTTTGACGCGCCGGGACGAGACTGCAAGATGGCCGCGGTGCGCGATGTCATGATAGATTCACAAAACGCCAAACAACCTGGCATTGAAAACCGCCATAACTTCAACGCGGGATTGATGATAGTGGAGCCGTCGTGGCAGCAGTACTGGCATATGGTAACGTTATTAGGCAATCAGCATGGCGGTCGACACCCTCCACTGCGCAAGATGTGGTGGGACGAAGCGCGAAGACGGAAAATGCTCAAGCACCGACAGAAACTTGAAGCAAGAGAAAGAGAAAACGCCAGCAAGAAAACTGCAGGCGGGAACAAAAGAAGCATCGTCTATCCGCCTTTGAGTGCTACAGCTCTAAGTGAGTTGAATCAAATAACCATAGTCCAACGAGATGTTGCAACAAGGACTAGTGGTAGTAGTCCGAATTCAGCAGCTGTGGAAACGACGACTAGTACTACAACAGACAAGACTAAGACATCCGACAAAACATCCAAGACGCATCCACCTCCACCTCCAGCTTTGCTGACTTCCGCTTCCCTCACAACCGTACGGTACGAGCGTTATCTTCTGTCACATCCTTTTGCGACCACAGTGCCAGACGATGGCGAAGCGATTTTTATGCAGGCGGAGCCACCCAATACGCTAAGCGCATCTCCCGTTCAAGGCGGTATTTTGAATCCCACTACAGGAAAACGCTATCCAGTCTTCCATAATGCAGCCATGTTCATCACTCACCCAAGCGTGAGTGAGAATGGCGTACTCGAACTGGAAGAAGCTGTTCGATACCTGCCTGATCCGACGTTTTCCGAGCAGGGATTTTGGAACGACAATTATCGGCATCAGTGGTGTCGCCTACCATGCAAATACAACGCGATTTTGCCTTACATGCTAGTCCCACGTCTCCGCTTCATTTGGGAACGGTGCAGTAGGGATGCAAGAATCGTGCATTGGGCGTTGTACTATCATGATTTTTAGAAGATGTTGACCATGATGACCTACTTTGAATGTTGAACATGACGATGAAGACGATCCAAATCCTTATAAAGTTGGAAGATAAGTGGTGTTCATCCTGGCTCGCAAATTTTAACCGTAACAAAACAATTTGATCACACCACGTCCAGGTTCAAGCCTCACTTTTGTCCGAAGCTGGAGCCTCGATATGTCAGTCTGGATGACAGCACTCTGGTCCCGCCGCCCATGCCTGTAGTCGTGAAGAAGAAAGTAGAGGAAATACAGCATCAAGAAAGTCCGGGACAACAGCAGCTGCCATTATCCAGGAAAAAGGATGCTACAGACATAGCGGAAGGAGCGACTACATCGGATGAACCAGTAGAGCTTTCAAGGCCCTCAAGCATCGATGAGCTGAGCGCCGCGAAAAATCCCGCAGGCTTTATGTCGCACGATGGTGAGCATGTGAACGTTCTACTGGGTCAAAACTCCCGCCATATAGCTCCTACAGCAGAAAACAAGAGGTTCTTTTTCGACTTCCTAGAGGGCCAGGACCGGGAAGAGTCAAAGGAGGAGTCAACATCAAATACAACAACTATCAGTAAGAACAAAATTATATCACCATTCTTTCCCAAGAATGTGCGAATATTTCCAAGACAGTTTCCTAGGGTAGGATTTTACGACTATGACCCAGAGTTTTCTCTACGAGGATACCTCTGGAACCTAGGCAACGCCGGAATCGAAGCAAGACTCATACTGCGTCTCTTCTGCTTCTACTATCACATTGTTTAGTCCTCCTATCTAGACGTACTCTACCAGGTCTTGAAGATTAACATCAATATTAAACTTGAACCTGTAAAACGCTAAACGGTAACAAGAACATCTAATCTATCATTCGTAACCACGACTCCTCCTTTTTCAACTGTTGATCATCAAAAGGAAGATCTCTTTCGGTTTCACATCTACTATCCTGAAGAAAATGAATTTGTTCGTACTCCTTCACCGCACCAGCTAGGTATACAGTTCTTTTTCTTTCACTAAACTGCAATTGTGTTGATCGACAGCATCATTTTTCGGTTATAGAAATCAGTCTGATCATTTTCTTAGGATAAACATGAAGGAGAACTGATTGCTGTCGAGCTTTTGAGACTACAGCATACGGACAACATCCCTGTACCGAAGATGAGTAACACCGACCGCGCTTCGGAGTCAGTACCTTTCTCTGAAAATGTGTTGCTTTTCGCTTTTTTCTGCTACGTGGCATGTAGAAGACGCAGAGATCTGACTCTGTCCCTGAAAAACTACTTGTAGGTCACCTCTGGAGGCAGTGTTGATGTTCATTTTCGGTGAAAAGAATAAGATGAAAACCATCTTCACTCTCAAATTTAAAACCAACGGGGTCGGGTCGTCATTCGCATAGGGTTCGTTGAAGATCTTCGCGAGCAGACTCGTCTTCCGAATCACCCTTCTGCGTGCTTATGTTGCGGTCGAAGCTGTCATTTTTCCTAAACATGAAAAGAAACAGGAGGTGGATAGACCTAGCACTTCACTAAAAAATATGATGATCTTCACGAAAAGCCACTACAACATCATCCCAGGAATGTTGGTGTGGAGACGATGCGGCACATCTTCGATAGAGATGAAGTGCTGCTCTGGGGAGTGGAGGTCGAGGTTGATGTTTCAGACCTCAGCTAGGAGAAGATTTTGGACCCTAGTCCAAATTGTTCCCTCGAACTCGAAATCTGCGGAGCAGGAGGACCAATCCACGACGACCGCGAGCACAAAAATGAAGGCAACTGCTGAAGAAAACTCGGCAACACTGCAGATCATGATGAGCGATCATGAAAAGGCAGGAGCGATAAAGGGGGGAAGTGATGGAGGAAGCGCGGCACAGACAAGGGCTCCGGAAAAGGCAGCGAGCAGAAGGGAGGCTCACGAAGCACTCATGAAGAGGATCGCGGATCAAAGAGCAGAAAAAGCAGCGAGAAGGGAGGCTGACAAAGCAGAAATGAGAAGAAGGGCTGATGAAAAAGCAGCGAGACGGGAGGCTCACAAAGCAGAAATGAGAAGAAGGGCTGATGAAAAAGCAGCGAGAAGGGAAGCTCACGGAGCAGAAGCGAAGGAGAATGCAGGTTTGTCAAAAACACAACGTAGGCGAGAGAGACGAAAGCGCTCGAAGAATTGTGCAGCACTAGAAGATAAAGACACAACGATCTTTACATATCTTCCACACCAAGGAGTAGGTGAAACTACAGATGAATCGCAAAATTCGAGCGCCGATTCTTCCAGCAGTAATAGCAATAATAGTAACGAACAATCATCACAACCATCTTCAGGTGTTGTAGTACCACCACCACCCCGAACAACCCTGAATCCTGCTTCTGTTAGAGCAATTATAGACAGGAAAAAGCTATCAAAAAAACGGGCTGCACTAATGGAGAGCGTAGGATCTCTCTCCCTAGTTGATTGGCGCTACGAAAACGGACATTATCACTTCTTTTCTAGAACTTCCAGAAACAGAACTTCCAGAAACAGAATAGAGGACTCAAGAAACTCAGTCTCAAACTCAACAGGAGTGTCAGAAATAAGTGATGATAGTAGGTCTACTTCTAGTTGTACAACAACTACCTCGTCTAGTACAACGGAAATATTCAATCAAGTTGTAGACGACACGAGCTCGTCTACAGAGGACCAACAACAACGCGAACATCTAGAGAGCTCTTCCTCAACTATTCCTTCGTCTTCTCCAGGTCGTGGTGTAATGAGTAAGATGACAAAAACAAAAACACCACCTCTTTTTGGATGGGTTTCTGTGACTCGTCCTCGAGGAAAAACGTACTACTGGAATGCGAAAACAGATGAAGTTCAATGGAAAGTGCCAGAATTGTAATATTAAACAGGCAAAAGTGTAGTTGATGAGGACAACTGGAACTTACTTACTTAAGTACTTACTACTGCCTGAGGAGCTATAATTGAATATCAATGTTGTAGTTGACGGTAGAAAGTAGCGCACTAATACCACCCGTAGGTCGTAGCCTCTTATTTTCTTTGTTTTGGCTCTTCAGTAGCCACTGAAGTTGTCTGCTGGTTTATCTAGTGGACCCACACCTAACCTAACCTAGCCCTGCCAGCTGCTGTGATTAGACGAAGATAACCTCCTGTTGATCGCCTGTTCATGAAGACAATCTGTTGACGTCGACGAAAGATTTACTGAGGAGCTATAATTGAATAAATATCAATGTAGTTGACAGTCAGCCCTGCCAGCTGCTGTGATTAGACTCCTGTTGATCGCCTGTTCATGAAGATGAAGAGGATCGGTTGATGTCGACGAAAGATTTCGGTTTTCGTCGGTTGGAGATAGGAAACGAGGAGATGAAGGTGCTTCTACCAAGAGATGGTCTACTTCTTCGTTCTCTGCCACCGAAATCTCTCCATGTTCACCCCCTTTTTAAGTATACAAATCTACAAATCTTCTCCACGACCTCGCTCCAACCACTTGTCACTCCATGATGAACAAGAACTTTATGTGATCCACCTTAGTTGTCACGATCTCTAACAGAAAACAAGCACACTCCGTGGCTTTCGAGTCCCTTCTTGGGATTCTAGTCCTTCCTGTGAACCCGTTTTGCGTATCACAGGAGGGACTAGAATCCCAAGAAGGGACTCTGTGAACCCGTTGTTTAGTTCTTCCTTGTACATGATCACACTTACAACTACAGATTCTTCCGACTAATGTGCGGAGCACTTCGTATCTTCCGATCACGGCTGTGAGACCTTTGCCGAATTAGAATTTTTCAAGAAAAAACTAGACTCAAAATGAACAAAGAGGAATTGGAAACTACTCATTACAACAATGAGAGTCAACTATTCTGAAAAATATAGTTGGAATTTATTTTACAGGGATTCTAGTCCTTCCTGTGAACCCGTTTGGTATCTTCACAGAGAGAAGGTTCTTGTATTAGAATAGAATTATTGTCAACAATTTCAATAATCTTGAGGACGAGAACAAGGTTTTCACAAAGTCGCAAGAGAAAGAGGGCTTCTTTTCCACAAATTCGCAAGAGAAAAGCTTCCTTCAGAAAACTTCGGTTTCAGCTTCTGCAGAAAACGCGACGGATGGTGGTACACATCAGTTAGAAGGTTACAGAATTTTCTTCAAAAAACTGCTTCTTTCAATATTAGATACTAGCTGGTTTTCATCACAATTTCAATTTCATGAACAAACAACTAGACCTGTACAAGCACATCTTGTTCCGCTTCCTCCTTTCCAGCACTAACAAACCAAAATGAAAAATAGGCTTTGTTCAAGAGAAACAAGTTCGTCGCACTGGCGGCGGTAGCTGTCACAGAGGTGGAAGCTGTGCAGACTTCCAAAGTCCTGCTACGCAAGAACAGGAAATCCTTTCTGCAAAAAATGCAGCAACAACGAATGCAGGACCGTCTCAAGGATGACTGCTGTGATGAGGAAGCAAGAGAGAAATTCAAAGTTATGCTTATCATGTGAAATCGAAATGTAGTGCTCCTGGATATTAGTAGAACTAGAAGTTGTAATACGTGCTTCGAAGTACAACTTAGATGATGTCGTGCAGCAAAAATGTACTATCAACATTTTGATGAGCAAGTGCACCATCAAAGAATTGACATTCATTGGACATGGAGTTGCGAGTTGTGATCCACATCCTCGTCTCATCATTCTAATACCACTTCTACTGACAGTAGTAGCGAAGAGGGGTATATGAAGTTTGCGGTTCAGCGCCCTAGTGTTGAGGGATCGAAGGCGAAGTGCGCAAGCGGTAAAGTCTCGCACCCTAAATGCACGGGATACACACTCACGGGAGGAAACGCATACTTAGGAGTCAAAAATGTTGTAGTTCTAGTTGTCGTTGCTGAAAAATAGATCCGTCAAGCAATCACTTGCGATCTTTCTTTGGTGATGCGTGATAAGATCCCTGATTGTTTTAGGTCATAGTTGAACGTAAGGCACCATCTCCCACATTATTGAAGATGTGGTCCAACTTACTACGTAGTTTGTTCTAGAAATTTCATCCTAGAGACAAGTTGTTCAACTCTGATCCTTATCCTTTTTTCCCTTGTTAATTTCTTTTTTCTTCTATGATAGATTTGTTTCCTTTTCTGCTAGAAGTAGCTAGGAAGACTCAATCTATTTTTCATTCTCTGCACTTAAGAGAAAAATAACCGTCTAATGTTTTCTCGTAGTTCTATCTCCCTGCTCCATAATTCTAATAGCCGTTGGCAGCAAGTGCTACACCGAGAAGGAAGGGAGCAAGCAGACATATTATGTCTGCATGGCTGCCAAGGACGCGGAGTCGACATCAACGGCTTCGACCATGTTCCGGGAAAGAGTGCCGTGTGGCTGCCGAAGCGAGCACGAGCTGGATGTCTCGGCACCGGAGAAGTAAAAAGTAGTAGGTGAAATAAGGAGATGGAGAACATAGAGATGAAGGGAGAAGATAGACATAGAGTTGAAAGGCGAGCGTAGAGGTGAAGGGAGAACATAAGTAGAAGGCACTGTAGTTGTACTAAGTTAGTTGGTACTAGAACAGAATGTATGTACATGACAAGAAGGTAGCGAAGGAAGATGAAAGAGGATCTACTTCCAGCGAAAAAAGAAATCTGTATATTTATTTCGAAGTGAAGTATTCACAGTTGAGAACTTTCAGTTCGTTGCGTAATATCAGTTTTGAATTTCAAGAAAAATGTACTTCATTACCACTTCTATTGTCATCTAACGAACTATTAATGAAATCTAGAACATCTTGGATTTCGCTTATCAGCATCTGCATGTATTTCCTGAATATTTGGCAACTTGATGAAACTGGAGGAACTGGACACCGGCGCATCTACTTGCGACGTATAATTGACAATCCGTTAGCTGCAACATGGATTCATACCTAGTATGCGTAAGCTTGATATGCTCAACCGTGGATCGCTTGTGTGGATGGCGTGTTCATCATGAGGACTTTGAGCTCTTGTCGACGAGAGATTACTAGACTGAGGAATATCCACAATTCTGTTGTGAAAACCTTCTGTCAAGAGAGCGTCTACCAGTGATTGATGAATCCACGATCGATTCTGTTGTGGAAACCTTCTGTCAAGAGAGCGAGAGCCATGAAGGGAGTGCAAGTACCTGAGAAGCGAGAACGTGTTTGCCAGCTGTGATCAGCTGAGAAAGCTTCTGTAGTAAGATTCTGTCTGTGGCAATATCATGCTTGTGTGTGAGAGAGAGAGAGAGAGTGGCAGTGCTATCAATAATAATATAGAGTAAAAAGTTGTACCTAGAATAAAAATATCTGTAGTAAGTATCTTCATGGTATAAGTATAATGATCACGCAGCCTCTCGCTATGGCTATCTCCACATCATGTATCCATCAGTTGACACCTTGAAGAACCTCAACATGTCCTTTTCATGACATCAACTACAACACTGCACAGGTCGTCAGCAGGAACAGCAACATACAAAAGTTTGGATGTCTTTTTTTATCTCCACCCTCACCTCCCAGTGTGCTTGTTGTTGTTTGTGAATTGTATTTTTTTGTCCAGAAGCAGATAGAAAGGCGTAAATTTCTTGATCTTGTTTATCTAGAAAAACGACAACAGCCTTGTCTTATTTCCATTTTCGTTTTAGCACCAGCACCACCTAAAAAGGACATCACTCAACATCACTCAACGAGAAAAAAGGAGAACCTTGTCCACGACAATCGTTGAAGAAGAGGAAGAGCTTTTTCGATTTTTCGATTTCAGAGAACCAAATCGCGCAACAATGGCGGTACAGAATTCTTGATATTGGATCTTCAAAAAACGTCTTCTCTCCATACTATTACTAGCGTTATCTGTTAAGTACACATAATCTATAGGCTGATGCTCTTGAATCTCCTCTTATTTATGCTATTCCTATTACTAGCTAGATCTATTTCAATTTCTTGTGACAGGTGGATGGAGTACTACAAGTTTCTTCAACTTCACGTTCAACCTTCACGTTCAACCTCTCATCATTCTTCTCCACCTGATTCATCATTCTTCATCTCCACGTCAACCTCTTATCATACTTACAACTAGGTTTTGTTCAAGAGAAACAAGCTCGTCGTGGTCTCCACATTCGTCGCGGCCGCACTTCTCACAAATGTCCAAGCTGTGCATAAGAACTCCTCCTGTGGTGATGAGGACCAGAAAGGGAAACAGGAGAAGCCACCAAAAGATGAAGATGAATTCACAGTTATGACTATGTGAAGTAGATATTATACTCGTAATATGCTCGTCGCCCTGATGAAAAAGTTAGTTGTAGGAATTTTACATAGAAGAATGATCTTGCTCTTCATCAAGTAAGTCCGTCATACTCAACACCATCTTCAACATCAACATCCGCATGAAGATGATGTCATCATTCTAATGTTGATTCTCCTGACGGTAATAGCGAGGACGAGGGACGATACATGAATTTTGCGGTTGAGGCCCCTAGCGTGGGATCGAAGGCCAAGTGCGCAAGCGGAACAGCGTCGCATCCTAAATGCAAGGCATGGAGAATCAGGGGAGGAAACCAATTGTTATGAATCAATGTAGTTGAAGAGGTTGTGGTGGTTGACGTGGAGAAGAACAAAACTCTTCTTACATTATGTCTAGATGAAGTAGAGCTTTCCACTTCACGTAGGATATTTTTTTTAACTAAGCTAGCAGTTTGTTCTAGAAGATCTTCCATCCACCTAGAATGAAGTTGTTAACTCGTCTCGTCCATGTCCTTTTCTCCTCTAGTTTCTTTTCCCTTCACATCTACGATGGTGAATAAAGTAGTAGATATGAACAACTATATGAACAAATCGAATAATATTTTCACGACGACCATAATTGACCCGGGATCTCACTCTAATAGCCGTTGGCAGCAAGTGCTACACCAAGAAGAAGGGGAGCAAGAAAACATTTTATGTCTGCATGCCTGCCAAGGACGCGCACTCGACATCAAAGGCTACCACGATGTTTCGGGAAAGAGTGCCGTGTGGCTGCCGCAACGAATTCGATTTGGAGGACTCGGCACCGGACGAGAAGTAAGGTGAAGAAGAGCTACTAGGTAGGGAAAGGAACAGTTAAAAGGTAGAAGATCTAGCAGAATTAGATCAACAGAATTAGTAGAAGTTATATAAGGGCATCCATGGAGTAAGATTCAGAGCAAGGCTAGAAAAATGAAAAGGAATGAATATTTTACTGTTGCACAAGTGGGAGAGAAGCAAAACCAAGGACTCCGAAAGAATAAAATCAGTACCGTTCGGTCTAATCTTCTCTGAAAGTAAGAAGATGCCAGGAGAACATAGATTGAAACTGTAGTTGTACTAAGTTGGTACACCGAGAAGGTTGTAGGGGAGAAAGAGGATCCGTTTCCCCTAGAGAAAGGAGTCTGCAGATCAGAAACAAAGGTAGTAAGTTGTAAATAAAACCAGGCTCAGTTAGAAGTATGTTATGTTGTAGTTCTTGCTGTTGATGCACCGGCAACTTTTGCACTTGTTCACAGTTACACTTAGAAATATATATGATCTTCAGTTCGTTGTGTAATATCAGTTTCGAACTTCAAGAAAAATCTACATCTTCTGATTAAATTTCCTAAAAATGTAGTTTGGCAACATGATCTAAGTCTAACGTCATTGAAATTGTATTAAGTAGCTAAGGCTATCTATTGTTGATGAAACTTGACTATTGTAGAAGTAGACTCAGGATGGTAATTGAATGTTTGCTGGCGTCTAATCGAAAGCTCAAAATAACCGAGTAGCCAACTGAAATAACAGAGTCACCGCGTTGCTCTTGTTTCAGTATCTCGCTTATTCTAAGTTGTAGCTACTCGCTTACTTCAGTTTATCGGATAGACAGTAGAGGACCCAGGCAACAACAAAAAAAAAGTATTGTAGACCCAGGTCCCAAAAAAAAATTCAAAAAAAAGGGTCGTAGCGTGACTGAATGAATGAATGAACAGGGCACCGCATGAATTCAGACTTACTATGCGTAAGCGAAATATACTAAAAGTTGACAGAGAAATCAATATTCTGCATTCAAAGCAGCCTCGTGCAGAAAACGGATTCCTTGAGTTCTTTACTCATCTCTCTGATCTCTATGCTCATTACATAGATAATGTAGGTTCTTAGTCTTGGTGTAGTCATCTGAGAAGATGTGTATCCATCGTGGCCAGCAGGAATGATTCGCCAATTTCTCAACGACCTTTATTAAGAGAGAGGTACTTGAATCGATTCGTGAAGTGAGAGACGTGTAAGCTGCAGGTATTCTTGCACTTGAAATAGGCACCAGATCGATGGAGAGATCGTGGGCATGCAAGAAAGCGAGATTGATTGGTGTCATTGTTTTTTGACTTCTAAACTAGGAGCGGTAGAGGTATCTCAGTGCTGAGACAGAGTGTCGAGAGATCGTTGCTTCGAGTGGTATTTGCGTCGACTGATCCTCGTAGTTGTATTCTCGAGTGATCGTCGTGGTTGACGATAATATTGAGAAAAATTTGCAAAAAGATCAACCAAATCACATAGAAAATCTCATCAAAGATGATTCCTTCTCGCAGGTTGTTGCATCGATGACTGATGTGTGGTGAAGAGCTTGCATAGAAACTTGAAGAAGTATAATTCTAGAAAGCCGAAGAAGTTGTTGAGCTTATAAGGTGAGAAAGGGTAGAATCTATGCAGGACAGAAGTCACTTGAGGTTGTTGTAGTTCTTTTTTCTGTTGCCATTGGAGACTCAGAGTGACCAAGACCATCCAAGCAAACTGCAAACAAACAAACCGAAAAGATGTTTCTCCTAACGATGGATGTGAGAGGCTCCGTCAGGCGCCAGATTGCGGCGATGGATCCACGCCGGCTTCCTGGCTACGTCCGAACGTCCTATCGCAATTACAAGCTGCGACAGCGTGAAGCGAGAAAGAAGGAAGAGCGGAGGCTCAGAAAAGAAGGGCCAATGACCATGCAGAAGAGATTGCAAGGGTTATGAAGGGATGAGGAAGTAAAAACTTTGAATGGTGATCATCTACTGGAAGATATACCAGTATTATGATGGTTGTAACTACACGTTGAGTTCTTGTCGCACAACATGTACATTCAACTACTACATTCATGCTCCTATCGTAAGAATCCACCTCTTCTTCTAATATGCGTCCAGAAGTTTTTGGAGGGAACTTTGATGGGCAAAGGAAAGCTGGACTCAGCAACCCTGATGCAGAAGTTGAACAAGGCGACAAAACAGCGCGATCGCATGGCTGGCAAAGTGGTGGATGAGGAGGAAGAACTTATGACCCTCTACTTGGCCAACAAGGGGAATACTCAACTACAACTTCAAGGGAAATCTTCAAATAAAAGTACAAGTACAGCAAAGTAGTCTCCCTACTTCTACCCGTAGTTGCAACAACAATCTCTCGTCTACGAATACGATTACCTTCTAATTCCCTGAGCGAGACGTCGGAGGAGTCTGTGCCTACTCCGACAACATACCGACTTGCGAAACGCGAAGATGTCAAGCGGAAAAAAACCCTACAGGAAAGGTTGGTGGATTTCACGACCAAGAAACGAAAACCGAAATTCTGGGAGCCTGACTACCCGGTAAATTAATGTTGCTTTTATTCTGATACAGGAGCACTCTGATGTTCTTGCTTGAAGTCGGGAATGAAGACTTACAGTTTTTTGGATAACTTTTACACGACCCACCTCCACGTCCACCATCCTCTCATCCCAGGTCTTCAACTACCAACTCTTGGATTTGACGCGTGAGATCTGGTGGATTCGCGTTTTCGATAAGATTGGCGCCAAACCGCTTTACTTCATCAACACTTTGTATTAAGGCCTCTCCGTAAATTCATCTGAAGAAGATGAAGAAGCATCTTACAACTTGTTAGGCTTGTTACATACTTTTTCTTTTTTGACGTAAGTAAGTACTTTATTCTTCCATATTCAAGGGAAAAATAATGATCAAGGTGGATCGATGCCTTTCAACAATATTAATATGCTCCTGGGTAACAAGTTCTAATTATATTTCCGACTGGGAGAGTTTTTCTACTACCTGACGTGGAACCAGAATAGCGAGTTCATGAACAGACGGATTTTCGTTTTAGTCCTCCAGTTTTGTTGCAGTATACATGCATCAGCGGCGCTATTGAACACTCTACGCATCTATTTCGGGATGACCAACTTCTTTTTCCTAACGACGACCTCTTACGTGCTGCCTTTCGCGTACTCGTTCTACAGTTTGATTTACGGCTAGAGATTATCTACCGTACGTTCGATCTCTTCCGCGTGAAAGATGCGGATGGAGAGTATCCTAAAGCTAAAAAAAGGAACCCCACCCTTTAGAAGATCTATCTTCAGTAGATCAGTAGATCGATGTTGAATGTTCACATCTTTCACATCACCTTTTATTTTCGTTCTAATACCTGGTCTTTCTGCCGTGTCCTACAATGGCCGCCTTGGTTTGCAACGCGACGTTGTTCGTAATGATGCTCATCCTCATCTTTATCTCGCTGGGCACTAGCGGTAACTTTTTCGGGATGTTTACGCAATGCATGGCGTTTTGGCCTTTTTTGTTATGATGGGTTGCAGATCTAGATCTACAGATACAGATGTTGCTGCAAAATGTAGACGCTTTCATCGAATCGCTTTAATGAGGTTGACATAATTGTCCTCCTTATCCAATAGGGGTTTTCTCGATCAACTCGAGCATACTCCCAATCGGATATAAAAATCCAATATCGATCTTAGAATGCTCAAAGTCAAAAACGGACATCCTCTAATCTCAGCAAGCATGAGTATGCTGGCGCGTATTTTTGTGGGTCAACCGGACAGACAGTTTCATCCCTTGAAGCATATCCCGATTCTGGGTCTCAGTGGGTGTGCAGCCCAGTATTTTCTTATACTGGCGAATAAGTTAAGGCAAAAAATAAAGTACTTGCACTTCTCAAGAAGTGACGATATTAAGCAATTATAGGTAATCGCATTACAACTAATCCATCAACATCATCGACATTATTCAGTGGTCTTCTAAGCTCAGACCTCGAACTGACGGATTTTTTGGTCCTACTATCGGCCATAGACCCTTGGATGCAGTCGATTTTGACTCCGTTGATGGAACGCACACGATTACCGACTTACTTTGGTTTGCTGAAAACTCTGATGTTTTTGACCGGGATAGTGCTTATGTTGAAGGGAAAATGTCATTTAAGTATATGCTTTTTTTTTTATCCCAAATAAAATCTCAATGATGCTGAAATACTGTGATCAGGGCAACTCACCATGACCGATGACGGTGAACGATGTTGCGATTTATGTTGGTGTCATTCATACCTTTTTTCGGGTTATTGAAATGAAGTTTGTTGATAAAAAGAAAGTAAAAATTGACGACACCTGCTTCCCGAGGGTGACTTTCTTCAGTAAAATGAGCACCAGATCATGTATGATGACCGAATTCTTCTAACCTGTTCCTCTATTGGTCTCAGCTACCATATTCGCCGATGAACGGCTTCACTTGCCTGCTAGTTTCACGCGCAGTCTACCATGCGAGATCACTGATGGTGAAGAGGTACAACATGGTCTTTTTCGAAGCGGATGAGGTGAAACTGCCACAGCAGACTGAGCAGGACCTGTTCTTCCAGCCGAAGCGGAAGATCCACAAGTACGTATTTGGCGAAAAACCCTTTCCGCTTCCGACGTTGTACCGCTTAGACGTAGCCTTTCAAAGTGGTCTGTGCGATGAAACTTACCACTCTGTGGGGAGTAGCGGAACCAGGGATCTCTATATGTTGACGGATTGGATGATGATGCTGCCGTTGATGGCGATAGCGACATTAGGGCACGAAAGCGGAACAGTGCACTACGGGTACAACTATTGGAGGCTTTTTGTCTTATCTTTGTGACAACAAGTATGATTAATGCACCATAGGAATGCGATCGTCAACAAGAATTATAGTACTGAGTCTTGTAGTTGAAGTTGATACCACCTTGAGTAAATGGTCTGAGGACTCTACTAGTACTACTGCGTAGAAGGTCTCAATGTCTACCACTACCGTAGGTAGCGTTTTTAGGATAAAGATAAAAGTATCATCTTCATGATCTCTCAGGTTTTTCCCGCCGATCCTGGGACCTATCGGTGGGGATCCCAAGGGCATAGAAACCAGTGAGCTAACAACGCCAATTCGAGACGACAGTCCTGGTGCTATTTTCAACTGTCTCGTTTTGGTCGCACTATATCACGCAGCGAAACTGTTTGAGCCGGACATGATATCAAAGAGCCTCTTTGATCGTGGAAGCAGTCCTAGTGACTGGGCAGTTCGACCAGTGATCTTCTCTTGCCCCTTGGTCATTCTGGACAACATGTACCTGAACGCGAAGCTGTCGAATTCGCAGATTCTACAGGCTTTCACCGTCTTCTTCGCTTACAACGTGTATCGGAAGACGCTCTTCCGACGCTGGAAACGAGCATACCTGTTGTTGACGACGCAAGAATTGCAGTACTATCAACCTAGCGTGTTTCGAAATTTGCATCGGAAGACGATGCTGGAATTTTTAGAGCGGGCGCCGCTGGAGGAATATCAGAATTATGATGTGATGGATGGATGAATATCGGATATTGTCACTCTATCGTACAGGTACTATCGACACTAGCTACAACAACTATTGAAGCTCATCTGACTGATAAAATATATAATAATTCTCTACTAAGTAACTTCTAGTACTTGATCTTGAGTTAGCTAACATCTTCTGACCACGATGAAAATCATGAAGATCATAGTTATAGTTTCGATCTCCTCGTCTAATTGATCCTGCTTTTGGAGACCGCGATCCATCACGGGTGCAACATCCGAGATCCAACTAAGGATTTGACGATTCGGCCCAATAGGCCAGCGCCCACTGCAACAGCTGCGTGGAAGATGACCATTGGTGTGGTTGTCCACCTTGCCAAGACACAGCGCCAATTACGGCAAGCCAAAGTGGAAGAGAAACGACAGGACAGCAACTTCTGTCAGAATATCATCACTGAATGTGCTGACAAGGCAATCGACTTTTTGAGAAGATTGCCTACGAATGAGCCCCGCGCGATTGCGCACTTTCGGCCAGTGGCGTATCAGATGGTATTTGCGCGGTTTCGCAAGTTTGTAGCTTGGAGGAAGACGGAAGAAAGGGCACGTGTGGAAGGACAGCGCATTGCGGATTTTCAAAGATTCAAGGACGAATTGCTCACACCAGCCGCACAGGAACCACACTACGTCATGCAGGGGAGGGTCATGCTCATGTTATGGCGGACGAACTTCAAGTAGAAGAGTTTATAGTTTTTAAAAAAGATAGATAATTCAACTGAAGAGTCGAGCAGTGAGGCAAATAAGACCTATTTTCTCTACTTTCCGTCTTTCTAACCCCTGGCGGCAACGAATACGGACAGCTTGGCGTATCCCTACAGAAAGAAGATGTTCGCGAGCTTGGGTACATGTACACTTTGTACGCTGTGGATGGCTTTCGGATCAGACAGTTGTGCGCTGCTCCGCGTGGGAGCTTCTTCATCACCAATAAGTTTATGTACGCTTGCGGCAGTAATCGTGTTGGTGAGTTGGGTCTCAGTATGAACTTCACCGAGGTCGTTGTGCCAAGATGCTTGAAAACGATGCGGACACAGCAAATTGCGCAGGTAATAATCATTTTCAAAGTACTTACTTCTTCTAATTTGATCAGTTGCAACGACATTGAGATCGATGTTGATCATACATGCTCATGGTTTTCACCAACCCCCACCCTTTCTGTCAGATGAGCTGCAACGGTGACGCTGGCGAGATTCAAGCCTTGTTTTTGAACAATGAGGGCAAGGTGTATGCCGCGGGACGCAGCTCGCGAGGAGCGTTGGCGAACATCAAGGAGGCGGATAAAAAGGCTCGTGAGCAAGGAGAAGCATCCGGAATGGGACCCGTTTTGTTGACTCTGCCGTTTTTGGTGAAATATGTAGCCTGTGGCAGTCGACACTCGCTCTTCCTCTCAGCAGAAGGCAAGGTGTACGCGTGCGGTGACAATCGGAAGGGACAGCTGGGTTTGTCCGCGAAGATCAAGAAGAGCTTGAAGCCCCTGCTTGTGAAAGTTAAGGATTGAAGAAAGTGAAACATCAATTCTACTTGATGAAATGGAAAAGTTTTATTTAAGACTAGTAGGAATTTCATGTTCCTTCTCTTTGTGTTTGTCTTCAGGCATTACAGCAAATTCCGAACCCCAACATCTTCTTGCTCTTCTTCTAAGCACTGCCTCCAGGGTAGCGAGTGTTACCTTCTCGCCACTGGTAGTGATCATAGCATGGTTGCAATGGAGAAGGACGGTCTCTTCGCTTGGGGTGGGAATACCTATGGCCAATGCGGAACGGGGGGTCTCAAGGACGTCTTCGAGCCGCAACCTGTGGTCTTCCACGAGAGCGAAATCGGAAAACCACACGCGGGAGGCAGCTACTTTCTATCCATTGCCTGCGGAGAGCATCACACGCTGGTTTGCAGCGTGAGTATGTTCGTAACTTGGGCATGCGGATCGAATTTCAACCAGCAGTGCGGAATCGTTGACAGTACTACTTATTTTAGACTTGATGGTTCTTCGGGATCCTGATCGTGCTATTGGTTTTCTAGACTGAAACTAGGAATAGTAAAACTTTGTCGTTTGTGTGTCGCGACTTTGTAGTTGACCATGTCCAAAATTTGTCTTCAACATCTACATCTTCATTCAACCTTCTTATCCACCTTCAACAGCCGAAACCGCGAAGCGGCAAGACCTTTACCGAACCTTGACGTTGATCGCGGCTCTTGCCAGCAAGTATCCGATCGTTTCTGTGGTGGCAGCCGGTCAGCACTCCTTGGCCCTAGATCGTGACGGCGCTGTCTACGTGTTTGGCGACAACTCTTTCGGACAGCTCGGCTTTGACGCCTTGTCAAGGCCAAAAATCAGCAAGCCAGAGATGTTGAATCAGTTGTCAAAATTTGCAGTACGCAGCGTTACCACTGGCGCAACGCATACCATGCTGCTGCTGTAGACATGGAGGCAGATAACTTCTTGATCCAGATGGCGGCGAGATGACACTTCTCCCAGCAGTCTTCATGTGTTTTACGCACCTAAGTACTTACTCCTTTCGCCAGCCATACGAGAACTTCTACTTCTACCTCAATTGAAAAGTAGTTGTCATGCTCCTCAGCCTCCTGCTATTCTGGAACGATCATATTGGCGCTTCCCTTTGTTCTCGTAGTCGTAGCTCCGAATAGCACGGTCATCAACTCCTGCGACGGCGAGGAATGGACCTTGGGAGGAAGTGGAGGATGAAGGTATGTGCGTCGATCACCACTCTGGCGGCGTCGAGCGCTTCAAACGGTATAATTTAAGGCTCGGCGGCGAAGACGATCTCTGAGGAGCTAGTCGGAGACCGATTCGGCAAGAAAGGAGGGCCGCGCGCAGACCGATACATATGCGAGGCTTTGCGCGGCGCTTGCTCTCAACTGAGTGGGTAAACCAGTGCAAGATGGTAGCACGTAACGAACGAGCGTATGATACAGCGTGATATTTCTCGTAGAAACGCGATTTAATAGCAATACGCGAATATTTTAGGAATAGATGTAAGGTTTTTTTCATGGTTCTTACTAAACGGAATTTTTGTTTTTTCAGAGACTACTTCAAGTTAATCCAGCAACCTCTTGCTTTGTCATACATAGGAAACGCATAGCTGCACGACAACAGAATTCATTGAGTCCTTTTTCCTTTTCAAGAGAATCGATACTCCTATAATTTGTTTGATTCTGACGAGTTCTTCCTGTAAGGTTTCGAGCACTGAGGCACAGGTTCATTCAAGAACACGAAAGTACGCTATAATGAAAATGTACAGAGTCAGAGGTGAAGAACGATTGATGTCTTTTTGTTTATCAGATGAAAATTCAAGATGAAATAGACAAAGCTAGCTACTAGAGGAGCAAGCATGTTGGCAGCGCCAACAAGTGGCGGATAATGCAGGAAGTTTTCTCTATCTAGATCCGAACTGCTGTCACACCATAATCACGTTGCAGGATCCATTCCGGAGTCAATCTTCGTCGAGAGGGGAGCTAGCAGAGAAAGGACTGCTGTAGTGCGACATTTACGCTACAAGTTCCTAGAACAAGCTGTGCCAGTGGGATGTCTTGAGAGGAGAGATGAGTAGAGGAAGCTGGATCAGAGTGTGAACAATAAGTACTTAGGTAATTGTTCTTTCAGCGTATTCGTAACGTCGGACGAAAATGCCGAGAGCCTCTTCTCGCCGGTCGTCTGGCACCCGCGCTGCTTCGGTGCCAAAGAAGAACCAGAAGAAGAAGACGGGTCAGACCGAAGAAGGAGACGAAATGGAGCTCGTTGATGTGACAAAGGCAACATCATCAAAGAAAGCAAGCAAAGAAGTTACTTCTACATCTAAAGAGTCCTCAACAAATAACGACCTTGCGGACGCTATCCTCCCTTTCGTCATGGTATTTGGAGGTTGCTGTCTCGCAATGCTGTTCTTCGAAAAAGCGCTCAAGCAGGATCCGGGTTCGAGTAATTTTCTCACGTTTACAGAGCTCGTTTTCATCGCGGCTGAGAATGCACCACGAAGGATAGCGCTCATGTCCTCCAGCAAGAAGCTAGTGGCCTCGAAGAAAGATCATTTGACACACGCAGCTCTGTTCGTTAGCATGAGCTGGCTCGTCAACTATGCGTTTTCGTGGAAGATAGCGGTAATATTCTCGGGTGATCGAAGTAGAATGTTCCTACAACAGAGTGAAGACACAACTGTATCTAAAAGCTACTACTAGGGAGGCTTCTCTAGAAGATTTCTGACCCTGCATTAGCAACCAAATGATAATTACTCATACAACAACTGTCTAATGGATGCTTTATGAGCATGATCTAAAGCGCCTTCCCCTATCTTCACCCAGGTCCCGATCCACACGATTGTGCGATCCTGTAATGTCGTCGCAACCCTGCTGCTCGGCTATTTCATCTTCGGCCTCACTTATAGCAGAATACAGTGTATTGCGAGTGTTCTAGTGACGGTGGGAATTCTAGTAGGGACGTTTGCAGACGCGAAAGTAGTGGGAGAGTGTTCTACGTTTGCATGCCTTGGCGAGTTTCAGACATCGGCTGAGATTGCAGTGTGGAGCGTGGGTGTCGGGATTCTGCTGCTGTGCCTAGTGATGCAGTCAACATTGGGCCATTTGCAGAGGCGAATGTACTTCTAAATATGTAGGAGCTTTCTCATTTTTTCCATGGGTTGCTTCTGCGAGTAGATAGACAATTACGTCATGTGTAGATTTCAACTGGACTGAAAAGACCGAATCCAGTTACCTTACGGAGGATATTACACTGTCAAATTCAGAGCATTTGAACACAACGATCTCAGGTATGATCCATACCTCGCATCTGGAAAGATTTCAAAAAACGACTTAGCAGAGGAATTCCTTTACACATCATCACTCGCTTCACTTCTCGGATGCGTCGTTTTTCGGGAGGAGATCGTCACGCATTGGGGTACTGAAAAAATTGAATTTTTGATTCTGATCCAGCTGACTTTCTCTACTTTCACCACCCGAGAAGTAAGTATTTATCATAACACATCATTTTATCACGCTAATTCTTGCTAACGCACTTGCTTGCTGTAACTCTTCCAACTTTCTTAGTTGTACTACTATTCCTGTACAACTTCCAAGTTTCACCCTGATCCTTAATTCAAATTCTAGGTAACGCCTTCGCAAGTCCTGCTGTCGACATTTTCGGCATTACGCAAATTCCCTGTCAGTGGCTCTACATTCTCGGGAATAACGTAGCGCAAGCCTGCTGCCTCAAAGGAGTTTTCTACCTCAGTACACGCTATTCCGCCTTGACAGTCAACATCACGCTGAGTGTGCGGAAATTTTTCACCGTTGTTTTTTCGGTTCTTTGGTTCCAGAATCCGTGGAGTTGGCAGCACACAATGGCCGCCTTCTTCGTCTTTGGGGGTGGATTGCTGTATTCTAGCGGTGAACTGCTGCTAGCAGGACTCACATCTAAAGATGAGAATAAGAAAAGAGCGAAGAGTACCGATATGAAAAAGAAAAAATGACTTAGATTTAAGCATAAGAACGAGGTACTAGAAGAGGGGAAAGACGACTAGCCTCGTCCTTTGGGGTGGTATAAAACCACGATTGGGTCTGTTTAGTTCCACTCCAGTGATGAGGGAAGGACAGAAGAGGAAAAAAAAGTGGAAAAACGAAAACCTGTCCAATGAAAACTTTTTACTGAAGCAATGGTTCTTGAAGGTCACTACAATCCGGCGCTTCTAAAAAAGATCCACATAGCTGTGCCACTCCACTCGTAATTTTCTTTCTTCGTAGTTACGGTCTTAGTCTTGTTAAGCGCGTATTAGACAAAAATGATTCGAAAACAACATCAGATTTCAGTATCATTTCTTGCTCTCCTCTCTCGCCTCACCCTATTTACCCTGATTTTTACATCATCGGAAAATGCATTGTCTCCTATATCTTCTGCCTCTTGCGCCGCAAAGAACGGAGGACCATTCCAAGCAGTTCTCGCACAGCGTAGAAAGCGAAGAACGACGCCTACCTTCACGACAACCAGCACAGCTGCTCCGGAAGAGCCGGAGCATGGAGAGGACGAGAAGTACCTCCGACAAGCAGAGGAGGAAAAACAGGAAACACAGGAGATATTACAGTTACGACAGGAGTTGTGTTCGACTTCGGTCGCCGCGATCGCCCTGTTGTTGGAACTTGATAGAGGATGCAGCTCTACTAAATGGTTTTAGGATTTTTACAAGGAGCATGACGACCGCTGTTTTCTTCTGCAGTACTAATGTTAGGTTCTTTTTTGATTGATGTCTCGGCACTAATCATCCAGCAGCAGAAACACGAAGCGAAGATGCGAGACGTGATGCGGCATCAAAATCTGAAGAAAGGCATAGTCCAACCGCCGGATCCCTCAAGTGATCACGAGGATATGCCTCCACCCCCACCTCAACCACCTGCCGACACAGATGATGTAGCCCCTGCGCCACCTCCGCCTCCAGGCTATCGGGAACCAACGCCGCCACCTACGCCACGAGTGGAAAGTCCATCTTCTGCCTCATCTAGAACGCCCCCTTTATCAAGAAGTACTTCAACTGCTAGCAGACCTCCTCCGGCTCCGGCACCCACACCAGGAGGTTCTTCTCATCTCGGCGAACGGCAACTGATGCAGACTCGCTCTCAGTGTGAACCTTTCCTTGGAAAAGTGTGGCTTTATGGGGACATAGACCACATGGATGCGCGATCGGCTGAGGAATGTTGTGAGCTGTGTGATTTGAACGAAAGCTGTGCGAAATGGAGCTTCGGATTTGCAGGCAAACTGGAAGGCAAATGCATGCTCAGAAGTCATGGAGCATGGGAGGGCAAAAATATCGATGTAATAAGTGGACATCGCTCAACTCCGTTGATGGATTCTGGAGCAGGAAGAGATGGACAGGAGTTGTAGTAAAGTATGAGGTTCTTTTTGTGGACAAGATGACATCTGAATCTGATGTTCTTGTAGCTTGCTGTTCTTGTTGTAGCAGGTTGTAGGTTGTAGAGTATGGTCTTTAAAATGGTCTTATGATACGAAAATTCAAAATACTGATTCTGGCAGTAGACTCCAACCATCGGATGCTCGCTGCTCGCGACGTTTTGACCAACATTGTTCTTTTGCGTCAGAAACGCGTGCGCGATGTCAGAGGAAAAAATGGAAAAACAGGAAAAACGCTCTGAGTATAGCAAGAAACGGCTTCCCGAAATAGAACTGTGTCTGGTGTTGATCATGATAGAGAATGATCGAAAAAATGGAAGGTAGTGAAAAAAGGCAGCTACGTATCAGTCTGATGCAAACATGAAGACGCACAAGAAGCTACGTCAGCACTTTTTTTTGAATTTTTCAAAAGGCTGACGTAGACCACGACACATGCATGATGTTGTACAAAGAAGGAGGTAGCAGCAGCTCTTCTACTCTAGTTGTGGGACTTTCATGCGCAACAGCATTGGTGGCAGGGGGCTGTGGTACGTATTTCGCTTACAAACTTTGGGAAAGAAAAGTAAGGCTGAAGCTGCATTAGGAGTAGATTCAATAATATGATGCTGTTTTTTACTGCCCGACGTCCTTTGTTTTGTCAAGTAGAACTACATGCTACCACTACAAGTACTAGGTCGTTTTCAAGACTTGCTGCACCGCCTCAACAAGCATCTAGACTTTACTCATCATTTACCACATCATCCTCCTCTTCCTCTTCATCTTCTACGAGCAAGGACAAGAATGGAGCTTCAAAGAGAACGGCTAGAGAGAATGTCGCAACGAAGCGACCAGATCCGATAACGGCAGCAGCTCTAGCTAAAGGCAAAGCGAAAAAACTCAACCTGGACAAGGTGAAGCGACATGTTTTCCTATGCTGTGACATGACTAAAGACAAATGTTGTGCGCGCGAAGAAGCTAACGAGAGCTGGGAATTTTTGTTATGGCTTCGTCGAACGATCATTCAGAATCAGAATTATAGATTTAGACATTGGGATTTTAAGGTAGTAGAAGGAGGATAGCGAGGACAGGTTCCACCATCATCTGCTTGACAAATAAAGATATTCCTCCATCATTTTCATCTTCATCTTCTCCAACCCAGACATCCTCTTCGTCCTCTAATCCTCAAGAAGCGCCTGAAGGAATTAGGTCTCGCCTCCGAGAATGAAGGAGGCTATGTCGCACGAACGAAAGCAGATTGCTTGCGGATATGCGCCAACGGTCCCATTGCTGTCGTTCACCCGGATAATGTGTGGTATCAGAGGTGTACGCCTGACGCCTTAGAAAACATCATCCAGAAACATTTGATCAACGGTGAAGTGGTGGAAGAGAATAGAATTAGTTCTCAGTAGACTTGAGTCTAGAAGAAGTTGACTGAGCTGAGAGACATCTTCACATGAAACAAGTTCTGTTGTCGTACAGATTCATAAGACTGTTCACCAGATGCAGAACCAGATGAAGGATGTTGATCTTCATCTCACATGTTTCTTGGGCTTGAAGGTCGTTCGGCGTCGAGATGAAGGAACAAGAGTGTTCATTCTTAGCTTGTCGTCCACTCACAGACACAGAGACAGAAACAGAATGGCAAAGTGGTTCTATCCAAAGAGGACATCATCAACAGCTTTATACTAGAAAAAAGTTGCAAAGAACCTGCGTGCTGAGGTGATGATAGATACAAGTAGCAAGAGACAAGAAGATGAAGCACGCATTTGACGGAAACAAGGAGGCCATGTTTTTTTCCTTTTCTCACTCTCTGATGAACGAAGAAGAACAACAAGCAGACGAGAGGACTGTTGAAAAATCATTGAACGATGTAGTTTTACAGTGTTTGATGATTTTTGTTGCTTGTTTGATGTCTGTAATCATAGTTCTGCACCTGCTCAACAGTTTTTTCTACGTTCTTCCAGAGTGCTGGTGTGTTGTTTTTTCCTCGTATTATTTTATTTGGTCGATGGCGGGATCTGGATCTGTCATCTTGAACAACTACAACAATGAGCAGGTGCTAGTTTCTTCACTTTTTTTTTGGAGCATCAAGGAAGAAGCACGCAGCTTCAGGCAAAATCTTCGGTTCTTTTTTTCCCAAATGCACAATCTTAGGAAGATGTCAAAAGAGAGAACCAACTGAAGTCCTCAGTTGTCTTCTTGCGAAGTTGTATAGATCTCGAGCAGTCTTCTACTAGTAGATTGTAAGTCGATAGAAATAAGAATAATTAGAATTTTCATCGACAGCATCTGTTATTTGGTGCACTCCTCCCACTTATCTTCACACTAACGTGATCCCACATACGTGATTTTTGGTCTCATAACTAACTAACTTCAACACGAAAATAAAAATCATTCATAAAAACTACATTGAACGGGATCAACCTGTGTCCGTCTTCCTTTTCGTTCGACTCGTCGTGCCTCCTATAACCTCTCTGTTAAAGTAGAGGTTTCTTTTCTCTTTTTGAGACAGGAGGCCTTCTTATTGAGAAGGACTCTTGTCGCCTAGGAATTGGACCAAAATTCTGTGCGCAAAGGTTATGGCTTGAGCTTTGTGTTATTATAGGAGTCCTATAATGTCCTAGTGCTACAACCGGTTTTACTTCTTCTAAGTGCTTTTTACTTCTTCTAATTCGTGAACCAAAGCTGCCTCTCCGGAGGAACCAAGACAGAACATAACTACTGCCAAGAACACAACCTTGCTCGAAGGAGGCTCAGACATTATGGCGGTAGTGAGCAAAATAAGCGGTCGTAATTGTATTTGTAGCAAGCACTAGTATGGTGCGCAGATAGAAGGAGATGTTGTATCGAGCACCTTTTTTGGTTAGTACTAGCGAAACAAGAAATATCGAGTCTTTCCTCTTCCTCGGTTCATCAACATAATTGTAGCAAGCACTTCTACATACATCAAAGAATACAACCATTCGTGAACTCTCTATCTCTAATTCTGAATCCGGGAAGATGTCGGGTGCACAGGCGCCGCCAGTAGATCTGCGGGATAAGAAGATCACAATCAACGACTTTGACCTCGGGAAAACGTTGGGTACAGGAAGTTTCGGACGGGTCCGCTTCGCCCAGTACAAACATGGAAACCCGTCAAAAGATTTCTACGCCTTGAAGATACTGAAAAAGTCAGCGATCATTAGGCTGAAACAGGTACTTTGTAGTTGTAGTTGTATTTCTACTTATTCTTGATCTTGACAAAACTAGGGACGACAGGAGGCATTTAATACGATCCTCTGCAGGGAAGATGACGAGTGAAATCATGTAAGAGTACAAGTATGTGAAAGTTTTTCAAATTCAAACCAAGAAATGATCATTGAAAAAGGGTTTATTTGCAATCCAAACCTCCTCCTACAACAGGTGGATCATATTACAAGCGAGAAGGAAATTTTGATGGGCTTAAATCATCCTTTTATCGTCAACCTCTTCGGTTGCTTCCACGATTCTCGGTATAATTGACTTCATGTCGAGATTCATGCTTTTTTGGTTTCCATCTTCGAACGTGCAGGGCTCATCTTCTTTTTGCTTCGAGTTCGGATGTCGAAATCATACTCGTCCACGACATCCAACATGATACTCACACAAAGAAAACTCTAACTATCATCTTGCACCTCCATTCCACATCAGATACCTCTACCTTGCACTCGAGTACGTCGTGGGAGGTGAGTTTTTTACGCATTTACGCAAAGTCGGACGCTTTGAGGACGCAACCGCACGATTCTATGCAGCAGGCATTACCAGTATCTTCGAGTACTTGCACTCGAGGAACACCATCTACCGTGATTTGAAGCCAGAAAACGTCTTGCTCGGGAAAGATGGGTACTAGGCTTCCACTGATTAGCTACATGGACTAGTAAGTTGTACTAAAGATTATCTGTGTGGTAAAAGGGACACGTTAAACGGCAGCTGGTGGTCTTACTCCTTGCGGGATCCATCACCATCAACCTCGCTCAACGAATGTAACAAGCAAAGATGGCGATCTTCCCATGTCCTCGCCAGGTACCTAAAGTTGACAGATTTTGGTTTCGCAAAGGTGATCGAATATAGGACTTACACCCTCTGCGGTACACCGGAATACATTGCGCCGGAGGTGCTACTCAACAAAGGACACGGAAAGCCGGTACTAGACTTAGATTTTAGATGACACTCAAGCTCAACATCATACTTAACTATAATATATAAGTAGTCACTCCTGTCACATTATCCTACGTCTAAGTACTTAGTACGAGGATACAGGTCAAACTGTGGACGGCGAATCAAATCCTATCCTATCATATCCTATCCTATGCTACAATCTTCTTCTCAACTCCCACGACAGGTCGACTGGTGGACGTTAGGTATTTTAGTGTACGAAATGGTTGTCGGATACCCGCCATTCGTCGATGAAGATCCTATGGGCATCTATCAGAAGATCCTTTCCGGGAAAATCGTATTCCCGAAATTCTTCGATAAGAACGGAAAAATGCTCGTCAAGAAGTTGCTGACTGCGGATTTGGGTACTTATCTTTTTCATGTAACTTCAAGCAAATGAGATAGAAATACATAATCGTCAGCCGCTAGTAGTGCAACTCATCTCGTATGACAGAACCTTCTTGCTCCTGCCTCACCATACGTCAAAAAGTACATGAAGAAAAATTTTTCCATCACCACTCCCACCACCACCACCACCACCACCACCACCACCAGGTAAACGATACGGAAACTTGAAAAACGGTGTCGATGATATCAAGAAGTGCAAATGGTTCGTTGGCCTTGACTGGAGTCAATTGTTGAACCGAGAAATTCCAGCACCTTACAAGCCAAGTGTCAAGAGCGCGACGGATACCAGTATTTAGATACTTCTTGTTGATTTTGAACACGACTATCACACACTTTCAATTACTTTTTACAACTTCAAGTTCAACTTTGATGAAATCCCGCACAACAAGGTAACTTCGAGGAGTACCCGGATAGTGACGAGAAGCCACCGGAGGTGAGTCAAGCATCGGACCCGTTCTCAGACTGGAGCGATTAAGACCAGCCAGATAAGATTAGGTCTGTTCCTGTTGTTCTAGGAATTGTGTGACAACATTGATCACAACAAGGTCTTTTCACCAGGTCTCGACGAAGATATTAAGATGAAGAGTATCTACTAGGTGTAGAAGTAGATGTCGGCATCAACAGTCGTCTCGAAAAATAGATGGAGATGGGAGGAGTAAAAGTGATGTATGGAAGTAGCTGCAGTACCTGGACCTATTCCTTATGAGTTCAATCTGAATCTTGATCTTCGTGGTATTGACCGAAACCAAATTCTCAGTATCCGTGCTCTCTATTCATTATGGGTGAAACAGTTTATTAGCCTTTTTATATCTATCAGTTTACGGGGTTGTAGTTATGTTTATTTTTCGTCTCAATCACATTCAGAGCAAGGAGCAAGTAGTCGTGGGAAGGTTGAGATATCCACGTCGACCTACAGTAAAAGTATGAACTAAAACTACAAGGAAGTTACTATTACTAACAGTACTAAATACATAGAAGGTAATATAGGTTGTTAACTATATCTACACAGCATGAAAAATTATATTTCCATATTACCATACAATAAAAGTTACATTTTGGGAGTTAATAGTGTTAGGAGTATCATGAAAGTACTACTCATAAAAGCAGAAAGACACCGTCGTGCTTGTTTCCGGATTTTTTCGCCTACTTGGGAGACTATAGCTGCTGTTCTTAAGTAATAGGGGGGTCGCTAGTCGTATGAGGGTTAAGAGAAATTTATTTCGGTCATCTTCATCAAGCAGCTCACTTTGGTGTTGTGTGTTGGCTAAGAAAGACTAGCAATTTCTTTCGTTTCTTGTTTTTACTGAGGACGACGTTGGTGTCGGGTTCAAGTCGTTTAGCTGCGTGCTCTACCCTCTCTATCTGCCTGGTGCAGCTAGCAAAGGAGCCTCTGGATAAACGACGTACCTCGGTGGAGAACAATGGCTGACAGCCGCACGAAGCCCAAACAAGCTATGATCTTGACCAGTGATATTCCAAGTACTTTTTACAACAGTATTAAGTCTAGTAATTCTGAGTCTTTTTTAGTCTGATTAACAACATCCTTGACTTCGACATCTTCTACTTCTAGTTCAATGTAAACATGAAGGAATGATGGTGGACCTAAGAAGCTACAAGAACAGGGTGATGAAGTGGAGGTATGAATTAGAAATGGACAGATGGTGTTAACCTTTTGTATTATGGTGTTAACCTTAACTACATGTCGAGTATTATGACAACAATGAATTTGAATGCTCTTTCAGGAACATCAGAATCAGGATTGAGTTTTTTTGCAACAACTCCAAAATGAATAAGTCTGCCTGGATCGATGCATAAGGTTTAAGCATAGAAGCAAATTCAAGTTTTGCTTTATCCTGTGGCTATGTAAGTTTCAATTTTCAATGCCCTGAGATTCGTGCCTCGTAAGTCGACGAGAAAGTCCTCCCAATGGCCTTTCTCCCAGCAAAGGACGGCTGTTCAATTCCCATAGTACTTGAACACAACAACAACCGAAAAAGAAGTAAGCGAGAAAAAATGAGCACGAACACAACACGTACTTCCCTAGCACAAGAAAGGGTGATTTACAGAGCGAAACTTTCTTAAGTCGAGCAGACTGACATTGATAAATTCAAGTCGAGAAAAAGTTTTTCTTTTGAGGATGCATGATATTACAGGTACACAGACAAGTACAACATGAACTTCTGACCAGAGAAGAATCTCTAACACAGCTAGGTCTAGCTACAGAAGTTAGGCAATATTGTTCAATTTGGTTTTAGTTTTGCATTCTTCATAATAGTTTCGTAAATCAGCTAACATGCTTCTAGGAGACCCAGCAGAAAAGACCACCAGCGCGAAGGCCATGAAGTCATCTCAGGCATCGCAGAGGTCGCCTGCGCCCCTACTGCAGGGGTCTGGGGAAACCCAAATGCAATCCTCTGGAATCGGATCTTTCACCTCAAAGCACCTTTTAGGCCTCCTCGCAGCCAGTGGCGTCTCATTCAAGTTGGCTGACTATCGCCTAGGCTTCATGAACGATTTAGGATTGGCGATGCGCGCAGCGCCGATGTTTCTACAACTCGTACGTGCTCAGGCAAAGGAGTGGACATTGACTGACGTGTGGCAGGTAACGAATACTTTTTGAACGTCAGGTGAAATTTTTTTACTGACCCTCTACTTAAGCAGTGATTGAAAAACCACCATCTAGTCTCATCCTTTACACAAACAACAACCTCGCTCTTCGCAGGAAGCAGTCGCGCGGCATGGCGAAAAGACAGCAGTGGTGTTTGAAAATAGGCGTTTAAGCTTCCTCGATATGGAACGAACAGTGGTACAGATGGCACGATGGCTACAGGGGAAAGGCATCCAAAAAGGCGATTGCGTGGCCATATACCTCGAGAACAATTAGGAGATAAATTAGGGATGAAAATGATGTTGAACTTGTTGATCTTGAAGTAGTTGAAATGCTTTTTACTAACTTGCACTTGTTAAGTACATGAAGAATCTACGTCGATGAAGATGATTTTGGTCCTCACTAATTGCAAGGAAAAGACATCTCACCTCCCGCTCCCGACATACTCTTCTAATTCCCACCCGAGTTCATCTGTTGGTGGCTTGCTGTTACTCGCCTGGGTGGCCTAGTCAGCCTTCTCAACTACAACATCAAAGGGGAAGGGTTGCTTCATTGTCTACGCGCTTGTGGCGCTATGGCTGTCGTCGCTGATCCCGACACAGAGGAGCGACTAGCGGAAGCATCAGCTATAATAGCAACAGCAGCACAGGGATCCAGGAGGAAGTTCCAGATATTTTTCTGGGACTCGAAATATCCTCGCCGCCTCGAGTGGTCATCGAACGTTCAGGAACAGTACTGCTCTGCATCCCCAATCGAACTACACACCGTCACCTACGACGATCTCCTTGCCATTCCCTCTAGGCCTCTACCCCAAGACCTGCGATCCGGCATAAAGTTTCAAGATCTGTTTGGGTACATCTACACCAGTGGCACCACAGGCCTTCCGAAAGCAGCGAAGGTACCTCACATGCGCATGTGGGCATTTGGTGGCATGGTTTCCGCATTAGCAGGAATCCGTGATGACGACACCATCTACACGTGTCTTCCGATTTTTCACTCAGCTGGTGGCGGAATCGGCGTCATGTCCATGATGATAACCGGAGCTACTCTAGTGCTGAGTCGACGCTTCTCAGCCTCTCGTTTTTGGGAAGAGGTGGCAGTAAACAAATGCACGGTGGTCCAGTACATTGGCGAGTTGTGTCGTTATCTCCTGGTGCAAACTAAGGGCGGAGAGAGCGAGTCGTGGCCGCACTGTGTTCGTTTAGCAGTTGGCAACGGGTTGCGGCCAGAGATATGGAACGATTTTCAGACGCGCTTCGGCGTAAGCGAGGTTTTGGAGTTTTACGGTGCGACAGAGGGAAACTTATGGCCGCTCTCAACTACAAGGAGTACAACTAGTACTTGTTTGTTTCACGGATAGTTGACCAAGAGCTGTTGCTGTCGCTGCTTGTTTCCATCCAGAAAGCTTGTTTCCATCCAGAAACAAAGGATATTGTAACGTTTTAATTAATAGTGAGAGAGATGAAAAACAAAAATGAATCATTGATAGCTCATCTAAGACCTGGCGCTATGGCGAACCGTTGCCACGTCAAATCCGGCGTCAAAGGCAGTGTAGGCCGTTACGGCCTCATCGCAAGAAAGATCATGGGGTTGAAGATCGTAAAATTCGACGTGGACTTCGAGGAGCCGATGCGAGATGCCAAAACGAAGTTGTGCGTAGAGGCGGAGTTTGACGAGCCTGGAGAACTCTTATTCCCTGTAAAGGACTGCCTCCCTCACACGCGTTTCAGTGGCTATTCAGATGACGCGGCGTCGGCGAAGAAGATTTTGCGCAACGTGTTTCGAGACGGGGATGTGTATGTTCGAACGGGAGACTTGCTGAAGCTGGACCGAAACGGTTACTACTACTTCGTTTAAGGGTAGGTTAAAGGTGCTTTTCTTACCGCTTTTCATGCCTCTCTCCCTTAGGATGAGAAAGGCATAACAAGCGGGGAAAGCGAGCACCAAAAACCTACCTCTAATTCGTAGATCGAATTGGCGATACTTTCCGATGGAAGGGCGAAAACGTTTCGACCACGGAGGTTGAACAAGTGTTAGCGGAAATCCCTGGCGTTGCTGAAGCAAACGTTTATGGAGTTCAGGTAGAGAAACTACATTATACACCACATCGATTTGCAGGTTTGAATTCATGAGGAGTCACATCTTTCAGCTTCTAAGTACTAGTAGTCAAGTCACGCGGTGGTGCACTTGTAGACAGTAGACCACAACAAAAAAAAAACTAGTAGGACAGTGACTTTTCGTTGTTCATCACACATGATCCTCGGCCTTCATTCCCCTCTTCCCCATCCGCATCGCCCTTCAGGTCCCCCAACAGCCAGACGGACGCGCTTGTATGGCTGCTTTGACACTGGACGCAAAGGTACAGGAATCACCTGAATCTGCGTCCTCGCAACAACTTTCATCTTTGTTAACCACGATCCTGCAAACCTGCCGTAAACAACTCCCGGCATACGCAGTACCAATTTTCGTTCGCATTCTGAAGACCGATATGAGCCACACAGCGACGCTGAAGGTGCAGAAAGTGGATTTGAGAAAAGAAGGTTGTGATCCGAGTGGATGTGCACCAGACGTGTTGTTCTGGTTGGAAGATGGACTGAGGGCAAAAGGGGCGCCATCTTCCGGATCTTCGTCTTACACCTTGTTGGATGCGGACACGTTTGGACGTCTTGTCGCTACCACAACACAAGGCGGTGGCGTCAGCAAGCTGTAGGTGTACCGACAAGCATTGGGATGGGAACATTCAAAGCAGGAGAAGTAGCTGATTTTGTTTTCGTTAAATGTGGGACCACATTCGCTGTTTTTTTCATGCAGTGGAAAAATTGGAGGCTGGAACTATCCAGCCAATCGATTCATTTCCATAGTGCGGGATGAACTGAACATGAGACATTGAGAGAAACAAAAACGGAAGGTAAAAAGGGAGTGAGAGGAATGAGGACTCGGAGAGAGTTGCAGAACTACTAGTTGTATCTGTCTTCGCCGTCAACATTAAAAGCAGGCTGGAGAAGCTTTTGTAGACTTTGCCGAGAAAACAAACCATCATGGCGTTGGCTACGTAACTGTGAAAAGGAGTCCAGAAGCCGCTGCTTCATCTTGTGGGCCATCGTCAAGATGTTGAAGCTGTCGCACAGCAAAGCGGCCCTGCTGCTCCTGCTCTTCACGTTCTTGTCCTGTGATGTCACGGCAAGACTGGAAGTAGCTCGACGACTCTTCGGAGGCGCTCCTGATGCCATCGCTGCTGACGAAGATGTCTGGGCGGAAGATGAAGGCTCGAAAGGCGCTAGCAGCCCGAATGTAGTGGCAGCAGAAGGAAGCAGCAGCAAGATCTCATTCCTTCAAACCCTCATAAGGCAGGTGCTGGATCAAGAAATGAGTACGACGCTGATGTGTGTGATCTTGTTGGCGGTACAGTACTTCGTGGTGTATGGCATCTACCACGTGCTGCATAGCTACAACCAGCTTGCAGTAGAAGAAGATGGTGGAAAGAGGAAGAAGAGCAATGGAAAAGAAGGAGCTGCGAGAGAATCGGGATACTTGTACGGAGAAGACGAGGTATGATGCTGAATGTTACGACTTTGTACCTCAAAAAAACTGAATTTTCTGAATAGAAGAACTAGTTGTTCTTGTTCATCTCTCTCTTTTCCTCATCCATTTTCAAGGTACAACAATCATCTCCATTATTCATTCTTCAGGCCCTCGACGACGGCGACCTTCGAATCGAGCTGCCTTCCTACTTTGCGAATTGGCCCGATTGCAAGAGGATGGAGGATGTTTTTCGAGGTTGCACAGGAAGCGTGAAACTGTGTCCAATGCTAGCAATTCTCTTTATCGCTACGCGTTTGCGTGCGGCGTCTCTATCTCCATCCGGCACAGCAGCTGTTCCTGGCTATGCGCAGACGTCCATGTACCTTTGCACTTTAGCGGTCTTGGGGGATACGTTGCTGCTTCTAATTATGCCGATTTACTTCCACATCCGTAAGCAAAGAGACGGGCTTGAGCATGAGCATCCTTTTGGCGACGACGGTGGAGGCATGATGGATCAACAACAGATCACGCTGAATGCTGGAGGAAGGGGAAGCACTACTCAGAAAGCAAGGGCCTCGACAGCAACGTCCCTTTTCGGACGAATAACGCAAATCAATTCTGGTCAAGATGAACAGAATAAGCAAATGAAAAGGCTTAGCCAGATCGCTTCTGTGACACGGACAGCCTTGACGATATCGTTATACGTGGGCTTCAGCATCGTCATTTTCGCATTGCTAGCGATGGAGACTCCAGATGGAAATCGTAACTGTCCGACTTGTCCCTGGTCTTGGACACCTGAAGTGCCAGCTAGCATCCAATGTTTGATCAACCTGACACTGCAGTTTTTTGGTCTCTATCTGGCGATTTTTGTATTGCAGATCTACCGGAAAACAATGAGCTCAATGATCGCTAGTGGTCGGGCTGATGCTGGTGGTGGGAGAATGGGCAGCTTGCAGAATTACATGCTGCATTATGTTTCGATTTTTGAAATCTTCGCAATTTATTACGAGTAGAAGAGAGCACAAGATCAAGAACATGATAGATTACTTATACTAAACCCACCAACGTCCTCCCACAGCTACCCCCACAACCCACCTCCTACCCTTTCAATACCCGGATCAAGACGTGGTGCGTGCTGTCTCGGTCCTAGAGCATGCGCGGATGGCATCAGAACTGTGTCCCATCTTGAGCGTGCTCTTCATCGCCGTACGTCTACGTGCGAATCAGTTGAAAGTCGAACCACAGCCATGGGCCAAAAACGCCTTCTACGTCACGACATATCTATGATTAGGACGAAGGAAAGTTTAGAGTTATAGACCACATTTTATCTAATATGATTACTTACGACGAAGGAAAGTTTAGAGTTACACAGTGAGTTGCAGTTTTACTAGATAGTTTTACTGATGCACGATGAAGATGATCCAGCAAGAAGAATAAGATAATCAATCGAGAAGTATCTACCCACCGACCACCCTTGTGCTTCTCCCTATGTTGTACACCCTTCATATTCTGCAGTCCTCGCACAAATGGTTCTAGCACTGCTACAACCGCTTATCTTGCGCCTCAACACGCTCGCCGGAACAGTGGCTGAAGCGGCTAGGTATTTTTGCTTGATCCAGAAAAAATGAAAGTGTTATTGGTTAGGAGTCTTTAGAGCAAGATATGGGGATGATCGCGACAATTCTATGTTTCAGGATGAACATTTTATCATGAAACGTTTTTCAGGTACATCTGCTTGTCATGCATCTACGTGGGAACCGGAATCGTGGTTGCTTCCGTCTTCGATATTTCTTATCCGCAAGCAGGAAGGACGACGCCCCCACTGTCATCGGCCATGCGATGCCTCGTGATTGTGCTGGTTCTCTACTTCCTCCTCTTCTTCGTGCTCCAGTGCCTCCAGAGCTACGCAGAACTGTCCCTCAAAGCAAAGACGAATTTGCAGATTATGCTGGAAGATGGTACTGCTTCAACTCGATGATGTAGATGTTCTTATCTGCTATTGTTATGTTGACGTGATAAGCGGATATGATTAAAACGAATACTCACAACCTAACCTAACCTAACCTAACCTAAACCCAGTACCTCGTGCTCGTCTAGTAGTTGTACTTCGTACTAGTTCTAGAAGCGTCTCCTCTCACTATCACAACCCAGGTATTCCCTGCCTCGAAATGGTTCCTATGCTTGGTGTGGTCTATGTAGCAGCGCGCTTTCGAGCCATGGAAATCGGGACGATCGACACGCCAAGCTGGGTCGATTTTTTCATGTTCCTATCCGCTATCTCTCTCATCATACAAGCGTTGGCTTCGGCTCTGATGCCATATTTTAGTGGGAAGGTAACTAAGAAAGATAAAGTTTACTCGAAAACTCAGAATAACCGAGTTGCTGACTGAAATAAGGGAGGCACTAGCTTATAGCGTCAAGGCTACTCTTCCTTGTTCAGACAGTATCTCGGTTATTCTGATCAGTTACTTGCTTTTATTTCAGTTTTTCGAATGCATAATTTACTATTCTTGTAAAGTTTTTGGATTGTTCTTACACATAGATCTCCGGTTCTTCACACATTTTTAAACCAAATAGAAGCTCCGTCTATCCAAAACTAGGTGGTCTCAGTCTACTGTGATACATACTTCTTCTCTCCACGTCGTCACAGGTCCTCGCCCTCCCTCCGCTACCTCTAGAAGCGACCACCAAAGACCGAGTTTGGTATAATTACGAATCAACGCGTCTCAGAGAAATTGGCAAGCAAATCAACTTTGCGAAATTGTCAGCGTTAGCTTCTGCCTACGTAGGTGTAGGAGCAACGCTTGGCTACATCGTTTTCACAAGCGACAATCACGCAAGATTACACTACTTGTTCTAATGCATTTCCAGACCGAAAATGGTATCACTTGTTTCATCGACATCGTTCTATTTCTACTTGTTGTACTTTTTTTGTCATGTTGTTCGTCGGCTCTTCATTTTTGTTTTCATCAGAACGCATAGAGAGACATACGTTTACGTACATGCACAGAAACGAGATGAACAGAAAAATTCCAGATGAAAAAATGTAACAAGTACAAGAGTTCCAACAGGAGTAGTGCCTTCTCTTGAGGTCACAAACAGTGTTCTCAAATTACGAGTCTTCTACCAAATGCATGGTGAGATAAGAATGAGGCATCGATGTTTGCCTCGTCTCTCCACTCCACGCACTCACATTGGATGGCATTGACATGATGTGCTTGTACTTTTGACGTCTTTTACTAGAGTGCTGGTAGCACGAACAATTTTCACGACTGACACATCCTCCACAGGAGAGAGCATTCGAGTGAGCGAGTTAGTACTTACATTAAAAGGAAAGAAGATGTGCTCACAGGAAGTTCTGAAAAGTCCACAACAGCAGATGTCTGACCTGATTTATGTAGTTTTGTACTACTGAACAGGCACGACCAAATTCCACTTCTTACAACGCACCCTTTACAGGAGAGAGGATCCGAGTGAATGAGTACTTAGAGGAAACTTTTTCTGTGAAGAACCTAGAGACTCATTCGTACAACTTCTACGAAAAAGAAACAAGAGGAAAAAAGATGTCCTCACAGGAAGTTCTGAAAAGTCCGCAACAGCAGATGCTGGACGTGGCTGCCACGAAAGAGGGCGGTGGAAAAACGCGTGTTTTGATCACAGGCGGTGCCGGCTTCATTGGGAGTCATTTGCTAGACTACTTGATGGAACGAGGCTACGACTGCATCGTCTGTGATAACTTCTTTACCGGCAAGAAGGAAAACGTAGCGAGATGGATGGGGCATCCGAACTTTGAGCTGATAAGACACGACATTGTCGAACATTTGATGGTTGAGGTAGACCAGATCTACCACCTTGCATGCCCAGCGTCGCCAGTGCATTATCAGTATAATGCGATTAAAATTATGATTTAGAAGGTTATGGATATCAGAGACATTCGTAGAACTCAAAAGAGAGGTTTAGGATATAATCAGAGACATTCCTTCGTAGAACTCAAGAGAAGAGACTCAGGGAAGTCGTCGGTCCAATCCGAACCGCCTAACGTCATCACTCATATGAAGGATTATATTAATTCTTGAAGGATTGAACAAAACCCTTCACGGTTTGGGTGAGGGTAATGCAGCTACAACTATTGTTGATTTTGGATCCGATCCTATAACATCAAGAGTCAAGACGAGCGCAGTTAAAGAATTATCCACACCTTCTTCTTCTTTCCTCAGGAACCCCTTACCCTTTCTAATAACCCCATCAAGACCAACATCATCGGAACAATGAATATGTGCGGTTTAGCCAAACGTACCGGAGCGCGTATTCTTCTAGCCAGTACCAGTGAGGTCTACGGTGACCCTGATATTCATCCGCAAGTAGAAGAGTATTGGGGAAATGTAAACTGTATTGGTCCTCGTAGCTGCTACGATGAGGGAAAGCGAACGGCAGAGACTTTGAGTACTTTTGCTTTCCTACACCTTCTATTTCCTTGGGTCGTTTCTATTCTTTCAGCATCTTTGTAATATTGGAATTGTATGTGAAGATGTTGTCTCGTGCTAGAATTTTGCTTTCGTCCCAAAAAAATAAAACCCTCTCAACGAACAGTGATGGACTACCATCGGCAGAACGGCGTCGACATCCGTATTGTCCGTATCTTCAACACCTACGGACCGAGGATGGTCTTCCACGATGGGCGAGTTGTCAGCAACTTTATTGTGCAGGTACTGATTTGAATGATGCTATAATTCGTGTGTGGTCTAGGAGATGAACTTCTATGACTATCTATCATGTGCTTCACCATCTGACAACAGGCATTGCTCCACCCACACCAAAACGTAGACGTTGGTAAGAAGGTTACATCCGCACGAGGAAGCAGTAAACCGAGCGCTGTGAGCACTGACATAAGCACGTGAATAAGTTGAAGGTTGTGTTCCAGAAAAAGAGAAGTAACAGGATAAGCTTAACAACAAGCATCAAAAAGCTTGATCCGATCACCATCTGACAACAGGCATTGCGAAACGACAACATCACGATATATGGAGACGGCTTACAGTCGCGCTCGTTCTGCTACGTTGCCGATCTCGTGGAGGGCATTTACCGATTGATGAACCAAACTGAGACGACAGGTATTCGTCAATTTTTATATGCCTTGTATGTTGTGTGGGCTCTGAATAGACAATAGTTTTTAGAGGACTCGTGCAAAGATAGTACGGTGGTTCTTTTTATAGATGGTAGCTGTTGCTCCAGTTTACCACGACACCTTGCCGTGGTGGCGGGGACATCTTCAAAAAGGTGTCAACACTACCAACCAACCAGTAGACCTTTCCTTCTCCAGGTCCAGTAAACCTAGGCAATCCCGGTGAATACACGATGAAAGAGCTTGCCGAGAAAGTGCTCACTTGTCTCCCTGAGAGCGCTTCAAACATGGAATATCGTCCACTACCGGAGGACGATCCGAAGAGGAGGCGTCCAGATATTTCGAAAGCGAAGAAATATTTGAATTATGACACTTACAAGAAGCTTAGAAGTCCAAAAATTCAAATTTCCAAAATATTATTCTAGTCCTCGATAAGCATAAATCGCAATCATGAGGTCAACTCGCACATCGTCTTCTAATCCAAATGGGAGCCCACGATCCCCCTCGATGACGGTCTGGCGAAGACAGTGGCAGACTTTGCAGAACGAGCGAAGAGAAATCCTAAAGAACTGGTCTGCTCGCATCAAAAAGGAGCTGCAAAAGTCCCTGAAAGTGCGAAACCCATCGCGGCAACTGGGGCGTAGCTGAGGGACGACAGTGCGGCATGAAAGTACGAAACCTATCGCAGCGACTGGAGCCTGGAACAGATGAAGAAAACTGATCTCTGGAGAACATGGGCTTCATGTTTTGAAGAAGATTGAGTTTTTTTTTTGAATTATTTTTTTGAATCCACCACGACCGAGTCCACGGGTTGTCACGGGTATATGATTAATGGCGGATGAGTGTCCGTACTACAAATAAACTCCCTGAAGTCCTTATTTCTAGTGTGTGCAGAATGAACGAACTTTTTTTTGATTTATTCCGACAGGAGCGAGTCCTCCTTCGTGGAGGGACTCTCTACTGCATGGCAAGACCTATGATTGAAGATGTAGCGACCTTTGCGTCGTAGGTATGTCTTTATCTACTTCCATAAGAGTAGATGTGTTTCAACCATCAGACTCGGGCTAGTCGAAAAGGCGGTACAAAGAGAAAAGAGTGTTGAAAGAAGCTACTAGGACTAGTTCGAGCTGTGACATGGAAGCGGCTTGAACTTGATCTTTGTCAACAATTTCTAGTCAAACATGCAATCAAAAATCCCATTTGATTCCCTATAGAACTTCTAGCAAAAATGTCTCGACAGAGCAGTAGTGCTTTGCTCGTCCCAGGCGATGAGGCGCTGCGTTCCGAGCAGGACAATCTGTTGGCACATTATGGAAGGAGATATAAGAAGTAGTCATTTATTATTAGAGTTCTTTCTTTCTTTTCCCTCCCTCTAGTACTCTGCGGATCTGCTGACTCTTATGGCCTTGTGTAATGACTTAGGTGTTGTACATGTATCGTTTTCAAGCACTCAGAAGTTCTTCGCCTAAAAAGCTTATCAATACAGTTCATGAATCATGGCATTCTCATGTTCATCTCCTTCGTAACAGGAATTTGAACCCTCAGGATATCCTTCTAACAACAGGACGCTGGCGGTGGAGGTTTCGGCGAGACGGAAATAGCCCTAATCGAAGATCTGTGCACTTTGGATGATGAATACACGGAGTGCAAGAAACAGATGGATGCAGAAATCAATGCAATTTACGCAAGATTCGAGGGAAAGATGCAAAGGTAGAAATAATTCCTGGGTATCAGGACTTCGACTTGGGTTATGACTTGGGTATCGTAAATCGTATGCTTTTACACGACAGTTCTAAGAATCCTCACTCAACAGACATGTGCTTTACTCTCCAATCTACGACAGCAGGATCCTCGATACGCGACGGGAGATGATTACGCAAGTACCTGAAGATGACCAAGACCGAGCAACTTCCCCAAGATCATCAAAGCTACTCAAAAATAGCTTGAACGACCACGGATCTCCTTCACTGTCTTCTACACCTAGCACTAGCGCATCCCTTCTATCCTGTTCGTCTAGCCGTAAAAATGGCAATACGATGAATCGAAGTGGCACTCCCCAACTACCAGGCTTTTGGCTCGGTGCATTGCGTAACTCAGAACTCAGGAGTTTTATCCTCCAGCATGACTGCGATGCTTTGAGTTACCTCACGGATATCAAAGCATGGGAGGTGAGAAACTTCTTCACCAAACAGCAAGGACAAGAAGGGCCAGACCAACGTCGAAAAGGGACAGATAACAAGGATGGCGAAACCTCCTCAGCTACACCATCAAATTCATCCGCTCTTTTCCTAGAGTTTTCTTTTCGAGAGAATCCCTATTTCACCAACACCTGCATACGAAAGGCTGTGCTGGTGCATGAACGGAGTCCCTATAGACAAGAAGCAGAAGTCGTTTGTGTGGAGAGTTCCAAGATCCACTGGAAACATGGAAAGTCCTTGGTGAAGCCTGCTACTGCAGAAATGTCTTCTCCTTCTACAGCAGTAGCCGCGGCAACATCTGAAAGTCCAGCAAGCACTAGGTCTTCGAGAAGAAGTTCAAGAGCTAGCACGCCTTCTCCATCTTCACGGCCGCGTGCTTTGGGTCGTGTTCCGCGCCCTCCACTATTTCAGGGACAAGAAAAGGGTCCTCTTGCTGTTTCTCCGACGCGAAGTAACCAGACCATCTTAGCAGGCACAACTAGAAAAAACCACTTCAACAACGATGAGAGGACGCAGACGTCTTCATCTACTTCATCCCTCGCCCCCGTCCGTCGTGGTTTCTTCAGCCTCTTCTTTCGAACGCTGTGCCAACCAGATCTAGAGGAGGATGAGCTTGAAAAGTTCTGCCTTCTCATAGAAAACCAGAGTCAGCATGACCCTCTTGTGAAACTAAACAATAAAAAAGAGCTACAAGAACAGGAAGGTCGTAGTGGAGGTAGAAGTGATGCTACAAATGGAAGAGCTGAAGGTGGTAGTACTACTAAAAAGAAAACGACCACCACGACCAGTCCTCACCATCTCTACGCCCACGAAGTACAGCGTTGCCGAGATGACGGTGAGGAGGAACGCGACTACGTTGTAGGCCTGCTGAACGAACACTACGAAGCCACTGTTGCTTTACAAAAGGGGATTGTGCCTCATGCGATACGGTATTATCTGAATGAAGTGGATGGCGACGATGAAGATGATGATAGTGACGAGGAGGATGTTGAGGATGATGAAGCTGACGAGGGCGAAGATGAGTGAGGCCTTCATCATGATGGGGATGTTGGGCAACCTGGACTTTCTAGTCTTTCCAAGAAACTCAAACTCTGACAATTTCTCGTCTAAAGTTACGTACATGGAACTCTTCTAGTTTTAAGAACAAGACTACGAGAAGTACGACTACCTTTTTAGCGAGAGTTGTGCAAAACTATAGCGTAGTACTCGCACGCACTCGCACAGCCTCGAGTTCGAAAACGAGCAGTTCGTTGTAGTTGTAGGTCGTGCTCATGCTCATCCCGTTGAACAAGATATAAGAATCGGTCATACGCACAACTGAGGTAGGAGGCCTTTTGACCAGAAATTGTAACGCCCTGATATCGTGATCGGTCTTCCATCGGTGAAAAAATAGAACACAATACGTCGAGGGAGTGCCTTCAAGTACGTCCGCAGGATTTCCAAATCGCTATTGCTAGTCGTTACTCTAAATCTCCATTGCACAACCCCACTTCTGATGTTCCCTCCTGCGATGGTTGAGCCGCAAGCCAGTGCGTGCAATAAAGTTTGATACTAGGTCGATGGAAAATGGTAAAAACAGATACAGCACCATCTCGTTCTTCTTCAACATGCCATGCATGAGACTAATTTTAATCTTTGTCTTTCTTCTTGAGAAGATGAGCAGTACGTAGATCATTGCCATTCAGATTCGACATGCATTGTTCTACTTAACTTTCTGTTTTACACTCCGTTGTACAATTTAGTCTGCTAGTTGTACGTGTAAGGTACTAGTAGGTAGAGGCAGCACGTGCTGCAGCATCAGAAGCGACAGGATGCCCCATAGTCTTCGTGTAACCGATCGTGAGGAAGCAGTAGCAGCTGCCGCACCGAACGAGGACATGTTGGGGACTAATGTCAAGATGAAAACAGCAGATGAAGGAGACGCAGCAGGACCAGCAGGAGCAGGACTAAGTGACTTCGGAATGATTCAACTTCTCGAAGACCCGCGGGTTAACAAAAAAACACCACCTTCAATTACACCAGCCCTTCAAGAACGACTCGATGAACTTCCGGGAGACGTCGCAGTAGTCTTCACGTGTCAACCTAGGAGTACAACATCTTCTCCAACGAAAGGCAAAAGCAGTCTGCCTTTGATGAAGGCTCATAAAGATGTGGAGAGAGTGATTGTTCTCTGTTCGCAAGAATTAGCATTCTCGCGAACTACACATAACGGGTCTAGCTCAACAGGGTCAGGATCCTCAGCAGGTGGAGTAGATGATCTTCAAGAACAGAGAGTTCTGAACAGTGAAGTACTCGATGTTAAGGCTACCGCTGGAACATCCTCAACATCATCCTTGGCCCATTTTTCAAGGAGAAAAAGGGACCAGGGAGGTTCTCGGGGATGCGAGCGCGGTAGCTCTAAAGATGGAGAAAAATCCACATTGTCCTCGTGTTGCAACGTCTCCTCGACCTTTCCTTATTGGAAAGGGGTCAAACTAGGACGCATCAGAAAGAAGAGAGGTGGATCTTCGATAAAGAAACATCAACTTGATGAACAGCTCAGGAACAGCAGTACAGAGATGAAACAAGTCTACTTTCCTCCCAGCCTCGACAGAGGAGACTTTGCTGCTCTGCGTGCACTCGTAGAGTTAAGGGTTTTTACCAGCACATTGCATTCCTCACTACCATCCTTGACGTGTTTTCTAGTAGGAAAAGGCCTTAAGGGGTGATCTGAAGAATGCAATGTCGCAGCCTCTAAGAGAGGAAACGGCGACTGTGGGATGTGTGCCAGGAATGCACATCAGTCCTCGTGGTGGAACTGGACGCGGGATTTTGATGCAGCATGATCGAGAGACAAAAATAGCAGTTGACTCCCGGTTCGACTACTACGGTGGCGGTGCTCTGCCAACTGTGCAGGCGCCACCTCCAAGAAAGAAACGAACAAAGTCAAAGATCAAAATTCTTCCTCCAGTCAGGCAAGAGCACAAGGATCGACAGTGTCATTGCAGGAGTAGATGCAGTGTCATTGCAGGAGTACAACGTAGGAGTAGATGCACTGTCATCGCATCTTCGAAGAATGATATTAAGGGTGCTGCATCTTCCAACGATAGAAAGGGTACAGCAGGTGGTGCTTCAACAAGTACATCTTCATCGTCTTCCGGTGTGGAGGAAAGTTCTAAACAGGAGCAAAAGAATGAGCAGGAGAAACGTGAAGGCCACGAACAGACGGCTACAGAATATGAACAAGAAGATCCCTCTTCTAGCGCGACTTCATCTGAAGACGACGAAGATGACGAAGCAGAAGTTGTAGATGAAGAGGATGAAGATGAGACAGATGAGTCGTCCGAGGAAACTTCCAAGCAACAAGTTTTTCCTGCTAGTAAAAGACGCAAGGTACAACTACAAGAAGATCATGACGAGTCTTCCACATCTAGTGAAGATATCGTCGAACTAGATGAAAACGAGGAAAGCGGAGGTGATGCATCTAGTGTCGTTATCGAAGACCAGGACCTACTAGTTGCTGATACTTCTACAAGAACATCTTGTTCAAATGGAGGGACCACAACGAAGGGAGCAGGACGCACCAGTAGATATGAAGGTCTTCCTGCATCTAGCACGTCAAGTACTTCCTCTTCTCGCGGGATCACAACAAATGGTGCTAAGAACAACAAGGTCTTCTTACCATTACCGTTCCTCGATGCCGGTCATGACAGAAACAACCATCCAGGACGTCGCATCGAACTGTACATGCGTGAACACATTCCTTTTCAATTTTTACCAGACGCTGTGCGCTCTGCTCTGGTAGAATGTTTGGGGGGAATGAAAAAGGTAAAGGATCCAGATGCGCAAGAACTGCAAGCCAGCACAGGAGTAGAGGAAACCCTGCAAGTCAAAGAAGGAGTGGAAGTACCAGGACACAGACAAATAAGCTACTTGGCGGATCCTCTAGTTGAAACAAGAATTTCACGAAGCTTCACTGACAAGAAGAATACGCTGATCCTTCTCGACTGGGATGACACGGTACTAGATGAAATGAGTCTCTATCTCTTTCTAAGTACGTAGGTTTTGTTTTTTTCCAGCTCGGCATACATTCACTCATAGCAGAGACAAGGACGAAGTAGAACTAAATGTAATAATGTGATTTACTGATCATGTGATACAATGAGCAGTGTTGGTCTCTATCTCTTTCTCTTATTTCTAAATCTTTTTTAAGTACTTCAATTCCGAACCAAAAGCAAAACTCAAGACACGCATACTTCCTACTACACCAGTACTTCAATTCCGAACCAAAAGCAAAATTGAAGAAACGCATACTTCCTACTACACCACAGCTCCTACCATCCGCTTGGGTCGTAAAACACAAGATCGTCCCTGATCCGAAGTTTAATCTTCTGCCTTCTGAACGTTTGCACCTTGAGGAATTATCCGCTGCTGTCGTAACCACTCTGCGTATACTCAAATCTCTGGGCAAAGTCGTCCTGATTACCAACGCCGAAGCAGGTTGGATCCGGCTGAGCGCTGCGGCATTGATGCCAGCTGTGAAGGACGAACTGAACGACATTGAGCAAATTTCAGCGCGTAGTCGCTATGAGACACCAGGAAGACGCAGTCCGGTGGACTGGAAGCGTCTCACCTTCTTTGACGAAGTGACAGCGTTCTACGAGTATGATGGAGAAGATGATGACGATTTGGAGGAGGATTATTCTCAACGTGGTGGTCGTGGTGATGGAAAACAACAAGAGACAGATGCAGTGGATTCAGCATCATGTGGTTCTGGTCGTGCTGTAAGAGAAAAGAGGGCTTGTTCTTCTAGCGCTTCTATTTCGAGGAGGAGTGCGGACGAGGAGAATCAGAATCACTCAACAAACAAGAATAGAAATGGAGAACAAGTAAAATCTCAATCGAAAGTAGACTCCACCTCTTCTGCTTCCCGAAGGTCGTCCTCTGCAGATGCGCACTACAGAAGCATAGGCAGTAGCGGAGGTCGTGACAACTCCCCCTCTTGCAGCAAGAGCTCCACTTCGTCGTCAAATAATGGGAAAGTTGGAAAAAATATTAGAAGTACCGCTCACAAACATGATCCGCATGAAGAGGATGATGAGCTGAATCGAGTAGCTTCTTCGCCTAACAACGGGAAAAGACTCAGTCTGAGAGGCAAACTAGACATCCCAGTCGAGGACCTGGACAGGTTGTCGCAGGATGTTCTGGTAGCCAAGTATATTAAGGGTTGAAAGTTGACATCTCTATGCGCATCTCTATGGCTTCTTCAAGTAGGAAAGCCATGGAGCATATGCGAGCGAGAGCGGCCAACTTTCGACCCCTAAGTATATGCGAGTAGCGAGCAAAGACGTTGATAGTGAGGATGCTCTTCAATTTGTCGACGCCGTTGAGGAAGAGGTCGCTCAATTAGTTGCTGCACGTCAGGAGCTGTTGTTATGGCCCTTTATTTTTTACATCAGAAAAACGGAAATCGAACTACAGGAACTAGTGCGTAATAAGTAATTATATCCACGAGTCTCATGTGGAACTTTTTTGACTATCTAACGTTTACCCGCTTATATCCACGAGCAATTACGAAATCAAAATAGAAATTTGAACCTCCTGAGTTGTGCACAAGCACCATCAAATATCCAGATGACTTCCTCTAATACACCTTCGTCGCCGCCTTCGTCGTCAGCAAGAAAAGGGTGGAGAATACCGCAACGTCATCAGTATTGGAGACAGCTCTCACGAACGAGAGGCTGCCATAGAGGTATGCAGACGTCTGGACATTTCGGTAGTGAAGACGCTGAAACTGACCGAAAGACCCCATCCGAAACAGCTTCGAAGACAACATCTGTTTTTGCACGATTTTCTGGCTCAGTGTGTGCTGTCTGAGCGAAGCTTGGACTTGGCCATCGGACGCGATGATGCGCCGATGCTAATGGGTGCTTGGTCATCGGACATGCTACGCGATGGTGGCTGGAAGTCGCCGCGCGGGAGGAAGAGCGTTCAGCATCAAAACAGACTGGAACAGTGGCACAAGGAGAAAGGAGTAAGGAAAAGTGCTGCGAAGTGATACTTCAAATCATCGATCTGACATCCACAAAGGGAACATCAAATAAACGGACGTAAGTAATTGTCAAAAGTGTATAAGTATGAGTTTCTGTAGACCACGTCTCTACGGTCATCATGAACGATGGTAACAGGGACAATTGCGTGCATTTCTGTAGAAGAGCGATAGAACGATAAGGGTGAAGTAATAGACGCTTCAACCTGGGCTAGCGGAATAGTGTTATGGATAGTATTTTGCACAGAATGAGCTAGATCATGAAACGAACAGCAGCACACAACAGAGTAATTATAGGATTTGAAGAAAGGGGTAGAAATTATAATTAAGTTTTGTATCTCTATCTTTCTGCTCGTTTAAATCGCATGTGAGGGTGAGCACGTATCCACAATAATGTAACACAGCAGAACTACAACACATTCACATCATATGAAATGTACCCTAGTCTTCGTGTATTAAAGTAGAGTGTTGAATGTCTTCACACCATGATACATGATAGTAAAGTCCGCACCACGTGATTATGATCGATCATAACCTCAACACGACGCCTTTGTAGTCGTGGTGCAGGAATCTTCATATTATATTTTTTCAAATCTGTTGAGTACCATGATTTGGCTGTCGACGTGTAGTTAAGGATCCCTTCGGCGAGCAGCTGCACCTGTACTACATACAACATAGCAGCAAGAAAATGAAGTCTATGCTTCGGATCTAATCGTAAAAATCAGTGACGACTTCGATGTCGATGCCCAATGTTCCTTCTAATCATCACTTTGCGTTAGTAATAGTACACAGACGACGATATAATCACATCCTACCCTACCTACGATATGAAGCATGCCTGCTCTACTGATAGGAACACTTGTTATGCTCTTCAGGCACGGACAGCTGACAGGTCGCAGGTGTTCGTCAACTGATGTTGTACTTGAAAAGATGTTCCAAATTCAGGGAAAGCAGTGCATTTATGTCACAGTGTAGATCCAAACATAGAAGAGAAAACAAAGTTTATGCAACGAGAGACACTAAGGGATATATATATCTCAGAAGGCGAAGATCCAAAAGCGCAGTGAATGATGTAACCAAGAGCCAGTCCAAACACGAAGAAATAGGAGAACTACTCAAACTAAAAACACATCAAACAGCAGTTTCTTACAGTCTTGTGACGCAAGAAAAACAACCATGCCGCGAAAGGTCATCGTGATGACAGGCGTGACCATGTCTCTTCTCTCTCAGGGGGAGGGGATGCAGCAGCACCAGCATGCATTTATCGATCCCGATGGCGAGACTTCCAGCACGGAAGAAAAGCCAAGGAGCTTCGTGGAGAAATCCTCGGGCGATACAGTTATGATGAGTTGCGTGGATGCACTGGACGCGCTGTGATTGAGTAACAGAGACGAAACGTGGAAGATCAGGAAGTTGTAGACATAGTTTCGATGTCTAATTATTTGCCTCGTGCGGGATACCTAGCGCCAGCTGTAGGTAGAGATCGAAAGAATTGAAATCTTCAAGCTTGTCGATGAGGAAATATTTGACGGAATGCAGCAAATTTCTAATTCTAAATTGGGAATGGGAAAGAAAATCGCTGACGTCGAACAACGCATTGACCAGAGTGTTGCCGGAAGGTTCTTCAAAAGCCAGAACCGCCTTCTCAGCTTCATCGATAAAGCTCAGTCGCATCATCTTACGCGCTGGCGCTTTGTATTCAGGAGATGAGTAGAGGAAACAGCGCGTCTTCGTGGCTGCTGGTCTGTCGGTTGGATTTCTTCACTCTCTTTTGAGGGTGTCGGCGTAGCGCGTTTTCTCGGACCAAGAGCCCTCGACCGGGGGCGCCCAGTCTTGAGCACTCGCGCCACGCCGAGAGTGCGGGACTCGCTACTTTGAGCTGGCTCCCAGCTTGGCAGCAGTCGCCGTTCCTCCTCGGGGGGACTCTTGTGATCCTGGATAGGGGAGAGCTCTTCGGAGCAAAGCTGCCCTTAGCGGCGCCGCCATTCCCAAGGGTAGCCTGCAGCCTGTGACCCCCCCCCGGGAGTGGCAGCTTGCTACCGGGTGCCATCCGGCCCTCACGTGCTTTGTCGTTCGTGCCCGCTTTCGCAGGGAGACAAACGCATGAAAGCCGCACGGTCCCCGGAGGGTGGCCTGTCCGTGCAGGGTCTGAGAGAGTGTCTCACTTTCTGGCCGACCTGTCTGTGCAGGGTCTAGCTGTCAGTAGAAGAGAAGCATTAGCCGTTAACCAACTGCCAAGAGCCGCACGGCCACGGGGAGCAGCCCCACAGTGTTCAGGAGCCACAATAGTGGCCACCGGAAAGAGATCAACGGACCCACGTGACGCGCAGCACAGAAGTAACCAGGTCAAGAGAGCAGCAGGCCCGCCTGGCCCCAGGGTCGCACTTAAGAGATCACCGGACCCGCGAAGAAGTTCGAAAAGAGGGGCCCCACTAGTCACGCGCGCGCATCAGTGTACGTCGCTCGCAGCGTCTTGGCTTTTGCCTCTGCTGTTTTGGGGTTTTGCGTGTCATGTGCCACTCAGAGCCAGCGCTGGGCACAGGTGGTAGCTGTAGCCAACAGGCTGCAGGGTGTCGGTCCTCGGTTTCGCGAAGTTGGCGCCCCGCAGCGCAAGAGATAGGCACTGCCGGGGTGTGTCTTACTTTGATCACGCTGCCAACCTTCACCCAATGCGTGAACACTCCACCAACGAACAACAACCACCGCAGGGAACAGAGGGAGCCTCCGCCGAGAACCCAACAAAATGCGCCTCATGCAAGTGGAACAGAAGACCGCAGCGCAACTCCACCCGGGAAAGCTTTCTGCGTGTTTGCTTCTGCTCCGCCAGTCCTGCGCTTCCCATCAGGCGCCCGCCGTCAGCGCAGTATGGGCGCGGGCTTCGACGACTTTGCAGGCCTCCGCGGTTCGTTGTCCCTTTTTATGCCTCCAGCTCGAGGGGCTAACCTTGGGCCTTCTCATGCGCAGCAAGGGGGCCCGCCCCGGCCTTGACAGTTCTCACCGTTGTCGGAATTTCTTGACTTTTAGAACCGTGAACAGCCCCCGAGCTGGTTCGCCGTCTCTTGTCCGCTGCGGTTGCTTGTTTCTCATGTTGCGCAATCATTTCGCGCGACTTCGATCGGGTTGGCTTTGACCTTTGTCGGCTTTATTAGGCGCGCGCTTTTCATTTTCGGCGGCTCCTGCTCCTGTCGGAAATTTCGACAGGGTGACAGGACAGGCGGGGCTGGGACACTGGTCGCCGTCGACCGCTGGGGGCCTCCTCGTCCCGTGCGTAAATTGTCAAACCATGGCGCGCGTTCTTAGCGTTTCCAGATGTGTGAATGGCATGCGCATCAAATTGAAGGCGGCCGCTTTGGGGGCAATGAAATCCCAGCGGAGGAGGCCGGTCACAGTGACGAGGCTGGTCGCGGTGATGAGGTCGGTCACATTGATGAGGTCGGTCACATTGGGGAGGTCGGTCACAGCGAGGAGGCTGGTCGCAGTGAGGAGGCTGGCCACAGTGGGCGCCGCCATGAGAGGAGGCACGTCGGTCACGGTGAGGAGGTCGGTCATGGTGAGGAGGTCGGTCACGGTGGGGAGGTCGGCCACAGTGAGGAGGCTGGTCACAGTAAGGAGGTCGGTCACAGTGAGGAGGTCGGTCACAGTGAGGAGGCCGGTCACAGTGAGGGGCCCGGTCATAGTGCAACCATGAGAGGGGAGAGGACTGAGGGCCCTGGGTGGTATGGTTTCGGTGATGGGCTTTTGACTGGAGTAGTGCCGTCTGTAGTCGGTGAGGGCTTTCGCTCTGTCTTTCTTAGTGCTTAGCCCACAGACAGGCTTGCGCCTCTGTGCTCCCCCGCCCCGGTCCCGTCTCTTCTCGTTTATTTTCTGCCGCAGTGCGTTCAGAACCATGGCCCGCCACCATCTGCATCAGCTGCAAGACTTACAAGCCACCCCGCAAATGTTGACGCGGGCCCCAGCCAATGAGACTAGGCTAGAGACTATCCATTCCAGAAAAAGCTACGAAGGTGAAAAATTCACGGCACGGGTTACGCCAAGGAAATACACAGACACGACAGAGACTGACTGCAGCAAACAGAAAAGCTGGCTACCCACTCGGCTGAAGCAGTAAGCAGCAGCAAAACAGAGCCGCACGACTTGACTCACCTCAGCCACATCGATCCTTCCCGCTCAAACAGATTCCAAAACCACCCCGAGCGGCGCAGCGCCGGGCGTCTTACTATCTTCTTTCGCTCTCGCGTGTGCTCTCTCTCTCGTGCCTCCTCCTCGCGCTCTTCTCAATTCGGTCGCCGCTGCTGAACAAGACCCACACAGCATGAAGCCTGGCACCCTCTGCCCGCTACATTCTTCAATAGTAGCGGCCAAAACGCCCCCAGGGGTTACGTCTAAAACTTCACGGGCCGGGTTCGGTGATTCGGTTTTTCATTGCTGCGCTGTCTTTAGAGTCTCTCCAGACTCGCTGAAGCGGTCCAGTTGGAAAGTAAGGTGCTAGCTGTTACATTTTTTGCCTTTTTTCCCCCTATAGAATCTAAATAAAATGGAACCGGCAGTGCCACTTTTCTCATTTTTTCGACTATGGATCTTGCTACTTTTTTAAGAAATTCACAGTAGCAAAATAAGAGAAATCCGATGTATGAAATTTTTTCGATTTCGGTGGAGAACACAACCAAAGAATTTCCCACACTCTTGGCGAGAGGAGTTCCAGCTTCGCGCGTGAGGTGTGGACACATTTCACAGGGCGTCAGTGCTTCTGTTTCTATTCTTCACGACTGTGCTGCCGATCGTGGTAGCAGTTGACTCATTTACTCGCTAGATGCTAAACTCCTGCAGGCGAATTTTTTGCAGGGCGGGATCTCCCAGGTTCGGACTTCACTTCATTCTTCATATCATTCGGTGAGCGATTGGCTTGGATTCCCTAAGGACATTTATTGTATTCCACTTCCACTATATGTTGACTTGAACGATCTTGATGGGAAAATCAAAATACGCGATGGGATGCACCTCAGGCCCCAACTGAAGTATGAACTAGATTGATTTGCAAGAACGATAGAAGTAAAAAGCAAAGGTCAACCACTCTCTTCAGCTTTGAGCGAACTCCTCTGCTCTCCACTGCGTTCGCATTTAGATTACTATCGTATCACTGAATGGATGAGCAGCAGAGCACGCGCAGGGCAGTCTTGTGCTACCTTGTGTCAACATAAGATAGCCCGCGTGGACTGCGCTGCGCAGGATTAGATAGACCGATGTGCGCGGCTAGAGAGGAGGGGACCCAGGTGAGGCAACGCAGGTGAAGTGTTCGAGCAGGCGTAGGGGTAGGAGTGAAGCATCGACGGCGTGACGCTTTGAAATCGGTCTCGCATCTGAAGATATCAAGATCAGATGCACAACACAGCACAGCGATGCGAAGTGAGAGAAGTGAAGAGAGAGGAGACGAAAGAAAAACGAAAACAAATCCAAATGGGCAACCACAAGCATGAGCAATGTAGAAGGACTGAAGGGAGAGGGACTCGAGTTCGACTTCGATGGCGATCGTCTTGTAATCGATTTTTTTGATACAAGGAAACCGAGGAGGGACAGGAGTGGGAGAGAGACTTCCCAACCAGACACGCAAAAAGGAAAAGGTCGAGAGATAGAAGAACGGGGAAGGATCGGCTTTGACTACACGCGCGAGAGCTAGAAGGGCAGGAGGTCCAGCGAAAAGCATACGAAAGGGAAAAAGTTTGAATAACTATAACAGTGAGCCACTGACATAGGATAGCCATAAGTCTCGTCTGTGATTGTATTTGTATCACATCGAGAAGACAGTAGCGGGAAGACAAGGGGATGGGATAGGAGGGCCAATAACACCAGCAGGGCCGTGCCGTCTCTGGTTTCTTGTAGTATAGATTTATCTTTAGATTAGTTTATGGCGATTATGGCGACACGGGAGGAGATGGAGGTCCTTCCTCACTTCAATCACCCAAGGAAGAGGAGCGTGACAATCAACGATCCGAAGGTTGGACAACAGAGAATCCGAAGCGCCAGCCGCTCTCTCCATCTGCACCTCGTCGCACGGTCCCACTCTTATTCTTTTCTCGTTGCTTTCCTTTCCTCTCGCTCTTTTTCTTCATCGTCAGGCAGGGTAAGCAAACCGAGCTGACCACAGAGAAACCAAAGCTCGACCATCTTGAGTCCAAGTATTGTATCCTGAGAGTGAAACTGATCAACAAAACGAATGAAAATGGAAAAGACAAGACGAAGACAGATCTCCTACTCGAGGGAAGTTGCAGGACTCTGGCACATCTTCCGTCTGCTCGATCCTCAGCTATTATACATCTTTCATCCTCCGAGTCGACGGATCGAAGCCATGCACTCATCACTCTGCGCCCTCACCCGTCTTTTCTTCGAAGCTGCTTTCGACGTCCGTCTCTCCCTCTCTACTCTCTATTTTCCATTTCCTCGAGCAAGCAGCCAGCTGCCATCTCCGACGCCGGAGACAAAAGAAGAAGTCTCGATGGCGAGACGGTCGCGAATCAATTTCACGCACGGTTTCTTTTGCATTTTAGATGGTGAAACTATGTCGCGCTACTCTACTGCTCGAAACAAGACACGTCTGCAAAAGCGCAGTCGCGGCGTCAACGTCGATAAGTCTTTTGTAGTCTTGCTCATGTGCCCTGAATGTGCAGGAGCACGAGCTGTGAGTACTGCGCGATGCTCTTCTTCCACCCCTCCCCCGGTAGAAAGAATCGAACGCCTTAGCTACCCTAGCGTCCTGCATTGGTTTCATTAGATCAAGTCTACTACTAGTGATAGATGAAGACGATCGCCAAGACGAGTAGGCTTAGACTCAGCTGTAGCATGTGCCCCGTGATTCTCTTGGTCGACATTACATAAGATGAGACTCCTCCCGATCCCAAAAGACGAGCCTAGCTGCCGTTGAAGTAAATAGGTCATCAGATCACAAGTGCGATATATAACCTCGCTCGCCCTGTCAAGAGGACCGAGTTCACATTTGGCCTGTGCCCGTAGTTCTCTATCGTCTTTTTATCATGTAACTTTTTTTCAGATGTAGTGCTCAAGTTTCTCATGTGCTTACTTCTACTGTCCTACACTGCTTGTTACAACTTCGTCCCTTATATATCTATGCTCATCGCAATCGTTTCGTTCGTATTAATTAAAGTTCCCCTCTTTTCAGTTGTGGGATGTGGTTGCGTTGCATTTCCTCGCCCTAAGATGTAGCTGAGCTGCCGTGCCTTCCCTTCGTCATAGTTATAATCCGAAGGGAGGGCTGGGCCGGACGGTATTGGATATACACGGACAACCGCCCGGCGACGTTGAACGATGACGGGACGCCGCACAGTCCTCTAGTGTAGTTGTCAGTAGCTATTTCTTGAATTAATCAGTGCAGTAGTCTTCACTTCTCATCTCCTCACGCGATGTATCACGAGCGGAGTTGTTAGCGCCAGTATATCGTAGTAACCTGCTGCATCTGGCGACAGGATGGGAAGCCATCAGATTTATTTTGTATCTCATATGTAGACCAGTTTCGTAATTTTTTACCTCTTGTATAAATCCTTTCTATTTTTTTAGGAAGATGCATAATTCAAACAGACATAATCCACCTCCCCGCTGGCAAGTGCTAGAGCTTCATCCTCCCGCATCTGAAGCAATAAGCAGTAGCCTTCAGCAAGCTGCACCCTTATGCTATCCTTGGTCTAGCTCTAAGTAAACTACATCATACGACGAAACTTGCGCCCAACCTACTACCTGCGCCTCCTATACTCTAGGCCTAGCGTTCGCGTTCAACTCTCTTGCTATTCGTAACGAGTTAGTTTATAAACGCGACGTGATAACTTCTAGTCCAGTCCGCTTCGTTTTCTAGTGGGTGTCAGCAGCTTTTAGAATATGGATTGGGACGACGTCTGCTAGTTCTCATTTTCTGGCGAAATAAGTCCTGACCTGTTTCATAATCAAATCTAACCGCGTAGATAGATTCTAGAGCTAGTCGAAGGACTTCAAGTTCTGACTATTAGCTTCAGTTCAATCATATTGTAGCTGTATTGAGCATGCAGCTTCTTACTTTTCAAAGAAATAATAAGTATCAAGTATGTAGGTCTTGACTCTTTTTTTCATGTGCTTCTTCATCGGTTGTAGTTATGTTATAAAATAATTATTATATTCGTTGCAGGGCTGCCTATCTCGTCTACTATTGAAAAAGATTCAGGCTCTTTTCACAGTAGAAGAGAGATCAGGCGTGTGTTGTGGTCAAGTAGTTTCAGCCCCAACGCACAGAGACGCAGGGACTGGCAAGATTGTACATGTGAGGCACTGCACGAAGCAGCAAAGAGAGTAGACTCCTGCCAGCTATATGCGACCAATCTCGAAGAAAGTAGAAAGATCAAAGCTGAAGAAGCTCTCAAGCTTATCCCCATTTATTCAATAAGAAAAGCTTCAATTTCCATTTGAAGACGATCTCACAAGACTAGACACCATTGCTATGATGCGTTGCCCCTCAACCCGTCTTCTGACTTGTTTTCAAGCCTCCTGCTTAGTGCATTCGCGTCTTCTTCGGCTTCGGGCCTTGGCTTTCCTGGGCGGTGGAGGCCATGCTTGCAGCCGACATGTGCGCCTGCTTCTCGAGCGACAAGCGAAGCGGCTCGTTGTATTGCCACATTCCCTCGCCCACGCAGCTTCTGATCTCTTCCTTCAAAGCGTTAAAGGCCGCAACAGATTCGCACGCTTTCAGCGTCTGTTTTACAGGTGAGGGGACGACTAATGAGTACTAGGAAAGTGCAGCAAGACAGAGTGACTTCAATAACGTCGGTGAGATCTTGCCCATCGTGGACGAAGAAGGGAAATCGGTACACGGATTCACTCTGTGGATGATGTTGCAACTCGTCTAGTACAATAGAAAAGCATCTCTTCGCATGTATATAATATGTCCTCTATTGCCTTGGTTTTCATCTTCGTGATCTGTTCACCTTCCACCAGGGTGAAAATGGACTCTCTCATCTTCGTCGACGTGTTTCTCATGCGTGTCATATCCCTGCGCTGGGAGTCCGTCAGAGTGTCCATTCTCAGGCACCGCACCACTGCCATCTCGAAGGTAGAGAAATGACGGAAAGAAGCACCACAACCGTTAACGCGAGCGGCTTCACCATCAGCAGCAGACAGGATCGTCTTCGTGGCATCTGTATGATGTGTTCAGTTAGGAAATCGGAGTAGGTGTGACGAGATCGGCCTACAGGTTTAGTGAGTAACTTCTGGGGTGGTCCTCTTCTCATCTGATCACGGTTAAGGTTACACTACTACCATCCGAGAAGTCTAGCCAAAAACATAATAGCACCAGAAAACGCCTCGGACATCAACTGCATGACTCCGAAGCGGTGAGTCGCGTGATCCATTTGCTTGCTGGCCAAAACGTGCTCCTTGTTCGACACAGATTCTCCATTCTTTTCGGGCAGAGCAAGTTGATGAGGTTTCAGGGCATCGATGTCATCCGTGTCGATTTGCCTAATGTAGTCGAAGTAGTCTGTGCAAGTAGATAGCAGACAGGTGGAGTCTGGAGGATCATTGAAATGATACAGATACTCAAAAACCAAAGTGGATGAAGTCCTAAATAAAACACAACGACTGCGCCGGTGCCGTACATCAACAGGTCCTGCACTTCCGAGAGACGCTCGACTTTAGATTATCCAAGCATCATTGTAAACTAATGTAGATGCATTCAGTACCGCCAAACTTCTTGTCACGGTAGCGCTTGGCGATCTCTTTCAAGTCCTTGACACGGTCCGGATGACTCTCCGGCTTCGCTTTCAACAACTTCACAACTTCAGACACCACAGCGCAGCAATCGAGTGGCAACTTAGTCAGAATCTTCGTGATGATGTTTTCAGCGCCTTTGGTGCGACAGCACTTGACTCCGTAGCGTACGAAAATGATGCTCATCAAGTATCGCCTGCAAAGTATGAGAAAGCTTAAATGGATGAAACGAATGAAAAAGACCAAAGTGGTCCTATCTCTGTATCTGCCATTCGTGACTTCTAAATCTAAACTCTATCCGTAAGTTTTGAGTTTCTACGTTGGGGTTGGTTGTTTAGAAATGGAATGCTCAACGCAATTGAAAGAAAGACTATAGTCCTATCATATCTAGACAATTGAGTTAGTGCGTCGGGTCACTGTCAGGAGGGAGGTCGTGAAACGTAACCTCTGGATTCAACTCCAAGTGGCAGACTCCGCGTTCCATCATCTCAGGAACAAGCTCCAGCTCGGAGCTAATTTCGCACTCAGGGCACTTAGAGCGGACGCGGTCCAAGACCGAGGAGATAAACGCGCCCTGGATCTGTAGCGATTTTTGAGGGAGAAGGATCGAGATCTTACACGTTAATTACAGACTTCAATGGGAATCCAGGCTACAGATGGAATGAAAAGAAGAGACTTGCTGCGACTTTGAGCTGTCTTGCTCTTACTGTGTATACGCGTATTGTTCAACAATTTAGATACTCAACGCGGACTGCCCAGTCAAATCAAGTCTAAGAATAGTACGAAGCCGAACAAACCCAGGCCCTCGCGAACGACTTGAGAAAAAGCCTCCAGATCGCTTGTGTCGAAGTGTAGCTCCTTAGCCTCGGGAATTTCTGGGACAGCTTCCTCCTCTTGTTCGTCATCAGAATCATCTCCAGAAGTCGGCTTAGAAGACTTCAGATTCGTACTCTCGTCGCTCGTGCGCTCTTCTTGCGTCTCCTTCTGGTCATTGCGCAACATGTCTGCGTAATGGCCAGCGTGACCCATCGAGTCTCCAAGTTCGTAGCGTTTTCCAACGGTTGGGAAGACCGAGGTGCCATCCATGGGATCATCCATCGGAATCGGCGATCGGGAGCAATCGATGTTGATCTCGTTTGGTGTCACGCTGTTGGCGAAGAGGTTTGCCTTGACAGCCTCAGCACGGCTAACCAGGCGCGACGCTTCGTTCACATTCAGATTGACTTTCTTGTCCTTGTTGATGTTTTGGAGTTGCACCTTGATCATATCTTTGTTGTAGTCATTCCATTCCGGGCCGCCAGAGTATGGCTTGGCGTAGCAGATCTTGTTGCGCTCTTCCTCCGTGATCTTGCCGATGCGGTGCTGCTCTTCCGTCAGAGCGATGTTTACGCGAATCTTGATGCGTTCTTCCCACTCGCGTGCGACCTTACCGACCCAGTGGCTGGTGTCCTTCGACTCCTCTTCGACGAGCAGAGCGTTGTACTCGTTTTCCATGTCCACCTCACGAACCTGCTCGGGATCACGACCGGACTTCATTGCGTTGGATCTGCGCTTCTCCATGATGCCGTCCTTGATCTTCTGCGCTTTCTCATAGACAAGAAAGGCACGCTCCTCGTGTGACTCAGCCATGTGGTTGTTAACCTCGGCCGGGCGAATCTGCTCGGTGTTGAGGTGGATCCACTTATAGAGAGCCTTCTTGAAGGTTTCCTCATCGGTGCCGCCAAATTGATACGCATGATCCACACGGAAACGGCTGTTGCTCGACATGTCCTGAAACGCCTTCAGAGCATCCGAGTCCTGGCTCGCCGGCTTCCTTGGCGTCGCCAGCAGGACCTCCTTGTTCTCAGCATCTTCAACGGCTTCACCATCTTGAGCGGTACCATTTTCCTCCAACGCCTCGGTCTTGACCTTGATCTTCTTCTCTTGTTCCTCCTTCTCGTAGACACAGCGCTGCAGGATGCTGCACAAACCAGGATGAAGCTTATGAGAGTAGTTGGCGCTTGTGTTCTTGTTTTCTTCACCGTTGATCAGCTGCGCCGAGTAGTCGAAAGCCGCCTCCATGAACGCGATCTGATCCTTCTGGTAGTCCTTGATATCTTGGTCTTCTGGTACACCGGGAGAACGTGGGGTGGAGCACGATTCTCCTTAGCAGCTTGCGCCTCCTCCTGCATGCGTGCGCGCTCCACGCGCTGCTGTTCCTCGAAGTACAACTTCTTCGCCGCTTCGCCGGGCGCTTGACTCATAGAGGGATACCTGGTGTGGGGTGGTGCGAGTCAATTCATTGAAGTCAAGATGTGTCGGAAGTCAGAACCTTCAAGAAGCTCCAAGCATAATATAAGAAGACGCTAGTGAAATCTGTTACCTCATTCGGTAGAGGCTTCCTATGAAGCGCGTCGGTGTTGCGTATCAGTCATCTGTCCAAAACACGACAAAGAGTAGAGTAGAGTACTTGAAATAGCCGAAGGTATGCAATTTGCGATCGGCGTCGTTCTTGAAAACGTCAAGGCCCTCCTGCTCGAACAAGTACATGGCTGCCTCGCGTTTGATGAGATTCTTGCGGAAGACTTCGCGGTGGCGAGGAATTGCTCCACGAAGCGGCTTCATCTGTGGGCCCATCAAGTTCTGGATCTCCTCGTTGCACTGGCCCAATCCCTTAGAAATGCGATTAAACATCTCTTTCGGTGCATCTTGTGCTTCTCGTATGTACCCAACAGCCATTCCTTGACGTTCAGAGTGGAGTCAAAACCGAAGAAAATCCAGTCACAGACGTCCTCGTTATCGATAAGCCAGTCAGTGACCTCATCCAAGTCCTCCATCAGCTTGAATAGACCAGCCAAAAGCGTGACGCGCCATCCAGTGACCGTCTCGCTCCAGCAGAAATTAGAGCGGGATAAACATGTCAAAAGCGCAGAAATTTATGGACTGCCCGAAATAACAACAGATAAGATAAAGGAAATGAACTAGCAGGCAGTTTGCACTTGCGTGCTGCTCTACGTTAGAGGTGATCATGGCCTCAATGGGATACGTTGCGCCAGTATGTGCCAGCTGCGCGGTGTTGAGGTTCTGCAATCTGTCCAAGCAAGAACGGCAACGGTCGAGGCGGCCTTTCTTCGCCTGGGACGAAGAATACTCGAGTGCAGTTCCGACGTCGCCGCTGAAGCTCGTCAGCTCGTCGCAGGTAATCGGCTCCAAGGTGGCACACTCGGTCAGGTAGTCCAGCAACGAGTCGCGCTTGGAGATGTTCTGAATCTGCTTGGCCATCTCGCGGGTGGCTTTGGCTGTTATGGCATGACTATGATGGGTTTGGGTGGGAGTGAGTGTCAGTATTCCCGAAGACGTATATCCTCTTCTATTGCGATGCTGTTGCTAGATAGTGAGTTTATAACTGTTCAGCGATGGATCGTCCTTAGGAAGCAACACCCATAGAGTTAGGGAAGACATAGAAACTGCGTTAGTATGAATATACCATATAAATTCTTGTCATTGGCCTTCTTCTGACGGAGTTGATCAAAATCCGTATGGTTCGCAATCTGGGACACCATGGACTGCAAATCGATGCCATCAGTGAAGCGCTCGATCTCCAAGATTTTCCATAGACTTTCAACTTTCTTCAGTTGTGCAGCTCCAGCGTTGATCAGTGGATCCTGGCAAACCTGTGAGATTCCAGTAGGGGAAGTTCAATTCAACCGCTCTGGTCTATGCTAGTACTGAGCCCATATGAGAAGGAGAAGCCGGATCACATCATCCAGATTCGCAGGTAGATGCTCGGCCTATATCTATAAGACTTAGCGCAGCGCCATCATATACGCACGAGCTGTGTCGGAGGTCGCTCCACATAGTGACGCTCTATCGAGCTACTTGCGACATCTGCTAACAGTCCCAGTAGCAGTATTGTGGACTCAGTATACTAAACTATACACATACTATTCAGAGTTAAGTATACGACGAATTTTATCCCAACACAAACAGAACCAGAGGTCTCATCACTCTGGCTTGTGGAGGGGGAAAAGCCTTGTGGCCGAGGTCGACAAGTAAGGTGAGACTGCCAGCACTAAGAGCCAACGTAGAAGAAATGGCATAGGTGTGCGAAGATCTTATAATACTTAGTACCTGTTTGGCCCATTCTGGAGCAGATTTAACTTTACGCCGTGCGGCATTCTGTGCCCCGACGGGGCCAGCGCGATTGTCCTCACTATCGGACATCTTCTTGATCTCCAGAGGCGTGTGAGTGAAAGTGTAGTAGTTGTTGTTTAGTAGTGTCAAGGTAAATAAAAACTTTTGCTTGAGAATTGTGAAAGAGGTCGCTGAGGCCCGCCTTTGTCTATCTCCTATAGGAATTGGCGCAAGAGAGAAGTCCGTAAGTCAATTTCTTCAATGCAGCAGACTCGAAGTCCTTTGACTTTACTTTTAATGAGACAAAGGCTCCAGCTTACTTATCTAATTTTAGTCGTGGGAACGAACTTAGGAGAAGTGTGGGTTTCTAGGACGCAGACTCGTGATGAGAAGGTGTCCAGTATCAGTAGCTCGATTCTCCTGCATGATGCTGGCAAATGGCCCGATCTGATTCGAACGCAAAAAAAAGATGTCTATTTAACCTGCCCCGACGCCTTCTTTGAGAAAGATCACAGCTGCGCTATCGACAGCAAGAAAAAACAACAGAATGAGAACAGGGCCAGCATCTTCTTCCTTCTACCTCCTGAGATCACAGTGTTGATCGAAGGAGACCAAGATGAAAAAAGAGGCCAGGATCGACTCTTCCTTTTCTATCCAAAAAAGCACTCAGGTGAACTTGATCGATGGAGTGGACCTGCTGAAGACAACGACTCGGACGACCCATCGGAAAAAACGGCGCAAGATCATCAGACCCGCCTTGAAGAACAATCGCGAGACCATGCGCAACAAGATCTACGGACCTGCCAGGAACGCTGAACACTCACGACGCTGATCTTGTACCGTTGAGCAAGCAGCTGCGGCCCGTATTCTGTGACACCTGGAGCCTGGATCTGCTTCCTTCGTCTTTCGCCCTTACAGCCTCAGGGCTTCAAGTTCAATCACAGTACAAGACTGACACAAGAAATCTGCGATGTTCAGGGCTTATCTGTGCAAGTGCGTCGGTTGTCTTGTCAGCTTCTAGGCATCTAGCCTCTAGTTCATATTGAGTCTTCTTTCTTTGATTCTGTCCCATGCCAGTGGCCTCTACTTTAAGATGAGGACTCCCCAGAAACATCTACACTACGATCCCGGAGCCGGTGAAGTCACCCGCTCAGTGTCTATGCGGACAGTAACGCTATACCAGAATCAATGCCCACATCTCTTCAGGTCATATACAACTAGATTAGTACGCATATCCATGAGTTTCCCTGTCTATTAAATAAATTAATGCCTGTGAAAAACAAGTTCAGAAGTTTGAAGCTGTGTGATGTATGGACTTCTTTTGTGAATGGTCCATCTCTTGATTCCCTGGCAAGGTCTGAGCCGAAAAGAGACCCTCCAGGCGAGCTTAAACACGACTAGGCTACCGCTTCGAGCCTCAATGTATACACGACTCTAAATCAATGCCAATAGACTGACTCGACGCCAGAGCTGACGCTTACTTGTCCCCTAGATCATATCCTTATGGGTGTTCGAAGAAACTAGACGGTCTCTATGATGCTTCCCAGGCTATTGCTTTGCGCCTATGCAAATCCCCTATGACGACCATTCCGGGCGCGAAGCTCTTTCCTATGCGCCCTTTACTTGCTTCCCCCACCATTGTGCTGGTTTCCGGGAGGCTTCCAAGTGACACTATAAAATGGTCTATAAGGTGGCTTATAAAATGGATACATGACAGGAGCAATGTGGATACTCCAGTACTGATTAGCTATTCTTAATGCCATTTTATAATGGACCCAAAACCTTCCGGATTCTGGAGATTTCTTGACATTTTAGCAAATTTGTTTACAGTTCTTTTGTCTTGCATGTTGCTTACAGAATGGCTGCATGCCACCTACAGAAAAACAGTCCACAATGTACATAAGTTTCTAGTGTCTGGCACGTCTCGAAATGAGTAGAGTGGCCACCTTATATCAGTCTAATCGTCAGTCGTCATCGACGCCTTCCCCTGGATCATCTTGGGCGTCTTCTTGGACATCGTCGGAGTCTTCTTGTACTCCAAGCATGTTGTTTACCAGGGCGGCACCATCCTCATCCGAGTCAGATTCTGCATCCTCGACGCCCATGTCTTGGACGTTTGCAGAGCTGCCACTTCCAGCCCCTTTGTTCGTTTGTATCACGGAGGACGAAGAAGACGAAGTCGAAGACGACGCTGCTCCAGTCCCGCTCGGTCCTGCGTTTACTGATGTCTCAGGAGCTGCGTTTGCCTCTGGCTCCCCATCTAGAACTTCTAGAGAGACCCACAGAAGGTCGCTCCGCCTCAGGCGCTTGACATTCCCCTGCTTCTCCGACGCTGTAACTCCAAGTGCAACAAGTGCTTCAGCGTGTGGCTTGATGTGCGCAGAATAATCATCCTGAGTAGCTTTCTGCTCTTCATAGGATGGGGGACTTGTTCGCTGTCCTAATTTCTTCCGAAAGTGAGTAGTGATGTACGTCGCACGTGCTGCCCAGGCATGAAGCCAAGCTGCTGCCCGAGCTGGTTCCATAGTCGCAGCTGCTTTCTGAAGGCCAAGATCTTGACGCTTCAAAAGGAAGAAAAGATCCCGCCCAGCCTTCTTCCCTGCTCGTTTGTATCGTGGCCAAAGGTCAGAATTATGGTCAGGCAGCATGAAGTACCGGCGATCGTCGTTGGTCATGGTGAACAGCGGGACGGTAGAGCGACGCTTTGGACGTGTTTTCCGCGCGATTTGTTTCAGCTCCCGCTTACCAGGTGGTGCGGCAGGGTCCTTAGGCGCATCGTTCTTGGCGGGAGGCGAGAGCTTCTTTGCACTCGCTGCCTGACGTTTCTGCTTTGGCGAGTGGTTTTCAGCCAAAAGATCATCTTCTTGATCTTCGTGCAGCTCTAGGATCGGACTGAGCGCTTTTCCGAGAGAGCGAGAAGTAGGACTGAACCGGCGTTGCTTGCGATCTTCTTCCCAGATTTTCGCTTGTGCTGCACGCTTATTTGCGTCTCCAGCTGAACGACTAGTACTACTAGTACTAGCGTCTTTCTTTCCCTTGGCCTTGCCTTTCCGGCTCTGTTTTCCACTTGCGTCATCTTCAGCTGCTGCGTCAGCCTCTTCTTGCTTCCGCATCTTCTTCACTGCCGCTTCATCTGGAGCGTAGACCTGCTCGAGAACAAAGCGAAACGCACATGGGTCGATTGCTACAGACTTCGAAGTCGTGGTCGTAGTAGTCGCCAAGTCCGGGCAGGTACACCACATGGAATGATCGGTCGTGCTTCGTGGACGTTCACCAAGTTATACTTCGCCCCCATGTCTTCGTTCGTGATCCACGTCCCAGCGCTTTCAGGCGAATCGTCGAGACGGTCCATGGAGTTGCGGCCTGCGCCAACGGATGATCCACAGGCAAGGAGTGAAGATATGTCAAGATCCAATGGCGTCGAGGGGTAACCACGTCCGACGAGACCGTCGGTGCGCTTCAATTGCATCCCGCAGAATCCCTTCAGTGCACCACCTAGAAAAAACGGAACGAAGAAGAAGTAGGTCGGCTGCGGCTCAAGGATGGCACCGATCTCACACACTTCGAGTACCGCTACTGGCTGCTTTAGAGCCGTGCTCATACCGTCGAGCGAAAAGAATGATGCGATCCCTGCTGCTGCTTGACGCTTTTTCACGTTGCTGCCCTCCTGCTTCTCTTTCTGCCCAACGGACTCGTCTTTCTTCGCTTTAGATGTCTTTCCTGCAGGAGTCTTCAGCACTTCTTGATTGGTCTGCGACTGCGTCTTCTGCTTAGCAGCGTCAGCACCTGTTGCAGGCTTAAACGCCTCGACTCGAACCGTAGACGCAGTTGTAGTACAAGTAGAAGCTCCATCCACATCGTGCTCGGTTTCAGCTTCTGTGGTACCAGAGTCGACGTCCGTTTCCACTTCTTCGGAATCTTCTTCACCGTCAACGCCTCCTCCTGCTGCTTTCCCCTTGGTTGTAGGAGCAGAGCTTTTCTTTTTCCGCTTAGAAGCCTTCAGCTCTTCTTTCTTCGTTTTCACCTTGTCTTTTTCTTCGAGTGCAGTCTCTACATGTGACGTGCTGCACTTCTTGCCACCGTACTGAACATTGAAGGTGAGAAGTCGCGCGGTCGCTTCGACGTCTCGTTCATCTAGCGGCGCAGTCATCTGGAATTGATCGGGAGAGACTCTTCCGACATGAAAGGAGCAAGGATCGTAGCACTCGCGGATAGCAGCAGCACGACTGAGCACTTTACCCGGGACGACACCACTCTGATTGATTTCGTTTGCATTTAGCTCGTCCAGCGTCTCGCTCGTATTCCTCATCGCGGTTTCCACCAAAGCAGTCTGTGCCGCATCGCGGACAGCGTCGTAGAATGCAACTGTCGCCCGAGACTGATTTTTTTCGAGCTTACGAACAGGATCTCGAAGCCCCTGCTTCGCGGTTTCACGCTCCATTCTGTTATCCATTTCACGCTGCTGGTTTTCAGAAGCTGCAAGCTCGGATGCATCTGCTACTTGTTTCCCCTCATGCCGCTTCGCCCGAAGCATGTCTTCAGCTCGTTTCTTTCGTTGTTTTGCGATGTTCGCCCCAGTTGCTGCGCGGATATCTCGAACGACTTGTCGCTTATCTACGTCTGCGCGCTTGTAAGCTCCAGAAACGACTGAGCAGTTCGTTGGCGCCGTCAGAAGCTCCAATCCTCCTGGAGTGCCCGAGCATGCTCTCTGTGTGATGGCGTGACGGCTTTCGACTCGCAAGTTGGTACGCGGAGAGAGTCGCCATACTTCAAGCGCCCGTCGCACAACGCCCGGCCTCGCACGAGGATACTTGGTTCTCAACAAAGCGTGTAGCATTCGAAGGCCGGCCGGCTTTCGTTTTCGGCAACGAGGGCGCGCTCCTCTCGTGAATCGATCGCAGAAATCTCGTTCCTCCGCATAGCTGCCCAGACTCGCAAAAGTGCGGAAAAAGGTCTCTTCTTCGTCTTCAGTACACAACCGCCAATGCATCTGACACAGATATGAAAGAAGACTGATCAAGAGGGTGACCAGAACCATTGCTGCCCGGTCTGGATGCTTTTCCGCGTATGGGTGCATGATTGTTTGCATGTAGAAGTCGTAAGCCTGCAGCGTAGTTCGGCATGCGTCTATGACTTTCTTGTACATCCACACTCGAGAAATAGAACCACACCTCTGCAGGGAGAGTGTCAGTCTATCGGATGGCATACTAAGTATGCCGACCGCCCCCAGCATTATCGTGAACTCCTCGCCCGTGTGGCGGCATCGAAGCCAGACGTTTTTTCCGCAGTGTAACTTCTTCAGTGACTTCATGACTTGCGGCAGCAGCAGGTTGATCGCCACTAAATTCCTGCATGCGGTGCCAACTGTTCCGAACCTTCCCAACATCGGGCATCCGACTGCTGCAAGCATTGCCACAGATGCTGCAAGTGGTACTGGGCCCTCAGGCATCGCGGACGCAGTAGTAGCATCCCCACTAGCAGATGGATCTAGTTGCCCGTCCACTGAAGGAGCTGCAGTTGGATCATCGGAAAATAGATCGCCAGTCTCATGCAGTTGGAGATCTCCACTCTCAACGCCTGCGCCATCAGATATGCCGCTGCTTCTTTCTACTGCCCGACTGCGTGACTTGTGCGCTTTCTTGTAATTCTTCGCATTGCTCACTCCTGTCTTTGCTGCAGGTACTGCCTCTATTGCTCTGCGCAGATCCTCCTCGCTACAATGCGTCATGCACTCAACGAACGTCCGCAGAGCCTTTGCTCTTGGATTTGCTCTCTCCTCGTCGCGATCTGCTTCGAGGAGCCTATCTGTGAACATCGACACGCATGCAGCAACCTCAAGAGGAAGATCTTGGAGTATATGCAAATATTTCCGAGTCTTGAAGAACCTCTCCAAATCAGGTTGAATCCTGCCTATCCCCTTCGCATGCCTCCGACAAACGGTCAAAAACTTCTCCGCGTCTACTCCGAGGTAGTGAGACAGCAAGTAAAACGAATGCTTGAAAGATGAACTATTCAAGTGTTCGCAACACTGGTCCACGCAAAGGTAAATGCCGGCGTCCTCTCTCATGTCGCCAGCCATATCCTCCTCCGCTGTAATTGCGTCCTGTAGTAGTATGCATATATGATAAAATAAGTAGTTGCAACAACAAGCAGGATAGGGCGACGCTTTATCTAGTATGCAAATAACAAGAAAGAGAATAGACAAGATGTCAGTCAGGCAATTGAAGCACTTGAAGGAGAGACCATACAGCCAGCAGCAAGACTACTTGAACTCAAGAAAACAGAAGTAAACAATTCTTCATGTGTTAGAAGCAGGAAGCGTCGACGTCAACTCAAAAGCGTGATCTTATGTCTAGCACCTCTGTCGCAAGCGTCCAGTCGAACTGACGAAGCATCTCTTCGCCATCGTCTACAAGTTCGCTCGATCCAAATCCAGCAGATTTCCCGTGCTCATAGTAGTATCGGAGCATGATTTCCCGCAGAAAATGCCCACAAGTAATGGCTCCGCCGTCAGTCGTAAACTGTATCCCATAAAACGCATTGAAATTTGCGAGAGGTGACTCTTCGGATGGAAATGGCAAGAGTTCAACAAGACGAAGAGCAGCACACCAGGCCTCCTTCCAGGAGGCCACGTTCATCGAATACCCACGCATTCGCTCCACACTATCCGTAGACGTGATCAACACCGGGATGGGTAAGCGAGCATATGGCTCTTTTGTTGCTTCTGGTGCATGCTCGTCCTCATCCGCCATCTCTGGATCAAATACTTGCCCTAGAGCTTGTCTCTGTCCCTTCAAAGGCATCCACAACTCGCCACAGCCGACAACGAGATGACAGTTGTGGTCTCGAAGTCTGTTGTTCTTCCGTGATTCAACTCCTTCCATATTCCTTACATGGGTATTCGTGCCATCGACTTCGAAATGCACGCGCGCCAGCTTGCCTTCAGTTTCTCGGAGGAATTCACCACGGACAGCCAATCGCGCTGCCCGATCGATCTGAAGCAGCTCATCGTTTTCGAAGTGCTGCCGCTTCCCACGAAAATACAGGCCCAGCGGGCGACTCTTGCTCGCTTCCATCTGCTCACGCCGTGAAGCACCCTGTGCGCCTGCGCCTGACGTCGAACCGCTGCCAAGGAAATCCGACCCGTCGACACTGGCACTAAATGACGCAGCAGCAGGAGGATCAAGCTGCATAGAAAACCCGAGGCCGCTTGGATTCAGCTTGTGTTGCTGCTGCTGTGCCCTATGCTGGGACCTTGCAATCACCATGAACGGATGTAGGGTATCTATTCGCGCCCTTGTTTTTCTTTGACGCTTGCTTCTTAACAGCCTTAAGCATGTTATCATGCTGCGCACTAAGATTCTGCTGCGATGATTGAGTCTTCGGCACTCCTGATCTTCCGGCGAACGAGAACTCTGTAGATGAGCATGAAGATGATGACGATGCAGCAGGAGTTGTCTTAGATCCTTCCTGCTTGATCTTCGTACTCTTATTCCGCTTTCGACCTGTTGTCCCATCGTTTTTCTCACTACCAGCGAGGCAGCTGGCTTTGAAGCGTAGCATCGAACTGGACGCCAACCGCTCAGGTTCTTGTTGCAGCGACCCTTTCTTCTGAAAGAGCTTCCTCTGTTTGATCGTCCTTCCCACTCCATCTCCACCTGTGTCACCATCCTCATCATTAGACGACTGCTTCTCTGCAAGACTTCGGTTCTTCATGCGCATTCGTTCTGCTATTTCTTCCTTGTTCCTGAACGAGGCTGCTCGACGTTGTGCTAGATCTACGGAGAGCGACCGCTGGTCCAGTCCTCTTTTGTTCTTGTTGGCTGCAGAGCGCAGCACCGTCTTCGCCCTCCGACGACCGAAAGCGTCGCACTCGACTTCGTTGTCCGACATTGTTCTTGCTGTGTGTTTATGCTGTGCTCTGATAGGCTAATATAATATATTCAGATAGCAGAAGTGTCTGAAGTAAATTACTGAAGAGAATAAATATAGGTCGTGATCTACAATGCTAGTAGATACAACTGCAAACCGAAACCTAACCAAGTCAAGCTCTTGCTTCTGAAGCTGATACTGAAGACGAAGTGATGCTCAGAACTCTACTCGAATTATGAGAATGAATCACATAAAGGCTCAATTAAACTGAACGTCCTTAGGCTTAGGCTGTGCATTTGTTTGGATAGCCTAAACCTAAATGAAGAGAAAGTCTAAATTTTGGGTGCTCCTCTAATAGGCTCAACTCTTACCCTTCGATAGGCTCCCGCCTTCTGGTCATGAGTGTGGACCGACATACTAGTAGTAGTACGAGATGCCAGGTGGTAAATGATTTGAGACCAGAAGAAAGGAAGCCGTCCAAAGTCTGAATTCAGTTAACAGCAAAACAGTGGTTAGATTTGCAAACTACACTACCTACCTCCATTGGACGTAGATTAAAGTGCCGGGCAATCCAATGAGAGAAATAACAATGGGTGGCGAAGGAGCTGAATCATTGAAGAAAAAATAAGTTCAAATCAATACTAATAACTAATATGCAGACAAGACTCGCGAAGTCATTGGTAGAGTTGAGAAAAACAGCGCAAGCTATTTCCATTACCTTCAGGATTCAGGTGCAAAATATTGACTGGGTCCGTTATGCCTTACTCGAATTCTACAAAAATGAAACGCAAGGGAAAGGGGGTCGGGAGTCGGACTACACTTTCGCCTGAGTTTGGGGGACACTCCCTACATTCACCTCCTCATGCTGAATGGATCTAGATACAGAAAAGGAAACCGACTGACAGACTGACTCCTGGAGCTGGTTGCTAATGCTAACTATTGAAAGTGTGCTTGAGTATACCATACGAGAATCTTCCTGCATTGGATACAGTGCATATACATGCCAACTCCAAAAAGCGACATGATAAAAAACACCGAGCCAGCTGCCATTTCCATTTGTTTCGCTTTGCACGACACAGACGACGAATCCGTTATCTTTTGGCGAACCATCTCTATTCTCATGAGCGATTTGGCCGACCGCGCCAACGATTTGAACAGCGACGCTGTGGGTGTGGCGAATAGAATACACTGTTTGGCACCTTGCTATCGCTTCTTCGAACTCGCACTCAAGTCAGCACTCATATTGAACACTCTGGATAAGAGCAGGAACAGACGCGGCCTTGCTTTGCTTACTCACAACAGACAAAAACAGAGTCGCCCTGTCCTGTGTCAGTGGGTCGACCAATGAAAAAAAGAGAAAACCACAGTGACGATCTTTTGCAACTCCTCTCACTCTGTAGGACTTAGTGCCTCGGGCTCCCAAGGCTCAAGACAATAACAGAGAAGACCAGAGAAAACAAATCGTGCTATTGCTATTACAGAAACGAAAGGCACAGACCATGCTGAGTTGTTCTGCGAGGATGGGGATCTCTTCTGAGTGTTCTTCTCCGTCAGCTACTAACCATTGCAATTTCAGCTACCAGAACCACCTAAAAGGCCTTTACCGATAAGAAGACCAAATCAATGATACTCATACTGACTCTCACTGTGAAAGCTGCAGGCGCAGCGCGGCCAGCTGAGGCGACGCGAGTTTCAACCATGCCACGCTGCCGGAAGCCTGGCTTGATCTCACTATTCGGGATTTCACAGCTACGCTCATCCATGTAGCATCTCAGACTTCATTTCGCTTTTCATTTCTACTGTCAAGTAAACACAGGCTAACGCGTGAAACTGAAAGACTAAGAGGGAGGCTTCTCCTGTGAATCGTGTATGGGTTCGATGTGATTTGTGACGCCCCGGCCATCAGGTCACTTCGTCAGCCACAACCCGCTCGACGACATACAAAACCGCCCCAATTATAAATAGACTCATACTCATATCAGGAATATGAAGCAAGATGGGATCAGATGATAGACGAGCTGAAGTTGAACTACATGAGACTTGGGTTGGCGATGACATACGATCGATTCGATGGCCCCACATGTACACTCTCACTTTCTAGTATAGTTTTCTCAATGTTTGGACTTCACTTTCTTGCTCTTGAAGCTTCAGCTCTTGTCTTCTTGACCGGGCGATAGCTCCCGTTGCCGTCGCAGCTCTCTATGCCAGGCCGCAGTCCATCGTGGTTCGCTTCGTGCACTGCTATATCCTCGGGCAGCCATAGAATGTTGCTCCACTCCTGCCCATGTGCTCGTGCGGATGGGATCAGGGTCCGCTCTGTAGATATTCCCTGCACCATCTGCAACCCCCAGCCGCGACGCCGATTCAATTCTCGATGAAGTAACTTCTATCTTGTTAGAGAACAGAAAGAAGCGATGAGGCGAGATCCTGGCAGTGGGCTGGGACTGGGAAATGTAGACTAGAGTAGACTAGAGCCAGCATAAGACTACCAATACACTTCGCTTCTATTGCGCCAGTCTCACTGAGTTGAGACGAACCGAAGTAAAGACAACATCTTCTCTGTGCTTGTGCAGGTCTTGCTCTAGTCTATGTTGCGTTACCTAGGTCTTGAGGTTTGACGTTTGCTACTGATAGCGCACATGAACACAGAACAGCACTGAAATCTGTAGGGCAAGTGCCAGAAGAATAAGATAAAAGACTTAGTCATACTCATAGCCTTAAAGCTTCGGCTCGGGTTTCTTTTCTACTCCTGCTCGTTGTATACTAGAGGGCAGCCGAGGTCCGGGCGTAAGTCTAAATGCCCGGTCGTGCTTGTCCTTGCAGGTCCTATCGGATTCTTTGTCTTGAAACCATAACAACGTGCGAAGCTTGCCGTTGATTTCCGTTTCCTCCAGTGTCAGCCCTCCCTTTGTCAGCACCATGTTGAGGCGAGCTCTTTTCTAATTTCAGGCGAGCCTGCTGCCTGATCGATACTTGACACATCTAGAGCCGACTCTCCGGGAGCGAAGTCCTTCTCCCTGTGCTACTTTCGAAGCTGAAGAGACTAGTTGGTTGCCAGGCCAGTTCCTCTAATCCTCTATCTACCCCGCAGACGCGTCTCGTCCTCGTGCACAGCGTCGTGGCGGGCTCTAATAGAAGCGACCTCATACCCATATCCGTGACGAGATGGAGACGAAGTCCTAGTGGTAGCTGTGCTGGTGCACAGTTTTCCGTGGTGTATTCTGCTAGGCTACCCTGGCCTGCCGCAGGTCACGTTCGTAACAGGAGCACAAGTAAAAGAAAAAAAGATTGCTCATCTCATGTTGTAGGACTAGGATGCACTTGCGCTTGCACTATGCGTCGCTGCGTATCCATATGCTGTGCCCGCGCCGGTCTGACTGATACGACTCAGGGCTGCACTTGATTCCTTATGCGCCATCAGATCGCGATCGCGTCGGCTGTTGTTCTGTTGCTGTTTATCGTAGCCGTAGCGCATGCTTATGCAGATACAACGCTCCAGCTTCTAGATCTCATCACCATCCCAGACCACCGCAGCACAAATCCGTATCCAATCTGCATTCGATGTCGTGTCGGCCAAAGCTGAGCTTCAGCTCGGTTCCTACTTGAGTGCTCCTGCTCTGCACTCCAACTTCCTAGCCAAGCTCAAGGCCAACGCCGATCCCGATGAAGTGGCGCACTGTAATCGTTGATCTGTGCTGTCCTCGTCCCGTCCGGCGTCCGCTCCGTGGAGTGAGTTAGAGTCTGGGATAGTTCTCAAAGAATAACAAGATGAGATCCCTACGACATCTCAGATTATCCTATACTATATAGCTATAACTTGAAATGCATTACATACCTTATCATACGATAAGGATATATAATAAACTATGACTTACTTGACTTGAGGCACCGACGAGGACAGGCAAAACAAACCAAAGACACGACCAAGAGTGAAGACCTAGAAGTCGCAGAGCTAGAGAAAATGCTAACACATATGGCCTACCCATAGCCATGCCATAGGCATTAGGCATCCCATTCCCATCCCATCACAAGCAAAACAGGCCCGGGCGAGAATGCCTTTAGTTGGGACGATAGTGAAAGAGGAATAGGCGGCCCGTGTTCAATATAGAAAGACGCACAAGCCAAAGGAAAAAGATGCCGTCACCAATATTTCATAAAGTAAAGACAGCACAAGATAACTTTGTATCTTCATGCCTTAAGGTTAAGATATAAAGATCCCATCGCGTCCAAGCTGCATTTGCAACATCCGCTGCCCAGCACCGCCCGCGCCTGCTTTCGAGCTTCATATCTTTCGCATCGGATGCACTGCAGATGCACTGAAGAGCACAGGTAGAACTAGACGCCTGCACTTGATTCCAGCTTATGAGCTGACGAAGGGCCGCTGCAACGTCCGCAGTTCACAACGGGTATGCGCCTCCTCATGCGGGAAAGAAGAAGAACGATAGTAAGAACCTCCCCCCAGCTGCTTGGGAAACAATCGTCGGCCAATCAGGCCAAGGAACCGACTGGCGATAGGATCATACCGATACAGGACAGAGGGGAACACATAGGATACTCCAGGGAGGCAACCGCTCGCCTCTTCTGCCAACGAGAAAACCCTCTGGGTCGATATTTGCTCCGGCTACAGCACATCCCCAGAGAAGAAGAGCCTTACTGCTAAAGGCAGAGGCAACTACCCCACCACACCATAATCAAGAAGAAGCCGCCCACGGCATTCTGCGTGTGTTTCTGGGCCCAACAGGAGGAACGAAGAGGCACTACCAGAGACAAGCTCGCCCAGGGGCAGAGTAGACCTCCTTTAGGAGGGTAAGGAAAACAGCGCCTGCTGGCTACAGGTGAAGCAGCTTAAGCGGAATCCGGTTTCCAGTGGAGAAAAGATTGACTTCAGGTGGCTGAAAAAGGAAAAAACAGGATAAGGAGAACCGTTTTACTTAGATTTTATAGGGGGAAAAAAGGCAAAAAATGTAACAGCTAGTACCTTTCCAAGGTCCAGCGTCAAGTGTGTGAGCACTTGACCTCCCAAGACGTTGACGCTGATACTGAAAACATTCCCCAGCGTCACATGCTCACATGCAAAGACTGAAATGCCTGAGCAAGTGGGGATAGACGGGCGGCACTGGCTCGCGGCCTCTAAGTAATAACTCATGACGATTGACATTATTTTTGGAGACCGCCGCGACGATGTGAAAGACGTGCGCGAAATCTTTGCGAAAAGTTGCCGGGGCTGGTCTTCGTTGTCTCTTTGCTTGAAAGGCCAAACCAGGCGCCGAAGCGCCTGGCGCTGCTTTTCGTTTGTTCTGTGTTTCGTCGTTGGTGGCAGCCCCGGCGCTGGTTCGTTGTGGACCGCTCGCATGCCGCTGGCATCGGCGCCGCCCCGGGTGCAGGCGTGGCGCGGTTGTGTGAGCCCCCTGAAGCGTAGGACACCGGGGCGGAGGACAGGGGAAACGCAGGCGGGGGAGCAGTGTCACCATAAGCCGGCGGCGGCCATCTTTCCCCGCTTGAACACCTCCAGCGGCTTCCCGTCTCTTCTGTCACTTTAGAAAAAAAAAAATCTTGGCGAAAAGTTCGCGAAATCTTTGAAAAATCTTCGCGGAATCTTTCCGAAAAGATAGACGCATGAAGTTCCAACATGGTCAAGACTTGTAAACTTTCCGCAAACATTTCGCGAAGATTCTGAAGTTTTCGTCTTCCATGTTTTTTTGATGAAGACATGAAAATGAACCGCCAAGAACAAACTCGCGACAAATTGCAGCGGGAGCGCATAAGACTCCGCGTCTTCTGTGTCTGCTTTGTGTGGTCTTTCTGTTTCTCTCTCCAGAGCTGTGCAGCCTTTTGGGCTGTGCATTTGTTTGGGAATTTGTCGGGCGGCTGCGTCGCAGGCTGGCTCGTTGGCTTGTGGTGCTCTCAGTGCAGTGACCGGGCTGGTCGTGTGTTGGTTCTGTCGGCTCTGCTTTCAGAGGCTTAGCAGACGCCGCGTGAAGTGGACAGGCGTGAAAGCGGCGCGCGTGAGCCCCGGCAACTTTTCGCCAAGATTCTCCGCCGTCGGCAGTCTTCGGGCGCGGCGGTCTCCAATTATTTGGCGGAGAGGAGCAGGAGTCGGGGCTGAGCACTGAGCAGCAGCAGAACGCACGAGAACCAGGCCAGAGCTCTGGCCTCTGTTCCCGTCTCTTGACATTGATGGGCGTGACCATTTTCATCCCATTCAGCGCTTGCCGCGGACGAATCTCGATAGCGCGCACATTTGTGCTTAGACCATCAGCGGGGGGGGAGTGGCTATTCTTAAACTGGGCGCGTCGACTAAACTGGCTGCAAAGCTGCGAACTTGGTGCGCCACTGTCTTCAGAACGTGTCACGCCTGGCGCTGTGTTGCCTTGTTTGTCCGTGAGCTTCTGGAGGGACAAGCCCCGCAGGGGGAGGCCCTCAGCCCCAGCCGTGGCCATCGGATGAGGATCCAAACAGGCTCGACACACTCCACAACGCTGGGACGGGTTTGCCCGTTCCGTTTCTGTCATCACCAGGGTGGGCCCTCATGGTGCCACCAAATTGGTCCAAAAGGCGCCCGCACAGCTCTCCTGATGAATTCTCGGGCCCTTTCTCTAAATCAGCCCCATACGGAGGCTCCCAAGGGGCGCCACTGTTGAGATCATATTTGATAGAGCCAAGCCGATAGCGGAGTTAAGAAGCAGACCCGTCAGAGAAAGGGGGAAACATAGAAAGGGCCCGGCGCCCAGGGTGTTGGCGCCAGTTCTAAGACCGAGCCGAGCGCAGTCCAGGGGCTAAATCTCATTGCGACGTGCTCAGCTTCGTGAAGCCCTTCGACGTAGTTCAATCATTCAGCCCCGCCGCCCTTCAATCACATCAATACCAAAGCCATGGCTATGGCACTGACTAGCTCCACTAACTAGACTCCAAAGCCAAACTATCGACACTGAAAGACGAGGGGAGCGCCAGGCAGTAACCAACACGCCGGCGCGCGCTACGCTTTGACTTTGAGAGTAGGCGCATCCACGTCGCTCGTTTTCCCTTGAAATAACAACGACGGACGACACCAGAGCCATAACTATCCGCGGGGAAGAGCTGCAAAGGCTCCAAACCGAGGCCACTCCGCCCCATTGTCTTCAACGCATCCGCCACCCAAGAGCGCGGGCAGCTCTTCAACGTTTCCGCAGCAATGAGAAGGGGCCACCCCTGAAAAAAAGGCACAGCCCACAGCGACGAGCCCCCAAAAGGCTAACCCCAAGCAAGACGGAAGCTACGCGTATGCACTGCAAAGACTTCGGAGCTAGGCGACCCTTACCCATATAAAGCAAGAGGCCGACACGCCTGCCAGCACTGAAGGGCAGCGCGCGCGAAGCATCTGGTCTGCGCAGTAGATGGCTTGCGTCTGTCGCCGTCCTTGCTCTCACCATCGAAGACATAGACTGGATTCACGAGGCTACGCGGAACCGCTACCGCCGTGGAGCTTGAGCTTTGCGCCATTGTCTCTCTTTTGCTTTTCTACTTCTTTTCTGTTTTGAAAGAGCGAGGCGGCGACCTGGGCTGGAGGCAAATCGAGCCCGCTGACGTCTCGCCAAGCCACTAGGCAGCTTCGGGAGGCGAATCCGCTTGCTTCTCGCAGGGCCCCTACGTAGTAGGCAAGAGGCAAACTCGTCGACGCTGGCTGTCGCAAGTCCACTAGTAGCCAAGAGGCAAACCCGTCGGGGCCAGCTGTCGCAGCGCCACTTGTAAGGAAGAGGCAAACCTGTCGGAGCCGGCTGCCATAATCGACGCCACGAGTAGGGAAGAGGCAAACCCGTTGGCGCTGGCTGTCGCAAAGCCGCTAGTAGCTAAGAGGCACGCGTGGGCCTTTACGCTCAGGCCGGTGTGGAAGATGCTCCCACTCTGCTTCTGTTGATCTTGGGCTTTTGAACTAATTACATGCAGAGGCTTGCTGCCCATTTTGTGAAAAAAGGCGCAACGTAGAGTGCGTTGCGCTGTGTGTAATGTTGTAGATGTTCACCGTTCCCGTTGTCACCTGTTACGTTTGTCCGCCAGAGTTGGCTCAGATTCGGTTGCCAGCGGTTGCGAGCACTGAACCGATAGAACTGAAGCTGACTGCCCTCCTCACGTATGACGGGCCACGCGTTAGCGTGGGACTGACGTGAGCAACAGCGCGGAAGACTTTGCCCGGACAGGTTTTATTTTGGAAGGGAGTGGGAGACAGCGCAGAACTTGCCAGCTTTGCTCTGCGTTTGTCGTAAGTGCTCACGTATTGGGCCTCGCTTAAACCTGTGACCGTGCTCAAACCTAAGCGGGAGGCCGCTCGTCATTGATTTAGGTAGATTCTCACTATAAAATGGGCAGTAGCGTCGTGCCGCCCCTTAGCGTTGCTTTTGTTGTTCTTCTATGAGCTGCGCTATGGATGCTCACCGCCTTGGCTGTCTTTCGGCATGCTTGTGCTGTTTCGCTCGTCTTGGTTGTGCTTTGTGCTTCTTATTTTCTTGGTAGACTTCGACCACTCTCGACAGAACTAGGCTGGCAGCTTCAGCCGCAGAACTCTCTCAGCTCAGGGGCTCCTAATTTCGAGGCAGTTCGAGCGGCTTCAATTAATCCAGCTCCGAAGCAATTGACGCAGCGGCAGCTAATGCAGAGCCACTTAGTGCCTCCTTTAATTCAGAGGGACCTAACTCGCAGACGCTTGCCTTAGCTCATTCAGGCGCATCAAACTCCAAAGGCGCGCCAATCATCAACGAGCTCAGGGCCAGGCTGTAACGTAAAAACAACGAAGACACAGCGGAGCGGCTTACTTTCTGCCAGTTCTGAACACTGGCCACGGCGATGGGCTGGCAGCTAGAGTAGACCCAGATGGAGAACCGGGCGCGTGGGCTCCAGTTTAAGCCGCTGGCAATTCTCTCGCACTTCTGGCCACATTCGCGCGCCTCATGTGAGTGAGAGTCTAGACTCATCAAAATCAAGCCCCTCCTGCCCGCTGTGGTGTGCTGCGCGACGCTTGAAATTGAATGCAGGCACCTCGTCCCCCCCTGAAGCTCTGGGCGTGACGCGGTGGGCGTCACGCGTCACGAAGCAGCTCTATGGCGTTCAGGAAGTTCCACGGACCCGTCAACAGTCTGGGCGTTACAGTGCGCCGCCTCCTTTCTGGTTCGATCGACAGCCTGGCGTCGGCGCGTGCAACTGCGTGCCACACAGCTTCCGCCGCGGTTTAGCCATAACGATCCGCAGCGCAATTTCTTTCGCGGGGTTCTCCGCTGGCGCTCACATCCCGCCAGTCGTCTGCCAGCGTATGCCTGACACTTTCACAGGGGGGCCTACAAATCTATCAGGGTTGGCAGTATTGGGAACATTGGCAGAGCTGCCTGGCTGCTTTGCGCACGCTTTTGCACCTGCCGCAGCAGACCCGGCAGCACACTCGACAGCACAGGGTCGCGCTCAGTGGTGCCCTCTCTTACTTCGCTCACCCTTTTGTCTATCTTCGCCGCAACTTTTCCAAACTGGAGGGCGCTTCTCTGCTCTTTTTTGCTTTCACCCTCTCCGAACAAACTCACCGGAGGCGTCTTCTTCTCTTGCACTAGGCTCGCCTTGTGCTCTCGAGCTCCTCCCCATCCAGTGTTCGCGAGTCTCCGCCGTTCGCCTCACGTTTGGCGCCGCTTTTGGACTCGTGTTAGACCCGCTTTTGTCCGCTCCGTCGTCGGCTTTCTGCAGTCACCGCGCGGACGGAGCTGCATCTTGGCACGTCTCCAGCGCGGCTGTTCGGCTCTCGGTCTTGCCTCTTCGGTCAAGGTCGGTCCCTCGTGCCACTGTGGTGAGGAGTCTCAGCCGTTTTCGGTAACTGAGTGGCGCCCCGTCGCTTTCTGTCGCTGCTGTTTCTAGTGATGTAGCTGTGGCTCTCGTGCATATTATGCGCTGGCGCTTTAGTTTCAGGAGATGAGTAGAGAAAGTGGCCCCCGCTGGTCTGTCGGTTGGATTTGTTTCTTCGCTCTCTTTTGAGAGTGTCGGCGTAGCGCGTTTTCTCGGGCCACCCAGGCTCCTCGCGAGCCGATCGTCGCCCCGTCCTTGTCTTGGGGTTTGTGGGGACGTCGGTCTCTGTCCGCTCTGTAGTCAGCTTTCTGCAGTCAGCGCGAGGCGCTGTCTTCTGGCGCTTCTCCGGCGAGGCTGTTCGGCTCTCGGTCTTGCCCTTTCGGTCACTGTCGGGCCCTCGTCCCACTGTGATGCGGAGTTCTCTCTGTCATTGTCGGCAACTGAGTTGTGCCTCGTCGCCTTCTGTCGCTGCTGTTTCTAGTGTGGCTCTCATGTATATCATTGATTCGGAAGAGGCTAGTCGGTGGAGGCACCAAAAATGGGCGACGCAGCAGCGCGCCCCGCTTACTGCCGCAGAAATGGCTGAGAAAATCAAGGACGTTGACGAGGCAGCCACTAGAGTGATTGCTTTTGTGGAGAAAAAGCTGGCAGAACAGCAATAAAAGAAGGTAATATAGACAGGAGATTGATTGATGTTGAATACTAGGAAGATTCTTATGTATGAGCCAGGGAATATGTAACGAATTTTTGAGGAGTTGCAGAATGCAGATTAATATCTTTATCACTTGTAGCCGTAGCGGTAGCTTTTTGATATTTCAGTCGGTTCTCTCCTCTCTACGAACAGGCATAGAATATCCAACGACAACGAGCCGCGGCGAAGAACTGAGCAGCGGCCAACGTGCCCGGAGTGGCATGAAGGTAGTCACTTCAGACCGATGTTGAATACTAAGAAGATTCTCATCGAGGAAACATGTAATGTTTATGAGAACATGAAAATATTTTATTTTTGAGCAGTTGCACTTGCATAATATCGTCGACATTTGTAGCCACTTGCTATTATTTGCTCCAGTTCCAGTTTCCTGAGCCTGACGCACACAAACAGGTCCATCATTCTTGCGTGAGTTTGTTTGAGGTGTGTTGCAGGAAGCGAACCTTCCTCAGACTGATGGGGGTGAAAGGTGGAAGCCTGATTTCTTTCAACGGAGACTGGCGAGGACAAGTATTTTCTATGTCTGAGCAGCGAGCCTCGTTCTTCGTGTCGTATGGCATCATATGATAAAGTTTCTCATGGCAAGATTTCCTCAGAACAACCAAGATCGTAAAACAAAAGCAACTAGATGACACCAAACAATTACCATCGCCTCAAGCCAGCCATGCACTTGCACATTATTCGACACTAACCCAGCCACAGGTATGTGTTCTACTCCTACGAGCAGGCTGTGCGTGCGTCCTTGTATTTTTGGTGTTGAAGATGGAGTAGGCGACCTCTTTTTGCTCACACATTGTGAAGAGGGTTGGAGAAGGGCTTCCTGTCATAGACGGACTCTAGTGATGAAGGGTACTTTTTTCATTTTCTGACTTTTTTGTGTGGCTGAGAAGCGAGTACAAACCTTCTGCTCGTTTATCGTCTTTATAGCATTTAGATTACACGAAAATACTTGCACGATCAGCCCAACATCAGACAAAAAATATCATAGCTACGATGAACTCCTAAAATAGGTTAGTATATTCTTAATTTAGAGTTCAACATTATTCATCAAGTCAACATCTACACTGTCAGCTGTTTACGCTACATCTAAGAACAGGTGGTCCTACGTTGCAAAGACATTCTTTTTGGAGCTGTCGAGAAAGCAGAGAGAGTTTTGATGCAGGATTTTGATACGTATTTTGACGCGGTGGCGGCAACTGCTCAGGGTCAGGATCTGGCGTAAGTATCCAAGACATGATAACTCTCCATGTCTCTCTGGGACTGATTCACCAGAATCGTCTGTTTCTGTGAAACCAAAAAATTTAGCTAAATCATCAAAGTACATTTACAACAACCACACATGAAACGCAAAATTTAGATTTTTTCGGATCAGATTCAGAAAATGATTTTGTAGTAACGAAGAATAAGATGAAATATCTAAATCCCTTTGTTCGAGGACCATGGCGAGAGCTTTTTACCTTTCTCATTTGACGAGGAAACTCTACCGCACATTGTGCGTAGACCCAACTCATACATCTTCAACTTCAATCACAACAATATGTGATCTTGTTTTGGATTTCGATACTAGTCTAGAGCGGCGCGCCACTCTCTTTCCACTAGAATCCCCCACGACCTCCATGCCGCCCTTCCCAGTAAAAAAAGCGCGCTCCCTTCCTCCTCTTCAGCAGTGCCTCCTTAGCGGGGGTTGACCCGCTGGAAGGGGGTTGGGGCGCGCGCTTCTTGGTGTTTATGGGGGGAGAAACTGAAGGGCTTGAACTTTGTAGAGATTCGAACTCGAGGAGATTCCTAACCGGCTGAGGGCTTGCCCAACTTTGGCCGAGCGACGGACGCTTTGGGGAGTCTGCTCGGGGTCCGTCTATGTTATTTCCCGTGTGGATGGCCCAACCTCTAAGCTTTTGGGCTTTTTTAAATTTTCGCCCGATTAGGCAAAGCCGAACGCTTTTGATTTCTGGCTTACCATTTTCGCGTGAAGTCGAAAGCTTTTGGCTTTATCGCCTGGCAATTCGTTGCGAAGTTATTTGTACCAGATGCGAAGCTATTTGTACCAGACGCCATAAATATGAAGGAAGCGCGCACTCTAGTGGATTGGCGCATGAGTTCACGCATATAATCTTGCTGCGCTAGTGTGCTGCAGTTTCGGACTTCTTAAAGACGGGCGCCCGCTCGCTGTTCTTACTTTGCAAAGGGTAGGGTAGATCTCCTGCAGAGGTTCCAGGCGATTGTCTGGACTGTGTAGGCTAAAGGCTGCTCTTGGTAATGTTAGGGATAAGAGTCCGGACGGGGAGCCTGTAGCCGAAGGAAGCTCGACCTTATGCCGCTTACTTTCCAGAGCGGTTTGGGAGAGAGATTCTATTCGGCAGGGTGAGTGCGCGTTTCTTAGTGCACGCTTGTACTAAGCGGCGTCGCCTTAGGGTGGCTACTTGGTTAAGAGAGGGCGAAGGACTGCAGGCGCCGCGAGCGGGCAACCGTAAGCCGCCTTGTGTTGTCCAGGTTGGTCTGGACAGGTGAGGAGCACCATGGTGAAAGAGCAGAATAGGTAGCCAAACTGAAGAAGAAAGGACGCAAAACCTCGAGACGAGGGGTTCCCGTAATGGGGACTGACGTTGGCTAGGTCAGAGAGGAGCCGGCTAGCACTCTGGGCTCTGACGCTCGAAAGGGCGGAGGGTTTGAGTGCCACCGGGCTGCAAAGAAAAGGAAAAGGATGGCACAGGCGCCACATCGCGTAGGGGGATTGGTGTCGGGCCTGGACGGTCCGGGTGTGAAAAGGGCGGCCCCTCTTCATGAGGTGAGCCAATGTGTGCCAAGTAGCGCGCACGAGTGACATGAATAGAGTGGCTTGGTCGGCCTATCTTGGCCTTGGTTTTCCTTGGCTGGTGGTTCGCTGGGTTTGCTAGCGGTGTTGCCGTCTTGTCAGTGTCATACGTCAGAGGTTCGCCACTTGTGCGGCGCTAAGGTCAACAGTATGGGTTCCGGCTGTTGCCGTCGTTACTCAACTGGTGTAGCATTGTTTCATTATCGGCCTGGCGCGGAATGGTCTTGGGCCTGCCCTGGTGTGGAGTGATTATCTGGCGCTTCGCTTATTAATATAGGACGCCAACGTCTAAACACTGCTGGCCGTTTCGAAATCTCTCACCCCGCTCGCTACCGGCGTTCTGGGTGCTCTGGGCATCGCACTAGGGGCACGCCCGCACCACGTTGGGCCCTTATTCTGCTCGCCCTAGTCTACGACTGCTTCCTTCGGTTTCGCCTCTCGGTGTTTCTCTGTATCCGAGTCGGTGCGTCACAGGCTGCTTGTAATATTTGCCGGGAAATTCTAGGGCATCGGGATAGGGGTCATCCACTCGGACCATCTAGTCAAGCCCTCGGGGTCTAGACCCTCCCACCCTAGGGACCCAGGCTGCGGTCGGGGCCTAGACCGTCGGAGCCTAAAGAGGCTGTCGGGGTCTAAGCCTTCGGGGCTTAAACTGTCGAGGCTTAAGCCATCGGGACCGAAGCCACCGGGGTCTGAACAGTCGGGATCTAAACCGCCGGGGCTTCAGCCGTCGGGGCTTCAACCGTCCGTCGGGGCTTAAACCTTCCTTCGGGGCCTGGGCCGTCTGTCGGGGCTTGGGCCGTCTGCCGGGGTCTGCGTGCTAGGCTGTCGGGGTCTAAGCTGTCGGGGTCTAAACCGTCAGGACCTAAGTCATCGGGCTCCAAACTTTCGCGGGGATCCAAGGAAGCCATCAGGATCCGAGCCTTTGGGGCTTAAACCGTCGGGGCGGCTGAGATCATCTAAGCTGCCGGTCGGGATCTAGGCTTTGCTCGGGATCCAAGCCCCTGGGGTCTAAGCCTTGCCGCAGGATCTAAGCCATCGGGACCCAAGAAGCCGTCGGGGCTTATTAAACCGTCGGGACCATCTAGGCCACCGGGTTCCAGGCCATCGGGGTGGAACAAACTGGCCGCTGGGATCTAAACTTTCGGGACCGAAACCAGATGGACCGAAGCCGACGGGGCTGAAATCATCGGGATCGAAGCCATAGGGACTGAAACTGTCGGGGCTGAAGCTCTCGGGGTCTAAACCCTCGGGGCCTAAACCGTTGGGACCAGCGTGGGCGCAAAAGTTTAGCGCTTTTTTGTCTTTTTTGTGTAGTAAATGTCATTTCTTTCGAGGTCAATGCTTTTTCGAATCATTACATTTTTGGGATTTTATTTTTGTGGCGTTTTTGAGTTTTTTGTTTCTTCCTTGAGCTTTTTTTGGAAAAATGAAACATTTTTTGAGTAGTTTTTTGTACATTGTTATGCAAAGGCGGGCACCATCGATGGTTATCCACTGCTTTCTCTTCAACCTCTGGTAGGACAACAGTCTAAATCTTCTATCTAAATCTTCACCTGCTACATGAACATGATCATGACGAAGCAAAGTAGATTGGGGGCCAGATACTGACGTGAAAAGCATGGAAGATTCCTGAGCATGAGCCTGTGTAGTTGGTGACCCCCTGCCTCGGTTCAATCTGATACTTGCACTTCGTTGCTTCGACGAGACCATGCCAATGCTTAGGATGGCGGATCTACAGCAGCCAGTCTGACTCTGTGACTCATTGGTGATTCTCGGTCCACTCCATCTGCACGTAGCGAGATCGCTAGGTAGCTTCAGCTAGTGATAAGAGACGGCGATGAAGTAGAATCCTAGAGAATGACGTTCGGATGCAATCCACGTGATCAGTGAGTCTGGGTCGAGAAGAGGTAATTGACGAGCCCGTCTACTGCACGAGGGCGCCTTTGACCCCAGAGTCGGTAAGGTGTAATCGTTCTCTGGTCTGTGCGTGTAGACACTGGATGAATTATCTCTGCGAATCGATGATGTCTGGTGGAGGACCATTTTCTGTGTTCACCACGAAAATCTGACTCTGAAAATCTGGCTGTCAAGGCAGAGGGGTGGTGTCATATGGATATGTAGTAAACCCAGAAATGACATGTCTGAGGTGCTCACATCCAAAAATTTATCCAGAGAGGCACGATCTCCGAGTAGACGAAGAAGGTGTGATGATCTCCTGGAACGACACACTCTTAACGATGCTCCCAGCAAAGATGCCATTGTCTTGTCAAAAAAATAACCTAAAAATCATGGCTGTGGAAAAGTCATATTCACGGTTCACGACTTCTAGCCCTACTAGGTTCCTTTAGCAAAGCGAGTCTGCAGCGAAGGTTTGGAAAGAACAACAGTAAAACTAAGAACACCGGGAACTACACTTCTCATGAAAAAGATCGTCATTGTATTTAAGCTCGATCTCGAGCTAACATAAGTGAGATACGAACCACACAAGAAGAACCAACTTGTTGCCCCATCTATCAGCATCACGAGAATGAAATAATAGAAACAAGCGATGCAACAGATGAACGCAGTCCACTCTCTCCATATCAACATCACTTTGGAAAATACACATACAAAAAATGACCTCTACGACGCAGCAGAGCAGAACTCTCACCTGTGATTAGGATTTTTTTCATCTCTCGATAGGCATGGCTAATTTCATAATCTACTATGTTCCTACTCGGCATTTGCTTTAGAGTTGCTCTACGAGTGTTGAGAGAATCATGTTTGTTCCTCCCTCGACCCGGTTGAGCTCAACTACCAAAAGATTAGGGACATCGATGGACATCTCGCTTTCTTACATCGCTCGTGAAGTATTTTTTTCAACTATCTAAGGTCTACATGCATATTCCTTCGTGCTCGTTTCCCTGTAAAGCTGTTTCTGTCGCTTGATATCTCCTCGCTTTTTTTGAGAACGAGTGTTTACGAGAGATGATTGCATGTGTCATGTTACGCGCCTCTTTCTGCTTGTGTCCTTCTTACTTAATAGCTACGTTTTTGAACCTTATGGCCTTTTGAATAAGGCCATTGTTGGTTCTTTGGGGTTGGATGCGATTCATTGGCTGTAGGTCCTGGTAAGGTGGACCGGTGCCCGTGGTCTTGGCAGGAAGGGTTGACTATAGTCAATGCGAGCGCCCACCTTCCCAGTGTTCCCCCACCATGGAACGTGGGGGGAGGGGTGGGACGCCAAGGGCAGAAGCGTCTTTTTTACTAATTATCATGTTACAGTTTTTATCTACTGGTTCGCGCTCGTCTTTCCTCTTCTACTCCCTGACTGACACATACGAGTGTTGAGCGAGCGTCTAGTCATACTTCCTCCTTCGAGCCGCATATACTCTTCTTGCTGCATCACATATCAAAGACTCTATCTTGAGAGTACTTCTTAATCCACATGTGTTCCTAGCCAGCCCGTGAGTGTGAGACCGGACGAGCAGCGATATCAATCTTCAATGTCAGTCTGATATTGAGTGAATGGATGCACACCCGTAGACAAATTGTTTACTGGGTATATCATCATCATCATCTGATAATGAAAGGATAGACGACAACTCTCGTATAATGTGGATTTCTGATGAATCTGTCTTCCAGGGATCGATGGATCACCGAAGCTTTTTACAAGCTCGTGAAAAAAGAAGAAACGCCTTTCGGCCGTTTGTATCTCCTCTACTTCTGTGCTCGTCCCCTCCTGCAAACCCCCCTGAGTGTTGCATTTCTTGACTGTGTAAAAAACTACTTACGAACTGGGTGTTGCATTCTTGATACGAACATGATACGTATCTATGTTTAGTATACCTGGTTGCAGCTGAGATTCCTAGAAGTACATTTTTCTTCAACAAAGACACAAAAATTGGTAATCCAATGAGTGATATTTATTTGTTCGTGTCGTGAACAAAGTCAAGTTCAAATATTTAAGTTTGAACCTCCTGATGCTAAACATGATAAAATAGACATTCGGACATAATAAAATAGGGGTTGGAATTTCGCAAGTCAAAACACTTTTCGATACGCTTGGAGGCAACTTGGGAGTGTGTTCAAGCAAGTCATGAACGAACCAAATCGAAATACAAGCACCCAGGTACTTCAAAGTACAGGCATGTCATACTTAGTACTGCTCGATTTATGTATTAAGATTTTTTACATACAAATGTGGTCGTTTAATTATGGAAGTATGGTTTTACTTTTTACTTTTATTTTCACCTTGCCTTACCAACTCAAAGACAGGCACGCAGCACGGCATCAAGGCAAAACTTCCGAGGACGAAGGGGGAAATGAAGTGGGAGGAACAATAGGGGCCGAAGACGACAAGATGGCGACAACCTCTGATGAGACAATATGACTTCCTTGCTAGAGAAAAACGTTGTGAAGGACTAAAAGCATTGAATTTTGTTTGCAAGCACCTGGTGGATGCATCGCTTCCAATGACTGGAGACTTATCGCCCAGCTGATAAATTGGGATAAAAGGGCGTTCTTGTTGGCTAGCTTTTGAGAAGCAGAAGATTCTGCATCCATACAAACCTCACCGGTATGAAATGGGCGTAAGGCTAGGCACTGTGAAACTGTATAGCAGGAGAAGCATTAAGAGTGCAGCAAAATTCCTTGAGAGATGAGAAAAAAACACGACGAGAGAAAAAAGGGAACAGTAAAAGAAGCCTTAAGACTATAAACTGTCACGGAAACAAACTCAAAATGGCTATCATATGTGACCCAAAAACTGACTGCTAAGCATACTAGTGTATATGGTGAGAAAAGATGGCTACTTCGCAAACAATCACTGAAGAAAAAAACGCACCTAGAGTGAAAGCTTACAGTTACAGCGTCGCAGTGTTTTACTTGATCTATTGACTTACTGCCTCCTTAACGCCTCTACAACGATGGCAAAAGTTATGAAGAAGAAAAACAGTAAAGGTGCTCCTGCTACCTCGAAAACTGTAAAAAGGATCGAGCCCAAGCCGTATTATGTTGTAGCTGACGAGCGTCAAGGCAAAGGCGCTTCGAGCTCGAAAATGCAAGCTAGTTCGTCTTCTGCTGCGCAGCCGCCGAAACTAAAGGTAGACTGACTGCTTGTTAGAGTTTTGGAATTTTGCATGAGTTAGTCTGACATATAAACTTCAGTTGAGGACTAGACTCAAGTCCGTCTAGTTCAAGTGCCAGTAGTGCTTACTCATAGAGGGAAGGCGTTGTGATTACTTCGCCTTCGCCACAAGGCTAAGATCGTGGTTGTATAATAGTGCGTTTGCGTCGTGTTACGATAATCATCTGACTTTCTCGTTAAACGGTTTTCCAGGTCAGTTCGGATTTACTTGGGGTTGGAGGCACCAGGCCTTCCGCGCGCAGCGTGAGGAAGCCCAGCAGCAGTATGAAGATGCAGCTGCAGATGAGCAAGTCTCAGTCCTCGAAGTTGAACATGGTTGACAACTCCGAGCATGCCTCTGATGTAAGTCCCGCTTCTAGTGCAGGTTTCTTCAAGGAAGCTCCTTCGCCGAATCGTTTCCACGGAATCAACAAGATGGCCATGAAATCGGTGTCAAAGAAGATGCATACTACTACTAGTACTATGAAGAAGATGCCAACTATGAAGATGGCTGCAATGAAGAAGTCTGCAACTGCATCACTGCAGACTCCGATGAAGAAAACCAAAAAAACAACGATGAAAGTTACTCCATCTTCTATGGTAAAGGATTACGTTCGCGACCAGAAGAACTTAGTAGCGAAGGAGTCTAAGGCGATGGCAAAAGAGTCCAAGGGAACAAAGAACCAGCAAAAAGTAGCGAAGCAAGACGCGTCACTAAGCATCGTCCCGCTGACTGTGTTCCGTACTGTGTGCAGCGAGATTCTGGAGCTGAATGATTTGCACCTTACTGAAGATGGGAAGAAAGTCCTTTGGGATCCAGCAACCCTTCACATCTTCCGCTCCGCTTCCGAAGACTATACGTCTCGACTGTTTTCGCACGCAGAGAAGGTCAAAGAAGAGTTCAAGCAAGGGCTCACGCTGCCTCCGTCTCTCGTTGAACAGGCATCATCTACTACTCTCTACTCGAAGCATCTGCAAGAGCTTGACATGATGACACAGAAAGCGGGAGGGAACAACAAGCAGGTCGAAGCAGCAGCTGCAGAGGATGAGATCATCGACGGGCAAGAAGATGATGAAGATTGGAGTGACGACCGACTGCAGCTTCAGCCAGATGACCTGATAGAAGTAATAGAAGAAGTGAAAGAGTTCAAGAAGCAAAACGACAACTACGACGCTAACGACGAGCTGCTAAAAGTCCTTGAAGACCATATCGAGCGCTTGAAGAAGAAGGAGCGCACTTTTCTCCCAGAACAAGTCTGCACTCCTTCTTTGCTGCAGAGTAAGAAGTTTAATGCAATTCTAGAACGGCCAGTAAACAAAGCCGCTGCTCCTAACGTCATCAAGACGCTTCAGCTGGGACGTAAGCCAACTACAACTACATCGAGCGCCTCGCATTCAGCGAATCAGTATCAGCTCCATCAGCAGCCGAGCAGCAATGGAGCCTGCAGCACTAAGGATTTTCTTAATAAGTATATGTAGATCCTCGCTCTCAATCTAGTCAGTCTAAGTTTGTCAAGCTTTATCTGCTACTGTTCAAAGCTGAGGCTTAAGAAAGTTGTCACTCGTTAGCTCCATTCGCAGTTTAGGTTTAGACTGATTCAAACGTATGCAAGGACAGCTTTTTCCTGAAACTGATGGACTAGCATCGTCATCAAGTGCAATTCATATACTTACTCATTCTCACGAGATCGGTCCATCAGCGTTTTTTTTTATGATCCACATCCATACTGACCTACTAAGATTAGCCCATAAGTGACAATCGCTCGTGATTGATAATTAGACTAGTGAAGAAAGTGACAGCATCCATTGCATTCGAGTCTGATTCACTTCCAATGGCTACCACGCTATAAGCCCGCGCTGGGTAATAGGAGCGCAGTTATAGCATTTTGTTGGCCCTGCGTCACACTTACTTACATACTAGCTTTTACACAGTCCCGCTATAACATGAGTTGAAATCACAAACTCGCCCCACGAAGAATACAATGCTCATAGGTTGCATCTGCGCTTGTGTCTTTTTTAAGAAAGTATCTTCTACTCTTATTTCGGAAACCGAAGCGGCCGCGTCAAAGTGCTGATAGCATTGTAGTGGGCCCTAACTATCATACTGATCTGAGCCTCCAACTTTTTTTTAGCGTGTAGTACCCATGTAGCATCTCCAATTCCATGCCTCGCATTCAAGACTGTGCTTCTGTTTCCATATCATTACTAGGGAATTCGCGATCGCGTATGGGGTAGGACTGGACTGAAGTCCTCCTTGGTCATCAGGAAGATTCACGCTCAGTTTTCAGTTGCACTTGCATGATGTGGCGCACGGTTCAGAATCAAATGGGCGTCAAGTCCAATACCCGGGGATTGATCTCCGGATAGCGCGATAGGCGGGAGCTGGAGTAGTTAGAAGAGACATCAGTATGGTCGAAGATCTTCCTGGGATGCTGGTGCCCACGAGCGCGATGCCCTGTGGGAGAATTGCAAACCGCAAGAAAATGAAGCTAGCATGAGTGAAAGTAAAGCTTTCAAAAATTGCGAGAGAAACAAGTCGGGCGATGGTTGCTAATCAATGACGTTGCTTCCCTATGCTAGCTTACAGCAGTGCAAGTAGCTCATTGGATTAGATTATCTTTGTCTTTGTCAATTGCTTATAGGTCGAGAAGCTCGCCATGCGTCGGCAGAAAAATCCTAGTAGAAAGCCTGCTCTTACTTAGTACAGTGGAACTCATTGGCAGTATTGATTTTCAAAACGAAGACAGGAGCGAATAGTCTGAATGATTTGTGCTTCGTTATTCGTTTTCGTTTAATTTATTTGTATATGTGGAAGTGGAGGAGACGTGGAAAGTGTATTATAAATCTAAAGATTAAAATGTCTTTTCCGTTGGGTCTCAAACTCAAGACTCAATACATCACACAATGAAAAAAATTCCGAAGCCTAAGGCCTCTGCGTCGTCGGCTGCTGGCCGTGCTGTTCCGGGTTATTGCGAGTACGATACAGATAGCGACGATGACGACAATATCTTCACCAAGCTTATCAATCGCAAACTTGCTGGGGCATCTTTATCCACTACTGCTGACGCATCGCGCCGATCATTGCAAGCACGGTGTGGCGGTAATAGTAGCAGTTCAAAGACTGCGTTGCGTCGAAAAGAAGCTGATCTTGAAATCAGCAACGGCGATAACGATAATGCACCTAGTTCTACAGCAGACGTCGAGATCCACGACGCACCAAACAAGAAAGAGCAACTGCTACGGAAGTTTTTTGTTGATGGAGAATTTGGAAGTGGTCCGGATGAGATTGGTGATAATTTGGCGACGATAATCTATCACATTTGTTGCTGCTTGGCGCCGACAGTAGGCATAAAGCACGCACTCCGTGGACCACCTGGGCTTAGAATCTACAGCAAAGACGGCGACGGGAGCGGCAGGACCGTTTTAGAAAAGCACAGGCAAATCATGAAGTACAACCGTAGTCATAAACAATGGCACCAGCGTGCAGTACTATCTTTTCCACGTCCGTTGACTACTGAGGAGCGGTTGGCAATAAGAGAGTCAGGCGGTAGTAGTAGCACTAGCAACAAGGCAGAAGCTTCTTGTGGGCTCCTTTCGGAGGCTGATGAGCATCGAGGCTCTAGCTCTACTTCCACTACACACGAACCTCCCACGAAGCAGAGCAAGGTGGACATGGGAGATGGAGTCACGAAGAGACGCCCTCTGAGCTCATGTTCAGGCTCATCCGAAGTGCGTTTTACGACGGGAGAATCCGTTGGCCAATCCGATTACTGCACTCAAAGCGCTCGGTGTTTAATTTCGTGCCACGTGACGTCGCAAAACCGCGAATGCTTCTGGTCGGTGCAAGATCAGGACGAGTTGCTCTTGCTTGATCAGGGATGTAAGAAAGTCGATAGTTATGCGGTCTTTCATCCACGTGCAGACACCAAAGACGTGAATATAATTTGCGGTGCTGCTCATGCTGTGTTGGATGATCCTCGTTTCGAGCGAGCCCTCGTATGGCCAGATCGTTGCATTCCGCACCAAGTCCACATTGCCCAGACTGAGTGCGCCGATGAGTTTTTCCGATTATCGGGCCTTCATCGAGGCAAATTCGAAAAGCGCATCTACCTTACGGTACTTGGCTTCTCAGTAGACATTTTATACAAGTTTTGGAATCGTGGGTGAAAGAAGGTACTGCGGGAGAAAGCAGACTGTCTTACTCAAAGCAGGCTAGTGCTACTTTGAAAGCAAAACGAATAATAAAGATTTTGCCAGGCTCAGCCATGGGAAAAGCACTACTTTACTCAAAAACGTTCTCCTCCTAACTATATCACTTACGTCAGGCTCTCTGTTTGAAGGTCCAGCAGATGAAGGCTCTTTCTTGTATGGAGGTGCTTCTTCAAAAAGTTGCAAGGAGAATCATAGTACCACAACCAGACTTCGAACAAAGCGACGAGGCTGTAGCGGTAAAGCGCGTATCCCTAGGAACTACTTACGAGCATACTGCAGCAAGCAGAGTCAAAGCGAACAAAGAGAAAGCTCTACAGAAAAAGAAGGAGAGGCATGGTAGTTATATTGATACATCTTTCCGCAGTAAATGAAGGCTCTGCGTGAAATTCACACATGCCGCATGCATCTTCTTGCGTTCCCATCAACATATCTCAAAACTCTAAGGGAAGAACTTAAAGTTATAACTCTGATCACCTAGCACGTGTCTCCCACTATAACACGAACCACACGCCGGCTTGTCAGGTGCGTTTGAGTACGGGAATTTTGAAAGGGTAGCAAAGCAAGCAACTGCGACTTGTCCGCCTGACTGGAAAGGGCAGCTGCCTTCTCTGGAATTACTGCAAGAAAATTTCTCCCATTTTACGTTGATGCGGTGGAATCGGTATGGGACTATGGGAGAAGGTATTCGGGAACAGCTGCGGGCAATTCCTTTAGGACTCTGGGTTTTGCTGAACAATGACCTCAGCGATGCTTTCATTGAAGACGAAGTTCGTTATCGTCCTGAGCAGCAATGTATCTTTTACCATTTTCCATTTCTTGCTTCGTCTGAAGGTAAATAACGCATGGTCTGAAGGCACAGGCAGACGTTGAGAGTATAATTCTACGCGAGTACATCACTACTTCGCTACTACTCTCTTTCTATCAGGTAAGCAATTGCACACCGCAGTGATCATGTATTTTTACCAGTTGCAGTCCCGGCCACTAGAAGCGCTGCATGCTGCGCAATTATCTTCGAAGCCTTATCCGAGTTTTGCGCTACGAAGGATTTACATCGCCGAGTGGAACTACACGATGAACATGCTACATGAAGAAGATCTCATCCTTGATGAAGTTTTTATTTTGACGGGATTGGACTTCGATGACGAGCGAGATGAACTTGCGCAGGAGATGAAAAGCATTGTCCGACTTTACCGCCTCGTAGCGATTTGGGTCGAAGCTTTTCAGTTTACTCTGGGCGGCTACCGGTTTTCCTTCACTGGAGAAAATCCAGAAGAAACAGGCTTTCACAACTCACATCACGACTGGCTTCGGCAGTATGAAGGATGCGGCTCGATGTGGCAGGAAAAAGTAGACAACATTGAAGCACTAGTACAGCAGAAGATCGTGCTCGTGAAGCATGGCCCTGGCTCCATTGCGTTGACATCGTTGCAGCGACTCTTACGACCTTTATCAAACGCAGAGCGAGTGAGACTGTGCGACCAGCTAGCGCATGCAAATCTGTGCGCGGCAACAGAGCAGGTGGAGCGTCTAATCGGAAGGTACGGCGCGCGTCAATCCACACGGAACCCTCTCAGCATGCATCGGCTAGACATGGCAGTTGGTATCCGAGAAATTATCAACATGCGGGACTGCGCTTGGCAGCGTTGGGAGGATGCTAAAGCGCGAAATGAGAAGCTCCGGGAGGATGTTGTAGAGGAGACCTTTCGCGACGCCAGAGCGCTCCGCTCAGTCTTCAAGCCATCTGGCTACAATGCTTTCTTACAAGAAACTGCGCGGCATCAGCTGCATCCCGCTAGAGATGAGCCTGGCACACTTGCAGGAGCGAAAGGCGCAGCAGCACTCGACGCGTTGTTTGACTTAGCAAACCACCCAACTGACGAACAAGCAGACGTGAGCATGAGACCACCTCAGGAGTTTGCCCCAGTGGCGACTGAAAAGAAGTCGTGGAGCACTTTGACTGATGAGGAGCGGACTTTCTTCAGGAACAAAGAGAGGCGAGACTTCTTCACATCTCTACAAGAAGATGAGAACTACTTACGACACCGCCCTACTCCACAGTTTGAATTGTCTAACATCGACAAGAACGTGCTGGAACAGCGGCCACGCCTGGAAGCAGAGCGATCATACTACAAGGAACTAGAAGAGCAAGCGATCAACTTCTATCATCGCCCTGTGATCGGTAGACCATCTCCTTATACGGAACGCATCTTGCGATCGCGTAACAAGAAATTTGAACAGAATTTGCAGCCACGGGCTTGGAAGGATCTCGCCAATAAGGAGATTACTAGTTTCGTCCCGCCACGGAAGACACCGAAGACGCAACTACGGGCACGGGCTCAGAGCTCGCTACTTGCGCGCTTGATTTCTCGATTTGTCAAGTATTCCCGTGTGAAGCAGGCTCCAGTAGAGAGGGGAATGCCTGGAGACCTTGACGTGGACCAACTTTCCTCGGACAGCGGTTCAGATTCTCAAGAAGATGCTACACCAGTAGCAGAAAACGATGGCGACGAGAAAGGTCAGAAGAGCTCACACAAGGCAGTCAACGAAAAAGCAAAAGAAGAGCGTCGCCAGAAGAAACTACAACGCAAGAAGGAAGAAGAAGAAAAAGAAAGGTCTTACATGTCCAACATGCACATAAGTTTTGGAGCAGGGTGCACGCCGCCGCAGATCTTGGGAGTAGTCGTTCGCACGAATGACGACGAGTATGACATGTTCGCAGTGACGAAAGTTTTTGCCAGTCCATTCCTCTTCGTTGCAACTGGATTACAGTGCGGCAACATCAAGCCGTACTTCGTGTCGGTCGATGCAGAAGGCAAATTCACACAAGAAGCAGGCCGCCAGCAGCTAGAACCTCTGCAAGCAACGTCCACTGTTCATGAGGCACGGAGCGCGCACGCGTTTCCCAGAGACCGAGACAAGCTCGTTGACATTGTAGACGATATGCAGTTTCTCGCGACGTGCGGACTTAACCCAGCACGTACAATAATTAGTAACTCGATCGCAGTACGAGCGCACTCGGACTTTCGCGTCTGGGAGTGTTGTCTTCGCGAAGTTGTGACTACGGATGGCAAGAGTTCAGTGGGTGTTGCGTTCTTGCATCCTCTCACTATTGCCAAAGCTGCACCTCGAGCAAAGGCGGAACCAAAGGCAAAAGCAAAAGCGGACGCAAGAGCAAAGGTACTAGGTCTACGTGTAGCGATAGACGCAGCGTCTTTTTACTTTACTTTTGGCTCTGATACAAATAGGCTCTTGAAGGTATCAGCTGGTGTGCAGTAACTAGCTGAGCCTGAGTATGGACTTGAATTTAGAAAGTTGCGAGCGTCCGGTGTCTAGTAATAGTTATTTTATTTTACGAAAGTGATGCTTGGCTGTATTCTTCAACTGGTTCCTACTGTGTCAGGCGAAAGCGAAGTCGTTCGCGGGTCCTTCTCACGATTTCACTCCGCAAGTTCCCGATGAGCTGCAACATCTTACGCAGCAAGCAGCGGCTTCAAGCGCGAGAAGTAGCAGCACTGAGCGTACTTTACATCTTTCTTGTTAGCTAGCCTTATTGTAAGTGAGTACCACCCTGATAATATGGCTTATTATATTTCAGGGACAGGGAGGATATTGGTAGTCAGCCAGAGAAATGATGGTGTATGCCGTTGCTCGTATGTCTCGGCGTCATCATCAAGAAAGTGCAACTCCGTCTACATCTACGTGCTTCATATGCATCCACTTTCGCATTATATCGGCTCCAGGTATTGCAGCAGCAGCCAAGTCTCTCTTGCTCGGCGACACGTTATCTACAGCAAACAAGCGCGAGCAGCGAGCCTTTCGCAAGTGGGACGAATCTGGATCAGTGAACCCAGGCAAGTCAATTCTATCGAAGGATGAGACTACCGATTATGCGAATGCGCCTCAGCGGAGTCGCGTTGTGGTCAGAACTGAAGGAGAAAGGCTTCGCGCTGCCAGGCTCCGAAACAAGGTTTCTGCTCGCATTGAGGAAAAGTTCGTGCCTACAACGTGCACGGTATCTGGAGCGAATTTGGGCGAATACGTACTAGGCAAAGTAAGGCCAATGGATCAAATGCTCTACTACGTCATGAAGATGGGTGGCGTGGACTTCTGTGGTTCTGGCGAAGCAGGAAGTCGCGCGCTGTATTTCAGGAAGAACAAAGGTGACACCCTTGAAAGAACTACCATCAACGAAGAATTTACTTGTGCGTGGGTATGTATGTGGGCACAGCGTGCGCATTTTCTCATTACAGTTGGCAAGAAGCCTGTTGCGGAAAAGAACAGAGACAGTCTCAAACCTTTCCTGGCAGCGGTTGCTGCAATCTGGAAGGAAAAGCTTAGAATGTACTCTAAGAAGTTCACACCAGAAGAAGTCGATCTCTTGAAGAAGGTTCGAACGCTTAGTGACAAAACTCTTGAACTAATTCTGATGAAGCAATGGACTGACAGAAGCAAGACCAAGAAAGGAAAAGACACATAGAAGACAAACATGATATTTTTTGGCGATTCATCTTTGACTCTGTCAGAGGAATCCTGAACCCAACTCTGCGCTTCTTCTTTGATCAATTCGAGTTTATTTCTGCGAAAAAGATGGAACCAAGATGAGGAAAAGACAATAGAAAATATGATATTTTTGAGACGTTTCAAGTAGAAACATGATGTTTTCTATCATGTTTTTTTCATATTTTTCCGTTTTCATGAAAATTAAGAAGTTCCGAGATCAGAGACGAAAGTCCAAAGGTTCCTTTGAAAGACATGACGTTGCTGATCGGTTCGCGTTTGACGTTCTTGAAGTGAGGTGCCGTGGCGGATCAAGGAAATCACACGAACAAAAAGATCATGTTTGAACCTTTTGAGAATGAAAAGAAATCATGGTTAGGATTTCTCTTAGAATGAAAAAGGTCACTTTCTGAGCTTCGGCAAGCGTCGCGTTTCTGTATGAGCATAAGCCTCATCATCTTCAATCCCAATCATCTCACTCCAGGGCGAAGAGTCTAGATTAAACTGTAGACTAACAGCTTTCTATCATCTTTGCATCAGCTTCAATCCATAACCTCTTCTAGCGAGTTTTGTCACTCGTTGACATCTCTCCCACAAAATGGGCAGACACAATCACGGCGCTCCCAAGGCTCAGGTGAAGGCCAAGGCCAAGACCAAGGCGGCGAAAGCGTCGGCTTCGGCTCAAGATGATCCGACCGTTCTGATGAAGACTCCGTGGACTCGTCTGACGCCTGGCTCTAAGGCGTGCCGCATTCAGACGAGTTTGCGCATTCCAAGTGAGACCGTCGGCGTAGAAACAGCCAAGGACGCGATCCTTACGTTCTGCGAAGAACGTCCCGACCTCCAAGAATCTACTACCTTCGAGACTTGCTCCAACTTTGATGCGGTCGCGGTGTTGAGAGGACCGGGCTGCGAGCAAATCGACTCATTTATCAAAATGGGTCGAATTGACAAGCAGAGCCAAGGCCTCATCGATAAGTCTGTCGACGTGACCCTCATGACGCCGGATGAGATCACGGAATACATTCTGGTACTAATCGTCTACAACTTACTGTCAATTTAACATGATGACGCTGTAGATTCATACCCAACTAGGTTTGCTTCTGATCTTGTGTCTAGTTTTCCAATAAAGGCATGAAGTCTCCATCTCGCCTTTCTGTCATAAGCATTCGCCTCCAACTCCACTCTCCAGCCCGCTTTCGAGAATAAGGACAACCACCAGCCAAACTTGCACCATATCATCTCATCCTGTGCGTCCTGCTGCCGTCGCTTCAAGGAGAAGGGCGTGATTTCGGGAACTCCCATGGCCGAGAACTACATGTACTTTAACCGCGAGGCAGCTGGCGTCTTGTCGAAGCAGTTCAAAGACCCGAGCTGCAAGAGCTTCCGCGACCTGAAACGCTTGTACTACATAACTTGATGAATGAAGGCTCAAACTCAATGATGAACCGTTCGTAAAGCGAGACTCATACTACTTGTTCACATTCGAGACCGTTTTCACTTGTCACGGCTTTCTACTCTCTTCAACATTCGCAAAATCTTATACAGCTTGGACAGCATCAAGGACTTCAGCCACTTCAAGTTTTCCTGGATCTTCGGAGTTGGCGGCTACTCGTACCTGGGTAATCCGCTGACAAGCGAGAAGAAAATTGACGAAGCGATCAAGAAACTGAAAATGATTGATGCTGCGCTGCTCGATCCGAATGAGCTCGAAATGTGGTCCGGCTTGAAGATGGTGCTTTTGAGTTTCTGTTATCACAGAAAGGTCGAGGATGTGACTACTGTGCAATCCAAAACCACACTCGCATAATTTCGAGATAAGAACTGAACTAGCAACGGTATTTGTTGTAGCAGACTTGATCTTCCAGGCTCCAATAATCATCTTCGATCTACGTGCACTATGGATAGCATTTTCTTACCTGCTCCCCCTTCAGTTCCTCGAGACGAAAGCCAAGGAGAAGTTCGAGTCTTGCAACGACCTCCGCATGGTTCTCGCTATGGCTGAGAATAATCACACTTGGAAGACGCTGACTGCTGAGGAGAAGAAGAAAATCGTCGACTACGTCAACACTTTGACCGCGCATGACCTCCTGATGATCGTGACGGGCCAGCGCTATGTTGAGCCTGAAGGTGACGTTATCTCCGAAAAGCTGGCTTACCTGAACTCGTTCAACATGGTACACTACGTGATCGAATGTTGTGAAGGACCATAGGGATTCACTGCTTGGCATATCTATTAAATTTTCGACGTGAGTATCTATCGCTAAGTACTATGCTAATCAACCTGCTCCATCCTATAACAGATGCAAGATCTCCTGGAAAATACTGCGGGCCTCAAGTCCGCATGCAACGCTTTGGATTGTGATGTCGAGTCGGTTAACAACCTTGATGAACTCGTCGGCAAGATTCGCCTGGTTTTCACTGAGTCGCGCATGCAGAAGAGCGAGTTCGGTGCAAATTTGATGCTCTCCTCCGCCATCAAGTCCCAACCTCCGCAGATTCAGGCGTTTTTCCGCATGTGCCGTTCGAAAGTTCTGAAGCAGATTGCTTTCGAGATCACGAACAAGAACTACAGCATCTTGCTGTCTATGAAACTCGACGAGCCTCTTTTCAATGTGGTGAGCAAAGGCGAGCAGGTATGCTTACCTTTCTCTCTAGCTTCGCATCGATCCATTTTACTTTCCTCCTGGAATTTTCTGAAATAGCTTCACGTGTAGTTTTCTGCATTTATTGCCTTGTGTAGTGGATCTTCCTTACCTTTCTGAAAGTTTCATGAAAAACAAGAAGCATGCCCTACACGTTTGGCCATCAATCTACACTGCACTTACACTTACCCAGATTCTCTCGAAAATGCATTGGGTGCTGCAATCTGTTGAGGCGCTGCGCGATTCCATTCTAGACCAGCCTCCGGTGAGCGGTGACCGCACGGCTGTTGATGATGCCAAGAATCTCCGTACGGTGTGGACGGAGTTTGACAAGATGTGCCATGGCAGTCCCGAAGAAGCGGCAAAAGTGCCCAAGGATATCATGGAGCTGGTGGGCTGCCTGCGTACGCAAGTTCCTCATCAACTTCTTCAACTCATGGAAAAGCATCGCCATCGCCTCAACATGCTCATCCACAAGACGAAGCTGCAAGGCCCGACGGAAACCCTCCAGGCGGCGATCAAGAACGCCATGTCGCACCCAGCTTCCTTGGTGATGGACAAGCTCTCCAATATCGTGCCCGCCTTCAGAAACCTCTTCATTCTGTTGGCTAACTACCGTCAAGGCATTGCTGCAGGAGATGGCTCTGCCTTGCAGAATCTCGGAAGCAAGCGTCTGCAGTACATGTCTCGTCACAACCTGAATAACTTTGCCGCTACTGAGGTGGATTCTGTGGCCCAGCAGCAGTTCTTCCAGAGTACTGGTCGCTCCCCGCCACCGCGCAACATGCAGGAAGAACAAGAGGCGTTTGGTGATTACTTCGGTGAGGACGACGGGTTCCGGAAAGGACCAGGACGCGCTACTGACGATGAGATCAGCGGCTCGGAAGATTCGCCAACTTCATCTTCTGACAGTGAGGCGCTACTGGGTGTTCCGAAGAACAAGAAGCATAGTAAGACTACTACTGGCAAGGGCAAGGCCAATACTGGAGAAGGCAATGCTTCCAAGAAAACTACTGCGTCTAGTTCTAAAGATGGAAATCCGCCGCCGACGGATGAAGATGAAAAGGACTTCAACGAGTTCATCGAAGAGCTGAAATTTGAACACGAGTTGTCTCAAGAAGTTGAAGGCGAAGTGGCGAAGGTTAAGATGGCGGAGGAGAAGTACCGCAACGCTCTGAAGATCCCGAAGCCTACGGACAACCTGACTTTGCATGCCAGTGAGGATCTCTTCGATATCATTGCGCCGAAAACAACTGCTGAGACCTCGAACTACGACCACATGAATGACAAGCAGGCGGATGTCATGAACAACTTGATTCCGAAGAAGAATTCGCCGTCCGCGCCGGTTCGTACTCCCCCGGTCACTCGTCTGTGCAATTCGCAAGGAGATGGCGCTAAACCTAAATTTACACTGAGCTACTTGGGCAAGCATAAGGGCTTGCTTTCGATTCTATCGCTTATTCTGTTGTGATCCCGATTAATTTGCTTTGTTTGAACGTGACTGCAAATCGCATGACTGTCGCACTGACTTGGTTTCCTTAGTTTTCAAAACAAACGACACTACGCACACCACTCTACCACGCAGGTTTACTGTCGCAAAAGCCGGCTTCTCAAAACTCTGAGGATTTTCTCGTGGACGACAATGCTACCAACAAGGAGAACGTGGGCAACAACATGGTCGAAGGTACTAAGTTATCGGCTTTGTTTTATAGTCAGTTTTTGTTTAAGACAGTTTTCATTTGAGACTATGCCTCATTGTGGCTATATCTGACAGTCTGCAAGTGCAGTTTTCTTGACCCACTCGCTCTAACTACATCAACCAGGTGCTGCGTTTGCTCAGAAGCGCACCATGGGCGAGAAACCGTCTCCGACGGAAAGCGAGAAGCGCAACCAAATCCCGAAGCGTCGCAAGTCTCAGACTGATGCTGAGTTTGTTGCTGCGGGTACATCCTCTTTATTGCTTTCGTACGTTCTGTGATTGGAGCACTCTTCTCCTGTTTCTTCGTGGTCGTGTGTCTATTCTTATCTAGTATTCGGACGCATCTTCTTGTCTTGGAGATCTTCTTTGTCATTGTCATTCTTTGTGCGTTCGCTCTTGATGTTGGATTAGGTTATCGAAGGACACACTACCTGCTTTCCGCATCTGATAGCCAGGACTGTAGCAGTCATTGACCCTTACAAGTATCGAGGTCAACCCTTACATACTGCATATCGTTCCTCACTACTCGCACCAGGTAAGTAGATGCTTACGCCCAGGCGATGTCTAGACGCAGCTGATGCACTTGCATTGCCACGAGGGGCTGAGAAGAAATTTGCCGTTGTGACGGGCGACGACTTGGCGATATGCCAGACTTCTTTCTGAGAGGGAGAAGGAGTGTTGTGAATTCTTTTTGTTAGTAAATGATAGGGGATGGTCGAAGTTCTGGTAGCATCTATAATAAATATACTGAAACCTTGACAGCTGTAACTTCTAACGGAGTCAGCTTCGTCTTGGGGAACCACTGTACTAGAGAAACCAGAAGAAGATGGAGGCTACACCCAACGATGGGCAACCATCTACACCATGATCTCCACTTGTATCGTGTATCGCAAGACCACGGTGCAAGTGGCATACTTGATTCAATCGAGCGAGAAACTTTCCTTCCGTGAATTGATAACATGTCCTACATAGTACCTTAGTAGCAACAAAGTATAAGTAAGAGCGCGAGTAATTATTTCAAACCGACAGTCATTCTCTCTTTCTCCTTGTGTGGAATGTGACACTCTGTGCGTCTTTGTCGGCGTTGCGTGTGATTCTTAATATTCATGAATATTGTGAATCGCAGTAGCTATACTATAGGACCACTTCGCGATAGCTGTTCTGTGAGGCACACTCTACAGCTGATGCCTTGCCTAGCTCCAAGGTAGACGGAATCAGCAACCTCCCGCCTGCCGCTTTGTAGATAGATAGACTGTGCATTATGTTTTCACCTTGGAAGTTCTTTGATTTGCATTCGAATTCGATGAGGCGTTCTCTGGTCAGAGAAGAGACGCGGCGACGTGCAAGCTGTGTCTCAACTCGACCGACGTCGTTGGTAGATCGTGTAGATTTGATGTAGTTCGTGACGACGTAGCTACTCGGGATCGAGATAGCAGCTCGACGACGTGGCTACTCGAGATAGAGACTATTCCAAGAACCCACGGCGGTGTGACAACCTTCCTAGCAGGCAGCTAGCTCGCCTCGGCAGCTGAGTCGCCTCTGCTTCGAGTGCAAGCCAGCATGCTCCATCTCTCTTGGATGTTTCCGCCTTTGCCGATAGTTTAACTTGCTAGCTAATTTTACGACTAGTTCTAGTAGGAGCAATTAGTGGCATTGTGCGAGCTCATGCTAGTGCCACCTTCCTCGCTTCGTGGGGTGGGCAGGCACGTATTTGAGACTTGCTAGCTTGTGCTCTTGGCGGAGAAGGCCTGACTCACGGAGATCTCGTCACGGCAGAGGCCTCGTGCCAAGCACTGCGCCTCGTACGAAGTACGTTGTATTGCCGTGAGCACAAGATCGCCCGAGGCAGCAGCGCCAGGTTGTTCATTGTCCTAATTCATCGCTGTGGTATCTATCAGAGAACTCCACGCACCTACTCACTAAGCTTCGGCATGTCTCGCTTTCTACTATTGAGATGAGTAATTAATTTCAATATCATCCATTGACATTGCTTCGGGCCTAATTCAGACATTGCATTTTTGAGTAGCCACTTACGGGGAATGGCATCTTGCTGGTCAACGACACCAATTCCAAGAAAGATCGATGGCGCAGCGCATCGCGATAGGGTATTTCCAAGAAGATGCCGCTATGATCCAAGATCGCTGAATCGTGGGTGGGCTGTGTCATCGTGGGGGCGTGTAAGACTATGACTGACTGGGAGATGTCGGTAAGTGAGCTGGAGTGTATAATTTTGCTTCGTATTAGTTGGCGCTGTATTTGCGATAGACCATGAATTGAGCCCACAGCGTCGGAGCTTGATGTCTTCTCTGAGTGCTGTCTCTTTCATGAGAAAAGCGTTGAGGCTCTGCTTTACTCAACGCCATCCGCCAGCTACCGGCCGCCTCGTTGATGTTTCTTGTTGTCGCTACGGCGACCGCCTTTTTTATTCATCGTAGTTTGTGGTCATGTCGCTTGTTGGAAAGAACTGAGTAACGCCTGTGGTTCCTATTCTCGCTCTGTAGCTAGCATATCAGCGTGTTTAATTCAATAGAAGCAATTTCGCATGGTTGCCGATTCCTCCTCCAAGATGTTCGAACTCGGTATCTCAGTGCTAGGGTACATAGTGCGCCACTTCTATCATTTCCCCTTAGATAGAGGCACTCTGTGACTAGCAAGGGAAGCGGGAGAGCTAACGGAGGCCATTGCTTCTCTTATCATCTATCTACTTAGCATCGACCCCTCAAGCCACTAGATTCGTGCCTGATCAGTTCAGTATGGTTATTCTGTCGCTTCGCATGGTAATTGATAAACGATGACGTTGGTAGCGTTTCACCGGTCCAGATTCTCACTGTTCCCTTTTAGAAGTGTTTCGCTTTCGCATGTTTACATATTTGATATTTGTATATCTATAGAAGTCAGTCTCAACAGCCACGAACTACGCTCGACACGGATGAAATTATTAAGATAGTTGCACTACACAATTCAGTATATAAGTATCCTGCTCCACCATCAGCATCATTTTGGCGAGACAGGCAAACACCTACTACAGTAAAGCCTTTTGAGTATCGCGCTGTGGATCCCCTCGTGCTTATTATTAGTGGGTCGTCTTTCATTGTACGGGTCGGCATTTCTAACGGGGTGGCGGCTTTCGACGGGGCGTCCTCTAATAATGTAATTCAGCAACTACTACAGGAAGGTCGGAATTCAGTCCACTAAGTAATGTGAGAAGGTAGACTTGCGCTGTAATTTGGTCGAGCTTGTTTGAGAGTCTTCTTGTCTTCTTCTGTTGATCGATGGACGACGACGGCGTAGACTTCTCTTATATGTAATCACGCACGTGATGTATCGCACTGATGACATGTTCATGCATTGACATCGAGAAACTTTTGCGCTATATCCAAAGACGAAGAACGTTGTGCAGGATTGCAATCTATGCGATAACTTCTGACATGTTGAGCAGAGTGATAGAAGAAACACAGGAAGGCGCGCGTGGCGCGATGAGTCTATTTGATCAACAAGATGTGTGAGAATAAGCAGATGCTCGAGCTTCATCGAGCACACTAAATAACAAGAAAGATACACTCGTAGGGTATCGAGTCAAGATCTGTCGCAGCTGATCTCTGTCGCAGGAGGTGTGTAAGAGGACGAGGGAGAATGATCGACATGTAATCGGATCGATGACGCAGATAAGTCGTGTAATGAATTCGAGTCCTCTCTCAGGGTCGTGTGATGATTGTTCCCCTCGTTCCTCGTCCTTGTCTTGTGAATGGAAACCTTGCCCAACACTCAAATCTGAAATGTTAGAGCTCATGTCCAGGTGTGGCAATTGTCTAAGTAAAGTAAGTGGATGGCGCTTCTGCTCGTCATTCGATTGATCAACATGGCCCATGACGTGAATAGAATCGAAAGGCAATCGAAACAATGCAAGCACGCAACTGAGTACGTTCGAAGGACTCGACTAGTTCAGTGCTGCGGCCTCTGGGTATATGTCCGGCAGGTTCGCGCGACTGATCTCACGAATGCCATTGGTTCCAGACGTGTCCCGATGCTGTCTTCGGCTGTTGTTGGCAGCTTCTTATCTTTGTGCTGCGTGCGCCTTCACAGCCCAGGCAAATCGTGGCAAGCTAATCGATCCCAGGCCCCCCCTGTGTTCACGTGGTCCCGGATCTGCAGCCGGCTGGTCTTGTTGCCGTTCAGGCACAGCCCCAGAGCTTCCGTGCCTAATCGTGTGCGCCCTTTCGTGTGATTGTTTGTGCTGTTCATTGTGTGGCGTGGGTGTCCTTGGCGTCATTCGCGCGCCTGTTATCCACAGCAGCGCGGGGGCGTTCTGTCCCACTGGTAAGCCACGCGCGAGGAAATGCAGCGAGAGGGCTCCCCTTACCGCGGGCGAGGGCAGCATGGCGCGCGCTAGTGGTTTGGTGGATCGGCACCCACTCAGTGCGCGCCCTCGCGCGTCTTGTATGCTAGAGAAGTCCTCGAAGGGGTGCGGCTTTAGACTCGCTCCCCCTCTTCTTGTATGGCTTTCATTGAGAGCGCCCGCGACTTCGGTCCCTCTGTCTGGGAGCTTCCTAACCAGGGCCGTCGTTCTTAAGCCCAAAGCGCTCCAAGCTAGAACCTAGGCCGCGCCGCTTTTCCCGTTTGTGATTGTGTGCAGTCCTATCCCTGGGAGCCGCAGCGCAACCGCTGCGCCCGCCTCGAAAGACATGAGGACCGGCAGCATCCGGCGCACCTCAACCAAGCCGCCAGACTCTAAGGGCACCGCGGGCGCAGCCCCTTTTGTAGTTCTTCTCGCCTATAAGTCTAGAAATCGGCTTCCCTTTTCGTGATTAGAAGACTAGGCGCCTCTAGGGTGTCTCCCCTCCGGCTGGGTGGGTCGGGCGGCGCTGCTCATAGCTGCCACCGCCTCGCGCCGTCGGATCATCTCGCGGCCTTGTCTACAGCTCTCCACCGCTTCGTCCTTGTGCGCTCTTTTCGCCAATGCTCAAAGCGGACGCGCATTTCGAGACAAGTCAGGGCGCGCGTCCCGAAATCCTCCTCCATATCTGGCGCATTTGTGTAATTCATTGCATAGCGCCGTGCTTGCCTTCTTGTTTTTTTCTTTGTCGGCTCCTGTCGCTCATTTGGACACGGATTTCGATGCAAATGGGCGAACGGTGTGGAAATCGGCGTCCCGATTGCCTTCGTGTAGTCAGCGCGGCTGTCCGTAGTCAGCGCAGCCGCCGCGGGGCGTTCCCGCCCGCTCGTGGTGTCGTTTCCGCTGCGCTACTTCGTGGAGGATGTGGGCGCGTGGCTACTTGCCTTGCAGGAGCGCGGCAGCGGGGGAGCTTGGTTTGCGTCGCTTTTCCCGGAAAGTGTCGAGATCTGGTGGCGCTTTCTTCTCCTGCGGGGTTTCGCCAGTTTTTGCGTCCACAGCGGCCCAAACTGTCAGCCGGACGCCGATTTCTGTTCTTTCTTTGCTTTTGTCATCGAAATCATCGTCCGGATCCCTCGCGTGGTCGGTTTCATTCGAGAAGTATGCCCAGCCGCTCCGCTGTTTTTGTGGTATGCATCTGCCCCACCTACTCCGGTCGTTTTTTCCTACAGTTTGCCACGTGTTGAGCCTGCTGTGAACGCTTCAAGTAGTTGAAAAGGTTGCAAACTGTGCAAAGGCCTCAGCTGTCTCAAGTTTGGCACTCAGCTCGGCCGAATTGGAGGCAGTCCAAGATCTTGCTCTTGACGCTCTGTGTGTTCTGATCGGTTCCCACCATGTTGACCAGAGCGAACCACTTCACAACAGAACTTGAGTGATTTCATTCCTTGTTTTATTATGTAAGTAGGCATATTGCCCCCAGGTATTGCATCAGGAGGTTCAAACTCAAAAATATAGGTAGACTTACTCTGCATGACAATAGCGAATTGTTTGTGTCAACAAAATCCGAGCCAATTTATTGATTTAATAATAGTACAACTCACAAGAATTTCAATTTTTTTACCATTTTTTGTTTTGAATTAGTCTATCTGCTCTTCTTGTACCGTAAGAATTCTGAAATTTGAAGTAGTGTTGTTTTTATAGAATTAACATACACAATCACAATCAAATTGGAGGATCGACTTGCAAGTGTTAGGAGACTAAGAAACTCGTTAGGAAAAGGATGGCTGCCGTACTACCCTCGGATCTGCAGTTGTCCGTGGCTACCGGGACGGAGATGACCGGTGCTGGGACATCGCAGGGGTCAAACCCAATCCCCTCTGGTGTCGCAGAATTATTGGGGAATCCGGCAACCTGCTTCGTCGATGGTGCTTTATGATGAGGATCAAAGTACATTATTATAATATATATATAGACTCAATATTAAGAATAAACATAAAGGGAAAGAACACAAAGCAAAAAACTTCAGAATGCGATCGATCTGGACGTACCGGAATACTCCCTCGTTTACGATTTTTCCTTCTCGACGAAGTATTTGAAAACTCGAAAGATGTTTCTGGTACCAAAAGCACCCAAATACAATAGCCAATGATAAGAACTACTACTACAACTATTGCCATCTGCCTTCATAAAACGAAGTCGGCAGCCTGGATATTGCGTTGGGGGATGCGCGCTATGTCGCACTATGCTTCTCGGCAAGCTATTGCAAATATTGCAAGGAGTTCGTCCCGCTGCTTGAGACCGCTCTTCCGTTGTTGAAGAAAGAGAAAGCGTGCCGTGTTGTCCTCTTATGACTTACGTCTGTTTGTATTAAGGCTTCCCCTAATCCATCTTCGGAAGCATCCTCAAGAGGGTTTTGGGGGAAAAGCACTCAGGACGCATCTTGAGATCGAATAGAGTGAGCTCTGATTATAGTCATACTCAACAGGTATTAATGAAGAACGTAGCCGGTTCCCGTTACTCCTTAGAATATTGCTGGTGCCGGTAGTCTAATAGCACTATTGAAGACGCCCTGTTGATGTTGACGATTCTCTCCTCCTCTCGATTTTGTTGTCTCGTTTTTCAATAATCATTAGTGCTTGAAGAATGATGTAAGTATCTTCGTGATGATATTATGCGGAATCCGCAAGTGTGAGCGATGACGCATTACATTTTGGACACTCGTTCTAATTTGTATTGGTGGAGACAAAACGGAAGAGGCCTTTGACCAGTATCGTGAACAGCACAAGGACTTTGTGTCAATGACTTTTTCCGCGACAGAGCCTGTGAAGCTTCGCCTGCGTGAACAGTGGGACATCAAAACGATTCCGCATGTGGTGCTCCTTATGGCCTACTGATTAGATGGTGACCCTCAGCACTGATACCTGAAACCGTGGCTGTTGTCTATTATTTTCACTACCTCAGACCTTACTTTATTTTTCTTATTTTCGTATACCTAAAACCTTACTCTCAGTTTTTTACTTTTGAATGTTGCCTGAAGATTTTAATCAAAATTAGTCAATTTCTGGCAAAATCCTGGACAACATCCAGCAAGATCTGGGGCGGGGTCTGTTTGTAAGGACGTGTCTGTTTGTAAGATTCCGCATGTGGTGCGCCTGATGGACAACAATTGACCACGAGCGGATATCTTCATAGTAATATATGTTGATTCTTGCCTCGTCGTAAAACAGGAGTAAGATGAATCGTGTTAGTCTCTTCTAAAGAATTGGATCGCATGTCGGGTGTCGTTGTGAAACCAAACATGCGCAACGAGCTGGTGAACGATCCGAACTGTGCAGCTTTTCCTTGGTTATGCTTGATCCTTGATTAAAACCGTACAGCATATTTGTTTATGTAGGTAGTTCAATGAAATATATTCTCGGCGCGAAAAAATGGATGTAGAGTTGCTAGATTCCAAATTCAGCAGACTACAAGAACCATGTCTGCTAGGGAATCCAGTACACCCACACCTAACCTAGCCTAAACAAGCCATGATAGCTGAACCAATTGAGACATCATCACCATCATGGAGTGAGGCCGGTGGAATTTTTCTAATGTGATTGGCTTCGGAGATCGGAATGAAAAGCCAGGAGGAGCTGCTGATGCACTTTGGTGAAGGCGCCAATATCGAGGCAAAGACGGCACTCAATATCGAGGCACTTACTACTAAACGACCGAGTTTGCTGAATTTTGAACGTTGATTGAATTTTGAATTTTGTTGATTGATATACATACAAATACAGCATCAGTATGCCTGTGGCGCTTGAGGTCGTGAGTTTTAAATTCGTCCTTTGTTCATCCTTGCCGTTCTCGATATTCTTCCCCATGCATGGGTTAGCACGCTCGTGCAATCTTCGCTGACTGGGGTGTTTCATCGCTTGCATTGCTCAGTCCTCTTTAACACTTGAGGTGCTGAGAGACCCTAAGCAAGCACGTGGGGTTTTTTTTTTAAGTCTCACTCTCTCTTGCGCCTCTGCGCAATCAACAGGTCGGATACTTCTCAAAATCATCGAGGAGCCTCATCTTCAGGTCTCTTCTCGCGGACGGTCGGGAGGGTTCCGCGACCGAATTTCAAAGACGCAACTGCTCGATCTTGGAAAGAATATCAACGGAAAACTGTATATGGATGAGCATACCGTTCGTGCCCGTGCCGGTCTGTTGAATATCACGAGCTGGCTGGCAATCATCAACATCTTGCTGTGGAAAGTTATGGTGCTCCTGTTCAGAGTTTTTCGCCTGCTTTGTCAGTTAAATATTTCGTATTTATCCTTTTTCTCTCCCTGAGTAGTCCATTGTCGTTCCGAACCTCTACGACGCCTATTTGGCAGTTTGCGCAGATTTCTTGTGCGAGGTTTATTGCATTGTATTGCATTCTATTTTGCATTTCAGTATTTCTAAAGTAATCTTTTGTATCTTTTTTTGTGGTTTTCCAATTTCAAATGAGCGGGATTCCTTTGTTGAAGTCAGATCGATTAACTGCGAAGAACTTGCTCGAGCTCGAAAAAAAGTAATCAAAGAAGTCAGTGCACAAACACTGATCTTCTATATGTAGTAGCTAGAAGTAGATAATGAACCCAAATTATAATGATGGCCGAACTGTTAGTAACCAGAAGGCGGTGGCATAAGAACAGATAAGACACCGGCGTCCACCCTGCTGTGTCCTTGATTTCTTATTTGCGTCTTGAATTCCCTTAAAGTTTAATTGAGCCCTCAACCCAATATAGTAGCTGTCAGTGTAGATGGGGTTCTTTTCTTCATATTGAAATCGACGCTGTTGTACGTTCTGTATCCTGTGGTATTCTACGATATGCTGGTGGCCTCTGCGTTCGGAGTAGTACCGCTGTCGCCGTACGGCTTTGTGGGCGCCTTCCTTATGAGCGCTTCCTCATATGAGTGATCTAGTTGTTTATTTCTCCGTGAACTCACCTGTACATCCACTTCAAGAATAGGGTTAGTAATGAAGCACGTAATTATTATTTCTCCATGGACGCTAAGGCTCCTAAAAGAAACTTCGGAAACATTTGACGGCGAACCACACTCACACTAGGAGCCTGAAGTAGACGCTAGAGGCTGGAGTGAGTCTCTCTTTACTTCTGACTTGCTTCAAAGCTACTGGTCATTTACTGTCTCGTATGTCACGTGGGTTGTAGTTTTTTACTCCTAGATATAATAGATATCGGGTCTGCGGTCTGACGCAAAAGTCTCTAATTCTCTGGCCTCGACCTTTGGCCCTTCACAGCCATTGTGGAAACCCGCGGAGCCAAAGCGCTTCGCTTGGATCATCGGCTTCTTTCTTATGTCTCTCACATTATTATTTAACATCTACTTAACTTGTGACCAGCACACGGCCGATCTACTTCTACTACTTGCCTTGGGTGATATTATTTTCCTGGTGATAGAGTTTCTAGCTTTTCTTCAAAGACCAGCCATTGATTTATTCAAATGAATGCACTCAAGCAAACAATTATCAGCTTGACAAGGTTAAGCTGTAGCTCACTATTAATTTGCAAAGAACAAAAGGAAAAGGAGAACTTGACTACTTGTCATCCATCAATAAAAATATTGTGAGATGAAAATATAACTCTTTGCCAGGAGGAGCCAGAGGGAAGGATTACTCACGGTGATTGATGAGATATCAAGCCACTATCAGTCCTGATTGTGAGGTCCTCCTATTCGCAACTACACTGACGAATTTATATACTTATATATATAATATATCAGATATTTAACTCCGACGTTAATCACGACGACAACTTTGATGATCATTAGTGGTTCCCATACAATCGCCCTGATGTCCTTTCATAGCAGTAGTGAATACGTGTTTCTTGGGGTGGTTCTACGAAATTCGCCCTTTGCTGCTGATGGCTGTGGCAATGTGCAATGCGGCGACCTGGGCTGAGTCGGCTTTGGGATTCTGCGTTGGATGTTGGATGTGGAACACGATCATTGCTCCCCGATTGGGCCAAGCTGCGTGTGAGGAATGCAAGTTGTAACGGGTGAGGATGTGCTAGTTTAAATCACGTACTAGCCAGTTCTTGTACAATCTTCGTGATGGTCATAATATAATATTATAACTAAGCGTGGTAAGCCAAAGAACTTTTTGATTATGAAAATAGATGCAACAAAGGAATGAAGAAATAGAGGATAGTCTTGCAGCTAATCAAAGATGCTACACCCCGCGAGTGCGAGTGGGTACATCAATAAATCAATCAGTCAACCTTCCAGATGGGAAGGCTTTTTTGTGGCTTGATTATATCATAGTAACTAATTGAAAACGAAGGTACTCGAATTCGAAAAAGACTTGAAGTGACGGGTTTAATTGAAGGATTAGAGCCAATGAATTAGCGAAGGCAATCGAGAAAAAGTTAGGGTTAAATTGAAGTAGCCCAGCAAGATGAATGATACTTGCGGGGTGGCAGAAGCACATAGTCCTGCTATAGAAAAATGATTATAACTTAATTAGGGTGGAATCATGTACTAGGCCTTCTAGCGACCTGGATAATAATAATGTAGTCCTAGCGAGAAAAACAATGGTACTATGCACCAGGAGTGGGCATATCAATCAATCAATATCTTCCTGCCAGCGGAGAACTGTGGTACTTATTGTGATTATTTTGATTATTTAATATTATTGATTTGGTGTTCATCTTCATCGTATCAAGACTTGTGGGAACGCGCTGCGGCCACTCAGTCCTTGATGTTGTTGTCCACCTCCACTTCACAGGCTGTGTCTAGAATTTTTAGGTATTTACTTCTCGTTGGTCAATGGTCGCTTCCTTAAGATTCACAACGGGCTACGGGAAATGAGGTAAGATATAACAAATAATAACTACAATTTCTGGCGCATATCGATAGGTCTCAACTATGTATAACATAGCACTTTTGACCACGGTCGTTTTATTTGTTGCTATAGTTAACATTTATGACTACTGGCTGCTTTGTTAATTGTGGTTGAGGTTTAGGCTAGCGCTCAAGCCAGAAAAGGCGCAGCTCCTAGGAGTAGATAGCTTGTCTTTTTGATCAAGTTAACAGCAGAAAGATGCCAGAAGTGGTTCCTTGTTTTTCCTGTAGTTCGTTGAAGTTGTGATGATGATTTTTGGAGAACAGAAACCTATGCCGGATGAGGAAAAGGAGGACTTTGCAGAGGAGGTTTAATTGTTTGCAATCTTTCTCCCTCTCGGGCTTTTCGAGTGGGCGATGTTTGTGGTCGTGGTGCCATGACATGGAGAATAGATGCGTGCCATGACATGGAGAGTGTATAATTTTTTAGAGGGATGGAACTGCAAGAACTGGAGATGAGAGTGAAGCGAAGAGACATTCTTTGTCTTATGAAGACGGAAGGTTTTTTTTTGGTGCAACGAAGATTTGTCGGTTCCACCCATAACATGTTTTTTCCGAGTAGCAGTGTGAAAGTAATGTTTTTTTTAAGTACGCGAAAAACATCATCAAGTCGGTCCTCGTGCGTGTATTTATCATACTCTTCCGCGGCTAGCCCTGGAATCTTTAGATGTTTTTTAACGTTAGTACTACTACTTACAAATATAGTATCTCGTATAAGCTATATCGAATTGTGAGTTTCGGGAAGTTCTGCACTCCTTGCCCGAGAATCTGACTTTTTTTGGAGCATAAAGACGGACGAAAGACGGGCGCACGACGATGATTTTTTTACGCTTGAGACGATGAGAGAGACAAAGAAGCTAGACCAAGAACGTAGACGAAGAAGCGAGTCGATACATTTGATTACCGTCTTTTTGTTAACTTTCTCTTTGTTTTCGATCTGTCGGCGCTTCGTCTACAACTGGCCTCTTTGTCTTTTCTGCTTTTTTAGGCGTTACATCTAAGGCGTAGAGAGACGCAAGACGTTTACTCTGCTGATGGTCTAGAATGCGCACGCTCCTGCCTACGGCGTTACGTTCTGCCTTTTTTTTCATAGGAAACAGAAAAAAAATTTCTGTTATCTTATCAAAAAACTAAAGTTGGCGCCTTCGTTAGTTTTCGTCTACGCTCTGCGTCTCTGCGTTGTGTTTCTTTCTCGAAGCGCTTCCAGCTTCCATGGCCCAGCCCTCTAAGGCTCTCCCTCTTTCAGGTCTATTATCTGCGGGCGCAGTTGGTAGCCGCAGCACCCGCCAAGGAGTGCGCGACGTCAGCCACCAGCCACAAGGGTGGCGATGCCTCTGCGCTGAAACTCGTGCGCAGTATGGGCGGAAATAGATCGCAAGTCCTGACTTGCTCACGGTGCCGGACGTGCTCCGCCGCGATTTTTTGGAGAAGTATGAAAGTGAAAAGCTTGGCGCTGGCTGCTGCGTACCAACCACCCCAAGCCCCTACGCAGCACCCCACGGATTTGCCCACTTCCGATCCCTCTGCGCCTTCTTCGTCAGAGCTCCCAGCGAGCTCAAGCGGCTGCTGCTGGTAAGTCTCTGCCGAACTCTTCGCGTGAGAAGCTACCCCATTCATACATAACCGAAAAGCTTGAAGGGAGTTCCGAATTCGTCACATTCATAGATACCCCTCCGCATTTCCATTCCCAGCAGGTTCTTCTTCCGATACCAACACCGACGCGGAAGCACTCAAGCAAAGAACAAGAACAAACCAACTTCGCGACCAGCGAATCGCCCGAGGCTACCTACCACGAGCACGACGATGAAAAGCGTTAGCACGAGCAAAGAAAGCCATGAAGGCTAAAGGCGTTGGGGAAAAGCCTGCCCCTTTGAAGAAAATGGCGAAAGTGGGCAACCCAATGAAAAAAAACACAAAGCAACCGAAAGCAGCGGCGAAGGCTGCCAAAGTACCGAGGAAGGCTGCCAAAACACCGGGGACGGCTGTCAAAAAAATGATGGCCATGGAAGCAGAGTGGCTTGCTGTATAACTTTCCCACTGTGACTCGCATCGCTTTCGAACGCCAACGATAGACGCACTCTCATCAGTTTCCGACTTTAGATTAGAACGCAACGCATCGCGGTCACCTCACCTCAGTAAAATAAAAGCAAATCGATCAAGTTCGAGAATGAAAGCGCGGCAGCCGGGTTGATGGCTCTGGCTCTCGCTTTCCATCCATCCAGGTGGAGGCCTTCGAGCAATATAGAAAAGGCACGCAGGTAATACGTACGGGAACAGTAAGCGAGTACCTCGCTCGGTGATATATTAGGAAGAGCGCCAGCAAATCACTGCGGGCGTTATCCTTTACGAATTGCATGGAGAGCCTCCAGACGGGCCCAGAATGGCGCCACAGTTGTGACGAACTTCGCACACGGTTAAGGATCAAGATCAACACGAATGCCACAACAAAGCCACGGCATACCGGGAAGCTATGGCTATCAGCTTAACCAGTCCACAGCATACCACACGCATGCCATATGCATAAAATGAATGCCAGAAGCGTCCAAATGACACGACGCCAAATAGGGCTGCGCAATCAAAGGAGAAGCCGCCTCACATCAGACAGCGCGCGGCATTTGCATTATCTGGCCCACGCGTCTCGCATTGTGCGCGTGTTCTCTTGCATTTTTTGCAAGCGACGCCACCGGTGTCGACAGTTCAGCCGACGCACTGCCTGCGCGCGACATGAGAGGAGCTAAACCGGACAAAGAAGCAAAATAGAGCCACAGGGTGCGTTAGGGTTGCGCGCTTCATTGTTATGCCATCGAGGTCGAGCTTGGTCTCCCTTTTGCTCTCTATGCATAGAATTCAAATGCTCCGCGTTTTCTTCTGCTTTCTTGTCATGTCTTTGCTGCAAGTCATGCCATCAGCGTGCTTTTTCTGGGGCAAAAGGTGCCGCACATGCGCCGGCGCCAGCTGAACGGGAACGACGACGGAGACACCCGCGGCAAGTTTCTTTTTGGAGTTGGAAACCAAAGAAAACAGAACACCAGTCCAGCAATGCGGTTGGGATGATCTTCACGGGCGCGAGCACTATCCACGCATGAGCATGAAGCACAGGAACACGATGGAAAATGGGCACTACTGTGCTACCATCAACCACAACGCGCCAAGGCTTTTGCTGCTTCGTCAGTGTTCACGTATAGGATTCTCACCGCATCGATCTACTTCTAACGCGCGGGCCAGCGAAGTCGTGCCTCTTAAGCACTCGCTTCGCTGATAGCAATCCTAAAACCAGCGGAACCAGCCAAGTCGCTCGCTTTGGACTATGCTACTGCCTTAGCCGCTGCCAGATTCAATAAGCCACGGCCACGAGCTCAAAGCGATAAGCGCAGCGCTTGCGTTACGGTAGAAGGCAGAAGCCTTGCAGCAGTGCAGCACTTTGGACACCCTTCAGGCTACCCCGTTGCGCGGTTTTTGTATCGTGGAGAAGCATGGACTAGGACAAGCTTCCCCGCGACGGTTTCGCCAATTAATATCTGAAACAGCGCAGCCTGCTATATTCTCAATTCGTTTGGCGCAAGGAGCCGGCCAAAGTGTTGGCTTATCGAATCCAGGTGGTCCGTATGTGCTACAGGTTTGCTCTCTATTAATTCGCTAGCCAAGTCCTTTCCTTTAAGTGTTCCCTCTGTGAGTGTGAGGCGCTTTGGCAAGTTTTCTCTCGATCGTGGGGTGGTCGCTGTTTTTGTTTTTCTGATTCGCTCGGCCTCCAAGATTGTTCCAGTCCTTGGCGCCAGCAAGCTCTACAAGGTTTTCACTGCATTGGACAAGCAACACAGTGGCAAGGGCTAGGCTGGGCCTCTCGCGTATACTGGTCAAAATTTTCGAGCGAGTGCGCAGTCTCAATCTGGTGCGAATTATCTTGCACGCAAGAGCTTGCAGCTTCTATCTTCAAAGATGTCACACACAGCAACTCTCTGCAGCAGCACCAGGCCCGTCCTCTGGCTCTGAACGTAGTGGCCTTGCTTCTGCTGAGTAGCAGTCTTCAACTTTTTCAGCAGTATACTGCTGAGGCTTCGGCTATTGCGTGGCTACTGTAAGTATGACTGACTGAAGACGCGGCGCATAGATATCTCTCACGCGCGTCGCGTGCAGTCAGGTCGCGCCGCCTGGGTTCTTTTCAGTTGATTCGTGCGAAGGCTCCCTGCTCTGACGCGTGCAGCCCTTTGGTGATACTTTCACGCGCGACGCTTGTCGTCAAAGCAGCGCACTTCTGTAAGTACTCCCTTCAGTTCGGACCCACGTTCTTGCTGCCAATCGTTGGCCGCTTCCAGAAAGTAGCGGGTAAGTTTACTCTTTCTTGTCTCTGCAGTATTTCCCTCCTCCTTCTTCTTCCCTTTTTCCTTAAAGTCCTGCACTTTGCCAGTATATCAGAGCCTAGCGGTCTTGTTTTCTAAGTCTAGACCTTATACTTACACGAGACAGCCCGAAGTGACTTAATAAACTTAACAGCAGCGCAGGGATGTCGTCATCCCTGCGCTAGCCTGTGATATTGGAACTATTTGATGTTCCGCCTACGAGGTTTTACATCCTTCCGTCAGGCGTCAAAGACCCAAGAAATCGATAAAGTTAAGGTCGGTCCTTGGATACATTTTCCCATTGACGTGCGACGCGTGTCACACTTGCGCTCTTGAATTTTTCGTTTTCTATTCGCGCATTATAATTTCCTCAGATGAAATAACATAGTGTCGTGCATCATATTGTCGTGCATCATATTGTCGTGCATCTTCACAGAGAACATCATCATCCCGTGACAACAAGTAGTACAAGAAAAGATAGGCAACTTCTTTAGCTAGAAAAATATCATCAATAAACCGAAAAAAAGACAAATGGCCAGTACTGGATTTCGGAATGCAAGCGCCTCACGGGCGCTCCTTCGCTGTACTAACCAGGGACACGTTGCGGGATCCCAGCGCGCTTTCGCTTCAGCGGCGCCCTCCAAAGGCGGAACCGGACCAGACCTGCGTGTCCTAGAGAAGCGTGCTGCGGCGGCTAAGGCAGAGCTCGCGACACTGGCGCAGGCCTTTGCCCGTTATGACGGTGACGGAACGGGAGGGCTCAATATCACTCAGTTGAAGGAGGCCTTAAAAAGCTTGGAACTTCCGACTGAAGAGGTAGAGTACTTTTTTCAACTTACTACGTGCTGAAATTATTTTTATTTGATACAACTTACTAGCCGCGGTTCCTTCTATGTTCTATGATCATGTGTTAGATAGTAAAAGTAATATCAACTTCCTATCATTGCGGGTATTCGACATTGATGCGTGGTCTTCTAGGTCGAAGTCGCGACTCTCTTCAAGAAATTGGACGCAAACAATGATGGCACTATCGACTTGTCGGAATGGTTGGATAACATGCCCAAGGGCACCAAAGTCCGCATGTTGTCGAAGGAACAGTCGTTGCATGGCCGCTACGTCCAGTTTAGCATGCCAGAGGTGAAGATCAATTACACTTACGGCAAAAACTACACATAAGAATTTATATGTATCTTCTCGACGTGGGAATGAAGTTCACTATGTATGAATGGTTCCGGTATTTGGTAACCTGAATTTGATCATAAGGGAAAACAAGAAGAGAACCCTTAGGATCAAATTCAGGTTACCAAATACCAGAACCATACAATGTAGTATACTATGTATAAGAAACAACTATACAACTTCTTCGACTTCTTCACCTACTAACTGTAACTTCTCGAAATGATTATCACGCGCGCGTGGAGAAGGATTCTCCTTTTTGCTGCGTTGTTTGGTGTCACCTTCTCCACATGCGCATCATGTTGAAAATGTTAAGCCCTAAACCCTAAAATCTTAAGCCCTAATCTCCCCAAACCGACGAAGCCCCTGCTCTTGCGACGTTTTCTCTTTTGCCGATTCTGCGTGCATATTGCCGGCATGGCAATGTGAAGATCATGAAGCGTGACATTTCGGTCGCCTCACGAATCATCTCGGGATTTCCAGACTACTTGGCGCCTGACCAGCGCGTTGAGGACGAGCTCTCCTTGCTGGGCGATCTCGCGAAGACGCCAGCCGCCAACATCATCAAGCTCCCCAATGTCTCTGCCAGTGTGCCACAGCTTTTGAGCGCCATCGCAGAGCTGCAAGAGAAGGGATACGACGTGCCAGACTACCCAGCGGCGCCTACAATTATGGCTATTCAGAATTTAGATAGTAAGGAGGATCAACTCCCTTACAACGGAGAGGTCCACGGCTATTCAGAATTTAGATAGTAAGGAGGATCAACTCCCTTACAACGGAGAGGTCCATCTAATACAAACGAAGCAGAGAAGGACATCAAGGAACGATACGCCAAGGTCCTCGGTTCTGCTGTGAACCCAGTTTTGCGTGAAGGCAACTCTGATCGCCGTGTGGCCAGACCTGTGAAGGAGTATGCCCAGAGCAACCCACACAAGATCGGAAGCTGGACCCCAGACAGCAAATCGCATGTATACCACATGCAAGATGGCGACTTTTTTTCGTCTGAACAATCATGGGTCAACGGAGATGACAGGGCGAGTGTGAATTACGGCAAGGAAAATATTATTAAAAATGTAGAAGTTGAAGGAATTTTTCGTTGAAGGCTTTTTGATTTCGTTTTCACTTTTCAGGTTCTACTTCACCGACAGCAGCTAGTAGAAGTTCTTGTAAGCTAGAACTCAATCTTGCTCCTGCAACTTCTAATCCCCGATCGTCTTCCATCCCGCCGACGGAGGTGAGGAGATCGTTCTGAAGAGCAAGACCCCAGTCCTCCCGAAGGAAGTGCTTGATGCTTCTAGGATGAGCGTGAAAAAATTGTGCGCCATGTTTGAGGAGTCTTTAGCAACGTGCGATCCGGATACCGTTTGGTCCCTGCACTTAAAAGCAACGATGATGAAGGTAGTCTTAATGGTCGCTGTACTTAAAAGCGACGATGATGAAGGTAGTCTTATATATAATATAAGAAGAGTCTTATGTACTAGCTACTTGTTCTTGTACTAGTAGTTGTCCTCGTGGCTCAACAACCTTGTTTTTTCTTGTAGGTCTCAACAGTCAATGACGTCGTTGACGTCGTGGAGGATATCTCCAACAACTACCACAAACACAACGACAGGTCTCCGACCCCATCATGTTCGGACACGCAGTCAAGGTGTATTACAAGAGTGTCTTCGAGAAGTACGGTGCTCTCTTTGACGAACTCGGTGTCAACGTAAACAACGGATTGGGTGACGTCTACGCAAAAATCGAAGGACATGCGAAACATTATGGCTGATGCTAACGTTTTCTTGATGAAAGTGAAAGAGAGTCCAAAAGCAAAACGTACTACATGGACAAGTACAATTAGACCACAGGTAAATCGAAATGATAATGGTAATCATCAATCCATACCCCACCTGCACCTCCTGCTCTCCAGCACCTTCTAATCCAAAGCCGAAATCGAAGCAGCTATCCAGGCAGTCTACAAGGAGCGACCGGAGATGGCCTACGTGAACTCTCACAAGGGAATCACAAACTTGCATGTGCCTTCCGACGTGATCGTTGATGCCTCAATGGCAGCTGCTGTGCGTGATTCGGGTCGTATGTGGAACAAGGACGACAAGTTGGTGGACTCTCGCTTCGTCGTCCCCGATCGCTGCTACGCTGGCATCTACCAGGCGATTGTCGATGACTGCAAGGAGAATGGAGCCCTGGACGTCCGCACTGTGGGCGCGACAGCCAATGTGGGATTGATGGCAGCAAAGGCGGAGGAGTACGGCTCTCACGACAAGACCTTCGAGATTCCGGCTGACGGAAAAGTTGTCGTGTCTCTGCGAAAGGCACCGCACACGCAGGTATATCGAGGACATCAAGTTGGACGAGTAATAGTGATGTCTAACCAGCAGAAAGATGTTGAAAGTAAAACCTTCTTTGATACTCTATAAGGTCACACTTAGACTTAGTTGTAGTTGTAGCATAAGCATTAGAGTTCTTGTACTAGATCGCCATCTTCACGATCAGTTATGTAGCTGGATCTATGGCTGACGTTATCCTCATCCTGCCAGGTATTCGAACATGAAGTCGAGAAGGGTGATATCTGGAGAATGTGTCAGACGAAGGATGATCCTATCATCGATTGGGTCAAGCTGGCTGTCAACCGTGCACGCGAGTCAGGATCTGCTGCTATCTTCTTACGGTTTCACCTGCTTATCGAGTAGATGTACACCGCGATGATCGTACTATGGGGAATGAACAAGGTGGTAAATTTTTAGTAGATCGTCCCCAAACGCAATATCCCCAAACGCAAACTCGTCCATGCACAACATGCTGAAGATTCTGTCCCTGACGTTCTCCTTCGTTCTTTCTAATCCATTGGCTAGATGAGAAGCGCGCGCATGACGCTCAAATCATCAAGAAGGTGACTGAATACTTGAAGATGCACAACACTGAGGGTCTAGACATCTCCATCCTGCCACCTGCAGATGCCATGAAAGCGACACTCAAACGCGCTCGAAGTGGACAAGACACGATCTCGGTATTTCTACACGCAGATGAATTCGACGAGAAGATTGAATTTTTCCTGCGATAAGTAATTTATGAAAAATTTCTTGCTACACTAATAACACCTGCAACAGCAACTACATGATCAACATCAAGACACAGATGCAGCTGCATCGAAAGAACACGTTCTTTGATACACGAGCAAGTCTACTAAAAAACAATAGTACACAGGTGACCGGCAATGTCCTCCGCGACTACCTGACAGATCTCTTCCCGATTTTGGAACTTGGCACAAGTGCGAAGATGCTTTCCATCGTTCCACTCCTCGCAGGAGGTGGCATGTTCGAGACTGGTGCAGGTGGAAGTGCCCCAAAGCACGTTGAGCAATTTCTGAAGGAAGGTCATTTACGATGGGACTCGCTTGGTGAGTTCCTCGCAATGGCGGTGTCGATGGAGGACTTGGGCAACAAGACCGAAAACTCCGATGCCATCGTATTGGCGAATACATTGAACACGGCAGTGGGGAAATTGCTGACCTTGAACAAATCCCCAAAGAGACAGGTGATGCAACTGGACAACCGTGGAAGTCATTTCTACATCGCCCTCTACTGGGCTGAGGCCTTGGCCAAGCAGAATGACAGCGCACATTTGCGTGACCGCTTTGTCAGTGTGCATGCACAGTTGGCGGAAAATGAAGCCAAGATTTTGGGAGAAATGATCTTATGACAATAGTAGATCATATTTATAAGGACCATTTTTTAACATTAACAATTAGTAGTGTGAATTGATAGATAAAAAATAAAAACGTTTACGTTACTCCAAAGCAAAGACGCTTCCTCGGCCGTTTTTACAACCGCAGGAAATGTATCATCCCGCCGATGGCCCAGTATGGTCGTTTGGGATGCAGTATGATGACACGACTAGCACCTGGCTTTTGTTTTGTCTTCTTTTTGACGTACTTACATCACCAGCCTGAATAAATTACAGTCAGATGATTTACTTTCAGCTTCTTCACAATCTCTTTCGTCTAACAACCGCAGCCGAAGGTAAGCAGACAAACATCGGCGGATATTGGCAGCCTGACCCGTTCCTCGTCTCGCAGGCTATGCGACCCAGCCCGACTTTCAACAGCATCATTGATGCCACACTGGCGGCGAGTGGGTTCTAAGGACAAAGTTATAGAGGTCACGTAAAGAAGATACTGCAAGCACTAGCTGTGGCAATGTGCGAGCCATTTCAATAGCGCACAGAATCAAGCCATCGCAGAAAAGTTTTCGAATATCTTTCAACAAGAGACGAGATTTCTTATAAAGGTAGAGCAGGTCAAACTCAAAGTCAATGTCAAATACAAGGTTGTACATGTCGTGGAGATGTCACCGTAATGTCATGCTGCGTTCACGCGGAAGACTAAAAATGGTAGACGCTCAAACAGTAACAACATTGACGTTAAAAGGGATTCTCAACAAAGTCAATGTCAGAAACGCACGAACATTTTCCGTTAGCGTTACTTTCGACCAAGACAAACAGTACAAGCTGACGTTAATTTGAACCACCCCAGTCTAGCGGTAGAGGTCCGTTGATTGGGCGTGGTCTCCTTGCCGGATGCATAGTATGAGTAATTAACGATGAAGACTGATGATCTATCTTTTTCATCAGCATCTTCATTTTCCAGCGTTGTCCAGAAAAATTCATCGCATACTACATATTGGATGATCATAAGAATCTTCAACGCACGACAAATTTCCATCGTAGGGTACTTAGTTTGTTAGCACTACCACATCATGATTAGGGAAACAATTAAAGGGTTCTTTTTTGTCGAAGGCACGGTCGAAGGCGGTGGGACAAGATGCTGAGTCCTCCAGCAGCATTGAATGTTTCACTTGAGACTGCTGGTGCCATTCTCAGAATGACTCACTTACCGTAGATGAGAAAAAGGAAAGAAACTTCTACAACGAGGGACAAGTGGATACAACGTGAATCGGAAAAAGCGTTATGATTTGACATAGACGAAATAGACACACGACCGACGCTATCGTTTTCACCGTACTATTAAGTAGATGAAACAAAAAACGAGTGGAGGAAAGGCATAACATGCGTGCGAGCACGACCGTTGCCACCACTATAGTGCTTGTACGGAGCACCGCATGGGTGGTGAACCACAGGTCAAGGTGTTCATGCAACTGTAAGGCAGTTTTTAGATTTAGAAAGAAACTCCGACTCAACTACCCTCTCCGGCCTCGTTTTCAACACGTTTTTTACAGAAGCAGGGGTACCACCGAGTGCAGCAACATCTCAACGGACGAAGCTTGACTAAAAACACGACTAGTCTAGCTTGATGTGTTGATTTAAAAAAATGATGCAGCTTCACTACCCAGTACTAGAGCTGTCTCGCAACCACGTAAGAAAATTCGTATTCGTTTTGCCGGGATTCTTCTCTGTATGCGAATGCGTCAGGAATACTCTGTTACTTCTTGTATTTTCATCATGCCTTCTGTCATCTATTTGCCCTTCAAATCTATGCCTCTTCTGTCACGCGTGGAAGCTTTCTTTGCAACGTGTCGCTCATTACAATGACACGTCCTACAAGAAGGACGTATGCTCAGTCACGGCTTTCCTCGACCCTTCGTCCATTCTCCCGGATGCTGCCCAAGGGAAACCGCCGCCTCCACTCTGTCTTGGCCCAACTCAGGACAACAAACTTCACCAGCTCTACGACCTCACATGCACGAAGTGTCCATATTTCCTCCAGTCTTCTGTGGTCTCCGCACAGCCAGCGTTGGAGGAAAATGGGCCTTGGGTCCAGCGGTCAGAAGAATACGACCTACGCCCAACTCTGGATGGCTGCCAGTTTGACGATGAACTCGCTCTCTTGGCGCGCGAGGTCTTTCCGGAATTGGGCGAAAAGCTCGGTATATCAGTCGCTGTACTGGCGCCACTGCATTTAGCGAGCGAAGTGGAACTGCTGAATGTGCACAACCGGATGTTCTACAATTACGGCTCAACTTTCAATGGTACTCGCTCGCACGCACTACAAAAAAAAAGGTCACCAATTAGATTGGAGTTGTTCACTGGTGAGATCGCAGAGGCGACCCCTTCTTAAGAGAACCAACAGGGGAAATAAACGAAGCGAATGATTGGGGAGAGCTTTGAGGGGGGTCTCTCTCGTTCAGAGTCATGATGACCAATTTTTAGTACTGAGCTGGCTCTAATACAGGCCAAGCACCTTTGGGGGAGCGCAGGTGGCGGGAAATTTGGAAGCGAATAAGGTGATAGCGGAATGGAGCGATGATATGCTGAGACGACAACTCTTGGAACGTCGAACGCGTCTTGGGTTCTGTGAGACGAGCTTCCTAGCCGTCTGGGCGTTGGTGGCGCAGTGGTATCTGGTGCGTGTCTCTCCTGGGTATTTGGCACAGGAATACATTTTTCTGGATGGAGGTCACCTTTTCACCGAAGATGAGGCCTTCTCTGTGCTGCAGCCGTGGCCTTTGAGTCATCGGGCAATACCTCTGCGGATGAACTTCTACCCGTTTTTATGAGTGCGTTTGATAGAAAGAGAAACTAGAACTACATGTTCTTGTTCAGATCGCCTTACCACCGTGGAAACTTCTGTAGAATGAAAGTTGTTTTTAGATCTACTCTTGAGTTGTACATAATCTTCGCTTCCAATATCATATGCACTATAAACGTAAACTTTCTCCACCTTCATACCCAACCCGTGGCGGCTGCTGTGATCCTGCTGTCTGCTCCTCGAATAAGCTCGTCTTACGGGTTCAGACGCATCCTCGGTGTGGTATGCAGTTTTCAGATAGAACGCTGACAACCCTGTGCCGTGCACGGTTTGATGAGGAAGAGATGACATCAAGTCCTGTCGTGGAGGCTGCTACTCCGAGTAGGAGTACGAGTTCGCGCAAAAGCAGAAGACTACCGCTTCCCGAGTGTCCTCCCGCGCCAACGTCGGTCGTCGATATAGCTGCACAGCTGGCAGAGAGGATGCAGCAAAGAGGAGAGGCTGTTGAAGATGAGAAAAGAGAAAAAGCAAAAGCACACCTTGAGAACAAGTACGAGTATCGCGTTCTACGCAATCAGTGCTCCTACGAAAGCGGGTTATGGGCGGAACCTATGGCGGATAGGTTCAAATGCATGACCACTACGATCGGAGTGAGACTGAATATGCGTCCAGGGGAAAGGGTCTTAGACTACGGGACGGGCTGTGGGCATATGCTCACTTGGTTCTCCAAATTTTTCGGTGTTCGTGGACTTGGCGTAGACATTTTGCATCCTGCGATAACTTGGGCTAAACAGTGGAGTGTGGGCAGGTATTGTCATGTTGCGGAAGACCACGATGCTGAGCAGGACTCTCAGCAGCTAGAGAAAACAGCTGAAAATGACGGCCACAACTCCACCAAAACCATGTTTTCGACACCTCCGTTGTTTTCCTACTTTCCACCAGAAAGCTTCGAATACATTGTCAGTTGTGGCGCTTTGATCCACGCAAAAGATGCCTGTGGACAGCTGAGACGGTTACTGCGAAGTCTCACAGTAGGTGGCAAAGCTTGGTTTGGCTGCATGCCAATGTTGACGGATGAGGAGAAAAGGAAAAATTTGTATAGTGGAGCAGGAGAGAAGATATTGAAGACTTCTGAGGCTCTACTTGAAGTAGCAAGCGAAGATGGATCAACTACAACAATTACAACGTCTTCCAGCATAAGAGACAACCTCACAGGACTCCTAACGGATGATGAAAAGGACAGCCCGGCAGCTGGCCCGGGAGATGTCGAGAAGCCTTCACCAAAGCGTGTTACCTATGCTGCCTCACAGTTAACGCAGAAGGAATGGATCCAGTGCGTAACGGACAATTCTTGGAGTCCCAACCACGTCTACACAGCCTTCGCAGTGCAGGATTACATCCTATTCGACGGCGACTCAGAAATGTACGCTCTAGAACATGCGCAATCAAAGGAGCCTGAATGGTTTTCCATGACAGGAGAACACTTCTCGCTTTTGATAGAGAAGAAGTCGTGAAGCAGTGAAGAAGCAAGTTATTTTCAAACTCCAATCGCAATGATCCAAGATGAAGATGATTTAAGGGTCGGAGCAGCTTTTCAGTAGCTGGAGGAGCAGATTTTCAGTAGCTGGTAGATGATAAGGGACGATGAATCGGGGCAGCTTTTCAGTAGCTGGAGGAAAATACGCCTTTCTTGCTATCATACTTGTGTCGGTCAACTAACTTTTATAGAGGAAACACAGACATCAAAAAGTGAATTTTCTGTTGTATGATACAACTTGTATGATCCTCGGATCTAGTCGGTTTTCTTTGCCCGACGTGCAGATCATGAATCAGTCCCACGCGTTTGGTTTCTGTCTATTGATGTGATGATCGGTTTTCTCTTCTATCAATCTGTGACAAAAAGAAGAATTATCCGGTCTAGGTTACCGTCACTTGTTGATGAACTGTAATATTCGGTCCCCCCACCCATGTTCGAGCTCGCTTTCTGTTTTAATAAATTGAATCGTGTTTGGTATGAGGAAGATGATTTCGATCGAAGAAGTAATTGCTATGCCTGCCGTAGAAAAACGTAGTTCTTTTAGTCAAAAACCTGAAAGTAAAGTGATGTCATAAACATAATTGATCATTATAGGCGGTATAATTCTTTTTAGAAATAATTTGAACCATGATGAGTGACAGTCTTGCCACTAGTCCCGACTCGGCCAGGAAAGGGGTTATCGTAGGCACTGGTGCGGCTTGCAGTAGCACTTCTTCGCCTGGAGGCTCACCGAGTCCGAGGACGAGAGCGCCGCCAAATAAAGGTGCCCAACAGAGTCGTGGTCGTCAAAGAGCAGGTCATGGTCGGAATAAGCCTGAAGATCCAGGAGGTACAACGAGCTCCTCCGGTGCCAGACGCGGTAGAAGTGCTAGAAGCAGTGGACGGAATAGCAGCAGTAGCCAGCTTGTAGAACATCAAAACACGTCAAAGAGAAAAAAATCTAACATTATGGTCAGCTATACCATCATTCTCGGCATTTTGGTCCTCTTTTCCCTTGTATTCTCCTTCTCGTGAAATACAAGGTAAAAGGGGTCAAGATGAGGGGACCGAGATGCATTCTAGCACACGCTAAAAAGAACAAAGAGAACAATCCTGAAGACGGCGAAAATGTTGTGCATCGAAGCAAGCTCGCGTATCAGGGATTATTGGCGTGTCCCGTATGCTGGCAGCTGTTTCAGAACTATCAGGACTTGGATGAAGACGAACAACTGAGACGTACAGCGAATAATCCACTGCGGTCACCTTTTGTTATGGGCCATTGGTTGCTAAAAGCTGCTTAGCAGCAATAACAACTACAGTTCGTTGCGTCGTCTACGTGCTCGTAATAAAAGTATAGTAAGTAATTATCTAATAGTTGTGAACAGCATTATCTAATAGTTGTGATCTGTCTATGATGCTTCTGGGAGCGCAACAATAAGAGAATGATGACAGACATTTGATAAAGTGACTATCCTAGTATAGACACTTTTCGAACTTCCATATCAGTCTGAATCTTATAAAACTTATGTAACTAACCTCATCCCATAGCAGGACTTATTCCCCTTTGTTCTCTTTTCAAGGTGTGCTGCAAATCTTGATTGGCTTTCACCCTTTGGTGAAGGTTTAGGCCCTGCGGCGCTCAAAGCACTAAGTAAAACAACCGGTTAGTTTTCACCTTGATCACAAACGTAGACTTATCCCGTGCAACAATAGTTGTGAATAGGTGCTTGTTTTACTAAAAGTAAGTTGTATGGTTCTGGTATTTGGTAACCTGAATTGGATCCTAAGGGTTCTCTTCTTGTTTTCCCTTATGATCAAATTCAGGTTACCAAATACCGGAAGCATCCATAAGTTGTAATTAAATCAATTTCATAGTGATGATTTTTGTGTTTGGAGCACATCAACTACAAGTTCCTTGTGCCAGCATAATATGTTGCGGCCTCTGTCAAGGTAATGAAAGTGAACCGAAAAAACGTCAGCGTCGACTACAACAAGAACGTTCTCCTCTTCTAACTCTTCCCGCCTTCTACGCCGCGAGCAGGACGAACGAAAAGATGCGCAGTGTAGTCGCGTCCTTTGCGACTATCATGCGGATGCGAAGAGGAAGTACGACATCCACCTGCATCGTCAAAAGCTAGAAGGTGCTGGAAAACGATTGTCACAGAAAGAACTGAAACAAATGTACACATTTTTCTTTACAGGTTCATTTTGTTCATCTACTCCCGCTGTTGTAAGTTCCTTGTCCTCGTTTGTCCGTCTCTAGTGCGTAGTACCTATGTATTAAGCTTCTTGATGTCAAGAAGCTATACCGTTTTCCCAACACTCAAAACAGCGGACGGCTGACCGCATCAGCCAATTCGAACCCTGGTAAATTCGTCCAGCAGGTCGAAAGCTACGTCCATTTCCGCTTTCGAAAAATGTTGCAGGAGGTCGAAGGCTCTCTTAGTTTGGACAGTGAGACTTACAAGCAGCAGTGGTACAACGAACTCCTTGAGACGAGGAAGAAGGTGCAGAAGCAAGTATCGGAAATAGGCCAGCAGTGGGTGGATGTTTTAGAAGAAGGAAAAAAAGAAGTAAAGGAATCCCTTTCGAAGAGGAAGATGCATTTCTCAGCTGCCACGTTGGAAATGTTCGCTTTAGAAGAAACGCTAGCGAAACACCACGATTACGATTCTCTCGATCGGTTGCATAAACTTGCTGAAGCGGAAGAAAGATCCCAACTCTACGTGTTCAAGAAGAAGCAAGCTTTGGGGGAGCAAAGGCAGATTGCGTTTTTGAATCACAAGATCCAGACAAGCTTTTCAGCCCAGAGGGATCGCTTGTATGGGCGGATTCGGCGTGTAGCAGTAGAAAACCAAGAGAAAGAGTTGAAAATCGATCGTCGAATCCAAGTGGTTGTGCAGAGACTGAAAGTAGAGCAATCACGCGAAATCGCTACCATTCGAAGGATATTTCAAGAGCATTGTTGCAGAGTAGAACACTTTGTCTCTGGCGCGCCTAACAAACGCGGTGAGCAGTTCACGCCTTTTGCTGCATTGAATATGGCGGACGAAGACGACGAGGAGAATAAAGAGGCACAAGTATAGGAATGTTCGAATAATTTGATTCACTTGATGCCCTTTTTGTTGACGAAATCTTAACTGAGTGATCATCGATCATCTTATACTTACATAGTACAACAACTCTTGCTACAGGAGCTACCGCTACATCAGTCATGCCATTGGACGAAGAATTGACTTCTCTCCTTTCCCTCTTGCACACCGGCACCTCTCAATTCAGGAACAGCCAGAAAAGAAGCCTAAGCATGGCGCACTAAAACTCTATGAGCCGAAGAAATTCAAGCCCTTCCTTGGGAGTGCAGAAGAACAAGGCAGAGAGGCGCCGCCTTTCGATCCGAGTGCGATATTCGAGTTTGCTAGTAAACTCCTCTGCGAAGAGATGAGGATTCTAGAACACAGGAAAATATCCTTGCCGGATACAGTCAATTATAATATGGAGACTCCTGGGGGTGGTGCAGTGCAAGCGTCTGGTAGAGGCGGGCAAGGACAAGGGACAGCTAGATCAGGATCTACAGCAGATCCTATGACTTCTACGCAGAAAAAGCGTCCACGCTCAGTTTCAAGCACAGTCGGAAAAATGATGCGCGAAAAACGTACCAGCATACTTTCTATTTCTAAAGTAAATCAAGCAAAAAGTAGTTGTAGTTCGACGTTGCTAAATCAACAAGACATTTTTAGTGCCTGTACTTCTGCTTTAATAAAGGCAAAACAAAAGTAGAGGAATATAACAATCACAATCTTCATTCAAATTACCTATAATCTCATCATCATCATCATCATCATCATCATCATCAGCGTCATTTTTTCACCTCCTCTTTACAACTCATTAGGTGAAGGCTACGACCCCATTCTAAACGCGTACAACGAGAAACTCATGGAAGAGTTGAGGCAAAGCCGGGACGCTCGTGGGCATCGAAGGGAGCAGAGGAGACCGCTTAGTGCAGCTAGGCCTGATACCAAAGTCGTCCGCAATCAAGAAGGGGATCTATTTTCAACAACTTATACCGAGCTCTTCACGAAGAAAGACGTCTACATAGCACAGCCGAATCCACCAGCTCTTGGCAATCGGCCTGAATGTGCAGCATGCGGAAAGTATCTCGATCTTCAGAGTAAAGGAGCGAAAAATGCAGCTTTGCCTGCAACTTATGGCTCTGGCTTTTGTCCATTTGTTACTTTTTTCCCCTGTCAGTCTAGATCTACTACTAGATCTAGAAGTTTTTTTTAGATCTAGAAGAACAAGAGTGAAGCATTCTGATGGACCTTTACTCGTCTACCTTCTCCCTCCATCTCTAACCCACCGGCGCAAGAAACGCTGCACCATCAGGAACTACGCGCGTTTGCGTCTTGCAGGATGTCGTGAATGCAGAGCGAGGAATCTTGAGACCGGTCGTCAAATGCTGTAGTTGGGAGTGCTGTCGAGAGTGGAACGACAGATATTCGCCACCCTTTCTACGCTTGTACCGAGAAGCCTTCATCGACGAACGGGATGATGATAAGGAGTTCATTATCGCGGCTGGTAGTGGAGGTGCAGGTGGGATGAAGAAGAATGATGGAGCACGAGCAGGTGCTTCTGGAGGTTCTGAACAGCAGGAGAAAGAAGATCCAACAGGTGCTAAAGCGGGTAGTAACCCAACATCTAGTGCAAGTGCTTCCGGTGGTGCGACGACAGGAGGTGAAGATCAGGGTGAAGGCGATGCCGAAGAACCGAAGGCGGAAGACCTACCTGAGAGCTTAACAGACCGACATGGAAACACGATAAAACCAGGAGGACCGCCTGAAGGGGAGTTTGGGGCAAATTTAATGGAACCAGACGGCGGAGAAAAAAATGCAGGTGGAGATGAAAATGCAGAGGGTCAAGAAGGTACTGGTGGTGAAGGTGAGCAGGAGGAAGAAGAAGAGGAAGATGATGGGGAAGAAGAAGAGGGGGAAGAAGATGAAGAATGACAGTCGTCTCGACGTATTTTTTTGCTTTACGACGACCGACGGCCAGTTCCTTTTGCATCTTCGACGGACGTATTCCAGTATTCCACTTTCAAACTTACGTTGATCCACTCTTATTCAACATTCATGATTTATCGAGAACTTTACCATTTTTCATGCTGTCATTGATTCGAAATTTCAACGTAGAAAACAAACGCGGGTTACAACGAGAAGTAAATATTCACGGTGATGCTGCAATCAAAAAGTTGAAAAGTCATTCTGGTCGACGCAAAAAGTTTCTCAAAAACGTCTATAATTTCACTTTCTTTTTACCCTATGCAAATCAAAATGCCTCAGTCATGCAAAAGATTTCACACACTGCAAAGAAAAGTTCACAATGATGCCTCGAACAAGTAATGAGCATGAAAAGAACTCGGCCACTTTTCTTATACGTCAGGGCGGAATTCTACTCCCGCTTCCGGTGGAAGTTGAAAGTGTTGGTTTCTTCTAAAAAACAAAGGCTGCTAAAAAGAGTACTTTTGAAAATGCAAGGGTTTTCCCCCTTAATAAAACCGTGACACCAGCTTCTGAGTGATGGATCATCCATAATTCATCTTCAGCGATTTCGAATGAGTTATTTATCGTGAACATACAGAGACACTTGATCATCAGTAAGTTGAGAAACCACGACATGACCGGACAAGTCTAAAAGCAGAAAAAGAGGCTCAAAGGACTTATCCAAAATGCCGGAGCTTGCCGAGGTAGAGTATGCGCGTCGGCTGCTGGTCAATGCCGTTTTGAACAAGAGGATAAGCAAATTGATCATCGACCAATCCTGCGAGACGACTCTTTTCAAAGGCAATGTCAAGGGTTCGGCGTCTGTTGAAGCGGCTATAGTGGGACGCAAGGTTATGTGGGAAACGTAGTGTGGTTGTGTATGTGTTAGTTTGTAGTTATAGATACCACTGTGGTTCTTGTGGTTGTGGATTGATGTGAGAGTGTAATTATTTGGCTGTAACAAGTGTTGCTCTGCAACTTCAATAGAATGCGATGAACGTGAAATCGAATTCGATCGATAAGATTCGCGTTTCGCTTTCGCGTCGGATGCTTCGTCCCCTAGGGAAAGGGAAGGGATTTCATTCATTTAAATAACAACACAAACGTAAATAAAGATCCTTCTCCAGCATCTTCTTGATGCTCTAATCTGTTCGTCGCCCTGAAGCGGAAAGGCAAAAACCTGGTTTGGTTTGGCTATGACGAGGAGAGCATGGAATTGTCCGCGGTTCATTTCCATTTCGGAATGAAGGGTTTGTTCAACGTTCACGCACCTGCCGAAAGGGAGGATCTAAAACCGATCTACTACATGAGCGGAAAACGCAAATGGTTACCGGAAAAAGAACTAACGGCTGTTCCTGAAAAAGAACAGACGGTAAAGGTGATGAAGCAGGAGAAATATAGTGGTGTGAAACAGGAGCATGGCAATGGGGTCACCAGCACTACTTCCATGATGAGCAGCAAAAGTACTAGTGCGACAACCACATCTTCTCATACATCAGGAGCTTCTTCATCCGAGAATAACAACATTTTCGCGCATTACTCGTTTGCTGGTGCTGACGAGGAGGGAAATGGATCATCCTTGGATCAAACAATCAAAAAGAAGAAAAATCCCTATCTTGGTGGTGGAAAAACAAAAGGAAAAGCAACAATAAAAAACGGAACAACAGCTGGCGAAAGCGATGAAGAAGACGATGGAATGTCTTCCTGGCCTCCGAAACATCATAAAATGCTATTCGACACCGACTCGGAAGAGGGCATTAAGCTCGCTTTTGTTGACTCCCGAAAATTCGCCAAAGTAGTGGTTTTGTCTGAGATGCAACTAGTGGCTGGAGGACAGGACGTTGATGAAGCGGTAGAAGCGATCTGGCATAACCAGTTCACTCACCTGGGTCCTGATCCTCTAGATGATTTGCCGAGTGTGCAGCAATTTCGAGGGATACTAGATGTGAAAGGTTATGACAGACTCAGATTCAAGCAACATTCTTCAACGGCCTCTGTCGCATGTTCTCATGCGTGGAGGTAGCAATATCAGCTAGTAAAATGTAATTCTCTTCCGTAAATACTTTTTCCTCTACAAGAATCGTCCACCTCGCTCTCTAAGCAAAAAGTAAAAAAGGCCTAGCATCGGCACGCATCAAAACGGCGCTTTTGGATCAGGCAAAGATAGTTTGCGGTATTGGAAATTGGCTTGCGGATGACATCCTTTACGACTGCGCGATACATCCACAGCGCACTATTGGCAGCCTAACGTTGGACGAAATCGACCGTTTGCGAGATTCGATTTGGCGCATAGTTGATATCATTATGTCACACACAGATTGAAAAACTCATGCATCTTCATAGAACTACTAAAAGTAGATATGATCTGGGACTCCGTTAGAATTTAACATGACTGAAGATACCGATAAAACCATTCAAGAAAATTCATCGCAGCTAATATCACAAGAATTTTACTTCCAATTTTTTACTTCCCCTTCATCTCCCGTTGCAACCATGCCAACGCGGACAGTACTTTGTTTCCGACGCATTGGCTCTTCCACGTCCGTTGGGATGCTAGACCTGGAAAGATCTGTTCCAAGCGACCTCACCTCCAGCTCTTGGAGTTAGATGGTCGAACCGCAGTCGTTGATCCGAAGAAGCAGAAGAAACCCAAGGACGCGCCGGATTTGTCACGAGCAGTAGGGGAAGCAAAGAAGGCGAGTATCGCGATGAAGATTTCAGAAAAGGCGATGAAAGCGGCACTTTCAGGTGGAGGCGGGAAAAACAAGAGCAACAAGGCTAGTTCTATTAAAAGTGCAGTGATGAAGAAATCAACCACGATGAGACTATCAACTTCGAGGGTGACGAAAAAAAGTGTCACCGACAAGAAGAAACTCACGAAAAAGTCAGCAACTAAATCTTCAAAGAAAAAGCCTAGTGCAACGAAGACAGTAGTTATGAAGATGAAAGACCAAGGGAAGAACAAGAAGCCTCCTTCTGCGCCAAAGGCTAGCGTGATGAAGAAAAGTGGAGCAGGAAAAGCGACTATAGCTGCAGCTGCGAAAAAAAGTCCTATGAAAAAGGCAGCGGCTGCTTCCACGAAAAATCCGGCTGGTGCGATGAAGAAGGTCGTGAAGAAATAAACAACGACTAATATGAACTTGAACTACATGAAGAACGAATGAGGTGCCAGTATCAACAATTGGCGTATGGTGATGAAGAACAGGAGGATTTGAATCGTGTCAGTGTCTACGCATGATTTTCTACAGACATATTGACCACAGGTAACTACAACTGGAAGATGAAAGATAACTCATAGTGCAACTTCTACGGATTTCCATTGATTCCCTTCCATTGAAATTCAATGACTATCATTTCTTGATGTCTTGTTGTTCAGGCGTGTGCAGCAAAAATGGTTGTGGAAGTTCTGTAGTGGAATAGGTCGCTAGTATCATGATACCTTTCTAGAAAGAAACAGATACTCTGGCAGTTATGACATACTTGTGTGCAGCAGCAGAGAGAAAACAACTTGAATGAATAAAATCAACGCGGATCTAATTTTCATACCGTACAAAAAGAATTCTGCGACTCACTTGCCTCATTCTAAAAGGAAAGTAGGCTCTGCCTCTGGTTGTTCACGTCCAGCTAACAATCTTTCTCAAAAAGAGCTAGAAGTACCCGTACCCACTTAGCAGAGGGAGAGTGAAGGGAGACAAAGCTCTTCCCTTCCTTTGTTCTTAAATATTTAAGTAAGTGAAAAGTATAAGTTGAAGTCCTAACAAGTACAAGAACTAAGAGTAAAACTTCTAAAAGAGGACAAAAAGTTTAGCTCGATAATTTTCCTGACGATACCCCCATAGACTTGAACTTCTTTCTGAGTAGGAAGGTAGTCACACTTGTTCATGTTCTATCATCTCCATTCCATTTCTTTTTCCACACCAAGCCCATTCTCGGTTTTCCTATACGTTCTTTTTTTAACGACTTGATAAAGTTGAACTTTTTGGCCATATACGTACCTCATTAAGATTAAGTATCTCGACGTAACCGTAAGTATACGTTCAAAAGTTGACAGCATCGTGGTTCAGTATTGATTCGCTTTCTCCACGTTGATTTATTTCGGCAAGAAAATTAATACTTGAGAATGGTCACGCTCACATTCGCAGGCGTCCTACATCAGGTTTCAGAGGACCTTTGAGCGAGACAGGCGTGGTCGGGAGTATCCTGACTACACGGAGGACAGCAGGGTGGACGAACGTCGAAGAAGAAGAAAGTAGAGGAGAAGGACGTGCTATTTGGGGGACGCAGCGAAGAACAAAGTTGTTCTTGCACTTGCTGGTGTAGGAAAAAGCGTGTGCGAGAAGTTGAGGGCAGCTGCAGCACCTCGACACCAGCCAGCGAAAGACAACGGGAGGACAGCCCCTCATAAAGATTAAAAACATCCACCGCAAATATTAATAAAGTTTAAAGAACAAGAAGCTGAAGCTCCGCGGAAGTTCACGTCCTAGTACGGACTTCCTATACAGCCGTTGGAGGAACGAACTACTACGGCTCCGCGGAAGTTCCCGTCCTAGTACGCACTTCCTAAACCTCATAAACCTCGTCAACCTCAACCTCAAGAAACGACATCAAGATGGTGGACGCATTCGACGATGACCGGATGATGTTCGGTGGCCCCCGGAGGGGGGACTACGCAGACCACCTACTAATGGACGGTCTCGAGGACACCCTAGATGATCGACAGGGAGCTGGTCGTGCACAGGAAGATGTGACAGTGACGTTGATTTTGAACTCTTATGGACTGGACATCTATCGGTTTAGACTAAGTAAACGTTTAGGCATGTCTAATCGTGTAACCTTTTATAGTAGTTCTAGTTGTGATCTAGTAACTATCGCTTTGAATAAGAGGAAGACAGAGAAGATTATTTGCTTCATCACATTCATCACATCAGCACTTTTCAGGAGATCAACATCACTGGTCTTTAGGGTTTGCTTGCTCTTCATCCTCCTCATCAAGCTCAAATATCACATTTATACCAAGGACATCCAGGACATCTTCAAACACATTCACATAAAAGTCTCTACGGTCACTATGAAAGGTGATAACAGGGACATTAGCATGCAGACCTCCAGCACTACTTGTCTTCTAAGTTGTACAAGATCATGACGCACAGGAAATCAGTGAGGTTCGGATGTTCGCGAAGGTATCCAAACCATCGCAGCAAGACCCTATGGGTGATATGGAAGTGCCACACTTGATGGAAAGGTATACAACTACTTCTCGTTGTACTTATTATACTTGGTCTGTCATGTCGCGTTTTTATTTTGCCCTTTCGAGAACGAAGTAGTCATCTTCATCAAGAACTAGTAATATAAATATTTATTTAATAAAGGAAAAGGTAAGTAGATCATACGCTCCAGTACTACCTTCCTGCGATGTCACCTTCAACACGAAGAACAGCAACCTTTTTTTCAGGCTAGATGTATCCTTTCCACCCCTATCCATCTTGCAGGTCACCCGTGCATTTCGGACATTACTCCTTGTATTCGTACAAGTTCCGGTCCATCGAGAAGAAGGATCTGAAGCATGGTTTTCAGGCCTGTTTTGAGTTCTTCATCGATAATGGTCAAACAAAGCACGTAGAATCTCCGCCTGCCAATCGTCCAGACCGTGGAGCTGACGGAGGACAACAAGATATGGAATGAACCTAGTGCTCGTGCTCTGTCCCTTAGTGTTTGAGATGAAGATACAACTCTTGGGCATCGGCATTGTTTCAAGTCCAAGGCCGCTAAGCAAAAGGAACTATCATAAGTCCTAATAGGAACTCGTAGGACCTCCATTGATGTTGTCGCAAGGACGAGAAGTACAAGTACGTATCATGAGAACTAACCCCGCTCACTCTCGCTGCCCTTACCATGCACCTTTCATGCTCCCAGCCGTAGGAGGAGGAAACAATCGACAAGAGCGTGATCCGCATGGGCGATATGATCGCTCCCACGATTCCTTCAAGGGCGTTCACAATCGATACTTTTTCCGATGGAACCTGTACCATCATGGCTTCGGACAGGTCCCAGGAACACCACTGACTCCGATTGCGGTTATGAATTCTTCTTGTTGAGTAGGCTTTTCGTGTGATGTAAGCAAAAATTGGTGTTAGATGGAAGCTAGAGGTGTTATTCATTCGTATCGAGTAGGAACTCGAACTACAAGAAAACGAACAAGAGCTTACTTCTTGCCTCCTGTTTCTTAATCTATTGGACACCATGGTGATCGGCAGTGGACGAAAGCATTTCTTGTTCTTTTTCTAATCCTTGCGGAGGTGCTGGCGCCTCTGGCGACAGCAGCCAAGGCGGTGCGGGCGCAGGCGGCTCCTCCGGCTCGCGCGCTCAGGTTGTCCAGGCAAATGCTCGCAACCAAGGAGAAGAGCGCAAGAACAATTACTTGATCAATTTAGTCCAATTTACCTACGAGTACGAGCATGGCCGTATTGGTAGTGAGGAGACCATGGCTGCGTTTTTGAGTCTCGAACAGCACTTCAGACAGCCAGTGAAGATAGCCGAGCGCGATAACTTCGGGATGCGCAGCGGCGCGAAACATCTCGATGACCGCTCACCACGTGGAGGCAGAGCACGAGGCAGTCGCGGAGGAGCGTGGGGTGGAGGCGCGGGCATGCTAGACATGATTGGTGGAGCTTCCTCGGCTGATGCTGGGGCCGCCGCTCCAAGCTCACGCGCTGGAGGAGCAGGAGGAGACGCTAGTAAAGAGTTACGGCCATAATGATCAGGAGTTTCAGTCACTATCTGCCTCTGGTGTGGTTGTGGAGCATGCTGAGTGGGTATGGGTTACCCTTACCCTTAGGGGTCAAGGGGGGCTAAAGGGGCCCATGCTGAGAAGTGGGCTACCCTTACTTAGATGAAGTCAAAGGCAAAGGGACGATTCGTTGCAAGGGGGCAAAAATATATGATAGGATCCACTCAGCAAGAACCAGGGTCAGGGATAGTGACTGGCTAGCTTTAAGACATCCCTTGCAAGAACTCAGACCGACGTTCGAGTACTTCCAGGAGTTTTTCTTCAAGTATGCTCTCGACAAGTACGAAACATCGTCGAAGCAGGGGACCCCTGCGTGTGAAAAAGCGCCTCCTCAACACCAACAACAGTCTCTGTGCTGGTTTCTAGCAGAGCAGAGCTTTCCTAACTTGCGGTTAAACCACCAAGCTGGCGAGCGCTCGCTTCTCTTCGTCGCCATGATGGGATCGTTCATCTTATGGAAGTCGAAGTCCTTTGAGTGAAACTGAAGAATACCTTAATGATCCCTTGCTGAAGTTGAAGTAACGGTGAATTTAGTCGGTGTCTTCTTCATCACCAACTACTACACTATCAAGAATTTGAATAAACTGACTTTCTTCAATCTCTAATTCACAACCGCTTCAACGCGGAAAGTCAAATGCAACGTCACGAGCATGAAAGTGGTCCTTCTCGCTCAGCAAACGCTTTTTCCCACTTGGATCATTTAGATGCAAAGGATCATCGGCTCGGAGGTGGTCAACAGCCACAACAACAGCCTCGTCTCCGACCTTTGTATCCTGAAGTCTGGATCCACTTTTTGATACGCACTCTGCCTGCCTCCGCAATGGAGATTGTGAAGGGCAATGCAGTTGGGGCTGGAGCAGATCGAGGTGGCGCTTTTGGTTCAGATCATCAAGTAGATGCGGCTTCAGGAGGGGGCATCGTTCTGCCCTACCTCGGTCCCGGACCGCAGTACGCTAGGCAAGAAGGCAACGGCGGACCGAGTCCCGAGGATATCACCGCTGGTTTCAAGATCGTTCTCGGTTCACAATGGGAATCGTTGTTGAAAACCGGACTGCGAGAACTAGTGAAAGTGAACTACAAGGAATTGGGAATGTACGATTTCATGCGCATTCTGCCTTTGCTGCAAGCACTTAGCATCCAGCCACAAGCAGTCGCGCTGCACCAGTTCAGTAGTAATCAGACGAGGAGATTGGCCCAAGAAAGCTACGTGAGGCGATGTAGGGATGCGATACGGCGCTTAGTCCAAGACTTCAGCGAAGATGGCGAGGTCGGCCTCCCACAAAGGAATTGGCGTGATTGCGAAGGCGGAGGCCGAAAGCAGGAACTGGAGAGTCGATACTTGGTGCCAGCTTACTCGAAGAGTATCCTAAGGCTCATTTCATAGTTCTTTTGTGTCCATTATAACTGTGATACGTCGTCCTTTGTTCTTACCCTCTACGACCACAACTTCTTTGTCAAGTTCAAAGATCAGGCTCTCTTAGTTGTTTTAGGAGCACTTTATACAACATGTACTCCATTATACCTGTATAAGTTTTTTCTCCAGCACACCTTCTTCTAGAAGATAAAGATGAAAAATGATAAGATAAGAAGATGAGATCGATGCATCATTCTTGTGATTGTGAACTCTAAGGATTACGGCATTCGCAAGTTTTATCGAGTATTGTCCGAGTGTGGAGATTCTTGTGCGGGAAATTCTACAACACGTGCCACAAGCCGCCATGTGGTTGTGGGAGGACTCAGGAACTTCTGGTGGAGGACAGGGCACACGTGGAGGTGATAGACGACGTGGCGGAGCACGCGGCAGAGGGGGTCCGGCCGCTGCTGCTGCTGCTGCGAGAGCAGACCATCTAGGTGGCGTTGGGGATCTGCATCTTCCTATCCCGGGCATAGGTGGTGCTGACATCGCTTACCTAGAAGACGAGCCTGGACTACTCGGTCCACGCTGTTTTCTCACCGCTTCCGCTGGAGCGTTTGACAGCCGGTGGTTTACAAAACCAGGGAGAAGAAGAGCAGAAGCTGGACCTTAAGCCATTTCTTGATGTTCTTCTTTGTCTCTTTAAACCGCGCCCTAAACTTCCATATTTTTATTAGTCAGGAGTTTCTTTTGATGATGATGACTGGCACCATAGTTTTGATGCCTAGAAGTCGAGCTGCTTAAGCTGCATCTATCTGTGGATCTCTAATCTCCAAGCCGCGGCGACCTTTCCAGTGGTTCGTGGCTGCGCATGACGCCCTTGTTTGGCGTGCTGCTGCATTTTTTAGAGAATTTTGAGATTCGGGAATCCGATCTCCCCGACTTGCAGAGCATTTGCCAACAGTTCAAGTACACCGCAGCTCCTGTGACGTTTCTGCTGAGAAATTCAGGTTCCTGCCACGCTCTGTCGATCACCGGCGTCGTCAGACTTTTACGCATGCCTGAGGACGTCACGTTGTCCGGGAAGTGCTCGTCTGCGCTTCTAGAATGGGTTAAGATCAAATACGGCAGTCGGACGATGCACACGCAACTAGCACACGATTTACAAGCGAGGATGCGCGACACCTTTGTCGCGTTTTCCCATTTGGTGTCCTGCATCCAGATTCGACGATGGCACACGAGGTTATTGGACGAAATCCAGACCTTCTGGTTCTTCTTGAGTATCGAACCAGTAGGTGTAGTGAAGAACACCTTAGCGATTGAAAAAAGCTTCGACTTGGACCTGCACGTGATTGAGGAAACTCAGAACGTAGTCACTGCGCCAGTGCTGCAGCGAGTGTTACATGCGACAAGGAAGTTATGGCTCGAGGACCTCCTTGCTATAATTACTTGCTTACATGAGATTCACATTCAGATTGAGAAGTCGATCTTCAAATGAGGATGAAATTATTGCGAAGAGCAAGTTGTAGTAAGTGCTGAGAAGCTCGGAATTCTTTCAGCACTCTTGAATGGTTCTGGTATTTGGTAACCTGAACTTGATCACTAGGATTCTCTTACTGTTTTTCTTATGATCAAAATCAGGTTACCAAATGCCAGAGCCATCCACTCACTTTCTAACAGCCGTCGTCTGTGACGCCTACGACGAGGATCCGTCTCTCCTCCGCCAAATTCTGAAACACGGCAGTCCATTCCGCTTCGAGCTCTTGAAGCTTATCCTCGACCACCGCATTGAAGCAAACGAGCAAACCAGACGTGGTCAGGAAGTAGACGCAGTGAGGGGAGTCAACGTGCTTGGAGGAGGAGGGTTTAACTCTCCAAGAGGAGGCAACCAGATTGTAGACGATGATCCTATGATGTACGCGGCAGACGGGAATTTGAATGGTGCTACAGAGGTAGCGAAGCAAGCGCAGGATCGTCTGTTAAGGCCATCGCCTAGTAGTGATCTCGTCTATAAATAACCGAATATACGAGTATCCAGACGAACCAGCATTTGTTTCTTTTTCATCTGCTTTTGATGCTCTTCATTTCCGTGGTCTTTGTTTTGTATGACATACTCCATGTTAGTTGATGTTCGTATTCGTTGTTATCCTTACCTCTCTACCTCCGCTCCTCTTGTTCTAAGCACAGTCTCCGATAAAAGCCACTCCATACTGTACCTTTCGCCGACGTTGCGGGAGGCTGGGTTGATCGAACAGCTGGTCCGGACGTACGCTCTATCCCCCGCTCTCGAACAGAGGCATAAGGAGGAGTACCATCGCTCTTCTCTGGGCACAAGGATCACGCAAATTGAAGGCATGCTCCAACGCTTTCTGGGAAAAGTCGCTAAAGCGTCAATAGAGCTCGCCGAACTGCATGACACAGTGGACGAGCACAAGACGAACTTTTTTCGCCTAGTCAACCTGTTGCGGCTTCGTCTCTCGAATGAGGAAATCACATTTGCCATGCGTGATATGGAGAGCAAGATGACGCCGGTTTTGCAAGGATACTTAGACGAAACCAACACGATTGGGCCAGAGGATGGCGCAAGTGGATCACGAACCATTACTGTTGACTACAACCAGTACGTGAATGGTAACCTAGCTGGCGGAGATGACCAAGAATCGATTGGGGTGCGCCAGACGATGCGAGTCACCGAGATGCGTCATGCGCTATTGCGCCAAGTGAAGGACGAACTTGAGCAATTCAGTACCTACGTGAAGATGTACTGCAAGAGCGCCTCGATCGAGTGCTCGCATTTGAACCAGAAGGTTGAGACGTTGTACAAACACTACAGCTACAAGACTCTGGCGACGGCGGCGCCGGAATTTACCAATGAACCAGTGCTAAAATACGTGCGAAAACTTCATGACTTGCGGAAGAGCGAACTGTTTTTGGACATCTGGCGTCGAATTGCACAGGAAATTCAGGAAGGAAAGAGTTTTGGAAGTTCTGGCTCTCCGTCCAGTGCGTCTACAACAACTTCAGGAGCTATAGCCAATGGAACTAGTGGAGGTTCAACAGTTGCTTTGAACAATGTTGGCGTAGCGAATTTGATCAACGGACTGCGCGGTGGCTGCCCGACCTTCAATGGGTCCGCGTCGCCAGCGGGACGACGAAACAGTGGGGGTCGCAGTGAGCTAACTCGAACAATGTCCGCGAGTGGCCGCGAACTCAATCACGCTGAAGAAGTCGGCGTCGAGTTTCTTTGTCTGGATTCCGAGGTTACGGTTTACGGGTTGTGTCGTGAACTTCCAGCTGCTGCACAGAGCGACAACACGGTGAACAAATCCAGTACTGACGCGGCAGCAGCGGCTTTTGCTTCCAAGTCGTATCAGATGACGCTGTGGGACACAGATTCGCAAAAAGCTCTAGGAAAGGTAACGGCAAGCGGCCCACTCATCGATGAGAGCCGCTTTGTGAGTGGCGGATTCGAGTCCGGAGGTTCTGTACAGTTGAAGAAAGGCAAGACTTACCGGATCACCATCCAACGAGCATCTTCAGGATCCTCAACCGTCGACGAGTTGCAAATAGATATGCACTGGTGTCAATTTTCAAAATCATCTTCGTCTAGTGGAGGTGGAGGAGACAACAGCTCATCGTCGTCCAGTGACCTTGGAGGCACGACTGGTGGGGGAGGTACTTCCTCTCAAAGTGGACCTTCTGGCTCTGCTGGTAGCGGCTCTGCTGTTTGCGGCTTACGTAACGGAATCGGGGTGTTCGAAAACGTTGTTTGGTCTGTGCGAAAAGGCACTTTTCCGAAAGATGTGGTCGCGAAGTCGAGGCGTGGACCTAGTTTGGGCATACTAGTCGACCGACGACAGCTAACAGAGCGGGCGGCGCAAGTCGGAGTGCAGGGGAGAGCGGCGTATTCCGGCAGTGTTGTCGGTGGTGGCTCCGCTGCCTCAACGGGTGCTGGTGGAGCTACAGCAACAGGAGCTATGATGAAAAGCGCCGCAGGCGGCAAAGGCGGCAACAAAACGCGCAAGTTTGTGGAGATCGAGCAGCATGTAGCAGTCACGCGCATCATTCCTTCGGCATTCGAACAGTGGGATCAACTGGCCATGACTTTGATCCTGGGAAATCAGGATTTGCGTACGGGATTCGAGCTCTTTGGCGTTCTAGGGAATCGTGGTTCTCGACCCACCTTGGGTGCCCAGAAACTCGAATATGAGATCCACATGCTGCAGGACAAGACGGACATTGTGGAACGCAACGGTCTTGAAAACTTAGTAGCGCACAAGGACTACAGTCGACGCAGAGGCGTAAATGATTTGACCAGTGCAGAGTGGAAAGATGTAGTAGTTCGAGATATCACAGAGCTGCGCTTCTTAGAACGCCTCATGGCTTGGATTCCTGGACTGCTGAAATTTTACTACAGTTCCAAGTCCTTTTTGATGCCGGACGCACCTGCCGACGATGCCTACACCAAGGAGCTGGAGCAGTGCAGCACGGTGATCGCGCACGCTCGCGTGTCCTGGGTGTTAGGCGTCGTGCAAGCGGAGGTGATTCCGTACAAGAAACACCTTGCAGACATCTCGTCGATGCATCAAGACTTTATCACGACGTTCGTGACCAGGAAAGAAACGCTTTTGTGGCTCTTGACGCACACGGACGGCGGAGCGTTTGACAAGAAAATTCGACTCGTCAGACCGTGTACGGATGATGAAGTTCTCCTTCGAGCGTTGTCGAATTTGTCCGAACTACGTCGCGTAGTCTCCGAGCTCTTCTACAAGGACGCAGTGGATCAATTATGGTCAGCTTTTTTCCATCATTCTCGGCATCTTGGTCCCCTGTTGTGTTCCCTTGTTGTATTCTCGTGAAATACAAGGTAAAAGGGGTCGAGGAGATGAGGGGGCCGAGATGCAATCTAGCAGACTCTAAATCAAGTAGCAGTGGAAGCGATTGCGCCGGAACCAACAAGTGCCATCGTAGATGCAGCAGCTCCTGGCACAAGTCCTCCTGGTAGCGCGGTTGTAGCTGCAGTTCCTGGAGCAGCTGCAGCGCCTCCAGGCGCTGCTGGTGGAGCAACTAGTACATCAGTCGCTGCCAATACGAAATCCGCTGCTGAGCTTGAAGCAGCCATGCGAAACTGTAAACATTACGCCAACATCAACGCGTTTTTGCAACAGTACATCTCTACAAGTGGTTCGGGTATTGAGTTCTCGTTTCCGCAGGATACTAGTGGAGACCGGGAGTTCCTCGAAACAGAGCAACTGACCTCTCTGCGCGTCGTTATCTCTAGTTGGGACCGCCTACACGATCTTTTGGAGAGGAACACGCTTTCTCCAGGTGTCAAAGCCTGTCGTGAAGTGCGTCCTATGGTGTTGCAGGGCGTGTTCATCTTTCACGGCACTAGCGATACGAATCTGCAACTTGTGTGTCGGATGCCAGGCAATCCGGATGTACGTTTTGAGCAATTGGCAGAGACCAGACGTCTACTCTTGATGACAGAACCGCCACCAGAAGAAGCGGAATCTACAGGAATCAAAACAGGTGCTCTCGAAGACGGCGGCGTGGGAGATGGTGATCCTGGTCAGATGACAGGAACAGAAGATGTAGATATGGTAGATGCCTCACCGCCAGATTCATCTAGTAGAGGTGCTGGAGTAGTTCGTGCTTTTGCTACTGCTGGTGTTGTAGATCTTCATATGTCTCCTGGTGCAACAACGTCAAGAATAGCAGGAGGTGCAACTTCTAGTTCTTCCCGAAGAGGCCAGCAGCTGATGTTAGATGAGAACTCCTTGCTCTCGCCAGAAGAACGACATCACTGGAGAAGGAATGCCGAGAGGGCAGTCAATCGCATGAAGCTGAAAGATTTGGTGGACGACTTTGTGCGGAAGCTGGAAGTTTTGGAAGACATCCGACATCTTGTAGCCGACTTGCACAACCATGGACATTTCGATTTCGCGCATGGCGAAGTGCTGCACATCTCACCTCTCGAGAGCATTGCCGCGATGCGCAGCAAGAAGGAAGAACTGTACAACGTGTTTTCGGATTGGCGTACCAACCTACAGGAGATCCGTGGACAGTACTACTGTTTGAACTACTTCGTTGTGAAGCATCTGCAGGCTTTGCGTGACGACATTCGAAGCGTCGAAGCCGCCTATTGGGAACGTGGATGCTTGCCATTGCGAGACAACTACACGCAAAGCGACATGAAGACAGATTTCTTTCATCTTCTGCAACAGAGAGATATTGCTAGTTCAGGCGCAGGAGGCTCAGCAGGTGGCGCTGCAGTAGCAGCAAATACTGGTAGAGCAGGTGGCGCTGTAGCAGCTGCATCACCCACGAAGCAGACCACTGATGGGGATGCGACGATGGGCACAGATAATACTGCAACAGCTACTAGTACAGGAGCAGACGGAGCAGGTACTAGCAAAGGAGCCGTGCCAGCATTAACCGCCGAGCAGGAAAGGCTTGCGTTGTTGCCAGGGGAGTTTTTGCGCACGATTGACCGCATGGTAGACATCCGGCATTATATCAGTGGCGAGCGGCTTTGCTCGGACGCATTAGCGAGCTTAGTTCTGTCAGGAGAAATGTTTGCGTCATCGGAGCAAGGGCCAACGCCAGACCAGACTGCGGCCGCAGGTTTTGCGCATACTTTGCTGCTCAAGTTCCACGAACTTGGTCGTTTTCCTCGTAACTCCGCAACTGAGCAAATTCACTACATCGGAAAGTTGCTCGACACCTGCTTCGGGTCATTGCAGTACAAGGAAAAGAAAGTGGCCTGGATCCAGAATCGCGGGAACACTCTGTTCTCAAGGCAGAAACTCCAGCAAGGCGACCTGTTAATTCAAGAAATCAACGTGCCTAAGCTGCAAACGGACACCAGCTCGTCCCCTTCCTGTCCTAAAGATTGTTGTAAGGATTCGGAAGAGAAGATGAACATCAGAGATGAGACCTCCAACGATGGAGGACAAGCTGCAGCAGCTGCACCAGCAGCTGCGCCCACTGCAGCAGCCGCAGCACCCACAGCCTCCTCTTTGTCAGCTGCGACGGCAGTGCCGATCTTCGCGTGTACAACGGCTAGCGAAGAAGAGGTCGTGGGCCTCGTGCTTTCGATCTACTTCAGACGAGAACGCCTGCCCGAGCCGCAGGAGGTGCTGCTTTGCACAGAGATGACGCAAGTGGAGGAAATCGAGATCTTGATCCGCCGCTTCATCCAGGCTCGACTCTACGGCCGTGAAAAGTGTGTCTATTGCATTGGCAACATCCAGTTAAGGCTGTACCACCTGTATGTAATACATCTTTGGACGCACCATCCTTGAACAAGAAACGTATGGAGGAGTATCCTAAGGGAACAATACTCCCCCATAGTACTTTTCGAGGATGCACTTGAAAGATGAATTGCGGACAGCTCTAATCCAGCTTCTGTCTTACCAGATCCAGTGTCGTGCAGTCGAAATGCTTGGAGTTTTGTTGTCGGAGTACGGCGTAGCGAATTCAGCGGCACTAGTGCTTGTCAGTGGCGCCCAGAACCAGATGCTGATCAACGCTGCGACATCGCAGTGCGGGGTGCAGTACATCAACGTTTCGAGTTTGACGCAGCACGAACTGCAGATGTGCTTGAAACACGCGGTGCCTAACGTCTCCGGGGCTTTTGCAGAGGACATCAACGGCGCGGGGAAAACCGAGTTCATTTACCGCGAAGCGTTTGCCATCCAGCACTCGAAAGACAACAGGAAAAGCGTCTACCGCAAGTTGGCGATCCGGGAAAACACGGACAAGAAGGAGGTGATCGAGCACGCGCACGCCATTGCCCACACACAAAAGATTGAGGAGCGCGACGACCGGCAGTTCATCCGCTTGAACTACGAGGAGCGGCGTAGCGGAAATCCTAGACAGCCGCAGTGGATGCACAACGGAATTGCACGGGGCGAAGGCCTTCCGGATCTTTTAGCTAGCCGAGACTTGCATGCGGACGGTGGAGTGGAGAGCCGAAATCTGAACTACGAACATCTAGTTCACATCGACTTGGCCCACGTGGTGCAGAAGAGGACGAACATTGTGCTCTTTGAGCTTTTGTGTCTAGGCTGCATCGTTGATCCGACGAGCTCAACTCTTTTCTTCAGGAACCCACGAGATCGCTACGTAGTTGAAATCCCGGCGACGCCTGGGAACCAGTTGCTGACCCATTTGAGTGTACTGCCTCTCCTCAAGAAGGAAGCCTTGACGGTAACGGAGAACACGTTGCAGCTGGACAAAGCGCAATTTCTAGGTGGCTACATCGAGACATCGCGTGGCCGCACGTCCTCACAGCTCTTGCAGCCGAACACCAGGACACAGCTGCTCCAGATCGTAGAGAACACGGATATGCTGATAACCTGCAAATTCCTACGCGCTCTCAACGGCGAGCGGTTCTTGAAGTCAGCGGAGGAGGACAAGGCAGCGCAAAACGATCAGTTGCTGCTGAAAGAGCCTATCACAGAAAAAGAATGCTGGGACATTCTGTCGGACAGATGCTGCCGCGAAGACAGCTCTCTAGCAAAGGGAAAGCGAAGGGAGATTCCCAGTTTCTACACCTTCAACCTGTTCTGTCGCTTCATGCGGAGTCAGTTCGAACGAACGATGGATTTTGCGTTGCTACAGCCGAAATTGTCCCAGTCTATGGGTCTGGACCAATTGCGGCACTTCTTTTGCGACTTGCTTGTCTCCACTTCGGCCGATTTTTCGTTGCGACAAGTGCCAAAATACGACACCATGCCCAACATGCATTTCCGAGAACAAGATGACGTCGTTATGTCCGAACTCTCGCCTAAGATGCGGCCAGCGTCCCGATCGTCAGCCGTCTTCCCACCAGCAGAAGTCGACAAGTTACCACCACTAGAAGGCGATCTCACGTTGGCGGATGCTAATGCAGCGTCGTCATCAAGCACGGCTATTCCAGCAGTTCCTAGTGGTCCGTCTTCACGGAAGTCAGTAACCGCTATGGAAGTACCAGAGAATCGTGGTCCCGCAGCTGAAGCAAATCCAGCAGACAGTGGCCGAGAAGGCGCACCGCAGCGCACTAGTTCGAAGACGGTGGGGAGGACTGGGTCAACAGTTTTAACCCGAACATCTGGAGCGGCTGGCACCGGAGCCAAGCACGACACAACATTGCGAAGAGACATGTCACAGCAGGAAGCATTAACGACGGAGATGGGTAGAGAGCGCATGGGCGCAGGCAAAGTTTCTGCTGAATCGATAGTAGAACGATTTGCCGGGATGCTCTCCTGGGAGGCAAAGGATCATCCTTTATCGATTTTCAAACTGTCCAAACCAGGCAGAGTGAGTGGTATCGACATTCTATCCTTGAACAGGAAGACCATTGAAAAGAACTGGAAACTCGATCGACAATTCACGCGTTCTCTCGACAACAACGGTCTGAAGTTGTTCAAAGATTGGTCGGAGGCTACACCTGAAGACTGCTGGAAACTAATCCGTATGGCCAAGGGGATGAGCACGGCGCAACCAGGTGCAGCAGGCGGGAATCCGTACGCGGCGATGCACCAGCAAGGAGGCTCGTCGTCATCTTCTAGTATGGGTCGTGGTGGTGGTCACCAGACCCTTGGTAAAACACACTATGTGCTGACGATCGACAACTTGCTGAAGATTTTGTCGATTCTGTTGCGTATGGAGTACGGCTTGCCGGTGATCATTATGGGCGAAACGGGATGCGGCAAGACAGCTTTGGTCGAGTTCATCTGCGACACGCTGAAGTTTCCTCTGAAAAAATTAGATCTGCATGGAGGAATCACGGATGCGGAGATCACGAGGTTCTTCAAGGATTGCATAGCTGAAAGCGAACGATTAAAGCCTGATGAGTATTTAGTGGCGTTTCTAGACGAAATCAACGCAGCCAATTGTATGGCACACTGCAAGACGTTGATCGTGGACCGCTTCGTGGAGGATCAGCGCTTGCCGCCAAATATCAGGATCGTGGCCTGTTGTAACCCGTATCGGTTCCGCCGCAATCGTGAGGACGAACAGATGGGCTTGGTGTACCAGCATCACTTCGCGGATGGCGGCATCGTCTCGAAGACAGACCACATGAAGAACCTCGTCTATCGGGTGCACCAGTTGCCGGAGAGTCTGATCGATCTGGTGTGCGACTTTGGAGCGTTGACAGACGAGACGGAGGCGCGCTACATCAAGAGCATCCTGCGTCGCGAGCTGCCTTTTGCGTTGGCGCCAGAGGTTACCGACGCCGACGGGCAGAAGAGGTCCAGAGATCACTACGAGACCTTTCTGAGAGTGTTTGCGAACTTGCTGCGCTATTCCCAGCAGTACATCCGGGAAATCAACAACAACGAACGAGCGGTCGTGTCTCTCCGTGACATCGCACGTGCGAGCCGGGTCTTCCGATGGTTTTTGAAGCACTACACGAAGATGCTCGCATCTTCAACGTCCACGTCGACTAGTGCAACTTCTACGGGAAACTACAGTGCAACTACGGGAAACACCTCTTCTTCATCTTCTGCTGCACCGGGAGCTGCATCAAGCAGTGCTGGAACTACAGTGGTTCTTGCAAGCACGGGAGACGCAAGTAGGAGTTCAGCTTCGGCACATTCAAGCGGCAGAAGTGTTCGCATGTTTGTGGTTGCTGAGGCAAGCGGCGATACCCGTGGAGGCCTACTCACCTCACTGGTGGGGACCAGCGCGCTGTCAACAGCCGTGTTGTTGACTCTAGGATTCTGCTATCATTCTCGTTTGGCACGTGAGGATCGCGACGGATACTATCGCATGCTCTGGTCCACGGTGGGAGCACCGCGTAAGTCAGCAGCTGCAGCCCAGCAACCCACAGCTGCCACGGCGGGTCGCGGCGGCCCGCAGCCAAGTGGACGTAGTGCTGCCGTAGAGAGCTCGACGGACTATTCGTGGCTCTCCTTGAAGCAGGAAGGGGACTTCCTCAAGGTTCTGGAGCGTGCGCAGCAAGACTTCGTTGCGCAGATGCGACTTGGAGAGGGTATTGCGCTGAACGAGGCTCTGCGGGAGAACCTGTTCATGTTGATGGTCAGCGTCATGAACCAGATTCCGATTCTTGTGATCGGCAAACCGGGGTGCAGCAAATCCCTTGCGGTAAGCATCTTGCAGGACAACCTGAAAGGCTCCGTTTCCGAGCAACCTTTGTTCAAACAAATGCCCGCGATCGAAGTGCTTCCCTACCAGTGTTCACCACTGTCGACCGCAGACGGCATTCAGAACGCGTTTGACAATGCGCGAAAATATCAAGGAGGCGGCGACGGCTTAAAGACGATCGTCGTGGTTCTGCTGGACGAGGTAGGCCTCGCGGAGGAGTCGCCGCATTTGCCGTTAAAAGTTCTGCACAAGGAACTGGAGCGTCCGGGCAAGGGGATCACCTGCATCGGCATTTCGAACTGGGCATTAGATGCTGCAAAGATGAGCCGCGCTGTCCACTTGTACCGTAGTCCACCGACCATCGACGATCTCACATTGACTGCTGAAGGTATGATCTGCAACAATCAACTGAAGATGTACTTGCGCTCTTTGGCTGAAGCGTTTCATGCGATCTATCAGCAGCAGCCACGACCAGACTTCTGGGGACTTCGGGAGTTCTACTCCACAGTTCGAGTGGTCAATGCAGAATTGAGGTCCCGGAGCGAGAGAGGGGAACTGTCGGTCAACTTAGATGCGAACTGCTTGATGAAAACGGTTTTGAGGAATTTCGGTGGTTGCACGCCTGCGGAAATGGAGAGCAACATTAAGAAATTCTTCAGCAAAGTAGGAATGCGTGCTGAAGACGGCAAGCGCTACGACGTGGTTGAGCTGATCGGGCAAAATCTGGAGGAGTCCGATGCTCGCCACTTGATGCTTCTGACGAAGAACAACTCCGCTTTGCGTCTTCTGTTTGATAGCGACATCATCAGTTACGAGAAGGAAACAGAGATCCTGTTTGGCAGCAGCTTTCCAGACGACCAGTCGGACGTTATGGTAGCTACGAACTTGAACCGCATTCGTTCGGTGATGACCAAGCCGATTCAACTGGTTTTGATCCACTGCGACGCTCTGTATGAGAGTCTCTACGACTTGCTGAACCAGCACTACATGGAGTTCTCGGGCCAGCGCTACGTC